ATTGAAGTGTAGTGAAGTGGATTCTCCAATATCTAAAGTATTCTTTAGATTTTGGAATCGATTTTAACTAACAAAGTTGTCTTTTATTGTTAGCTTTGTTAATACAGATTTTACTAGAGATTTAGATCATCAAAAATCTACAACGAGATATGTTTTCATCATGATTGGTGGACCCATGAGCTAGAAGTCTACACTTCAGACTACTATCACATTATCTACGATTGAAGTAGAGTACATGACGGCTACTAAGCCAATTAAGGAGGCCTTGTAGTTGAAGAAATTAAGTGAACTTAAGATCCGATAGGGTAAAGTTTCTCTTCATTGTGACAATTAGAGTATTATTTACAGGGTTAAAGCATATTAATATGTGGTATCATAAGATCCATGAGTTGATGAATTCTAAAAATATCTCTCTAGTAAAGGTTCACACGGAGGATAATTTGTAGATATGTTGACGAAGATCATCACAGTGGAGAAGTTCAAATATTGTCTAAATTTAATTCATGTTGTAAGTACCTTACAGAAGGTGAAAAACTTATAGTATTGATGAATGTCAACTCTGAGTGTAGTGATGATTGCTGTCAAGGTGGAGTTTGTTAGCAATGTCAATTCATCATGATTGACCTATTCAAGAGACGTACGAGGAGCTTCCTCTTGTCTCAACCGTTCGGGAGACATACAAAAGACCTTTTCTTATCTGACTCACTTGGGAGACGTACGAGGAGTGAAGGGTAATGTTATGGTTGTCACCTCATCCCATTTGACCCAATCGAGGGTCATGTAAGGAGAGAGAGATGATTGTCACCTCAACCCTTTTGACATATTTTGTGGTCATGTAGGGAGAGAGGGAGTGGGAAATGAAGGAGGCTGAAACCATCAACTCTAATATATGTGGGCTCGCCTACATGTAGATCGAGATGCCTCTTTTTATGAGGTAGTTATCTTTTCTTATTTTTTACAAATAGGAGATATATTTCCCCTTTTTGGAGTACAATAGATAATGAGATTTCTCTCTCTCTCTTTCTCTTGATTATATTCTCTCTCTCCATCAACTCTCTTCATCTGTCTTGATCTCTCATCTTTCTTATATTACAGGTGAAGCCTTTATAGAAGGAGATAAGAGTCTATTCTTGACTCTCAATGTATGAGTTATCTCAAGGACATTGAGATGTATATTAGAGGTGTCGGTGAAAGTCTTGTTCTTATTAGAATTCTTGATAGCTTGTTGATTTCTCTTCTATTTGTTATCATTGATATCTAAAAATTGAGTTTTTGTTGTTATTATGATCATATGCTTACATATTTATTCCTACACACACTTTGTCAATTGCACCAACTCCAACCTTTACTCTAGTGACCCCTTGGTGTTACCCACAGAGGTTGACAAGTCAAACTCACCGAATTATACTTATGTCATAGCACCTTCTAACATATAAAGGCTCGCTGATAGAAAGGCCGTAGCATGCATATTAAAGTTATATTTTTATATTTTAAATATTTTTTCTTATTTTATTTTTGTGTGTTAACTTGCAAAATAAATATAATAATATATTGTTAAATTAGGAAGTATGAGTTAATATATTTTTTATTATCAAAAAAATATAAGAATAAAATATAAAAATATTATCGTACGTTAGCAAGCTAGCACTCGGCAACTGACCTAGAGGGGTACTGTAATTCAGTAGGTAGACCTAAACTAGGGGAGCCAGAAGCTAGGCTCAAGTGGTGAAGGACTCGCTTCGTGAATGTGTATGTCACTCCCCTACCACGTCTGGTGGCCAACCAGTTGTGGTGCAAGGAGCATTGTACACACATGTGCACACAAGCACAAACCATCTTTTACTTTCTCTCAAGATGATTATGGGCATTATTTTATTTTAGGAGAAGAGATCTCTATTAACATAGCGTAACTTTGATATATATTAAGCTCAATCGTCGAAATAATTCTAATGTGAGACTAAAAGTTCTTGTTTGTTTCGGAGCAGCTTTCTAAAGTGTAGTGTGATCTAGCGGCGCTCAATGGGCCAAGTTAGCAGATAAGGTGCATGCCACAATTGACGAACCATCATGATACCTGAAGTGTAAAGTAATCCATTGATGGTTTGCGAATCCGACACTGCTTAGCACGTACGTGACCAGAAATGACAATCCAATAGCGAGCAAAGTGTCATGGTATTAGGGACTTAAGTTCCTAGTAAGCAGCAGTTCATGGCGGATTAATCATGCGTCACTCAGCACGCCACGTGACTAAGCACATCTAATCTAGCAGCATACGAAGCAACACAATACCAAAAACTTAAGTTCTCACATATACTACCATCAAGAATTTAAAGATAATAATTGATTATTATCTGATCAAATAGACATTATCAATTATCTTTAAAATTCCAATGACAATTGCAAATATAGAATCTATTTTTTTCTCTTTTCACATGATCACTACTTCTGATGATCAGCAGCTTGTTCCTTCCTCCCTCAACTACACTCAAGGCCTTTGACGAGTGGTCATCTCTTTCCTTCTCCCCCCAAACAATGGTGATAGTGTGGTCAACCCCTCATTTCAACGGATCTCTCTGCCAAGTAGCACAATGCTTCCGAATGACACTTCTATGACTTCCAACATGGTGTGGCATGTTCAAACGAAACCAAGCTGCCACACTCATATCTCTAGTTACCCAAGTGGCAAACTAAATTTGGGCAATGATTTCTTTCCTACTTTCAATATTTGTTTACCAGTTTTTATTATTTATTTATATTTTATAGAAAATTCTTTCTATTTCGTACATATTCCAATAGAAATAAGTAGAACTCAATAAAAACTTGATGAATGATCTTCATTCCTCTATTGAATTCTTTGAAACTCATTTAAGATCAAGCTAAGATCAGGTCCAACTTGTTTTCTATTAATTTCCATAGTCGAATCTTGAAGTATTTGTGTTCTTAGTATTCTGTAAATAATAAGTATTTTTCTATTTTCAAATACAAAATCAGCAAGATTAAAAACTAATTAATGAGTGTTGAACTGTTAAAATAAGGTGGAGACATTCACCTTGTTTTTTAACACACATTCATCTGCTAAATGTGGTCAACTCAAGTTAGATGTGCAACTAAATCACCGTAAAAAGAGCTAACCATTGTTTACCTCTCTTGATTATTTGTCTTTGCTTCTCTCTCCCTCTCTCTCATTAGACCTTTACCTCTTTGTGTCTCAAGTGAGATTTCTCTCTCTCTCCCTCTCTCTCTTTCAATCGATCTCCTTCTCTTTCTCTCTCTCTTGATCTATCTCCCTATTTCTCTCTTCATCTCTCTTTCTCTCTCCTTCACGAAAGATCTTTTCTCTCTTTCGTGAAAGCTTTCTCTTCTCATTTTCCTTTCCTCCTTCCTTTCTCCATTTCTCTTCTTTTATTCTTCTCACCTCACCCTTTTATTTTCATTAGATTGTGATAAAATATTAAAATCACTTTATATAAAAACCTAATTAGTTTTTCATGAAAAATTAACCCATCTCTCTATGTTCAACTTAAAACTTATATCTATATTAATATCTTATTAAGTCTTAGTTATAAATATTATTAGATAATAGGCATTTAAACACAACAATTAGTACACATCAGTGCCCTGCTCAGTTACATGCGTACGTCATGTTCTATTTCCAAGGCACGCACCACCAAGTCCTACATGTGTCCCTCACGGTAGATGATAGACAGAGGTGTAAGCCATTGTGATATGCACTCATGCACATCATACTGAAACCTTGAGGACATCACCTTCCAGCTGTTATAGGTGAGCTCTGGGACGGTCCCCATTATCCTCTTCCAGCCACAGGACCATGCCATCTGGTCCTGTCGCAACTGGACCCCGTGTTTCAAAGGCGAAGCTTCAACCTGGCTCGGGCTTTTCTAGTCATCTACGGCGGTTAAGCAAGCAATCTGCGCGTTCACTAATGAGGAGCACATTTCTCTTTCTAATAAAAAAACCACTATCGTGGCATCGAATTTCCTTTTTTATTTAATCGTCACCAAATCCTAGTGGAAATTTTCAGTACCCTAAAGGTGACGCAGAATGTGTCCCACTTTCCACGAGATATCAAGCATGCCGTGTCAAAACCGCCAAGAGCACCAGTCATTGGAGGGAGCATTGGTAGGGGTGAGAGAATCGTTGCTCCCATTCAAAGATAGAAAGTATAGGCAGAAAAACAAAATCGTTGCTTCCATTCAAATGCACACAAATTACTAGAGATATTATTAAAGTATATTTATATTATGGTACTATCTAGAGAAGTTCAACTATCTTTTCCCTTCTTGAAGAATACAAGGTCAAGGTTGCTACATTAACGGTGGCTGTCAACACTCATAGACAAAAACTAATGGATAAAAAGATGACCCTACTAGTCATAGTCTCCATTCCTCTATTGTGAGACTGTTTTTATGTGTCATTATGCATGTTTGTGAATAATATTAGAGTAAAAAACATATTCTTTGTCGATTAAAAAGATTAATCATTTTAGGACAATCAAAGTTAACTAAGGGTGAAACGGTTATGTTATAGTTTTAGAGCCACATGAACAATTTTCTAAAACTCTACTTAGTAATTCCATCTATCGTGTCCATTACGAGTATTTCATTGATATCTTTATTTTGATAATGTACTACTGTGATTAATGTCTTTGTTGATATGGTCGTTGAAGCAGAAGAAAGTTCCTGCAGAAATCTCGCCATTTTCTATGAGCCGTGCGGACTGAAACAACGGCCTCGGGAACCTTCCACCACCATTTAAATAATATATTATGGTGTGACTTTTCCAGTGAGTAGCTTCATTACGACGTAATCAGTAAATGTTGGCAACCTACTGAACACAGCAGCCATTTTGTACAGGTATGATCAGGACAGATTAGTACAATATATCACTAGTTATTCAAGGGTATCAGGGTAAATAATGCTACATTATGCATTATCCATGGAAGGTTTTGATGAAGACTGGAACTCATTAGTACAGATACGTCAATCATTGGAGAAAGCCAATGAACTGGGATGCGGGGTGACGCTGAACCAGGGAGAAGCTTCATTTGTAGCGTGCAGTCTAGCGACGGGAGGCCCAGACGATATGATCCTGCGGCAGGAAGTGACAAACTGAACCGTGCCGGGCTTCACCTGGAGAAGCTGGAAGGCCAGGTGCTTGGGGTTCCAGTTGGACGTGTCGGTGTGGCACACTACCACGGCATTCACCTTGGCTCCATCCCGCCCTACGAGGGATACGACGTAGGCCTTGGTAGCGCGGGTGACATGGCAGTGGAAGACCGCATAGGCGTACCACTGCGCGTGGCAGGCCACAACCTTTCTCCCCAGTAGCTTCTCGATGCCGGTGGACTCTATAACGTATTCTTGCTTTGGAGTACCGTCCTTGCTGAGTTCCGTGGAGACTGCCAGGACGTCTCGTGTACCGAGGCTGGCGGTGGCGAAGTCGACCATGGATTCCAGAGAGGTGGCGCAGTACCTGGTTTCCCCAGCCACGGCCGACTCCTTGCACGCTTGCAGAGTTGTCTTCAATCCCACCGCTACCTCAGAGTTGGGTCCGACAGAGAGGAGGCTCAGTATGTCGGCGAGCTTCTCGGTGGAGAAGGGGATGGAGCTGGCCACAGCTCGGTGAAGGAAAACGGCGTTGGACTGGGCCCTGGTGAAGTGCAGATTCATCTTGGCCCCTGGGTGCAGGTCCTTCTCCTGGAAGAAGAAGGCGACGTCGCGGTTGGCGTGGATCTGCGTGTTAGTGGCTGCATATTCGTAGAGGAAGGGGTTCACGTCGACAATGACTGGGAGCTTTGGGGATCCTCCAACAAACACTCCGATGTCATTGCTGCCAACCTCCACAGTGGGTCCACCCGTCGTGGTCACTCTCTTGTCTGGAAAGCACTAAAAAATAAAAGTTGCTCCTTGGACTCGACGACAGTCGAGTTCAAATGCAACCGCGATCAGAACAGAAGCAGACCTGTTCGCAGAAGCTGGCGTATTGCACCAGGCACTGGCGTGTCGGGCAGCATGGTTCTCCAGTAATCTTGAAGACGTAAATCTGCGCCCGAACCCACCACTACGGCGAGCTGCACAGTGATTGCGCACACAAAAATATAATTAGCGCTTACCCACTTAGTGCGAACCAGAGAACTACTCACCAAGAGGAAAAGAACGCCGGAAATGGAGTAAGTCATGGCGAGTTGCGATAGCAGGGGGAGGAACAAGAGAGCAGCAGTTACAGAAGTGGAGCGCGACCTGTGGGAGCTGCTCCGTTGTCATATTTATACGACAGTTGTATTAAGTACACGGGCCATCACAGGGACGAGGTGGCCCTCGGCCGCCAGCTCGACAATAATTCATTTTTTGGCACCTACTCTCCCCCCTACGCCACTTATTGCTACGATTTTATTCTCTGCAATATAAGATAATCCGTAGTTGTGCACATCCCCTCGTTACACTCATGCGCATCCCCCCCCCCCACCCGTTCTATGGAGTTTCAAGAGTGAACCATCCTTCCGAGTTCCGTCCATCAATGAATGGTGGGCTGGATTCTCCGTATCTCTCTGATCTTTCCCGTCGTCCAGCTAATCGTGAAGCTGGCTGGATGGGATTAATGTTATTGTCCATTCGGCAATCCCTGTGGTGGTTACCGTGAGAACAGGGATATGCTGTGTACATGGGTTTGCCTTACGACTGGTGGACAAGATTGGTTGACACGTGACGGTTGCTTTCATCCCTTAATATTTCAGTCTAGATGTTGACGCGCAATAATTTGCATGAGGTCATTTTAATGATCGTGGGCAAGACAGGAAATTACTACACAATTTAAATAGGCAACAAAAGTATGTAGAATATTCGAATAAAGGCTTTGCCGGAAGAACACGTTGACGCTCGGGAAGGGGGAGGGAGGAGAGAAAGACGGGCGGGATAGATCATGAACATGGATATGGAGCTAAAATACAGTTCTGTCAACAATGATGGCCTTCATCTTGCCGTAACTTTGGTACACGGTTTGGACCATTTCGAAGATCCCTGCTGCAGCATCGAACAATAGGATCTTAATGAATAATGTTTACAGTCGGGTTTTGAAAAATCTAAGGCTAGGTGCAAAGATTTTACGTTGTTTTACCGCTTCTGCTTATTATATCATGATCAAAGCCATCAAAATGGCCTTGATTTCTCAACTAAAATTTGGTAGAGTTGGAATTTAAAAGATGAGTGCACGGTGCGTTGTTTCAATATGTTTCCAATATATGAACATTCCTATGAATGCCTGTCTGAAGAACAATTTAGTCATCTCCCACTATTTGAAGGAAGAATTTTTTTCCAGTTTCCTATTACTAATATCCTATTCTTTTATTGTCCCCGTATTTCTTTAGGTGCGGCCATGCGATATGTTTAAACTAGTCATCCGTACCGTGACATATGTAATCCTTTCCATCGTAAATACCGATAAACAAAATTTTGGAATTACTTTGTTCCACTGAAAAGGCCGTATACTAAAGAACCATGATGCAAGGCGCGCTGGCGCTTTATCCTTGTTCTGTTAAGTCTGTCGGCAGAGCAGTCAGGAGTTGTCAGCCATTAACTGTATTCCTTTTTTTCCTTTATTTTTTTCAGCTGAATAGGTCACTCATGGAAATGGATAAATTTATGGTGGTTGCCGTTATTCGTATAAAATAATCCCATAAGAAAATAATGTCAACAGCTCCAAACGTCCTTCAATTCAGATTGGTTTAGAATATGCTTCCTTATTTTAACCTTTTTTATTACGGATTCCTTGTTTTTGTCTTCATTGAGTATTAGCCAGGCTAGTAACTTTTACAAGAATCTACTTCTCTTCTAAAAAATATATCAAAAAAAAAAAAAGAATCTACCATCGTTTTTGTCATCAAAAGCATCCTACATCACGTTGCAACTGAGAGCTAAAGGTTTTTGGAACTTGTAGATTATGAGTGAAAATTCAATGCATCAACTTACATTAATCTTAAAGAAGTAAGAATGATTGTCAGGACGAGTATAAATAGAAGAGTTTGTCAGTTTTGAATGGGTATCATCGAAATTAATTGTCCTTGAAGGGTGAAATTCAGAGTACTAAAGTAGGATTTTTCTTTTCCTTATCCCATGTTGTTACCCAAACACTATCACGTAGCACTAACAGGTCTTGCACTCAGCCTTGTTCAACCCAAAACTGAAAATTAAGATCTTGCCATCGAGAAAATTAGACTGTCTTAAGACTATAATAAGGTTCAGCTAGTAAGCTCAGAATCCGTTTTCCTGACCATGAGGCTTTCCACTGCTCTCTCTCTCTCTCTCTCTCTCTCTCTCTCTCTCTCTCTCTCTCTCTCTCTCTCTCTCTCTTCATCACATGGTATCAAAGCCCTAATCGTCAAGGGGAGTCATGTGGATCATCATTGTGGTTGCCACTGCCACTTTGCCACTCTCTTTGTCAAGGTCCCTGTCAAGATAGTAAGCCTCATTGTGGAAGAAGGTTCTTACTTGCATCAACATCTTTTTATCCATTAGGTTAGAGTATGTCATCCTTTGTATCTCTTTTTTGAATATCTTCCACAATTGGAGTCTTCATCCCTCATTGCACGTATGCCATCATCCATCTCATATGGCATTGACTATCACCATCATCACCATACTGACATTGTCACTATCACATTGTGGATTCGACATGTCCTTCTTGTTGTGTGACATCTAGTCCATGCATGATCAACTATTAACACACTTAATAGTCATTGTGGTCAACACAATCAACAATCAATAGCCAACTATCAAGAGTCAATGAGATCAACACCAATGATCAAGTCAACCTATTGTATAGGTGACATAATTAGATATATATCAATTCAACAGCCAGTCATAACAATGCAGAGTCATATTATTACTAGCCATAGATAAAATGAGAAGGACAGTCAATAGAGTAAATCTTCAAGATTTACTTCAAAGGACAAGGAAAAATTAATAAGTTTATAGATGATGCACCATTTGACATTGTCACCAGGGAATTAGGGGAATAGTAAGATACAAACCTTCTCAATTTATTGTGAAATTAAATAGAGCCCAATATTATTGATCTTGTGAGTCATCTCAATACTTGGAAAGTAGTATGGGATTATCTAATATTAATATACTATAATAACATATCATGGATGTAAGACATGATCTTTGAATATTATGAATTGAAGGAGAGAAAAGTCTAAGTTACTCCTTTGGGGAGGTGACACGACTCAGTGATGATCTACATGCTTTACTTTCAATCTCTAATTATGTTTAGACAATGCAAAAATAGCATAATCAGATAGTTATCAAATTTATTAGTAATCTACATGTTGAATATAATTGACTTCCTAGTCAAATTTTATTGAAATTCAGTTGCTTTCTAATTTTAGACTTATCAATGTGTCTCTCATGCTTTTTTGGATCAACAAAGTACATTGTCTGCCTTGACACATGTGGAGACCATTGCTTTAATATCTATCCAATCTATGATATCATTTTCTCAAGGTCACGGTGGTCAGTTTGACAAGGGGAGAAGGGGAGGCAGAACTACTAGCCATGTTTAGATACTCTAGTGTATTCACTATGAGAAGAAGGGCCATACTAGATATAGGTGTTATGATCTTCATAGTTACGCTACTATGACAACCTATCTCACTACTTCAAATGAAGGGGGAGATAATCAAGCCCACTATATGACCTTATCAAACATGAAATATGTCTAGATCCTTTAGCATCATGCTTCCAAGCAAGCATCATCAGCAACTGCATTTCTAGCTTAGATTGGGAAACTCACTCAAGAAGTGCCATTAATCATATAACAGAACTTTATAGTAAGTTTATATTATATTTTTGTCAGTCTAAAATTTCTAGTGTCACCCTAGATAATAAATGTACAATATCTATCTTAAGATAAGAACAATGTTCCCATCACCTAAGTTATATCTTCAGTGAGTCCTTTACATGCCTAAAGTTCTCTTTAATATTGTTTCCATTAGTAAATTTGTTTGTTCCCTTCATGTTGCCATAACCTTTGTTCCTCATTCTTGTCTTATATAAGACTTGAAGACATGAAAGATGATTGATGAAGGATATGAACATAAACTATTATCTGGTGAAGCCATGACTCATGCATTAATATTTTTAGATCAAATTTGAGAATTAGTAACTTGAGTTTCCCAAAAGACACATAACCCAAAAAGATTGTGAATATGAAAAGGTAAAATATCCCAAATTCTGAAAAAACAACAAAATGCTGCAGTTCCATCTTTAAGTAATACCTAACTCATCACATAATCATCTATCAATCATCTTGTCCTTATGCCTCCCAACAAAATATAGTTGTGGAAAGAAAATGAAGATACATCATTTAAATTGTCCATGTCCTTATGCACATGCATGCTGTCATGAAATTATGGAAAATGTTGTTCTTACTTTCATTTACCTAATTAATTGAAAATCTTCTATCCTAAAAAACAAAATTTATTACCATGTCCTTCATCATGGAAAATCTATTATACAATATTACACCAAAAAATATTTGGGTATATCTAATTTTTCCACAACTTAGAAGAGGTTGAGGATAAGCTTGGCCCCAAATCTATAAAGTTTTTATTTTTTATGATACTCCCATGCTTAAAAATTGTATGTGTTGATGTACATCACTTCATTGACATATTATCTTTTTTTTTGTCACCCTTTTTGAGAATACACCCTTCTTTAGTGAACACCAAATGATTAAGTCTTTATAAGAGTGAATACCTCAACATATTTTTTAATGAGTCAATTTCTAAAAATAATTCTTTTTAGGTGATATACAGCCAATTGTTGAGCTTATTGTTGAGCTAGTTTTTTTGTCTAGTGAAAGTCACCATCCCACCATTCTGGTGCACACATGGCAGAAAAGTCTTCAGATTCTCTTAGCACTTACCAAAGTGTTTCATCTATAGTCAATCTATTCTTATGTTTGACAGTCTTGTTGCAAGAATGGGTAAGTTAGATACAAAACCAACTAGCGCTGACATAAATCTTAATATAAAGTTATCTCCTGATGAGGAACATATGTTAGAAGATTTAGAGAGATATAAACATATAGTTAAAAAATTGAACTACTAGACCATTATTCAATAGTAGTATTAGACTCTCGGCCCACTAGGGCCCATTATCTATCTCTCTCTTCTCATCTTTTTTTCTTCTTCTTTTCTACATAACCTCATATACTCCTTGTCTTCCTTATGGATTATGGATTCTCAAGTTTTTCTCTCCTATGTCAACAATCATCATTCATTCAAACATTTTTTTGCTGCTTATTTGGCGAGTTAATGTATGGAATGGTTAAATAATGAATACTTGGGTGTTATTGTGAAGATATTGAGATATTTAAAAGAAAATTCAAAAATAGATTATTACACAATAACAATGATTATCTCACAATTTAATAGTCTTCAGATGCTAAATGGGTTTGTTCTAATATAAATAGATGGTCTAGAATTGTTATTGTATATTTCTTGATAGCAACATTATTTCTTAGAAAATTAAGCAAATTATGATTTCAAGATCATGTTAGATCATAATACAATGCAATGTCATATACTCCATGCAAACTTATAGAACTCAAATGTGACGACCAAGTTGTGATTGATATCACTTCTAATCTAATATTTCATGAGAGAACAAAGCATATTGAAGCTTGATTATTAACTTATTAGAAAAAAGCTTTAGACACAACTCATCACTAAGGGATTAAGTGGTCACACTGTGAAATTTTATAAAAAAAGTTGAGCATATGATATACATACTCTAACTTAAGTGGGAGTGTTGAGAAAGGACAGCAAATTTAGTAGCTCATCTTGACCCAATTAAGGGCTTATCTTTGAATTACCCACTTTAGGTTTAAGGCTACTTAACCTAAAGGGGAGAGTTGCCATCATTGAATCATCTCTCTCTCTCTCTCTCTCTCTCTCTCTCTCTCTCATCTATCTTCCAACCATCGCAAACGTGTAGAAATTTGTACTTCTTCAGTTACGACAACAAGATTCTCAATTCCAAGCCCCCTTGTTAGTTTCATTTGATGTGGCCATGGAGAGGGCCCCCCGGTGATAGCTTATAGGCTCGGTCCTTGAGACTGGATCCACTTTGATAGTCAAACAGGCCGATCCAAGTAGACTTGTCTCCACTCATTTCATTTATCGCATGGTTGTGATGGGCAATCAAAGATGTTCTCATCCCCAATAAATCTAAGAAATTTTTCAATTAATGCATATTTGAAAGTATAAAATATACAACCAAAGAAAGAAAAGACTTAGCTACTTGCAGTTCATAGCTGCATTATTACGGCCATCTCAAATTTGATATAATACTCGAATAGATAACAGAGTAACCGATGACGAGATATTTCTTTATCACATGGCTAGAATGATCATATGCACATCGTATAGAAGGAAATTCATGGCATGAACCACGGGAGAGGAGAAGCGGTTGATGAGATGTCCCAGCTGAGGGAGGAATCTTGGCTTCCAAGTGGCTGCAAGATCGATCTGGGGAGATCATAGGGATCGTCTGCAAGTCGGAGCAGATGCCTCGAGAATGATTTCTTCCGTTCCCCGTCAACTATCTTCCATGGTGATTCTCTGCCGGTGGTTTGCCAGGAACCGGAGAGCCAATTCGTAGGCGGAGAAGATTGCACCGTTGACGACGAAGGCCCGGGTGACGGCCGTCCCCAGCCCCCTCCAGAGGACGCGATAGCCCTCCTCGCGGACGCTCTTGCGGAAGCAATCGGCAATGCCGCGGTACTTTGGCGGAGGGAAGTCCTTCTGGGACTGCGACTGCGCCTGGAGCCTTGACTTGATCACGTCCAGCGGGTAGCAACAAATCCAACTAGCGACCCCCGCCGTCCCGCCGGCGAAGAGCATGGTTCCCAAGGTCTCCTCGCCGGTGTTCCGACAGCTCGGGTGGAGAATCTCCCGGGTGTACTCGTAGGTCCAGAAATAGACTCCGTGGGCGGGAGCATCTCGGAGGACGGTGATAGACAGGCCCTGATAGATTCCCCTGATCCCTCCCTTTCTCAGGATGCTCCCAGCCATGCTCATCGGGCCACGGTGGACGGCGCGGTGGTTCTGGCTCACCGTCATCTGCAATTGGAGACGGATCTTGATGAGCTCGACGGGGCTCAGCAGGAGGCTCTGCAGGGCGCCGGTGCCTACTCCGGCGAGAGCCACACTCTTCAGTGAAGGAGGATCGTTTGTTCTATTACTTCTGGAGTCGAAGGCTCTGGACAGGATAGCATATACTTGGAATACCACAGCATTCTGCACAAACCCACTTCACATCACTCTTCTGTTCAGCAATCTTGGATTTTGTTGACGATCAAATAGATTGTTCAAAGATTCAAGAAAGACTAGGCATTTGATATCTTTTTGGTTGAACCTTTAAGAAGTACATGCCGTTTATGGAGATCATTTGTCATTACTTATCTTATAATCGACACTGTTAAGGTTCTTACCGAACAATTCTACATATTTTAGTGAGAAATCAAGAACAGACGATTAATTTGCTTCACAAAGTACCCCATTCGCGGAGCATATTTATTTATCATCCCGATGCCGGTGATTCAGGCACTATATAACGAAGAGGTTCGATAAATATTCCACCAACAAAACTTCTGAAGAAATCGCCAACCCCCAAGATCAAAACGGCTTTCTGAAGGATTTTTACCGATGAACAGAGGAATCTTGACCGAAAATTTTAAGAGTACGGAAAAATAGGAAAACGAATTGCTCTGGAAAGAGACCTGGAAAGCGACGGAGGCGAGGGGAGCCGTCATGCCCCTGTACAGCGCAGAAGGCCCCTCGGAGGCCACGATGTTGCGGAGAAGCCGGGTCGCCGAGACCTTCCCGCCGTCACCTCCAGCGTGTGGTTGCTGGAGGCGGATTCTAAGCGTGTCCAGCGGGTGGCCGGAGATGACGCCGGCCATGCCCCCGAGCCCTCCCGCGACGAACTCCCTGCCCCAGCTGCTCGCGAGGAACTCTGGCCAGAACTCCATCCCTGCCCGCTCCCATTCCTCGGCCAACCCACCTCACCACGCCGCTCTCATAAATGCGCCGACGCGGAGTAGCCCTTCAAGAATTCAAGTTCTTTAAAGGCTTCCTGCTTTCAGCTCGCGGGATCCTCCCCGCTTCCCCGGGCTCTTCAAATCCTCAACTGCGGAGTCCGGTTACTAATCTTCTTCCGCCCCTGTAAAAGCACGGTATTGGAGACGCAGCTGCGCTTTCTATGGCGGAGGAGGGCCAGGCAGAGGCGACGGTGGGGAGACGAGGAGCAGGGGATGACGAGGAACCGAGAATCCCTCAAACCGCCCCTTGCCCACCGCCGCCCAGTTTCGACCGCAGTCTTCTCCACGTGGGAAGGAAACGTCCAAGCTCTCCTTTTCGACCGCAGTCTGGATCTCTCCCGTAGCTCTGCAGGGCCGCACGTTGGGCCGTCGTAGGCAGTGACTGCCCCCGCCCGCGAGTGCCGGGCTCAGGCCCGAACACGCCGATTGGCGCGGGCGGAGGCGCCCGCCGGTGGGCTCCCGTGCGCTCGCGCCACCAGCCGCACCGCCGTGTTGCATTAGGATACGGAACGGAGGAAGCTCGGCGGGAGATGTCCTGGACGTTCGTTCCTCTGCAAGCTAGCGATGGGATCGCCGAGATGCCGTCTGAAAACAGCTCAGCGGTCCGGATAGGAACAAAACCGGTGGACGTCACCCCAGTCCTCAACGGCGCAGAGCGGCGGGGTGGTTGCGCGGCCGTGCGGTGACAGCGTAGCCGACGCCCCCGGAGATGCCCGCCGAGACGTGGGGTTGCCCGAAGCTCCCCCTGTCATTAAATAGTGGGTATTTCTCCCGTAGCCTGCGCAGGCGCTGAATCCCGCTAAGGATTTCCTTCGGTTGCTTCACCGAGCACGAGCTGTGCTGTATTGGAGTGAACGGATTGCCCAAGACCAGATTTCTTTTTCCTACTCTAAAACTCGCACGTATTTTTCAGATGAAATAATAATTATAGTTAATTCAAAATTTGGGTGTCGACGAATAGGATCGCTTCAAAAGGATGCCGAGAGAAAATAGGAATAAAATTAGATTTTTTATCAAAAATATCACAGGAAAACGGAATAAAGCAGAGATGGCTCTCTGCGGTTAGAACTCACTATGGGACAGCGATCACAGAGTCATCTCACGTCACCCCGTCCATATATTCTCTTCGGCTTCCGCCATCAGCAAGCAACGCAGGCGCAAGCTTGGCGAAAGCCGTTATTTTGTTTGAGGGTTGACTTCTTACCCAGGCATGGTGGTCAAACTGTCACATTAATCTGCACCCCGTAATGTGGGAAGTCAACTCTCGTCCTTGTCCCACTGCAGATATGCGACTCGAGGAAAGTTTGGTCAGAGTCCGTGGACCTCGCATTGGCATCGACCATTGGGAACAGAACAGTCATGTGCTTCGTATATCATTCGATCTTGATAAAGATAGGATTGGTTGACTTTCTTGAACCGTGATAAGATGTTATTTATATTTTCCAATATTATGTACTATAAAATTAAATATTAATCATATTCAAATTTATTAGTGAAGACAAAAGAGAAAAATATTAAGTGATGGGTAGTCTCGATCAGAAATTCTTCCTCAGAGCAGATTGGGGATGTCACGCTTCATTCGGCTGGAGCTGTCCTTGCGGTGGCCATGTGAGTCACGAGGTGAGGCGGGTGTCGCGGCAATGGAAGAAAAGGTAGGGCCCTCGTCCTAGAGACGCTATCCCAGATATGGAGAATTCTAATGGGCCTGGGTATGGGCCGACGGGGTTGCAATTTGTGGGCCAGACATTATCGAAGTTGGAAATTATCTTTACCTCAAAAATAGAAAACTTGAAAACGTTTCTGAATTTACGAATCACCCCCGAACTCCGACCCTCTCTCTCTCCCTCTCTCTCCCTCTCTCTCTCTCTCTCTCTCTCTCTCTCTCTCTCTCTCTCTCTGCGGTTCCCGCTCCGTTCTGTAGAAAGGAGAAAACCCTAAACCCTCCGCGCGCTCTCTTCCTCTCTGTTCTCCAGATGGACGGGGGCCGGAAATTGTGGTAGAGGGTTCACCTGGATACCGAAGTGGACCGTCGACGCGTGTCCGGAGGAGACAATGGCCCAGACAAGCCTACGCTTGTTCTTGAGCAGAAGCTGCATCGCCTCCCTGGGAAACGCAGAAGGCGCGAAGGCGCTGCTCGCGTCGAAGGGTGGGGGTGCCCTCTTGCCATCTTCTCGCGATAATCTTTGGGGATATCTGTTGTCTAGATCATCACACAATGCCTCCATAATCAGAGCCATGCGGTGGGCAGAAGACGGACCAGGGTTTTGTAGATTACAATCTCCGGTGAGGTTATTTGGGACGGCGAGCGCTGACTACGTACTTGCCGTGGACGACGTTTCAATGGAAAATTCATCTCGTACCAGTTCGACGCTTCATTCGGCTGAAAACTCCGTAAAGATTTCAAGGGTAGTGAAGCCTAGAAGTAAAGGCAACCGGAAGAAATCTGCGGTGGATTTTACCAAAGTCGATGCGAAACTTCTTCCTACAGTTATGATCGTGGGGCGTCCAAATGTCGGGAAATCGGCACTCTTCAATCGGTGAGTCCTTTGAAGCTGCTGCTGCTGCCGTGGGAATTGAAGTCCTCTCTTTCTAATTTTGGTTTACTGATAGTTTGATACGGAGGAGGGAAGCTCTGGTATACAACACTCCCGATGACCACGTCACCAGGGATATAAGGGAAGGCATTGCAAAGCTCGGAGATTTGAGGTTCAGGGTTCTGGACTCTGCTGGCCTGGAGACAGCGGCATCCTCTGGGAGCATTCTCGATCGGACCGCGGACCTGACTGGTTCCGTGCTTGCGAGGACTCAATTTGCGATTTTCCTGATAGATGTGAGGTAAGCCCCTTGATTTGTTCGTTGGTTCGAAGAACTGCAGTGAATACGCTCATCCGGCCTGAGCTTTGAGCCGTCTTGGTTAGAGCTGGCCTACAGCCTCTTGACGTGGAGGTTGGAAACTGGCTGCGGAAGAATGCTTCTGGGGTCCGGACAATCTTGGCGATGAACAAGTCCGAGTCACTGGACGACGGAGGCGGGCTTCTCATTGCTGAGGCTGCTGAAGCCCACGTTTTGGGTTTTGGTGATCCAATTGCGATATCAGCGGAAACTGGGTTGGGGATGGCTGAGCTCTATGAAACTCTATGTCCTTTGCTTGAGGATTACATGCTTCAGCAAATGAACGGTATGTTAACTGTGTCTCAGACGTTGGCCCAGGTTAATTCTTATAATCAGTCAATAGCTTGGGGATGCTGGACGTCCGATACACCATCTTGTGCCTTTTTTCTTTGCACTTCATTGAAATATCATTCTCATGATCGCAATGATTATTTGCTTCGATTGAAGCACGGGTGCCAAAGTTCCATCTCTGTGCGAAAACAACTCTTTTTTGCAATAATTCCTCTCTAGGGCAGCATATATCCTGACAGATCCTTGAGCTCCCCGTTTTACAAGTTCTGACGAACTCATCTGTCCTCGCTTCACCTTTTTGATTTTTTACTCCAACGGTATGATCCCTGCCTGAGACAACATTTTGTGCGCTATGAATTTAAGGGTGCTCTATTTTCACCACCCATGTTCTTTATCCAATGTCACAAACTCCGTATCTTCCAAGAAAAATTCACTTTAAGTTAAAAAAAAAAACAATTGGCATGTAAAATTTTTATTTTGATAGTTCGATTTAGTTGTTCTGGTTCCTAGTATCTCAACCATTACTCCAAACCCCCAATCTCGTTTTAGGCTGAGAAGAAGGCTTAGTTGATCCTTCTTCTCAACAGGCGAATTCTATAAAGGTTGTGCATTGATTGAATGTACTCTTCATCTCATAGAAAACGCAATTTTTTTCTTGAGAGATTTTATGACGCAGGAAGTACATCTATGTTTTGCCTTAAAGTTTCTCATAAAGCCTTTCCATTTTAACTTTTATACACACCTAAACTATTGCCATTCTTTATCTAATACTTCCAGATCAGACGATTGAAGAGGAAAAAGCCGTAGAGACTGAGGAGAATAAGTTGCCTCTACAGCTGGCCATCGTAGGGCGTCCCAATGTCGGGAAGTCTACACTCCTAAATACACTCTTGCGAGAGAAAAGAGTTCTTGTTGGACCTGAGGCTGGCCTAACGAGAGATTCAGTTAGAGCTCAATTCAACTTTGAAGGGCGCACAATATATTTGGTAAATAAACTAGATTATCGCCTCTTTTGCTTTTTGCTGTTTTGTGATTAATAACATCAGATATCATTAGCATCGAGAAAAGTAACGTGTTTATCTTTTCTTGCACATTCTGGCACGGTCGCATTTATTAATTTTTATTATTTAAGCTGTGCTTGACCATGGAATATATGCTGTTTATTGTTGTCCATGTGGAGCTATATTGAATTTTTAATTTCTCTTGAGCAAGGGTTTATCTCTAGTGCATTACTTGCCAGAAAACCTTTTTTTTTGCATTACTATTCGCTATTTTTCTGGTATAATTCTGAAGGTTAGTTGCTGTTTTGTGTCAGCTATTAGTCAAAAGATTTATTGGTTTCCTTTTCAAAGCCAATTAATTCCTCCCACGTTGTTTCCAGATCTAGTATTGTCAAATGCACTCCTGTTATTGTTCCTGTGGCAATCATCAAAGGACCACCCATGCATCATCCAGTCTTCACCAGATCAAAGTGCAATGAGATATGAGAAGTAATGTAGAAAAACCTCACTATCTCACTCAGGTGGCCATTACCTTAATGTCTGCTCTTGATGAAAACGTCACTCGTGCTCCATTAGTTACATGCGCAGTTTTGTTTCCATTATTTTAACGTTTACTTCTCTGAAATTTTGTTATTCTTTGCGGGATGAATAGCTGAGATAATCATGTGTTTATCAACACTGGCATTGGGTACAATCCGTCTCTCCTTGTCATCGATTTTCTTTCAATTTAGCTGTCTTATCTTATAGTTGATTCCGTGAATCCAAGGAGATTGGTTTCCTCCGTTTGGAGTTGTTTTCAAATTTACCTTTTGTTTTTTATTCACTGTGATTTACGTGTTATGATACAGTTGCTCTATCCTTCAGGTTGACACTGCGGGATGGCTGCAAAGGTGTGGACAAGAGAAAGGACCAGCATCACTGAGTGTTATGCAGTCAAGGAAGAATCTTATGAGGGCTAATGTGGTTGCTTTAGTCCTTGACGCAGAAGAGGTATATTTCCTCTTTGTCTGCTTATTTTGTGTACTTATTGTCTTCCTTGCATCATCATCATTATTATTATTATTATTATTATTATTATTACATATGTAGAATTCCTAGCTTATGAATATCGACCAATTATAATTAAACCAATGGGCAGACACCGCGCTCTAATATTCAAGGGTGAAATTGGTTTCCTTTTAAGATGGCAACCAATGAAGAGAAATACCGATTTTGAGATCAATATTACAGTGAATAAGTAAAATTCATGTTGCAAAGCGAACTGCCTCCAGATCAAATAACGAAAGAGCAATTGCCGCTACAACCTCATTTGTCTGTCTAAGAGAAGACAACGTATTAGCAGAGGCCTCTTTTGTTTTTTTTGCCTGCACCAGAACTCATGAACATGAAGTGATCAGCTCCTTCCCGGCCTGTCCATGACGCTATCGTAGCCAACCCTGGAGTCGGGCACTGTATAGAAGTCTAGCACTGTGGAGTCTAGATTTGGAAAGTCACTGCTGCTTTTGTAGACAAATATGGAGCAGTGTGAGAAATTCTTAGTTTCATGCTGTCTCATCTACTGATGGATGTTTAGGGCGAGGATATCACTTGAAGTAAATCCAATGCAATAACACGCTTGGCTGTTGCTGCGTTTTTTTGACCAAAGCTATAACTCAGTTGCTCCAACCTGGAGGACTGCAGTGCTATGAAGATTTCTAGTCTATATTATAGGCTGTTGTGAAATAATATAAAACTTTATGACAATTCTCTCTGCCTGACTATGTTAGACATTATACTATCGATTTCATTTTTCTGATGCATGAGCATTTGTCTAGGTTAACATGATTTCTTTAAAATGTCAATGAGCCTAAATGTCTAATGAAGCTACCGTTAATGAGATTCAAAGCATTACTGGTGATGAAATGGAAGTAAATTATTTTTAACATTTTTGTAAGATAAGAAACTGACGACAGATGCATTTTTTCAGCGATTTTGTTTTTCAGGTTTTAATGGCAGTATCATTGTTCTTTGAATTATGAAGAAAATCTGCATCAATGATAGTTTTTTTATCATCTTCTCATCGTATGTGCTCAAAGGACTGATAGATACCTTTTGGGTTTTCAGATTGCGAACAAGAGATGCAGTATGAAGCACGCTGAAGTGGCCATAGCCCGACAAGCAGTAGAGGAAGGTCGTGGCCTGGTTGTGATCGTGAACAAGATGGATCTTCTCAGAGGAAAACAGAACATGGTGCTGCATGACAGAGTTATCGACGCTGTTCCTAAAGAGATCCGAGCAGTCATCCCCCAGGTTTGTGTGACATCCATCGGTTGAATATGACTCCAGGATTTTCGGAAGCTTTTTATTAGTTTGTTAGTGATTGCCCTTTTTTAATACAGATGGAAGCCGTCTGATTTTTACTATAAATATAAATTTCAAGCAATTTTATGTAATCTAGTTCCAATATTTTTTCTGCAGGTTACCGGAGTACCTGTTGTATTTGTTTCAGCGTTGGAGGGAGAGGGAAGAATTCCTCTACTGGACCAGATCGTAGATACATACGAAAAGTGGTGCTTGAGGTTGCCCACAGCACGCCTGAATCGTTGGCTTCGGAAGGTACCCTTCGTTGGCATCAAGTTTTGTTCCTGAATTGCTGCTGAAATCATATCAGTTCTATGGAATTGTGCTCGATAATTTATTTTATTTTCCTTTAATCTGCAGGTGATGAGCCGACACTCGTGGAAAGACCAGGCGACGAAGCCCAAGATCAAGTACTTCACCCAGGTGAAGGCCCGCCCGCCGACGTTCGTCGCGTTCAAGAATGGGGATACGCAGCTCTCCGACTCTTACGTCAGGTTCCTGACCAAGTCCCTGGTGGAAGATTTCAACCTCGGGGGGATTCCCATCCGCCTGATGCAGCGGACGGTTCCTACCAGGTCGGGAGGAGGGAGTAGCAAGCCCTCCAAGGGCCTGTCCCCAAGGGCGCCCGCTAGGGTTTTTTCGGACAAGCGGTCTGTAATCTGAGGGCAGGCCGTCTTCTTCGGCTAATGATCGAAAGCAGACTTCCCACCTCCTCTCAAATCCTGTTCTAACCTACCGCTATGTATATATCCCAGGTTTTGGATATATTATTCATCTGAAACACTGTAAGATCTGTTCATCTCCACTGTAATATGACTGGTTTATCTCTCTCTCTCTCTCTCTCTCGCCTCTCCAGTGGGGTAAGCGGATGGAACGGCGGCGATGACGTCGACAGAGGACGTTGGAGCGAAGATCTTTTAAGAGGTGCATCTACGATTTCCTGGGGAGAGTAAGGCGGGGAGAGGAGAGGAGCCGTCTCTCTAAGGCGTAACAAGAACGTACAGGTAGGGTCGTCGCAAAAGACGGAAGGGACCGATGGCGGCCTCCCCCCGGTCGTCTTCCTCCGCGGAGATGGAGCCGCTAGGGTTTGGCGGCCTCCCGTTCTGGGACGGCACCGGCCAGCTGATGCAGTCGCTGACGGCCAATCTGCTCTCCACCTTCCAATACCCTCTCAATTGTAAGCGCCAACGCGGCGGCGCCGCCGGCGGCAGAGGCGGTGCTCGGTTCGAGTTCGGCCCTCCACCGCCGTCGACGGCGGAGCCCTTGCAGAGCTCCACGGGCGCGCGCTCGAGCGGCGCCGCACCCATCGTCTTCCCCTTTTGCTCCCCCATCTCCAGTGAGAACCAGCGCCAGGATGTCTCAGCGTCGTCGACCATCAGGAGCTTGTCGACCAGCGTGCGGGTGGATGGCCTCGGCTCTGGCTCCAAGGGCGGCGGCCCCGCCTTCGTGGGGCAAGTCTTCAGCATGTGCGATCCTTCGGGCACTGGTCTCATGGCCGTCACCACCCACTTCGAGATCCCCTTCCTATCCAAGAGGTATTTTCCCTGCCATCTCCCCCATTTTGCTCTGCTCTTCCAATGCTCAACATCTCACATGGCAGTAGCTCAATTTTTGGTTAAAGCCATAGGTTACTGTTCTCTCTTCGGGATTATTCCCACGGCTCTCCATCGCCATGGTTCTGAGCTCCAACCCTCAGAGTGATGGTTATCTATCTTCACATATTTTCTTGGATCTTAGAGAGAGAGAGAGAGCGAGAGAGAATTTAGTTCAGGATGTGGAAGACCTAACTGTGGGGGCAGAGCCAGAAAGCAGAGGATTCATTGGAGTATACTCATGGAGGTCCAGATACTCCTACAGTTAGGTAGAAAAGCCATTTTTGCCCATCCCTGTGCAAGATCGATGCTACTGCGTCCTTCTACCGTAGAACATCCTGCAGGAAAGCTTGTGGCGTGGGTATGGATGACGGGATCCTAGATAGAGGATGTGGAGCTTCGGTGCCATGTTCTGCTCTTGGAGAACCCAGATGATCAGTGGGGGGGTGGAGGGACTTTGTTCTTCCGTGTTTTTATCATTGATTCTCATGCCCACAGCATCGGACTCCTCCTGTAGAGACCATGAATGAGCTTGCATTTGGCACTGGTTGCTCCACCGCCTTCCTGGCACGTATCCGCTCTCTTCATCCTCTGGGATTTGCTGGTTCTAACCTCGTCGTCTTCCTCGCAGAACCCCCGAGTGGATCAAAAATATGCTTGGGGGCTTCAAGCCAAAGGATAAGAATGGCCCCGTTTTCCGCTTCTTCATGGACCTTGGCGATGCAGGTCAACACAGCTCCTTCCACTTTTAGTAATTCAACGCGGGTACCCTGCATTTTTCTTCTTCTTCTTCTTCCAATCTCTGCGAGCTGATCTGAAACCATGGCGTCCTCTCGAGTTTCCAGTGTCTTATGTCAAGAGGCTGAACATCCCTACCGGCATGGTCGGGGCTTGCCGCCTCGATGTGGCATATGAACACTTCAAGGTACGCCGCTCATCAGATTCTGAACACCTCAAAAGCTTATTATTTTGGTGCTTCGGGGATCCCTTCCAGCATCTGAACGACGGCGGTGCCGCCTGGTCCCCTCTGTGCCGTGGATTTTTTTTCCCGCAGGAGAAGCCTCACGCATTCCAGTTCGTTCCTAACGGCGAGCAGGTATCAATCATCGGACTTGGATGATTTCGGTTTTCGTTGTGATCATCGGCGTCTTCTCCCGCTCTGATCCGAGTGAGAAGTCTACATCAGGTGAAGGCGGCCAACAAGCTGCTCAAGAATGTTCCGCAGAGAGGTGGAAGGAGGAAGGTCGGCGGCGTTCCCGTGTTTACTGCCCAGAACCTGAACATCGCCATCGCTACGAACAATGGGATCAGATGGTAAGCGATCTGGCGGTACTGATTATTAGCATCCCCTCAAGGTTGAGGATCTCTTGACTGGTCTCCTCCTCCGGTGCCGGATCTTGTCGCGCGCAGGTACACGCCCTATTTCTTCGACAAAAAATTGCTGGACAGCATCCTCGAAGCTTCAGTCGATCAACACTTCCACGCGTTGATCCGGAGTCGGCAGACGCAGCGCAGGAGGGATGTTCTTGATGGCAGCGTGGGGGGAGAAGTTTTCGAAGACAACGGAGAGAGTCTTTTCGATCCTCCAGAGGTATTTGTCCGGCAAATCTCTGGATCAAATCTCCTCGCTGGTGCCGATCGAAATGCTCCTGGCCGTCAATGGAGCGCTCTTATCCTAGGGTTTTGCCCCAGGTGCAAGAACTGCTGGAGGAATTGGGGCACCCAGGGATACCATTGAGCGTGGTGTCAAAGGCCGCCGAAATCCAACTCCTCGACGCCGTTGACAAGGTGCTCCTCGGGAACAGGTGGTTGCGGAAAGCTACGGGAATACAGCCGAAGTTCCCCTACCTCGTCGATTCATTCGAGGAAAGGTCGGTGGATATCGCTCCTGTTCCGATTATTCCACAGACGATCGATCCCTTGTAATTGCTCGCATTCGAAGCTTCTCGCCGTTCACTAGGCGTGGTGTTGGTCGTCTCAGAACTGCAGCGTCGTTCCAGAAGGTGGCGGAATCGGCGAGCTCCGCCTCCGATCCTCAGTGCAGCGATAACAACGCGCCTGATCCGCTGATCCGTTCTCCAGAGTGTTCGACCGCCGAGTTCGCCGAATGCAGCCAGAGCAGTCCGAGAATAAGCAGCGGCTTCCGCTTCCCTCCTAGAAACTGGTTGTCGAATCCATGGTGGAGGCCGCCGGGAAAGGGAGACGCGCCAGAAAACCCTACGAGCTCGGAAAAGAGGTGGAAGATATCGAGATACCATCCTCCTTTCGCGATCTCTGAAAACTGCTCCATGAATGTACATCAATCATCTGCTGTTTCCTCTTACCAGACATCCAAATCCTCTTCTCCCGAAGATCACCATGGTGGGGATCTCAACCGGCGACGGGGGGAGGGTGAGCAAGGCGAGCTTGAAGAAGACGATGGAGGAGCTGACGCGGGAGCTGGAGCAGTCGAACCAGGGAGCTTCAAGGCTGGACGAATTGGACAAGGATCCCCTCTTCGTGGCCAACGTTGGGGACTACTCGACCATCACGAGGATGAGCTCTCGGTGACGTGTATCTCGGAAACGTGGGCTTTCTCGCACTGTCCCATTAAAACAAACTGGGCTTTTGTGTGGAGCGGATGTCTTAAATGGGCCGTCCCCCTCAGGTTTTCTGGGCCTGCTACTCCCTCCCTCCTTGAAAGAGGGTAGAGAGAGAGAGAGAGAGGGGGAGAGGCAATGGGTGGGTGTTCTTATTATTGCCCGATAGGTGCTTGACGAAAGGCCCAGAACAGCTGAGAGGGAATAGAGAGAGAGAGAGTTGCGGCGTTATGGAAGTTATTCTAGTCATTCCTCTCTCTGAGGGCCATGTTGGTTCCTTTGCTCACGGCATGACAGTCTGGCAGCGGCGGTCCTGGTTTCTGCACCTACGACGCTAACTCTTTCGAGTAGGGTTTGAGGATGTCTACTCCTCGGAAAACGGTTCCCGCCAGGACGAGGGTGGCGCGGCCCGGGCGAGAACCGCGAGGTGCTGCCGCATTGAACCTGCTGGCTCCCTCTCCCCTCCCTATTTAGTCAGTAATTCTATAAGATAGGGAGGAGATAGAGAGAGAGGAATGGGTCGCTGTTGGACAGTGGGCACAGCTCGAAGCCATCGATCATGCAGAGCTGGGTGGACTGTTCGAGTCACGAGAGCTTGAGCTGTTAGGGATAAACAAATAGAAACAGGCGAGTTGGAAAATCGAGGCATAAAATAAATAATACGCCAGCGGTTAAATGGGAGGAAAAATGGGGGGGAAGTGGGGGCCCAGCTCATTGTTTTGACTTTCCCCCTACCTCGATCCTCCGTGTAGCCAGCCCTCCACGGCATTCCATGTGCATATTTTGGTCAGCCGCTTGCCCTCACAAATGCGAAAGCGACCATTTGCCACGTTAACCGTCGCCCGCGAAACGCTGAATATTCTTCTGTGGATTTGATAATCATTCTCGGATGCAGGTTACCAGATCATCCTCCCCATTTGGGGTTATAGAGAGGGAGAGAGAGAGAGAGAGAAAGAGAGAGAGGTGGATCGAGGGGGGGGTCCTCCGTTGAATAAGATAGAGAATTTCTGAGAGAAGCGTTGTGATTTCTGCAAACGGAAAAGTTTTTGTAAGCTGGGGTCAGCGTATACGATCCGACAGGGCGGATATTGCACTGGTACGGCTTGCGGGCTGACGTGAGATCGACAGGGGACGAGTTGGCTTTAAACGAATCTCCATCTTCCTTTTCTCGAGCTCGAATCTTCTGAGGGCTCGGAAGTGCGAACCATTGGCTGCTAAAGCCTCGGTGGGGCTCCAAAGTCTCAGCAGGTCCCCGCCCACAAGCCCGCCGCGTCCCCACCATCGATCGCAGATCACGCCGTGGGACTTTCGGCTCGGCGGGCGCGCGCCACCGCCGGCGCCGGCCCCGCCTGTGAAGCAGCCCACACAATGCGATAGTCCACCGGCTGATCTACGTCAGCTTTGAGCCCCGGGATCTCTCACGATAATTCCAATGCCTTAATAGCCTCTACGGAAAACAGTGGCGCCATTTGAATAAAATACTGGGTAACCTCATCCCCTATGGATCCGTGCCGGGGCTGCAAGCGGCAGAAGCGGCGCGACTTGGTCCTCCCTCTTCCTGACCTCTCTTCCGCGCTGCAGGATCTCACGCGCGACCTCGCCGGGGCCTAGGAGCTCTAGCTAGCAGCTGCCTGAAGGGGACAGCCTGATAGAGATAGATAGAGAGAGAGGAAACCTCTCCGGCGGCCGCGGTGGCGGCTTGCGCGGTGTCTCCGTCACCTGTCCAAATTGCCTCCCGCACTGCCATTATATTAAAGGAATAATTATCTGAACCTGGCGATTCCTCCGTTCTGGTTGACGGAGCATGTTTGTGTGGAGGAGAGAGGCAGATGAGGGACGACTTTTTAGCGCACACCCGTCAGTTCATGCATCTTCTCTCCCCTTTGACCTCTATCATAGTCAAGCCGCCGATGTGGAGGCACCGCGGTCGATCGCGTGGGGTCCCCGCTCGGGTGGGCCTCGTCGATAGCGGCCCCACCACACCCAGAAAATATCTGCCTCCACAACCGAAGGACCGTAGGACAACCCCATTATCGGTTTGCTGCACGGCTATTATTCGGAATCCAAAATAATAACTTTTCTTTCATATTAATACGATTATTTGCGTTATTTTTTGTCATTAACTGAATAAAAAACTCAATTATTTGCTTCTGGGTTGCCAAGGTTCTTGGGACAAGGTCACATGCATCCCGATGGTGGTGGCGGCATCACGTACAAGAGCTCTCAAGCGACTAAACAACGTGGAATGCACATGGCGCATGTGATGTCATGTGTACATTTATGGTAACAAGGCAACATGTATGCTTATATAAACCATACGGGACCATTATATTACAAAAAATCGTGGCAAAGGACTTTGGGATTTCTCACTCTTAGACCCATAAGTATCCACGTCAATGCGCCAGCCGTTCGTAACCTATAGGGGTTGACTCTACATTACTATACGCATCTTTATGCACGTTGTTCGTGAAATAATACGTATTTTTTGGTTTATTAGATCGGGGGTTGTCCATCTATGAAAGCGGACTCGATTGTTGACCCACACACCGTGACGCAATTGAGCTCTTGATGAAGTTTGACCATGCTTATTGATTACTCGATGGTAAGGTTGCTGCATTGGGTGATTGTCCCTTTGAACTTTGACTTAGTCCCGCCCTTTTTAAGCTACAATGTAAATCAAAAGTCTGATTGATATGCCTGCCAGTGTAAATCATTTGGGGCCATCAGACTGCAACGTGTATCATTACCACAAACGGTGCAACATTTGGTGAGTGTCGTGTGGATTCACGTACGTGTCAGTCCATGCAACCATATTTCCATGTATGGTCGTAGAGTATGGTGGACATGAGTGACTTCCCCAATTAAGATTTTCCAAGCTAGGTTTCTTCAGGGTCAACATGAGCCGACCCAACTCTGTTGACTTGGCTCTTAACTAATGATGTAGGATGCGTACGGGTTCGTGATGAAGCTCGGCGATGTGGTGAGATGTGCTGATTGACCACCCATTTAGGTGGCTTCTTACCTCCTCTTCCCATAACCTTCCACAGAGGTGTAAGGCTACAATTAATATAAAATTAGACAGAATAGTGCTATTAATTCCTAGGGAGCGTGACCGGTTAACAAGTACCCTTTTATCGGGGGCGGGGCTGGATGGAAATAGAATAAGTTTTACAGGTCAATACATAAACAAACGGGGAAAAAGGTGAAGAGCCCTCGGTTCTGCGCTACATATCGACGGCTAACAGAACAGAAAAAGTCAGCGCCGTCCTTTCCTGCTCGTCGGCTCCTATTATCCCAGACGATCCCCTCCGAGCCGCCCCCTCTGCTCATCATCCTTCTGCCCTCTTCGTCATCCTTCTCCCGCAGGACTAAGCACAGAGCCCACAAGCAGAACAGAGAGCGAAAAGAGAACGGATCCCAGGGAGAGCGAAAGAGAGCGGGGATAGAACAGAGAGCTCGGCAGGAGGGTTATTTTCCTCCTTGGTTAGCCTTTCTCTTACTTGCCATGGAGGACGAAGACTGGGACCTGCAGGCGGTGGTGAGGGGGTGCTGCGGATCGGTGAGGTCCACGGCGGAGGCGGCAGCTACGGCGGATCCCTTCTCTTTCCTTCCCGTCGTCGCAAAGAAGGAGAAGGTAGAAGAAGAAGACGACCTTCTCCGTTACCTCCCGGAGGTCTTCTCGACGCAGAGGGGGGTTCACGAGCTCGAAGAACTCTGCAAGCCCTTCTTCACCAAATCATTAGAGCAGCAACAGCAGAAGCAGCTCTCGCCGGAGGGGAGGCCTTCCTCCTGCTCGGCCGCTCCTCCTCGCCCTTCCTTTGACGGCGGAGCGGCATCTCTGCCTCTGCAGCAGCAGCAGATCGGGGAGCCTCAGGCCCGGTCATTTTCCCAGACCCCACGGGCTAAGAGAAGGTACCCGTTGCTTCTTCCTTGTCTGCTAACCTCCTCCCCCAATTAGATGGAGAAATAGGAAGCTGCAGAGCCGAGATTCTCATCCTCTTCCTCCCTTCTCCGATTTCTGAAATTCCCACAGGAAGAACCAGCAGAAGAAGGTGGTGTGCCAGGTCCCCGCCGACAGCCTCTCCTCCGACATGTGGGCCTGGCGCAAGTACGGCCAGAAACCCATCAAGGGCTCCCCTTACCCCCGGTCAGTGATTCATCTTCTTCCTCTAACAAAGTCCCGCTTCCATGTTATTTCTTCTTCTTCTTCTTCTTCTTCTCTCTCTCACTCTCTCTACACCGATTCCTGGTGATCCGAAGGATCAGATGATTGAAGTCGATGTTGGTGGAAGCAGGGGCTATTACAGATGCAGCAGTTCGAAAGGGTGCCTCGCCAGGAAACAAGTGGAGCGCAGTCGTACGGACCCAGATACGCTGGTTATCACCTACACCGCCGAGCACAACCACCCAGTTCCTACCCATCGCAACTCCCTCGCTGGCAGCACCCGCCAGAAGTTCCCTTCTTCCTCTTCCTCCGCCGGCTCTGCACAGAACTTCGCCGGCGCCGACGGCGGCGGCACGTCGGTCGGCGCCAGCGACCCCGAGCAGACGAGCAGCAAGGGCACATCCTCCGGCCCCCTCTATTCGCCTACGGCTGCTGGTTTCTCACCGACGACGCCGCTCACGTCCTCCATGGAGGAAGAGCTGCTCCGTCCCCAGCGGCTCACCGGTCGGAAGGCGGAAGGGGAGGAGGCAGAAGAAGACGAGGAAGAAGATGAAGATGACGAAGAGAATCTGCTGCTTCTCGAAGACATGGAGATGCTGGGGGACGACGACTTGATGTTCATGGACTTCGACCAGCTGCCTGAACCCAACGTCGCCACCGCCTTCAACGACGGCTTCTCCGAACGCTTCGGGGCTCCGCCCCACCCGTGGATGCCCAGCGGCGCCGCCACTGCTGCCGGTGGCGGTTGACTTGCGCCGGAAGACGATGTGAAAGAGAAACGGCGGGCGATACGAGTTTGACAACGATGCTCCCTCTTTTCCCGGCAATGGCGTTGACATACACGGCGAGAGCAGACGTGGAGGGGGGAGGCGGCGGCGACGGGGAGCATCTGCCCTAACCCATCTCCCCCTTTTTCACCCATTAATTTTCTTGTACAACAATAGAAGGAATGAGAATGAGTGCTTCCTCACATCAACGAGCTCGTCCTTATCCTCAGTTCAGTTTTTTCATATTTCCGTTCACTTCTGAAGACCACCTACTTCCTTCCCGTTGCACAAACGAGACGAGGTTTTTCGGCGTCTGTCTGTCTCTCCGCCTACCCAGGGGGGAAGCGTTGAACTGAGGCGGGAGGTCAACGATTATTTTCACGTGCCTGGGGAAGGATGGAATCATTATCCTCGGCGTTGGGCATCCTCCGTGTGCCCGTGCGGCGCACTAGACAGCTGTCCTACCGCGTTGCTAAAGGCCAAAAACAAGAATAAAGTCAGCCCGATCCCGTCACGGTGTCTTGGTCAACGTCACGCGCGTGCTGCCTCGGCGAGCCACCTGTTCGGTGAAACCCCAGGCCCATTAAATGAGACAGCGAGAGAGAGCTGCGTTTGCCTGATGCCCACTGTTTAGCCTTCTTGGAGAGCTAAAACTGTGTGCTTTGACTTGGGCGCTGGCCTGCGAGATTAAGAGCCCACGGCCGTTCCTCGCACGGCACACTGCACGGTGGAGAACGAAATGAGGAAGCACCTCCCAGACCAGCTTAGCTCGCCCCTCACCTCTCACTCTCTCTCTCTCTATATCTTTGGCTCTCGATCTCTGTCTCTGTCTCCGTTTCTGTCTCTGGAAGTATCTCTCCGTGATTGCATGGGCCATCCGGCAAATCTCAAGTGGGCAGTGAAGGGCGCTAAAAAGGAGCCGGCTTTAGTTTCTCCACCTATCACGATCATGCCGGAGAGTCGGTCCGTCGGAAGAAGTTCTTCAGCTTGGTCGCCTCCCCGACGGCCGGGAGCCACCCACTGAGTATCTCCATCGTCACATAGTCAGGGCTGAGGCTCTGTTCCTTCATCCTACCCATCAATGTCAGAGCTTCCGCCAGCATGTTGCTCTCCTTGAGGCTCCGGAAGAGCGCATTGTACGTCGCAGTGGTCGGCAGCAGACCCCTGCTCTGCATCTCCTCCATTAGCGACAGGGCGGCCTCTTGTTCCTTCCTCCTGGTGAGGAAATCGATCAGAATGTTGAAGATGACGGCATTGGGAGCAACCCCTGCAGCATCCATGGCCTTAAGAACATCCGCTGCGGCGGCCTTATCACCGGCTCTGCAGTAGCCATGGATGAGTGCGCCGTAGGTGACCACAGAGGGTTTGTGGCCGTTCTCCGTCATCTTGTTCATCAGCAGCTGAGCTGAAGCGAAGTCCGCGGCCTTGCTGAGGGCGGCAATCAGCGTGTTGAATGTCACTTCGTCAGGTTTGAGTCCTTTGCTTGCCATTTCATCGATCAGGTTTCGGGCCTTGTCTAGCCGCTTTCTCCTGCAGAAACCGGCGATCAGAATGTTGTAACTCTTGGTGTCCGGGGAGAACCCGTCTTCCTCCATTGTTGACGCGACGGAGCTCGCCTCGTCTGGTTTCCCCGCCTGCGTCAACCCAGAGATCATGGTGAAGTACGTCGTGGCGTCTGGCCTAAGCCCACTGCGCAGCATCTCCTCGTACAGTTCTTCGGCCTTGTTGAGGTTACCCGAATGGAGGAAAGCCCCAATAAGGATACTGTATGTCACAGCATTTCCTTTAACCTCTACGTTTTCATCGAGCTGCAGCTTGCGGAAGAAATCGAGGGCGCTGCTGATTCTTCCCTGCCTACACATGCCGTCGATGAGGGTGTTCAGAGTTACAATGCTCGGCGGCACGCCTTCGTTGTTCATCCGTTCCAGCAGGTCGAGGGCCCGTTCGATCTCGCCTGCTTTGCAGAATCCGTCGACGAGGCTGTTGTAAGTGACTGTGTTCGGCGAGCAGGCGACTTCTTTCTTCATCCTGTTCATCAGAGCGGCGCTCTCCTCCAATCTCCCGGCCTTGCAGAGCCCATCGATGACAGTGTTGAAGATGACGGCGTCCGGCATAACCGCATCGGGTTGGGAAGACCCTCGTATCATATCGTCGAGCAGCTTCAGGGCATCGTCGATCCGGCGCGACTTGCAGAGGTTGTTGATGAGGATGCCGAACGTGATAGGGTTCCGATGGGCGCCCATTTCCTCCATCTCCGCGAAGAGTATGTCCATCCTACGGAAGTCCTCCTCTCTGGCTAGGCCGCTCAGGAGAGAGTTGTAGGGCGGCGGCCCCACCGCGCCGCCTGCTCTCTTGACGGCATGGAGGAATTCCCACGCCGTGTCAGTGCGCCGGCTCCGACAGAGCTTGTTGACAATCTGGTTGAACTGCGCATCGTCCGCTGGGAAAAGCCCTTGCTCGGCCATCTCCAAGGCCTGGGCAAAGCTCTCGTCGTCAATGGCCCTGTTCCTGGTCAGCAGGGCCGAGTAGACGATGGAAGCCGTAGCAGAGTCGGGGCCACATCTGGGGTTTGTGTTGCGGATCATGCTACTCGCCAGTTTAATCGCTTCTCTCCGGCGGTCGGAATCGGAATCGGGGTCGCCGGCGGCGAAGAGGAGCCGGAGGACGCCATTGCAGATGCCGGTCCTGCGGAGCGAGGGCTTGAGGTGGCGGAGGACCCGAAGGGCATCTCCCAGCATGCCGGCCCTGCTAAAGGTCTGAACCAGAAGGGTCGCGGAATCCAGAGTTAGGGCATGCCCCTCCTCCATAGATCTGTCGAGGAGATCTCTCATCCTGTCGCAGGGAGATCTCCCTCCTTCTCCGGCGGCGAGCTCGAACATGGCCTTGTAGGCGGAGGGGCCATGGAGGGCGGCGGCGGCGGGCACCGACGCGCCATCCTGGCTTCGGCACCACTGGAAGAACCAGAGAGCGAGATCGGTGCCGGGAAGCGAGCGGATGACCTGGAGGAGGTGGGAGGGTGTGTACGGCGCCGCCGTGAGGAGACGGCGGAGCTCCTCATCTCCATCTCTGTCTCCGCCCTCAGCCCGGCGGAGCAGCAGCTCCACGACGTCGGAGATGGCGGCGACTGGTCTTGTTGCAGAGGGCCCCGTCGTTAGAAGACGCAGGGAGATGCGCGGCAGACCAGCCATTAGCGGAAGGCTACAATTTCGGGTGAGGATTATAAGCACTGGTAGAAGCGGCCGTCCATGAAAAACCCTAATACAGAGGCACAATCATCGGCATTGATTACAGGGAGAGAGCTGCATGAAGAAGGAAGTCCCTGCGTCAATCTAACGGCTTGGGGGAGATGTCCATGGTCTGGACTGCAGCGGCTGCAGCCGTAGCAGCTTCACCCCACCCCCTCTTCTGGAGCTCGTCGAGGAATCCGGCGACATCGTCTGCGTTGATCTTGTAGGGCGTGTGCCGAGGGCCTGGAAACGATTTACTCCCCACCTCTTGTTTGTATTCCAGAAGTGCTTTGTTGATCACATCGCCCACATTCCCATACTGCTTACAGAACTTTGGAGAAACCTGCAAAACGCGATGGCAGAAGCCATCTTCAGAAATACACGAGAGAAAAATATATGTACCGATAGAGAGAGAGAGAGAGAGAGAGAGAGAGAGGGGTGGAGGCCACCTTGGCATGGTGAGGGTGTTGAAACATGCCCAACAGGTCATGGTAGATCAGCACCTGTATTCGAAAAATCGTATTTGCTCAGGAATTTATACACACAGGAACCCAAAGAGATGATAAAAGAAATCTCCAAGAAAAAAACTATCTGCTAAATTAGTCTCGACTATCAGAAATTCCCAAAAGTGCAAGAACTCAGTACACATCACCTATAATGTCTACCATTTTCACAGCAAACATCATCATTATGCTTCAAGAGCAGGACCAGGATCCATCAATTTTGGATTGCATCAGCTGAACTAATGGGAAGATCAAGCCTACAATAGGTTATAGATTCTACAATTCAGAGTTTTAAACAATTACACTCACAAAAAGAGAGCTAAATATATTTTATCATGAATTTTCGCCTAAAAATGCCTTATTTTGTTTTCCTATCATCGAAGACGAGTTAATTTATAAAATAAATTCCCCCGGGAGACAACCATCTTCCACTTTTCATTCTCCATCTCTTGAAAGTACCAGATGGGAATGGGATCAAGCGACACTTCCAGGATAACATCGTGGCAAATCAACACTTCCATGATAAATCTATAAGAAATCCTTCGAGGGCAACCCTGTAATCGGCGTGGGTGAAAGAGTAGAATATTTATCTTGTTCTTGTTTAGAAACTCGAGCAGAAGCAGAAACAGACTCCATGAGAATGTTAACTACGCTAACAAAACTTGGAGGTTATCCAGGGATTCATGAACAGACATACAAATTCGAAGGATTCTACAAAGCCTGATTCTCTGCTGTTTTACTCCCGAGCATTTAGCTGCCAACGCATGGATACCAAGACTCCCCCACTCCTGCCAAGGTTCCTCAAAGAGGGATAATAAAATTTCAGTCGCCTTCAGGACGCTCTATCTCTCACCATCAGCAAATATCTGCAGGGATCTCACCGAGATATAATGGCCAGTGTGAAGTTTAAACGTGAAAAAAGATGAGAAGCTAAGAACTAACCACGGGCTGAATCACTGTGCCTTGCCTTTGGAAAGCCCATGTGAAAGCTATATCTTTCCTATAGCTATCAGATTGGCAGAACCCGAGTTGACACTCATCAGGGTCAGAAAAAGGCAGTCTCTGCGTTTTTTAGATCGCTGGGTAAGTATTACTCTTCAGCCCTTTGCTTATTATTGTTAAACCTCGAATCCCTGATAATTAAAATTGGGTAATACCCAATTAAGAATTTAAACTTAAGTTCTGGCGGCGAGGCTCCTTCCCTTGACTCTATGAAAAGTTTCTCCCGCCAGATGCTGAGCATTTCATCAAAATCCCCGGAGCAGGACATATTCACAGCTAAACGAAACATCTTTTCACAATATCTAGTATTATGGTTGGGAATAGGAAAAACCATCATCCAGCAAGATTTATAACCATGTGGAAGTAATTAGAGGAAGATAAAAATCGACAGTGAGCATCTAAACGAGGAAAGAGGAATGCTTTCTTAATTAAGGTCAGATGCTCAAGCTTGATTTCGGATGGTATGCTGCAGTTTAGATAATGGTAGAACGAGTCCACAGTGTTCTCATTATAGGCAGGTATATATATATATATATTTTTTTTTTTTGGGTCATCGCAACAGAGATGGGATTGGAATGAGGAACCAACCTGCCCACTGCAGAAAGGGCCAGCTCCAATGCCAATTGTAGGAATTTGAAGAGCTGAAGTTGCAGCAGCAGCCACTGGTGCAGGCACGCATTCTAAGACGATTGAAAAGCATCCCGCCTCTTGCAACGCAAGGGCAGTTTCTACGACCTGCACAAGGACACCCCATAAGCGATTCGATCTCTGGAATCGTTGGATTAGTCCTGCTCGTCAGATCATTGCAACATGAGAAATCTATGTCGTGTAGACCTTAACGGCGCTGGAGACATTCTTCCCCTGAGGCCTGAAGCCACCCAGCACGCTGATAGCCTGCGGGGTGAGGCCGACGTGCCCCATGACGGCGATTCCTGCCTCCACAATGGCCTTGGCTGCCGTGATCCTGGACGGCGCTCCCCCTTCCAGCTTGATGGCGTCCATTCCTCCCTCTCTGAGCATCCTCACCGCCGAGTCCACGGCCTAGACAACCCCGAACACAACCAAGTTCCACTCTGGATGATCCGCGGCTTAAAAAAGGGAAGAGCAATCGGGAAGAGCCGTAGTTACGCCTTGCCTGAGAAGGAGAGGACTCGTAGGAGCCGAAAGGCAGGTCGCCGACGAGGAGTGGCCTGGTGGCGCCGCGGGCAACCGACCGGCAGTGGACAAGCATCTCGTCTAGGGAGATGGGAAGAGTGGTGTCATGGCCGTGAACCACCATGGCGGCGGAGTCCCCCACTAGGCAGATGTCCATTCCCGCTGTGTCGACATGGACGGCGGAAGGGTAGTCGTACGCCGTGACGACTGTAATGGGCTCCCCCCTGCGATACTTCTGACGGAGGTTGGTGAGGGTGGTCCTCTGGCTCACGGTCTGGGGCTTTGGCCCTCCGTAGACGGTGTCCTCGGGGATGTTGCTCAGGAGCCTGTTGACGGCACCGGCGCCGGCCGACGCTCGCCGGCAAGGAGCAATAGCAGCAGCTCGAACTCTGGAAACGGTGACGCGAAACATCGTCAGTCACTTCCTCAGAATTGAACTCCGGCGAGAGCAGAGAGCGGCCGGCGCAGGCGACTGAGGTAGCGGCCGGCGCAGGCGACTCAGGTTTCCCGTGCTTACTTTCATATATTTATTGTTACTGTTTCCCAAAAAAAGCAAACATTCTAAAATTAAACATAAAATTCAATTACCTTTAAATTAGAGGCAAAAAACTTCAACAAGTTGAAAGAGGCCCTCGGTTTGGACACGTGGGCGACTCCTTCCCTGCCAGATAATTTGGCCCATTATCTCTCTCTCTCTCTCTCTATCTCCTCTCTCTGAACGGACACGCCGCGAGAGGTTGCCGCGTTCTGTTATCAACTGACGCCCAACTTGCAGATCCAAGTAGCGGCGGCCGTGCTCAGGTGGTCCCCACCGGAATGCGAGAATAAATTCGATTTATGGAAATCGCAACGTTCAGATATTTCTATTAGTTATACCCCTAAAATGCAGGAGAGAGAGAGGACTATTTTCGAATTATAATATATAGGAAAGTAATTCATCAATTACTCAGTATAGTAAGGCGGCTGCGGATTTGTAGAAGAGCTTCTTTTTTTCTTAATTGTTGACTTCTGGGAGTTTCGAGGTATACTCGAAGGTTCTGGTTTCTCCTGGTTCTCTGGCCTTCGCAGGTTTTTGGATTATCGTAGAGTTCTCAGGTGCCTTCGAAGGGGACGAAGTCGAAGCCAGCGAAAGGATAGACAGATGATTTCAGTTAGTTGGAGAACCGGCGCTGCTGAGGGAATCTCTGCGTTACGGTTCCTCGTCCTTCCTCCTCTCCCTCACAAAGAGGTAACAGCGGAGTGTCGTTATTTTCTGATTTCAATCGGCTGACGGAGGTTTTTCCTTGGTCCGTGGGTGCTTGTTAAAAGAAGAATGGAGACTGTCGACTTCTCCGTTCTCTTTGAGTCGAGCGATGTGTCTAGATTATGTCGTCCCTTTTGATCAGGTTTCTTGAAGTCAGAGTGAAAGCTACCAGACGAGGACTTTTGTATCCCGGAAAATTCTGAAAATTTGATATCACTTGCTCGACTTTTGTTAATTCCTCCACCTACCATTGGACCTACTATCTTCCTTCGGGAAATAAGCTTGACTTGGTTAGCGGGCATTAAGTTTTGCACGAACTCTCATGATATGGACGTGAAGTTGCTGTCTATACTCTACGTCAGCAGTCTCTTTTCCATGAATTTGAAGTTGCCCGTACGTATCATCTTTCTACACGGCAACTAATATTTCTTGAATATTTCAAACTCTTTAGTGGATCTTATCGGATTTGCACAGCATTTGAGTGTTAAAAAAGAAAATGTTATATCACCAAATAATTGATACTTATAGCCTTTCTCCTAGGTAAAAAAAATGCTGACAACAGATGTGGCTACTTTTCCTTGAATAGCTTTGTTCCTGCATTAATCCTAAAAAACAAAACCCTCTTGATAGTGATATATGTGAATCCTAGATATAAAAATGGGAATAACTCTTCCAGGAAATAGATAGAGCATAAACCACAAACAAAATAATCCCTATAAAAATAAATAAATAACTAACATTGGGCCAAGGGCTTGAGGAAATGAACCATGAGTCGATTTCAGGCTGGAATTACATAGTGACATAAATTATAAAAATTCGAAATGATAAGTATTGAATCATCTATAACGATATAAAAAAGAAACTCATTTCTTCATCTTCTTCTACTTTATCTGAAAAGGATTGGGGTTAAACTCGAACATTTATTCATTGAATAAGAGTAAATGATTGAATTGGATTTGGTTGGATGGTACCAATTCAACTGAGACTATCTTTAATTGATTATTAAATCGCAACCTTTTACAAAATTTTGGATTATTGGATTAATGCTCGTGGAGATTGGTGGAGAGTTAAATAATATTGAAATTTTGGGGATAATCGGACCTCGCATTGTGTGCGATAGCAACAGGAAATGCGCTGATGGTGATCCCTGTATAGGCTTATTTATCCTATTTATTTGCCGTATTTTCTTTCATATATTTAATTCCATCTCTGCAAGTGCCCTGTGTACTTCTGGAAGAAGTTAGATGGCTCTACGCTAATTTAATATATACCTCACTTGTTGGTTTGCGGATATCTTCAGAGAAAAACGTATGTTTGTCAGCTTGTAATCTTTTATTTATGGTGGTGTTTATTCAAAAGTCGTTCTCACATGCAACAGCCTGCATACTGCTCTTGCTTCTCTTTCAGTCTTCCATCTCTTATGTCATACATGACAATGAAGTGAAGAAAAATCTCCACTAAAAAAATTCAAGGGAAAATAAGGTTGCATGGTTCCAGCGAAGGAAAATGATGAAGATACCTTCTCCTTCATTGTTATAATATCTACGCAACAAGAGCATAGTAACCCCGGTGGCTCATCCCCTTCTTCCATCCTTCTCTTCTTGTTTTTAGGATTGGGAGGAAATTACACAGGAAGGGCCACGAGAGTGGACTGAGTGTAGTACAAGGGAAAAGGTGCCTACATCTTTAAAAGTCATGGAACATATTACTCTGGCTTGGCTGCGAGCAGAAATTGGCTGCTGCTCTCCCTTTCAATGTGCAACTTTTGTCATTGTAGGGTTTATGTTGTGAGGAAGGTGCTGTCCTAGCTTCTAGTGCGAAGATTATTCAGTTTCTTAGAAAAAAAATTCAACGTAGAGATTTCCCCTTTTCTTTGAACACAGTTGATGTACTCCGTGACATAACTTTGCCATTTAAGGATGAATTATTTATCGGAATTCTCGCAAATTTATTCATTTCAGCTGGTTTGAGTTTCATACCTTGTTGTCACCTTTTTTCCATCCACATATGTCAAAGACAATGAGATTAGAACAAGCTTCTTTGGTCTGATACTTGAGAATGAGGTTTCAGTCTGAAAGTTTGGACTGGTTTCTTTGAGGATGGTCCACAAATTCATTTCATCTGGCACGACATTGATTTAGGTAACTATATAACTTTTACATCTTATCATCAATATTTGACTCAGGAGATAAAATCATCATTTTATTATTATTTTGGAAGTTCACCTGAACCATGAATCCTCGGTGGGTTGTCTTGCAACTACCACCATCATCATAAATATTTTACTGCTGCATGTTAGAATACTTACCACCTATCAATTCGTGGAAACATCTCATGGGTTTCTTTATTCTGTCATTTTTACACCGCATGCTGCCAGTGCATTCCACCACTGTTCGTAGATCATTGAAATATTTGCACTATTTTCTTCTGATTTCAATAAATTGACCATTTATTCCAAGAATTAGTGCCAGTTTTACTCAGGGGTCATAACGGTTTACAGTTCTTCCATCTTTAAACTTGCTTTAACCGTTGACTGTATGCAGGGTAAGGTTTTATTGAAACTGACTGATTTTGTCTCAGAGTTGATGGAGCACTGTGTCACCGGCATCAGCCAGTGGTGGGGCTAGATGACGATATAGCCTGGTCCTCAGGTCCAAGTGGGGCAAACAATGATTGATGTATTTTACGATTTGACCCTTTCAATGGGTTCGCATGTTGAGATTGCCCAGAATCCACGGCCAGATGGGCTAGGTTCCTGGGGAGCGGAGCGTATATAAAAATCAGTGGCCTCAACAGCGCAGTGGACTGAGGCTATTATGATTTTTTAAAATTTGTATTTGTTCCTTGTAAAGTTTCATATATAATTTCATGTCCATAGATCTGATTGCCGACAAATACAATTAGCTTGAGAGAGAGAGAGAGAGAGAGAGAGAGAACAAAACTACTGTTCGTATTTTCTACCCCGTACTCCTGTTCCTGTTTTAGACGTTTCCGGAACGCCGGATGGAGGCGAATCTCTTGTCAAGTCTTCCTCCCTGGCCATTATATACGAAGGATAATTCAACCCTCTCTAGAGACCCGAAGAAGTCGTCTCCGCGGCACAGGCAGTATGGCTTCAGATCTGAAACTAAGAGCGAAGGAAGCCTTCGTTGACGACAATTTCGAGCTCGCTGCCGAGCTGTACACGCAGGCCCTGAACCTGGCCCAGGATGACGCTGATCTCTACGCCGACCGCGCCCAGGCCAACATCAAGCTCGAGAACTACACCGGTACCTGTTCCGACCTTCTCGCAACTTCTCTTTCCATCTTTCCGTGGGTTGTTTTCCCTCTTTGTGGGGTCAAGCTGTAGTGCGCGTGTTGATTTCTGGTTTTTTCTTGTTCGTTTTCACGTTACCTTCGCATCGTGCTCGTTCGCTAAGATGATTCGGACCGTGACTCCTTTAGATTGTTTGGCTATCATCTTACTGTTTTGGTCTTGAATTTGGAAAGTACTCTGATTTTGCAGTCGTTTTGGCTATCTGCGTATATGTTAGACTTGATCGTCCATTTCTCTTATCTTTTTTGGGAATTCTATGAAGTATAGATCTTCGATGATTTAAATTGCGTTTCTTTTTAAACATTTCATTTTGATGCGGTGAGGAGTCTGTTCATTTCTGCACTGCTGACTGTGACTTTTGTGTACTGTACAGAGGCCGTCTCTGATGCGCATAGAGCGATTGAATTGGACCCTTCGCTTTCAAAGGCATACTTGCGCAAGGGGTCTGTTATTTCTGATGTCATCTCGATGCGCAAATACTAAGTAAATTATGCTATTAGCAATGTTATTATATCCATGGGCAATGTTTTACAAGCCAGTGGCTAATATTAGGCCTCATCATTACTGTAAAGCATAAGCCTCCGCATACCCTGTAAATTTATTCTTGTACACCTGGAGGGGAACAGTAATTTGTGTTTTAACAAAAAATATTCCCTTATGGCTTCTTCATGTGATTTTCTTGTTGAGCTGTCATTTTTTTAAAAATAGAAAGCTTCATTAGCAGATTCATAAGGGAACTATGCATTTTTCTTTTAAGGAAATCTTCTGCTTCCATTATAAGTGTGGCCAACTGTTTGGTTTAACACTGGCGAAATGTTTTGCTGCTCATTTTCATCTGGTCTTCCCATCAGGTAGGATATCTGGATTAACAATTTGGCATCTCCTACCTCAAATCAATAACACGTTGTTTGATTATTATTGATTCTCTCCATTGATCTATCCATTTTGAACCCCAGATGGAGTTTTCGTTCGTGGCTCATGTTTCATTCGTATATTTTTCCTATTTCATTTTCTTGAGCATTCTTTGAGTGAAGAACTAAATGTATCATTTAGTGCGTTATTCCTTGGAATATGTCTGTTCAGATCCCATTGTCTATTCTCTTCTCACTCTATCACGTTCAACCACAAAACATACATATCATAATCTAGTAGGAATGTGCACTCCCTCATCTTCATCATCATCATCATATTCATCATTGAGGCTCATCCCATCAGGGAATTTCAGGCATTCTGGATTGGAGTAGGAATAAGAACAAAACTATATCTCAACTAATTCTTAAGGGAAAGCAATTGGCTTCAAGTTTTCATGTGAGGCCATGACATGGTATAATCACTCTACTGACTGAACTTTATTGATTCGATGAATTTTTTAACAAGTGACATTCCTTAATGGGAGTCTGGCCTGCTTTGAGCCCTGGACACATCAGTTCAAGTTTTCATTCTGAAAAAATGTAACTGTTTTGGTGATTGCGCTTTATAAATCTGTTTTTATCTCATGATAGTTGTGCTTATTTAGACGTTCATCTATCTATATGATCTAACTATTATTTCCCTGATTAAATGATTTTTCTCACTTGTTGATCCTATTAAGACTAGTCTGTGTAAACGGTTTGCATATGTAACTCTCTTATTTTGCATATTATTCGACAGTCTCTTTTCACAAATGAAACCCAAAAATGTGGAGCGAAAATTGTAAAATGTCTCTCTTTCGGTTTACAGCACTGCGTGTATGAAGCTGGAGGAATACCAGACTGCTAAAACTGCTCTTCAGGCTGGTTTTGATTTGTCACCTGGAGACACTAGATTTAACAAACTGATCAAAGAGTGTGATGATCGAATTGCAGGTATTTACATATGTGAATTTCAGCTTTATCCACATGCCAAGCCATTGTGGTGATCAGACCACACGTGCAAAATCAAGACCTGTGTTTTTACTATCCACTCGTTGTGATGCGAGTGACTCATTTTTCTTGCTCTAAGAATAATGCACAGGCACTTGATATGTGATCCCTTGCCATCTCTTTCAACCCCCTTTTTCTATTCCTTTGACCAAATGTTTAATGGACTCGTTATATGATTTCATATGGGGTTTTTCATCTGGCCATTTTCATTTCAGATGACCTCACTTCTTGACTATGATTTTTTTTATTGACCTAACACTACTATCACCGGATCAATTGTTATTTTATAAAAAAATCCATTGATCATATAGCATCCCGAAAACTGTCACTATTTTAATACAACAACTGTCATTTTTTTGGAGTGCATCCTTTTTAAGTCCCTCTATTTAAACAAAAAATATATCATGTCGATGGAATGTAGACGTTGCAGTAAATACGAACCATTGAAACAGAAGTGGCAAGTCGATTGAGATGAAGGTAGGCAAGTCTTATTTCTGAGTTGTCTGATTTGTCTTGTGGTTATGCTCCTGATTCTATCCGCGTTACATTGCTCTAGTCTGGGTTGAAAGGATACTAGTAGTCAGGGCCTTTCCTCAGTTAATCATTTTAGAAAATTTTCGATTGTGTTTCACCATCTATTAAAGAGACTCATTATCCTGTTCAGGCCTCATTATTATGTAAAGATTCATAGAAGACAATCATCAAGTGTATGGCTGATCGTACATTATCTTGTTGCAGAGTTTCTGAGAAGAATTCCTAATTTTAGTCTGTGCGTGCCCTAAAGAGAGTTGCCGAATTTCGTGAGTGAAAGTGAAAACTCAGAGTGGCTTTGCAATACGAAAGTGTTTAAAATCATCTTGAATGTCACGTATCATATTGATGACCATAAAGAGCATAAAATCATATCACTGTCTTCTTGATGTGAGATTTAAAAGTGCAGCAGAGGTCTCCTTCGTTGTCAAGTGACTGAAAATTCGTATGCCGAAGGTTGTCTGGTTTCAAAAGGCAATACATTAATCTCTATACTAAAGGTGAAAACCAGAAGATGGGAAAGATTTTTCCGGAAATCCTGTTAAATATTTGCCGTGCAGCCAATTGAATGTGCCTTCAGACCGTGGAAACAACATGGTGGTGACGAATAAAGATGTCTGTGTGGTTGATTTTCAGGATATCATGCAACACTTGTCAATCGGAATAAGCTTATTACAGCGGTAGACAGTGGATTCTTGGGTACAGAAAATTCATGTGATCCACCATCTCTAGTTTTTCATTTTCCTTTTTTATTTCAGAAGTTTCAACATTCATGCTTTTTTTTTCTTGGTTGCATTAACCTGTCACGAAGATGTGTTGTTGGTGAATGAGAAGAAATCGTTAGGTTTCGTCTACCAGTTTTCCTTGTTTGAGTCACCAGTTTTTGAATCATATTAGAAATTAATTTAAAGGCATGCTGATTCTTACTCCTAGTCGCTTACATATGAGTGACAGACTAGAATGATCGGATTTGCTCTCTGTATAAAGTGCTCAAGAGACAGAGGGCACGCTCTTCATTCGTGTTGTCATCTTTTCACTGTTCTTATCCCAGATCCTCCACACCGCTCTCTAACAAGGCTTTAACCATTTTCTTTAATTGGTAGTACACGAACAAGAACTATACTGTACCAACCCGTTTACACATTTTTCTTCCCGGCATTGTCTGAACTTGTTGACTCTAGATGCCATAGTATTTATTTTGATGTATTTGAGTTGTATTGGTATTAAACGTTTTATTCTCTGCAGAAGAGAGTGGTGTTATATCCTCGACAAAAATATCAGGCACATCATCTAGTGTATCTCCTCCATCAGAAAGTGCTGATGAAAGTGGAAAAGACGAGGAAAAAATACTGCCCGTAACGCCAGCTATGCCTAAATACAGGTGACTCGTCAACCCTTTTATGCCATCAAGTTATTTGTGTCATACACTCGATATCGGATTTCAGTAGATCCTATGAATGATCGAAAGATTTTCCAAATATTATACCTGGCTGCCTTCTTGACAAAGAATTTATTATGAGGATAATGTTGGGCTTCAGAGTGTTAGGCTACAGGATGCTTGCTTCTGTTAACACTGGAAGTGAAATTTTAGGGTTTCAAATTCGTAGCTCCTCCAACGTATTTATTTTTTCGAGAGCGTGGGCATAACACGAGTAGACTTAAAGTGATCAAGCCTAACGATCCCACATTTAAAATGACACACTAACACGCTTGATAGCGGTTCTAGTACGTCCATATTCCTATGCTCATTGACGACCTCCTTTGTCATGCACTTAAGACCTACGTAGTCCGAATCTGATCGGGCTGCCCTTCTCGAAGTCTGATCCCTTTAGTTTGGATGGTTTAATGTGGGCACCGAAGGTGTCAATTAGATGGCCATGGCTGTGATTGACTGTGGCCTGTGGCATCAAGTGACTCACAAGGCATGCCCACTGTTTAGGCCCCAAACGAAACCACTAAAAACTTAAGGAAGTCAGTAGTTACATTTTCCATTAATTCCAAGCATGGTTTAGTTTTTTTTCGTTAACATGAAATATTTTCGTATTCCGTACATCCATCCCTAAACATCACAGTTTTCTGCAACAAATTGTGGTGGAAGACAAAGAAAAGTTTGATTTTGGGACGTGGCCTTCTATCTGCTCTCATCAGCCAAAGATCAATGTCAAATTGAATCCAAACTTTAGTCAAAATTTTCATCTTAAATTTATAGTCTTCTTCGGTTCTCCAGAATGAAATTTATTGTGCCCTTTTGTTTTTTGCACGTAGTTACCATCGAGACTCGTTGTGATTTTTATCTCTGTTGATTTTTTGTTTTCCTGTTCATCATATTAACTTATTATGCCATCATGCATTAGTCACGAACATAAATTCTCGAGTAAAATTTTCTGTTAAAGAAGTGGAAATGACATTTTTATCCCTCTACCTAAGGATTCTCCTCAATCAGAAACTTTTTCTTTCGGAGCTCATCTACTTTTATACCATTGTTCCGTTCATATCACGCAGTCATTTTGAACATTTTTTTAGTTTTCCTTTCTGGAAATTTGGAATTTGAAGCTATGGGAAAGCTGCCACAGGGATTAAGCTTATCTCCATTGAGAGTCATTTGCTCCAGCTGTTTTATTGTAGGATAGTGTGATGTATTTGTCTTTTGCCACTGAAATTTTTAATAGTTCTATATTCGAAGAAACATTGATTGCTTCTTGAAGCTGGTGTCAGGCTTCTATGTTGAGAGGTTCCATGTTTATCAATGTTTAATGGAATCTCTTTGATCCGTTTCTTGATACATAAGCATTATGAAGTTTTTTCCATTATGTTCATATTTCCCTGCATGCATAGCTACGATGGTTTTTTCAGGAATGATATTAATCTACCTTGGAACGTCTGTATTAGGAAATGTACTTTACTGGGCATCCCATTCTCGAGGGTTGTGCGATGTGTTACTGACGATTAGCCGAGAGAATATCTGGACGCTTCTATAATTTTGTCTTGTATTAGGAAGAAGGATTTGCATGCACACCTAAGATGTCCCTACATTAAATTTTTTTCATATCTTATTTACTGATGAATTGTAACTAAGAATACTTTAATTTGGGTTATTTTTGGTGTTATATATAGCTTTCTTAGCTGTGCAATTCATGTTGGATGATGCAGACATGACTATTACAATACCCCAACAGAAGTTGTTTTGACGATATTTGCGAAAGGCATACCACAGGAAAATGTGAATGTTGATTTTGGTCAACAAGCCGTATGTTATTTGATGTCCACTATTGCTTTAAACATTTTCCTATTTAGCAAATGCCAATAATTCTGAAATTTGGTTGCCATGAATTAATACGGGCTGATGAAGCTATTTGTTTTCAGTTGACTGTTTCAATTGATGTCCCTGGTGAAGAATCGTATCATTTTCAGCCACGTCTATTCGGAAAGGTATTAAAGTCTCACTTTTGGTATGATATGTCGATATGTCTTCAAATGTATTGAATAAGAAATAGAGACCGGAAGTGGCAGAAGAGCAAGGATAAGAGCCGTTCATACTCCTGGGATTACAGAGATGAACACCTTTCTGAGCACTCCATCTACTGTGAAGGTGTACACACGAGCTTCACGAGAGACTTTATATCGATACTAATGTGATTTCTTAATTATTTCCAAATGAATTGCTACCCATAAACAATATTTTCCCGTTTGGGGTTGAACTGCATAAGCTTGCACGATAATTAAAAATCAAAGGTGTTATTTCTGCATCTGAGGGCTATCATTTTTTAAGTTCTGCGCTATAAACTGGGTGGCTATGCTTTTACCTGATGTTAGAACTTTCTTTCTATATCTCAGGTGGCTAAGTTTTTTTTTTTTTTTTTTTTTTTTTTTTGGGTGATTAAACAGATCGTTCCCAGTAATTGCAGATACGAAGTGTTACCTTCCAAAATTGAAATCCGTCTTTCAAAGGTTGATCCTATAACATGGACATCTCTTGAATTTAATAAGGATAAAACAAGTCTGCAAAAGATAAACGTTCCATCAGGTACCTCATTATGATTTGTTTTATGACTTTTTAGACATGACTACTGAGTTTAATGACCTTCCCATTTTGTTTGCGTAACCTATTTTCATTGTCCAAGAATTTTGTCTGCCTACGTCGTAGCCTATGGTTGTGTTCTAATGTTTGACAGTGAGGCGTTCGTTTTGTTATTTTCATGTTTGCTGCAACTTTGCATGCGGTACTTCGGTTTATATCCTTAATACTTCTAGCGTTTCTCTTTGAACTTACATTGAAATGGCAAATAAGTTAAGAGGCCCCCGTTTGGAAATGAAAAGCCCATAGACGACTGAATAGCCTGCACAGTGGAGAAAAATATTCAACCATTTTTATTCAAGGAAAAAAATCTTAAAAATGAAAAAAATAATTATACAGATAATTTCAATACCTTTTACCTTTTTTTCCCAGACCAAGCTCTGTGCCAAAGAGTGGAATAGATGATAGGTTGGATAGATGGACTACTTGTGTTACCAGATTTGGCAAAGTGAGTATTCCATAGTTTCCGAAAAGATCCACCTAGCTCTCATATTTCCTAACTAATGGAAAAGCTCTGTGGGACTCATTTTATTGTTTCAATAGATTGCTTTGTGACATCGATTAAACCCAAGGGCAAACGCGTAGACAATCTCATCACATCATTTTCTCTAGAAGAAACAAGGTAACCATCTGCGGCATGAACCAGTGCATTTCCTTGATCGATTATTTTGGTTCTTTGATCGCTTTCTCTTTTCTATAATTTACCTGTTCAGCGAATGCTCTGGTGGTCAATGGAACGAGGCCTTGAGTTGTTCCGCTATTGGCACTCTCTGCGATTTCAAAAACTTCCACTATAACCTTCATTCTGCCAAATCCACATGAATCGACATTTGCCTAATTAATTCGGCTGCCGTTGATTTTATCGGAAAAAATAGAAGACTAACGAAGCTGGGGTTCCAAACCTGCTATACAGACAGGAGAAAGGAACCGTACACATATTCCGAACCACTAACCAACCCCCCCCTCCCCCCTCTAACATGATAATCCGCTTCTTCCACGAATTTATTCCTAGATCAATCCAATCGCGCTGCTTTCCATATATATATATATATATATATTTAATATGATCATTTGGAGATCGAGTCTGATCCTCTTTTTTTATTGGCAGGGTCATCAGCGTCGCGAAAACCATCTTACCCGTCTTCGAAGTCAAAGACCGACTGGGACAAGCTGGAAGCCGAAGTAAAGAAAGAGGTGCCACCCGATGTCTTCCTCTTCCCTAGAAGCGGGGCGGTCTCTATCCTCTGAGATTTATCAATCCAGAGTCTTACTGAACCGCTTCCTTCTCCATATATTTTGCAGGAGAGCGATGAAAAGCTTGATGGCGATGCAGCGCTGAACAAGCTATTCCGAGACATATTCCGAGACGCCGACGACGACATGAGAAGAGCCATGCAGAAATCCTTCGTACGACACGCCTCTCTCCCTTCCCACTCACCTCACTCTTTGGCAGCTTAACCTCACTCTGGGCCAATGAAAGAAAACAGGTCGAGTCGAACGGGACGGTGCTGTCGACCAATTGGAAAGACGTGGGCTCAAAGAAGGTGGAGGGAACCCCTCCCGACGGCATGGAGATGAAGAAATGGGAGTACTGAAACAGCATCACCCATTCTCATCGACTGAGCATCATGTGGTTTATTCCCATTAAAGGTAAGGAAGCGGTTGCATGCATGTTTGTCTTGGGTTCTGTAATTCTGTCGTTAGCTGGGCGTGTCAAAGCTGCTGACCATCATGAATGAGCGGCTGGCTTCTGTTCATATGGAGCGATTGGACATAAACGTTGCAATTGAGAGATCTTGTTGAATAAGAAGCACAAAACCCTCCAAACTCACAAAAAACGGCGCGGTGTGTGTACCTTCATGACCCGCAGTCATGTCCACCACTCATAGCTGTGCATCATACGGCCTAACTACGGAGCGATTAGGGTAAGAACTCGACGAGGAGAGACGGTCCGATGGGGCTTACTGACCTGGTGGCTGGAGCTCACCGGCTTGGTCGAACCGTATAATGGCTTAACGCCGAGGAGTACTCGCTGCCGGTCAAGCTCCCTCGCATTCGGCCACTCGGGCGCCAGCTCTGTTCCGCCGTCGCTTCCCCAGCCCCGCCAGATCTGCCGAGTCCTTCCGGCGTCACCTCCCCTAAACTCCTCGCATTCTCCCCGCCAGATCCCACGAAGCTGTCGAGGGCGGCGCCGGACAAAAATGACGGCATTCTTGGGGTCTGCAACGCGGGAACTTGAATGTTATTCACCGTGCCGCCGGCTACGGGGTTGATAGCGCTTTGCGTCGTCTGCTGATGAACTGGTGCTGGGGGGAGACGAGAAAGAGGAGCGATGCTTGGGCCCTGGTTCATTGCTTGCTGTAACCAGAGGTTGTGATAGGGCTGTTGAGTGGTTTGACCGCCTCCCTGGAGATGCGTACCGAGAGACCCCTCTCCCCTTTGCTGGCTGGGAAGAGACCTCGAGTTGACTGGGTTCTGCGCAGGAAGGCCTCCGACATTCAGGGTTGCTGGATTCATCGTGTACCGGGGATGCTGAGAATCGCAGTACTGGACAAGAAAGTTGTGTCAGAAAAGGGGAGGAAGCATTATAGAACTACGTCAGAATTAAATCACAAAACTCGCATTTCGGTCCATTAAATAATTTAAATATGAGATTTTTCAACCGGAAAATTCTGAATATTTACGCATCCAATATGGACCGTGATCTCCGGAAGAAAACGCGCCCCTTGGTGCCCAGAGTTAGTAATGATTGCAACAATTGAACCGGTTACTTTCATGATGAAGAAAAATATTGCAGATGAACAGACGTGAGTGAGTCATGCTCATAGAGAATATAGCAGCACTAAGAGCATAAAAAAGGTTCAAGATATAGAAGAGAATTTCATGTCTTCACAAGGAGAGGGGAGTCGAACCTGAAACGCAGAGTGAACCTGGAAAGATGGCAGTCCAAGCCCGGATGCCCTTGAAACCGGCTGCCTTCCTGTCTCAGTATTTGCTGGACTGATCTCATCGGGAATGAAAGGCATTGAGGGGGACGTCTGAACAGGAACGGATGGGACTGGACCTGACCTAGCCGCAGCAGTCCAGGCCCTCTGATGGTGATAGCTGGGAACTTGTGTTTGAGCCGGCAGAGCCTGAATAGCAAGAGGTACTCTATTGACGTGTCGTGGTATTGGTTGAGTCTCAATTTCGCCAGCGGAGGAGCTTACAGCATGTGTTTGTAAGAACTGGAAGCTGTCCATAAACTGCCTTGGTGCCGAGGAAAGTGAGGCCATCTCTGCTCCTTCGCGACTAAGAGCAGGTGAAGCAGCATCTGTGATCACGGGATCCGTAGAATGACACTGGGGAAGCGACCCTAAAACTGGTTGAACGTGTAGTCTACCAAGTGATGCAGGTATTGCCACAGAAACCCTGGACGCCAGATCATGCCCTGATTGACCCTGACTCGCTCGAATGGCCTCCAAGGTGCAGCTCCTACTTTGCGCAGAAGAAATAAAAGAAACACCCCGAGAAGCATCTTGGAAGGGCTTACCATCCTCAGGTACACATTGACCACCATCCCTGTCCTGGTAAGGTAGATTATCCGAGGGTTCTATTTGCCTGGGAGATGTGCCGGGGGCACCTTGAGAGTCTTCTGCTTCCATGGTGAGATCCACAACAGCAGATAAACCAGTTGAAGCCCTGCTAGCCTCGCAACCAAAGCTATCAAACGTTTCATCTGCCTCCATCCCACTATCCAGTTTCTCTGCAGTGTCGCGGTATTCTACAACCTTCCAAGATCCATTAGAATCAAGAATCACGTGAGTAGCATCCTCCCCGGTCTCTGCCAAAACCTGAGAAGAAAAAAAAGTGGTGATAAAATTCAATGGTAAAGCCGCCAACTAGTATAAGTAGCACACAGTGCGTCTGCTCCAGAAATCACCTTACCCATGTGCTGATCGATCCTTATGTCAACGCAGCTGACGGGCTGGTTACAATGAGGGCATCGCCAACATGGCCTCTTAGCATTCATGGCCATGTAGTTCTCATAATCAAAGCACTGCACCGGTGCAAATTGAAAACAAAATCAAAATTTTCGGAATCTGTTATGCTACTCCTTGATCGGGAATCAAGTGAAAAGCAGAGAAGGGGTACCCACCTGATGGTGTTTACAAAGGTGACCTTTGACAGGAGTTTTAATACGCCTGAAGCTGTTATAGCATGACAGGGCGAAAATCAGCCGGATGGTACCATGTGGATGCCATTAATAGTCGCAAAAAAGTTGATTACAGTATGCTATAGTCTACACCATGTTACTAAAATGTTGAAAAACAGCAGCTCAAAGCGGACAAAAATTAAGGTGACATACTGCTGCACAGATATTTTCAACATGATTTGCCGTCTTTTGCAAAATATTGACAGATTTATCACTATATTTGACGGTTCTTTGCAATTTAATGCTCAAACTAAATGGGACTCATAGTCAATATTCTAAATGGCAGGCAGTTCGCCACTGAAAAGTAAGAAATATATAAGTAACCATAAATTTTCGTGACCATAAAATTAGACAAATTCCAAAATGTATCTATAGGCATACACTTATTTCTAGCAAATTTGATCGTTTAAGGTTCAGATTGAACTGATGTAGTGTTTTATTTTTCGAATGCATCCTAAGGAGTCGACCCGTACTTTACAATGCAAAAGGGTTAAAATGCTTGAGAAGGCACCCTCAAAAAACCCAAGAGTATGCATGATCCTCCAAAGGCACAAAAAGGTAGCAATGCATTCAGCCAAAGGTTAATATACAGAGGCCTTCCCCCAAAAAAAGTTGAACCATTTGTTGAGCATGAGACATGTGGGGGGAATTTTTGAAGTTTGGAGCAGTTGCACGATCCTCCATTGATCTAGTCACACTAAGTTCATTAAAACTTTCTTGTTTCCCTCTGCACATATCCCCTAGACAAAGAGGTTCTGATATCTATGGAGAAGAACCTATCATCTTTTTGTCAGGAAAATTGGCATTTCTAGGGCTTGGCTACACCTGCCATCTCAGATGATCACGAGAAATATTAATGATCTCAATTACCGGTAACCCATTAGTTGTATGAACAAGATCATGCACAATATCCATCAAGTTCCTATACTTCATGGGGCCGGTCATCAATGATGTAAATAGATCACCTGTGGTGGTAAATAGAGGTCCCATCTCCTCCCACAGTTAAATGACTGATCTCCAAATGGTTTTAATGGTGCTCAGACAGAATCATTGAATGCTGTCTGAGAAATGCACCCAGTATTTACTGGTCAGATGCAACTTTACAGAAAAAGAAAGATCAAAAAGTTGATTCGGTGATGGTACATTTGCACAAATCCTGCAATTAAGAATCGTAATACACCCATGAAATCATTTTGTTTTCATCTCTAAAATAATGAAATCTTCTCACAAGGCTAAATAAATGAGAAAATAGAAAGTTGCGTGAGATTAACACGAAACATCAAAATAGCATAAGAGTAGCAGAAAAAAAAAGAGTATAAAATTTCAGAATGTCATTAGTTACCTTATGGGACAATTAAGTGAAATCTTTGATGGGCCCTCAATTATTTCAGCATCTAAAAATTGCCACAAAAAAATAAAAGTAAATATTCATTTATAGCATTAAAAAGATAATTAAAATAATAAGAATAATAATCGAATAAAGCATGTCACTCGTGTTCTCTGATTATGCTGCTTTTTAGTATGTAAAGCAACGTGGTCACTATATGCATGAAAAAGCCCATCAATGACACAAGTGCATATCTGACAGTCTTTTCCATGTTTAATATGACGAATTTAACCCAAAGAATGACGGGTCGAAGTCTCAGAAATGTCCCCACATGAGGACAACCTTCGAATAAAAGTGGGGCATGCGAGTCTTGATGAGAATCCACAAACAGTCCTCCACAAGGGGATATAAGGATGGAATATAGCAGACAATGAGAGGAAGGCAGCATGATAAGAACCTTCATGTGTGAGGGATAGGAAGCAACCTTTTAGATCTTTAATTTGAACCAAGGTTTACAATAATGTTAGCCAGAAAGGTATTGATCCTCGTGGTCTCGACCGAAAAAAAATTATCTTTTTCAGGATAGTCATATGGTAACTTATTTGAAATGTCTGGGCCCCATCGAATGGTGGAATACATTTTATTTGAGCTAAAAGAATATAATGGCTTAAGAAGCCATTATTGAGCTGTGCAAGGGGAAAGTTCAAGTTGGAAATAATGGCTTAAGAAGCAAGATATAATATCTCTGTGGGCTTTCTGTTTGGGACTTCAGCAGATTTTAAATGACAAGAATCTCATGGAGAATCCATCAACCGCAGTGATTGTAGTTGATCACAGAAATCTATGACCAAAATCAACTCAAAAAAACCGAATCCACAAAGTCTGCAGGTGAAGTACATCCGAAATGGACACAACATAAATTGAGGCAATGCAATAACAATATTTACAGAAAAACTAACTTCAAAACAGGGTAGATCTGAGCGAATCATATATGCCTAAGTAAAGCATATGCTTCTATACTATCCATCATACGCTAAGCACATATAAGCAACCTGAATGATTTTTTCCTACAGATTCTTTCGATGAAAAATCGAATAAAGATTGAATACCTGGCGGAACTGTCGCAGCAACTGATGGTACATAATCCTGGAGCAGAGGGATTTCAGAGGAAGGTATAGTGCTCATTAAAGATACTGCTATTATATAATGACCTGCTTGTCAAATGAAGTATCAGACAGATAGAGGAGAGAGAAACAAGGACAAATGAATTCAGGATTCTATATCAGGACTCCTGAGCGTACCACCGAAGAAGCCAAAAGCTTGGATGAGATTAGTTCCATACTTCAGTAATTCAGTTATATCTGTTGGAAACTGAGGCCCTATATCCTAAGTAAATGATATTTTAAAAATAATTTATCAATACTAGAAAAAAACGAGGCAAGGCTCAAAAGGTGTAATGGTAGTTGGCTAACCGAGAAAATGATTGTCCTTCTTTCCACTGCTCTTCCATTTACAATAAAGCTGCAAATCATTGCCAGGAATTTTACTTTTCCGGGAAAACTTACCAAAGTACTCATAAAACAGAATCATACTTGACATGAGGCGGGCTTATGAGGCAAGAAGATGTCTCCATATTATCTGTCTGAGATACAAATAGCATCTGCAAAGAGAGAGAAAATTATAAGGCACGCACGAATAATCTTTTGGATTCAGCTTGAAAGAGTGAACTTTTTAGTTTATAACCAACACACAAAACTTAACTTCTCATGAAAGATGAGAAGTTTAGGGCTTTCTTTACATCAAAGGTATAGCTAGAAATAACTTCCCATACAAATATCATGATGAAGATCCATAATAATTTGAAGAGGACTCTGCAATTATACATCAAAAAAATATAAACATCTTTTAACATAGCAGTGATGGGCAAAAGGAGAGGAAAGTTCAGTGATTGATGGAACAAAACAAAAGCACTTTCATTCTTCATGTTTAATAAAAACTTGGCACATATACTTGTTAAAGATATTGTCAAATTGACCACAAAGTTCAAATCTCCGTACTAAAGAAAAATATCATCAAATTATATCAAAAGTGCTCCTATAAATTACAACTGAACTATTAGAGAAGCCATCCTTTAAATGGAAAAAAGTATTCCAAAAGAGATAGGTATGGATGGTGGTCGGTGGGTGGAGTCAAGTGACTTCAGCAGTAACTAAGGTGGCATAGTGGAGACCATCAACAATCAAAAACACTGTTTCAGGGTTGCTAAAATCACATATGAGCATAAAACAGCAAGCTCATTTTAAATAATCATCAACAGCTTACATTGTTTATTAAGCTCACCAAGCAAGTAACATAAACCAGATTAGCTACTTTCAGCAACTTTGGTTTAAGAGGGTGCTTACTATCTTAGTTTGAGGGCGTATATTCCTTGGAATAATAAAATCAGCGACCAAAATGTCATATCCAGGCTGTGAGAAAGGAAGATACCGAAAGATATGAGATATTCTTGAAAATCAATGGGAGGCAATGGACCATGCTCCCAATATAAATTTATTAATAAGATATTCAAATAAATGAGGTTTTTTAAATTAACTACTACAATATCATCTAACCTTGGCTTCAAATGAGACAAGCAGGTTATCAAACTTCAGTTGAGGATAAAACCTGAGAAAGAAAAAATATTAGGTAAGTTTGTCTAAACAATAGAATCTTGACATGATCAAGTGGCAATATTAATTTCAAGATGAAAAATTAAATAACATTCAATATAAGTCAAATTATCGAGATAAAATCGATCCTATAATCAACAAAAAAGTGCATTCTCCTGGAAAATTATCAGACTGCTGCCACAGGCACAGAAACTGCAGTGTAAAGGAGAAAATTAAAAAACTAAAAACCATAAAGGAGAAAAGTGGCAACGGGCCAGGATATTCCAGAAGCCTGCCCCACTTTTATCTGGGTTTGATTAAAAAAAACCAAAATAAATATCAAGCCTAGACTTGGGCTTGGGAATTTTATGGAATGCCACCCACCTCCGACCTGAAAACAGAAGGAAACAGCAAATCACTTTCGGGTGGTGGCATTCACAGAGGTACATAACATTAACTATACCATGCTTTCATCCTAATCTCCTGATGTCGGTTCTTTCCAAGTCTAGTGATAACTCTCTCACAACCTGAAAATACTGAAACTGTATGTTCAATAGATTGGGTTCTCTAAATGTCAACTGGACCCTTTTGATCTTTCTGCAGAGAACCTGATGGATGAAAATAGTTCCAAAGATAATACAAGAGGTTGATAAGAAAGGCTTAAACATTAAAGAAAAAGAGGCTTGCTAGTATCCAATAAATAAGTAGGAATCTCACAAGCACATGGCATTCAACCTCACAGTACACCAAAATGAAACCTTGATAAAATGAGATAATCTGATTTAGTGAATGTCAAATTTGATCAAATTTCATCATCATATGTAGAAAAGTTAAGTAAACAAGAGAGCATATGGTCCACGAAGATCAAAAACTGAATAAATGGTCAATTAATTCCTTCAATAAACTTAATTCAGCATTTTCTGGAGGGAAGACAGGCAATTCTGTCACGTATTTTATTTATTCAATCTTTTTGAGAGGTAGTTGTATGTACTATGATTGACTAGGAGTTGTTAACATCCAGAAAATTTTCTGGAGATGTGCGTTCTGCTGAATTGAAATTAAATTTACATATGTTTCATACAAAAATCGGATATAAAACAATACTTGCAGAAATAATTACATTCTGGCAAGATAACAATATTCCAGAAATCAGGGAAGGTGCCTAAAAAAAATCAAAAACTTAAAAAAGCCTTACAAATAATACTGAAAGGGAGAGAAAATAAATCATACGTTCTTCCAGAAAAACTGGAATAAAATTGTCAAATCATTAAATACTGATAAGAAAGCAACATTCAACGAACAGTGAAGGGAACATAACAATTAACTACAAAAATTACCACTTAACATAAGCTTAGATACCACAACTTTAAAAAGAGTATATCACAACAACAAACCTTGGCATAATTATGGAAATAACAGATAAAGCTTTGCTTTCTTCTAAGAAGAAACTTCCAGAACAAAAATTTCTTGAAATCTAAAAATGATGACACAAGGTGTCAGGATATTAATGGGTCACAAAAGAAATAATATAGACATGAATCGTTTCAAATCCATGTAATTTAGAAAGAGTTCCAGGACCTCATTTGCCATGGCAATAAGTTCCTTTCCATCAGCATCTTGAAACCAGCCATGCCTACAAGCATTCTTAGAGAAACAAACAATAGAGTCAATATGGCAGTAAACTCTATACTCACACTACATAGGCAAAAGTAAGACCCGGAGTTAGGAAGAATATTGCTGAACAGGTTCTTTTATCTGATCACCCTATTCCTAGGAAGCAAATTGAGGCAACTAGGAAATATTGATTCGAATGTTATAGAATATAGTTTTGAAAAAAAATTATAAATATCAGGAAAAATGAGACAAAATATCCATATGTACACAGAAAATGGTAAGATCATAAACATAAAGGTTTACATGAAATTTATAAGATGATATTGTCAAGTGACAGAAACGCCTGATCGTCCTTCTCCAATTTTCAGCAGCGACATCAGAGGAAGGGGAATGTAACATGATAAAGGAGAACGACCGAAGCCCAAAAAAAATATTTTCTCATTCTCACGTAGTGTTTTCTACAGGGCTGGTATTTATACCAGCTCGCTAATACAAAGAGTGAACTGGACCGGCTTGGGCCGGAGCAGTCTGGTTCGTAACAACTAGAAAAGGAAGAAAAATAGCAGAAAGGAAAAATACATGGAACAAAGTAAAAAAGTGCATCCTTTTTTTATAGATATAAATAAATCATAAATATTTTAATAAATATTCACTTTCTGTGTTCAGGGCAACCAAGCTGCCTTTATGAATGGCGAAATGCAGGCACAAGTATGGCCAGATGTATATACTAATTGCCCAAGGTGCCATTTTGAAGCCTACCAGTGTGAATTTAAATTTCAGTTGCTCCATGATATAGAGTTTTGACGACCAGAAAAACACAAGGAGCAAAGAATGGACGTACCCAAAAATTGTCAAATAAGATCAAAACATTGAAAGGTAGTTTCATGACACACGTTAATGATAAAACGATAGTAAGAATGATGATTTGCACAAGCTAAAAAGTATATCATAAAAGATACTTTTCCAAAAAAAACTTCAATTTAGTTTAATAACAGGTTTTAAAGAAGTATTAATAGAAGCATTATCACTTCCAAATTAAAAATCAACTATTGCTGTCAACCAAGGGAATAAGTGTCTCACATCAATATAACTAAATGATCCCTATTTTTCAAAAATAAAATCGAATTTCTCAGTCTACTGATACGAATACCCATCTAATAAGGTTTCCTTTTTTCTGCAGAATGTACTAGTAATCAAATAGTCCTATAAAAACAATGTCCTAATAACATTATTGGCATCTGTTACAAGCGAAATGAAAATTTTCATATTTTTTTACATGTAAGAAGCGGCATGCGACTTTAAGTACCTAACATGAGAATTACATCGAGATTGACGACCCCTAAGTTTAATGATTAAAATTCTAATCCATACTTGAAGTATAGGGCTCCATCTTTGAAGCAATCTGTTAATAGGTGGACATACTTTAAAATTTTCATTTCTCAAATTCGGGTGATTGATGAGATTCCAATTTGTGATCGCTAACTGCTGTTGAATCTGACCAATTATTATAATTCTGTGGGCTCATGAAACTATCATACTTGTCAAACAACGACTTATTGGCATCCTGGGGGTACACCTCATAAAAAAGCCAAAAAGGCAAAACACTCATCGCTAGAGGGAGATGGATGGCAGACTCTAGTGATACTTCTATTAGATATTGCCGTTTTCATCTAGAGGCCACCAAACCACCATGGAAGAAAATGAGCCGACTATTACAGCAATAAAACAACCATGGTGATCATCATCACCAAGTCCACTGTCATAATCCAAATAAAAACAACCGTGGTTATAGAACAAAGATTCAGGAATGTCTTATTTTATGGCTGTTGTACAAACTATCATCAACAGTTAGTTTTTGCCAAGAGTCTAAAAAGGCCAAATTTGGACAACATAGGATCTATCAAAGATGTACATCAGAAACTGAAACATAGAAAAATAGATCTTAGTTGTCGCATTTCAGCTCATGCATCTGAGGCCAATCACACGGATACTCTACAATGAATAAGATAAAAGACATCAGTTTACATATTATCAGTACATTTGATCTTTCTAAGGTAGCTATCTCCCAAAGTAAATGGAAACACAATCTCATCTTATTTCATTACTGGAGACAGGGTAGAGTTTTCCAAAGTAACAAATCAAAACAATGGTGTCATCAGGTTTAAATACCAATATGAGTTAAAGAAAAGATAGACGTGGAAACCAGCGAAAACATAAATAATAATGAATCAAAGCTAAAAATTCAATAACAACCGCTAAATAGATATCCCTGGGAACTCGACAAGAAGATTCAAAAAATATATTGCACATAGAAAGCAAGGTTGTCCTGCCCAAAAAAACATGCAAAGGGAGAGTGACTAGCTGGGAAAGAAATACCTTGACAGAAATTAGCAACATCATAATAGCAGGTTGAAGAGAAGCCTCATTTCTGAATTTATACACCTTATGGACGTCATGATAAAAAATGACAACGGTTAGGATTCTACACGGATGCGCAGGTCTAAGCGAAAATAGAAAAGATATATCCATAAACCTGCTTTATAAGAGGTGGCAAATCATGAGCACCGGCATAAACTTCACCAGCCGTAACAGAGAAATCGATGAATCTGTTTCACCAAGAAAAATCAGTCCCCAAGCAGTTTTTTAATCAAAACAAACGATTACATGAACTCAGTCCCAATATGCCTTTCGAAAGGGATTAATACATCAAATATTAACAAATCAACCAAGTGCCGTAGATGCCACATGGATAAAAGAAAATAGTGAACAGGATTGACTGTGTTTTTGGATGACAACAATGAAGCGATAACATGCTTGCATTACACGAAACTAATAACATGCGTGCACATGCACATCAAAATACTGTAATTATTTCATTTAAACTATCCCTCGCCACTGCACGTTAGTCAGATTTCTTGCATCATTTAGCTGGAAGCCGCTTCTTCGTTGAATTATACAAGCTATGTACGAAATTACACTGTTTAGAGACTCTGCTCATGCTGCTGTGTCACCACCATCTACACTATTAGATATTTTTACGTAAATTATGCATGAAAACCCTGCTCTTGGCGAATTCCGGCAACAATAACCAATACACTCTTAACCTGTAACAGTAACGAGTATCTGAACTTCACAATTGACAAATATTTGAAATACATTCAGTATAGTGTTTAAAACTTGAGAATTATCACCATTGCAATCGAGAATATAAAGGGCATTGCCATCGTACTAAAAACTCTGTTCAGCTCTATAATGCGGAGCTCAAGAAAATCAATGTATAATTGAGGAAATATCCACCACTTCGCAAGGACAATGAGACCCCACTACAAGAAAAGTCACCAAGACCACCATGCGAATTTTTCCCTCTGAGGTTCGAGGTTAAACATAATTATTTTGCTCTCGGGGAGGGTATCTCACCAAAACGTAACAGATACACGTCCAGAACTCAACATTGGAATCGCAAGTTTTCAAACCGGGGAATTCAATGAGGAAATTTCAGACAACGATATCGCCTTCTAAAACTACAGGAAGCAAGAGAGTACACGCGGAAGAAGCGCGTCACCCTTTTATTCAGATAAAGGAAATAACGAATGAGGCAATCACCCCTACTATATTTGAAGAAGACCTGGCGAGTAAGTAGAAGGGTTGCATCAAATTGCAAGGATCGTTACGGGAGCCGCACTTCAACCAGGAGGTAATACGATCTACAACGAACGCGATTCGCCAAGAGATACCACTCCTCGTCGGCAACTCCTTGTTCGGAGCAACAGCTGCCACTGGAACAACTGCCGCAGCGGCCACCCCGGGGGACGAGGTGGCGGCAGGGTGACGCCCCAGCGGGACGGCATCAACCATCCTCGATGCTCCACCGCCGCTCGCCTCGTCGCCTCTACACTCGGAACGTTCTCTCGCCTCCCCTTCGGTCGAAAGAGTGAAACCCGGAGGAAGCAGCTTTTGCGAACGGAACAGCCTGCAGTCTAATAAACGCACCCCGATCGTTACAACCGCCCCAAACTCTTGGACTGTCTAAATAGGATGATTATAGGGTTTTTTAACACTAAATTTTATTTCCTGGATTTATATGTAAACTACCGGACCCGATGGCGGGAATTATTTGGGCCTGAATGTCTCAGCCCAGAAGCAGTTTCCAACTGGTCACCATGGACCAGTGGGTTACGTGGAAGAAGTCCGCCCTCGTCGTCCTCTTGGCTCTTCTCCGGCCGCCTCCGCCGGCGGTGTCCGCCGACCACGGGAAGGGAGTTGGAAGTCTCCGGATGGCCAGGCTCTGGTTCTTCCAGGTCCTCTAAATAGGAATCAGTTCCGTTGGCCAGCCTTCTCCCCTGGAAGACGCGAAAGCTTCCTGGTTCCTGAGTTGCACCGGTACTCCGAGCAGTTCAGTTGGCCGGAGATTCCCCAGGTAACCGTCTCCTCCCCTCGGCACTCAGAGGACCGGGTTCGGTGGGTTATGTCCTCCATTACTGGGGTTTTCCCCGGGACTCTAGGAAGTTAATTCAAGATGGGCTGGGCTCTCGCAGTTTCTCTGTACGAAGCAGCAGAGACGATGACCCTTCAAATTTTATGCAAATGGCAACCGAGGGGCGATCCTCTGAACCACGAGACACCCAGGAAGCTTCGGTGGCGTTTTTACTCTGCAGGAATTCACCGGAGAAGAGAACGGGACATATTCTCTGTTTCTCGTCATTAATCGGCCAGAAATCTACGTATTCTTATTACCGTGGTTGGCTAACCAGTCATCAATACTCCCGAGAGATGGTCTCCTTCGTGGGGATTCGGGATTCGGGAGGCGGAAGCGAGACCGATGAAAGAAGCTTTGCCCCTTTCGAAGATGCAGAGACCGAAACAAAGAACTCAAAACAGAATCGCAGAGAGTGAAGGCGAGGAAGGGAAACCTGGCGAGTTGCATGAGCCTCTCTGGGTGAGGGAGAGGCCGCCCACCGGGACGACGCATCCCCTGCGACGAACCGGCGGCGGCGGCGGCCGCCGCCGCCGCCGCAGTGAAGATCCCAAAAGGGGGAACGCTCCCCATTCTTCTAACGCTCGTTGCACAAATCGCCCGTCAATCTGCTTTTCTGTCGCCCTGGTGAGGCCCCCCGCTGCTAAGAGGACAACTATGGCCTCTGCGTCTGCGAAAAAGTACAAACAGATGGGCTAAGCCGCCGTCCATTTTAACGAAACCTCCATCGACGTTTTTTCTGAAACACGATTTGGTCACCGGTCCGGCCAGTCGGAGGTCGAAGAGGCCCATCTAGCGTTTTTGACGGTCGTCTCTGGTTTTTCTCAAGAAAGATCACAATATTGATAAAAAATCGTTGACATATCTTTGCGTTTTAATGGCCCAAGAGGCCCATCCTGCGTTTTGACTTCTCCACTGAAAACTAGGCCCCGGGGAGTTGTTTTGGTGAGCCTACGGAAGAACGGGCGAGCGCGAGGAAGATTCAGAGGCACATGGCCGACTAGTCTCCTGCAAAAGGAGCGATGCTTCAATCTCCTCGCTTGCTTGTCAACGTGAAGAGACTTTGGACCCACAGCGCCAGGAAAAGCTGTTCTTTTGACTTTTGGTGTGATTCGTGGACTCTTTTCCGTCTCTCTACGAAAGTTTGCACCCGTCTGATAGAAAAGGTTCTTCCTTCGACGTGATGAATCGCGAAGTCTCTCTCTCTCTCTCTCTCTCTCTCTCTCTCTCTCTCTCTCTCTCTCTCGCTACCAAAAACTGCAACGCTCGCTCAGTCCCTCTCTCTCTCTCTCCGCCACGTGCAAGAAATCCAAGCCGGAAACTTGGGCTTGTTGACATGTGGAAGAACTACTGCCAAGCGTAAGACCGACGCAAGCCAAGATGAATATTTAAAGGCCCAAGCGGAAGAGTGAGCATCTCCATCTCCTCTCAGGCCTCTCTATCTCTCTCTCAACCTCGACTGAACTAGAGGGGCTCCCAGCATGACGCACCTCATGGACAAGGCCAAGGGGTTCCTGGTGGAGAAGGTCGCCCACATCAAGAAGCCGGAGGCGAAACTGGCGGACGTTGACTTCACCCACGTAAGCCGGGACTCGGCGACCCTCCTCTGCAAGCTGGATGTGGTAAATCCATACGACCACGACCTCCCCATCTGCGAGATCTCCTACTCCTTCAAGAGCGCCGACAAGTACAACTCTCTCTCTCTCTCTCTCTCTCTCTCTCTCTCTGTCGCCTCCCCCCTTCAGACGTGGTGGCTGAAGAATACAGTTTGCTCCGCAGGGTGATAGCTTCCGGCACGGTGCCGGACCCTGGCTCGCTGAGGGCGAACGACCAGACGAGGGTTGACGTGCCGATCAAGGTGCCATACGACTTCCTCTTCAGCATAGCCAAAGACGTTGGGAGGGACTGGGACATCGACTACGAGATCGCCGTGGGTCTAACCGTTGACCTCCCCCTCATCGGCAGCTTCACCATCCCTCTGACCAAGAAGGGCGAAGTCAAACTACCCACCCTCTCTGATGTCTTCTGAGCAAAACCCTTCCCCACCTTCCTCCTGGTCATTGAGCTCCTCTCTGGCCAAATAAAGATGGCTTCTTTCATATATTTAGGCACAACGATTGCTGCCCGTCCATCGCCCGCGCGTCATCAGCGGTCCCCAGTCCCACCTTGAGCTAGACAGACAAACAATCAAACAGATAGCATGCAACATCTCATCCCTCCGGATAGCTATACACTTCATAGAAAGTCGGCGCCATACATAGAACATAGATGCGGCGGTAAAGTGCAGAATGTGGCTACGCAAAACGCTCATTATGATCGATCACTGCGGCAGCTTCGAGTGGAAGAAGCGTCTTCAATCCGCGCATGAAGGGAAGGTCGGACTTGGTCTAGTCCTTCCCGCCCTGAAGAAAACACGTAATTCAGCTTATACTCGTTAGTCTGGCAACTCTCATTGCACCAGCGAACAGCAGCTCAATAAAAAGCATTTCGAATAAGAATCGGTAAATTATCACAACCAAGTGATCAAAATGCAATTTTTCATGAAGAAGATCGATGCAGACTCATACACCAGAAGGCGGTTGTTTGATCAGAATCGTTTAAGAGAGTCATCAGGAAGTACAGCTGACAGTTTCGGACTGTGAAGAGCACCCAAACACCTGAATTTTAGACGTGGAAAAACCATGGTGAAAATTCTTAGCTTCTTAGCATATGATTTAAGGTTTTTAGTGACCTCTGAAATTGGCTGATTCAGAGGGTGGGCTCACGATTTTCACCTGCAGTAGTCCCTTTCATAGAGACTTCTAATTTCTTTTCCACATATCTTCGAAAGATTTTTTTAAAAATAATTCAGAGGAACAAACTACAGTTCTACACAAATTGCTCCAAAGATGGCGATCAAGCTGCATCCCTATACACAATATCCCACACAGTCCTGGATCAAGATCTAATTCCCATATCACACACATTCTTTCAGGCACGCAGATAAAAGATTTGTCTTAATAGCGTGTCCAAGAAAGATCCAAAGATCAGGTTTTATGGAAATATTGATTAAAAGGAACGAGCAACAGTTACTAAGGAAAGAATACAAGTTACCTTTCGCGGAGGTGTTCCTGGTCTCAATGTGTTGTTGGTCGGACACATTCTTCCTTTTTTCTCCAACGGTTTAAGGATCTGGAAAGAGCATGTTAGGGTATCATCCACGCTCATCATTGCGCCTGCGTTGTCAAACTCTCCACAGTAATTTGGAGCAGAGAAAACAGTAACCAGCTGACGTTTAGCAAAGAACTCATATCCATCTTCCACAACCTGACCGGAAAACAGAAGAAGCTCAGATCCTACAAGCACGCTGAGAGTAGGCAACTGATTAAAAAAACAACTTCTGGACAGCACAATCTGTCAACAAACAGCAGATAAGGCAATGATTTAAGGGGTAGTTTATGTGAGATAAAACCCGAGTGTTGGGACGTCACCATAGAGTGCACAAATCATACGCGATTTCACCATGACTGCTACTGAAAGACATCATAGTATTTGCGTCTATGAAGCTATTGGAGTTAATGTTATTCTGAACCATCAGTTACGGTCGATCCAAAGGAAGGAATGACACCTAAGACGTCCAGTAACTAATACCTTTTATTTTGTATATAATCCTCAATTAGCATAGACTGTGCAAGGACGAGATGAAACATGAACATAAAACTCTCTCCAACAAAGGCTGGAATTCGTTGAGGTGGAGTTTCTTTCAGAGATGGAGAAAAGCAAAAAGAGATTAGAAAATTTATTCTTTCCATCCTTAAACCTTGCCAATAAGTTAGAATGATGATCATCTCCGATAATTCATTTCTTCCAAGTTTATGCCAAATCTAAGCTCTTTGGACACTAAACTGGACGCACAAACCACAAGACCCAAAAGCTTTCCTCTTTCACCAAGTCCCCATTTCACTTCCTAAATCTGGTAACTGGAGAGAAGAAAAATAATGAGAGCCCATCAGATGTGAATCTCCGTATCTGTGTCTACAACATGAGTCTTCCGAAACAGTGTTCTCGTGGGCAGGAGACTCACGTAAAATAATAATTTTTATCAAGCCTAAAAGTCGAGGTGCGGGGGTCCATTGAACTTTTCGTTCCCCTGTTTTCGAGCACAATTAATTTCCTTGTTACTTATTCTTTGTCACCCGCTTTTCTTCCTTGCACAGCTATTTTACCAATTCTACCTTCGACTACAACTATTTTCCCCTTTCTAATCTTCTGCTTCCTCTTCTCTCTCTTTACCATACCCCTATTTTCTCCTTTTCTCCTCACAAGCTCACTGGTTGCACCTGAAACCAGACAAAACAGGTAAAATGGCCAGATTGATCGATTCTGATTCTCAATTCAGTTTTTGAACAATGCCTAGAACAAAGATCAAAAAGAACTAATCCGACCACATATGCAAAATAGTCCACAGTGTGCACTACATTACCAAATATATCCGCCAAGACTTTCAGACATACGAAGCATTGTCTACAAAAAATCATTCTCGAAACCAACATTACCACTTCGCTAATGATTGACCTGCGCCGGTATTTTAGATGGCACTTGTGGTAAATATCAGGGCACTCATAGGTTCCCCAAAGTCAGCCTAAGATATATTGAATGCAGGTCATATATTTAGTGCCTGGTGTCCTGGGTCACATGATGTGCTCTGCAGTCTTAGCCAACAAAATCTTTGATGACATAATCATTACATCAAATGGAGTTCAATGAAAACAGATAAAATGCATTAATATATTACACATGGTTTAAAAGTGAATAACTTTGTTAAATGCGTTATGTTCTAGACGGGGGAATAGCCCACTAAAACATTATACGTCAAAAGTAGAAAAAAATTAAACATAAAACCTAGGGAAATGGGGAAAGCACCGAACTGCAGCAAATAAATAGTTTACAGTCTGTCCAGGCCATACGTGGACATATTACCAGGACACTCAACGTCATTAGTGCAGCCAAGTGTTCAAGTCAGACTTACTTGGTGTGCTCTGCAGATGAGATCTAGGTCATGCTTCTCAAGAAATTCATTAACCTCTTTGGCACCAAAAGTATAAGAAACACCCCTATCATTCATTTCCCAGCCACCAGCTTCTACATCAGGGTCAGACCATAATAAATCACAAAGAAGACCATGATCTGGGACATCAATTGGACGGGCAATATTGCGAATCTGATCCAAGTGCCTTAACTCAGGGGACAACCCACCATGCATACAAAGAATCTTCTCATCAACAAGTGCAGCAACCGGAAGGCATTTGAAGCAATCAGTAAAGATTTTCCACAGTCGTACACTATACTTTCTTTTGCACTCGTCATAGAAACCATAAATACGGTTGATTGAAGCACATTCATGATTGCCCCTGAGAAGGAAGAAATTCTCTGGATACTTTACTTTATAAGCAAGAAGAAGACATATGGTCTCTACACTTTGTTTTCCACGGTCGACATAATCTCCAAGGAACAGATAATTGGCCTCTGGAGGGAAGCCTCCATACTCAAATAAACGGAGAAGGTCAGAATATTGGCCATGAATATCTCCTGCCAACACAAGATTCATTCAGAATTTCCATATCAGAAAGGACACGTAGAAACATTTCCATCAAACACTTCAGTATCATTTATTCATGTACAAACCGCATAATACTCCTGGCACCGGTCCAATGTAGCACAATAGTAAATTATGTGCCATGAGACAATTTAAGCATGGAAGTTCAATAATTGACAAATTGAACATCAAACCTAAAATCAACGAAGACCTATTGTGAAGATATTATCCTTCCCAAAAGAATAACTACCGAATTACTGAATAAAAACAGAATAAGTAACCAAAAAAGACAGAAAATAGGAGAAAAAACTATCAGGTGCAACAACAGAGACTGCGGATTTCATCCTTGAGTATACTTGCCCTATTGATTAAGGACAACTTTCAATACTAATTTGGCAATAGGCTTATCACAGGTTTCAACATCCAAAACTAGTTAACAATATTCGACATATTCTTTGGGCTGACTGTGGGAGAGACACGGGATATCCCTTCATTAAACTTACATCAGGCGAAGACCAGTGCCATCGAAAATCGGCCCTAGAGTGTAGTAATCATTAATTTTTTTTCCTTCTACGGAAGAACCCAAATCAGAGTTCATCCATTTCCTCATGCATTTCTCTTAAACATCTAGAATTTACAGGCGCATGGTGTTCCAAAGCAAGGCTATTTCATTTTCTGTTTTTCATGGTTAAAAAGCATCAGAGTGAGTTAGACCAAGCTTTAATAAAATATCTATCTATATATATATATATATATATATATATAAGGATACGAAGCAATTTACTAATGACATTAATAAGCACAATTAAGTAACTCGTCCACAAGTGATACGAAATCTCTTGTCAGACCTTAATCACCAGATGCATAGTCTTTAAATTCGTAATCAACCAACAGCTACATTAATTGATCGATTGCACGTTTAACAACTCTGGCACTTTCCATAAGTTGCCACTGTAGTCTCAATCATATATTCAATAAATCTTGTGAGCGCTATCCACACCTCAGGAACCTTAAATCTCCTAAATGCTGAATGATTAACTTGATCGATTTTCCTTTACACAGGAAATATATCACAGGAAATTATAAACCCCTGGCGTTCTTCAGAAAATTTTCTTTGCGAGAGCAAGGACTATTATACTTATAACCACAATAAATGAAAGATGCTGTAAACGAATTAACTTTTCCGAATCGATATCTATAAAAGACATAAGACGAAAGGAAAAAAAATTACTACCACGTGCATAATCACCAAGAAATTTATCCGCAGGTAAATATTTTGACAATGTAGGGGCTTACCAAGAGTTTGGTTAAGATAATAAACAGAGATACCACATCTATAACAAAATTACTTCACTACACAGATGCTATATTTCCTTCGTATACAGCTACTGGAACTTTAGGGTAAAGTACTGAGATGAGGCATCATGCATATGATTTCCCACTAAATATCCTTGTTTTGAATTGCTTCATTTCTTATTTTTTAAAGTGGCGTATCTGATGGACATGAAATAAAGATTTAGCTTTCGACTTTATTCCTGTAATTTTTTATGCTTCTTTCCTAATGAGTACTTACTCATTATGTGCTCATTACGACAGCATTCATTTGTATTTTCATATCGCATCAAATTTTATACAAAAAAGGAACAAATACACATTGTGCTAGAATTTCTCCAATCTCTAGCATGTAGCAATTTAAAGAGAAATTTCGAAATTGATCAAGCACATGCTTTCATATAATCTTAATCACGCGCTGCCCACACCCCCTCTTTTCCTCCCTCCCACCCGCAGCAAGCTCACCCATTACCTCCTCAAATACTGCAATGCAATCCCCCTCACTCACTCCCCTCTTTTTTCCACTCTTGGCACCAGGTGAAGGGTGTACCTCCGGCCCCGTATCTACTCAACTCTTCTACTTTACTCTCATATTTGAAAGTAATCCAACATCAGAGGTTACAATCAAATGGCAACGCAAATCATGTCAACTCCCCATCTCATATTCCAAATACAGTCTTCGAAAAATGTCTTCTCACGAATCCCACAAATGATGATTTTCATAAAGTATTTCCAAAAGCCGAGAAAGTGTAAACCATGCCGGTTGTCATACAAGTTTCTTTCCAAAGATGAATAGAGCATTTAAAAACCCGTTTGCCTAAAAGAAAGAAAGCAAACAGAAAAGAATTCGCTGTCAGGAGACCAACGAGTTGAGCTCTGACCAGGCAACACTCTGTACAGTCAACACTGAGAATAAGAGCACACTAAGAACACGAAGTCGCTTCTAATGACGAAAGTCGGAATAATTGTCACAGTGGAGAAACTAAGAAAGACAGAATACGAGAAGGCGATGGCGGTGAGTGAATAATTATGTCTTCAGTTTGACAAAGTACGCTCGCTTTACCGCAGATCTTTAATGGTGCTTCAAGCTCCAATAGGTTCGGCTGGCTCATGAAAATCTCCTTGGCGTCGAGGCATAGTTGCCGGATTTCCGCTTCCAACAGCGGCTGCTTTGCGTTCCGCCCGCTTTTAGTTAGTCGGAGCCTCTGGATGATGTCGTCCAGCAAACTCCTGTCCATAGGCATTATATCTGGCCTTCTTTGCCACTTGGGATATTTCACAAAAGTACCAAAACTTCCAGCTCCGAAGAAATCCAATACAAACCAGTTCCGACGATCAACCCGCGAAAAGAGAGAGAAGAGCGCGGAAAATCTCCACAAAAGCAGAGATCGATGTGGGCAAGTAGGTGGAGGGAATTGGATGCGGTAATAGGATTGGGCAACGGAGAAAGTATGGAATAATCCCCGACGACAGCAGCAGAAACAACACCGGCAGAACGACCTCTAAGTAGACGGAAAGATTCCCGGTTCCCTATCCTGCTATATCCATCCGCCGATGCCCCCACGCCCCTTTTCCTAGCGACCTGACGTGCTACTCGTGGCTACGGCCGGTTTTCCTTCATCCTCCCCATCTCCCTCTTTCTCTCTCTCCCCCTATTCCCTCTCGCCCTCCGGCGTATCCCAATGACTGCTAGACCGGAGTCAACCGAAGCAGGTCTTCCCAATGGCCGCTGCCGTCGTCCTGTAAAACTCCGTCAAGGGGCTAATCCCACTCAGCCCTAGCGAGCATCCTCCTCCGGAGGAACCCTACCCTCCCCCCCGGTCCCTCCTCTATTTTCTGGTTCTTCACGTCGCCCGGCCAAATCTCCTTGTCGCTACTGTGATGAATCAACTTTCTAAAACGGTTTTGGGCCGGGCTGATCGGTCTTGTTGGACCAGTAGTATGGCCCAATTCCGAGGCCCCGTTAATCGCCTGGTCAGACAAATAACCCGGTAATCGTCTTCGTAATTAACCCATCGGCCCTCCACCATCGCTATCGCGGTTCCGTGGCTATCGCCGGAAGCAGAGGCGGCTGGTGGCGGAGAATCGGTTTCACCTACTACGGCGTCCTATTTCTCGAACGTCCATTCATAGGAGAGGGAGGCGGCTTTCTGGTCTACACCGCGACGGAAAACCTTCGTTTTCCCTTGGGTCGTCCTTCCAGAAGCGCTTTCGTCGGCGGTGCGGTGCAGCGTCACGCCTGCTCGTCGGATCGCTGTTGGAGTGGTTCGATTCCCTGCGAATGGCGGGTAGGGCAAGGCCCATAAGAGGTTTGCCGTCCCTCGGCGGTCGAGGGTCAACCCGGGTCGTCCCAGTTGGGAAGACGGAGCTACATGGCGACACCCGACTGGCCTACCGACCGCCGATGGCGACAGGTTTTGGGCGTCAAATCAAGAACGGTGTCAACATCGGACCGCCTTCCCGGTCCCTGTGGACTTGCCTTTGCGTGGTGGGCATGCTCGCCAAGGTAGAAGGCGGCCAGCTGCTCCGGGAGAGCCTCCATCACCACCTGCTCCCGACCAACCTCTCTCTTCACCACCTGGTCAATTCCCATAATAGTTTTGAATTCTGTCGTCGATGAAGAGATCTCAAGGAGCTCCTTCCAGAGGGAGGCGCGTGGGATTAGTTTCGATCTGACGCCGAAACCACGAAAGAGACATTGTTCCGTCGGAGAGGCGTGCTCTCCTATGACGAAAGATCTCGAATATCAAAAGTTAGAATCTTGGTGCATGCCTAAGTTGGTTATTAGAAAACTGTGCCATAGTCTCTACATACGTGCGTTATTGCGTGTTGCAGCGGGGTTGCTACGAATTGGAAACCTAAGCTTCCATGACTCCTAACAAGTGTGACGGCTCTAGTCAGAGCAACGTGTGGCATCTCTCTCTCTCTCTCTCTCTCTCTCTCTCTCGTTTCCTCGTTGTCATCACTCATCGTAGCAATCAGGGATCCGCTTCCATGACGAGTCTTTCTCCCACTCTACCAGCACACTGCATCCTCAGCGTCTGAACTTTCCTCCATACCTCTGTCTGTTTCTCCCCTCGCGCTATTCATCCCTTGTGAACGTCATGGCTCGTGAAAAGTGGAGATAGCGGCACTCCAATCTACAGAAATCCGACGTAGCTCCTCTGCCCTTTCTCTTCGTCTCCACCACAAACAGAAGCAACTATTGCGGAATGTTGACTGCTATGACTAACACTGGACCCTTCCATCACCCTCGAGATAAGAATGGCAGCGACGTCCGCGCACGGAGTCGCTGCTCCTCTCATCTCCATGAGAGTTTGCGGTTGAATGGACCTATCGCTCGTCCTCTTTCCCTATTCTTCATCCTCCCCCTCGGATAAATATGAGAGATTGGCATGTGGTCCAGGCTTAAGGTCTCTTCTCAGCCCCTTCTTCCTATTTTCTTCTGTTCTTAGAAAAGTTTTAATTCCTCTTTCAGATATTTAATTTCTATTTTTGTTCTCTGAAATTTCCTCTCTTTTTATTTTGTGCAAAACATTTATTTTTGGTTGATAAACAGCGCCCAACCCCGTGGTTGTTCGAGGGCTTTTATCCAGGATTTGATTGATGAGATGAGATAGTTGTAAAAATGTTGACGATCAAGACATTCCTAATTTAATGTATTTATCACGCTGGTATAGTTTGTCCGATTCATCGAAAACACAAAAATTCTAATGATATTTCCAATCCGATTATTTCAAAATTTCGAGTTATTGGATCAGAAATAATATACAAGAAAAAGTCACCATTCTATATTGACCTATAAATGACGGAAATCTCTCCTCCAAACCAACTCTCGTGCTGGCATGGGATCTTTGTCCAACCATTTGATATTTATCACAGAGGAAGTCTACCTTTAGATTTGTTTATCTTTGGTATTTCAACGACTATTTTTTGTCCACAAAACTACAATTTTTTTCTTTTCCGTAGATGTTACGTTGACTTTGAATATTCTTTTCAAGGAAACGTGAAGCACCCTCAAAATCTTATATTTAAACCTTTCTTGTGCCATCACAACAGTAGATAAATAGACACGTTCCTAGATATGCAGAATTGATCTCCTGTATTTTCTCAAGAAAAACCTGAACCCAACGAAAGTTCGGGGGCATTTTCCCATTTGCTTCCCCAATAAATTATGTAGGCTGCATTATTTTCCCATATTACGCGAAGCAAGCATTAGCATACTAGAAAATTGTTCACATTTTCTCTCGTACTACGGAAAAATTAAATGGCGTACTTATGATGCGTTGACATCTTGCTTCTGTCATGATCGGTTGGATTCACGGCGATGGTGTTTTAAACGGTTATCAATCATCCTTGCGCTTGAACGCCAAGCTTGGATCGAAGGAATTCCCAAAATAGCTACTTTTCCGACCTTGATCAGGGGATATCCAGTACAACCTCCAAAACCTCGAGGCGTACGACCATCTCCAAGCGGCGTCCCGTAGCACTCAGATGGGTGTGGGTTAGTTGGGGCTGGTCTCGTCATTTCCTGCTAAAGGCGAAATGGTCGTCGTAGGCTATGTCATCTCCTCTATTGATTATTGAATTCAACGCCGAAAACGGGAATTTTTTTGCGTGGGATATACTTAGAGGGATATCTCTGAGTATTTTAGTCAGAATATAGTTATTTTTCTCTGTTGTCGCACGGTTCTTGGGGTGACTCACGCTAAAAGTCAAAATAAATGAAAATATGAGAGTCCTTGCGAGGAAGAAAGAGATTGCCGATTGACGGGGTCGAAGATATCTATTATAACTTTTCTTCATCGGAGAAGGGCGTGCTGTCTTCATCTTCACCCTTTTCCCGATCCACCGTCCGGGCCACCGAGTCGCCGAACCGCATTCCCTAGGACCTTCCATGTCCCGCCAGCGTCGGGAGTGTATAAAGGAGGAAGACGAAGGAGGGGATCATTTGTTTTCTCCCCGGCATCTCTCTTTCCCTTTTTCCTCTCCCGCGCAGAGCATGCCTTCTTCTGGTTGTCGTCCTTCTCTGTTCGCTTGAGTGCAGTTGGATACAGAAACGATAGCTTCACCTCACGGCTTCTTCTGATTCCTACCCATGTTTCCTTACCCTGTCATCCCCTCGTCTTAGACCCCATCTCGACCCGGTCTGCTTTCCCCATCTGAACTTCTGGATCTCTAGTGCCCTTCCTCTGCCGCCAGTTTTGCTCTCAACGCGGAGATGACTTTCCACACAGACGACCAGGGCGTGTTTCTGAGCGACCACTTCCACTCACTAAAAGCGGCCCCATAATCGCCTCCACCTTATCCTCCACCACTGGCATCCCTCTCTCCCTCCTCCACACAGACGCCGCCGCGGCGGAGGGGAGAGGCAGCGCCACGGTGGTCGAGCGGAAAGAACAGGAAGAGGAAACCCCACTTACACACAGAGGCCGTTCCTTTCTGTCTCGGTGGTAATTGAATTCTCTTAAGGAGGTGCTATCAATTTAGACGAATGAGGAGTTTCTCGAGTCACGAGAGGCGATGGGCATCAGACACCGTGCCGAGCAGGGGAATCAGCGCTACGTCGTCGCCGGCAGTCTCTGAGGCTGCCTCGTCAGAGGAGTTCGTTGAGGTGACTCTCGACTTCCAGGACGACGACACCGTCATCCTCCGAAGTGTCGAACCCGCCGTCGCACCCACAGCCTGCTTCGATATAGAAGCGGACACCCCGGACCGCAGAGGTCCCCCCTCAGAGTCGGCCTCTGTGGCGTCCGCTTCGCCGTCGATCGGGCGCAGCTCGTCCCACGGCCGTCTGCGACAGTTCTCGCAGGAGCTCAAGGCGGAGGCCGTGGCCAAGGCGAAGCAACTGTCCCACGACCTCAAGGCCGAGCTCCGAAAGTTCTCCTGGAGCCATGGGCACGGATCGAGGGCCACGGGATCTTCGCTGGCGGCAAGTGCGGGGATTGCGTCTGCCGTGCCCCTGGACTCGGCGCTGGCTGCGCGAGCGCTGCGCAAGCAAATGGCGCAGCAGGACCGGGCGCGGTCGGGGGCTCACAAGGCGCTGGGGGGACTTCGGTTCATCAGCAGCGGCAAGACCAAGGACGTCGACGCGTGGAACGAGGTTCAGGCCAACTTCGACAGGCTGGCCAAGGACAGCTGCCTCTCCCGCTCTGACTTCGCACAGTGCATTGGTAAGAGAACCACAGAAAAGCTACACCTCGACGAAGAAGCTATTAGAATTGTTTACAGGTTCTCATGGATTTCAGGGATGAAGGAGACGAAGGAATTTGCATTGGAGCTGTTCGACGCGCTGAAGCGACGGCGGCACCTGGGGGGCGACAAGATCACCAAGGAGGAGCTCCACGAGTTCTGGTCGCAGATCACCGAGCAGAGCTTCGACTCCCGGCTGCAGATCTTCTTTGACATGTACGGTAACGGTTCCCCAGACCGAGTGAATCAAACAGTAGAACCGTTTTCTTACTCCAGTTTGACCCCCCGACTTCACCGTCGATTCCTCACTGCCCTCAAGTTTCTCACCGCCAGATTCACCTGCTTCTTCACCTGCAGGGTGGACAAGAACTTGGACGGCCGGATCACCGAGGAGGAGGTTAAGGAGGTACTTCCTTCCCTCATTATAGTGCCATTATCCGATCTATCGGTGACTTGGCAGAGCCTCGAAGCCTTATATCTTACGATGTCTCCGACTAACAAAATACCATAACTTGATGAGTCCTAAACTAATCTCCGTCAGATCCCAGTGCCTTCAGTTCTCCCTGCCCTCCTCTTCTATTTGATTCGGTGAGAACCAAACCCAACTACCCCCACCTGCCTTAACCCTCGGCAATCACTTCTTCATCTCCGCCTCCCCCCCTCTTTCATGGGCAGTAGAGGACGACGCTTTGACCGTCGAGTAGGGTTTACCGACGCCGGGTTAATGGAGAACATATGACAAAATGCCTTATTGGGCGGCCTAGGTTAGTCTTGACAGGAACCTTTTCCTTCCCCAGCTTTAGAATTGCGTCCGCATGACGCCGTGGGGCTCGATTCTCTCCAGCTAAGGGAGGTAGGTGAGGGGTATTCTAGGAAACCCATTGTGAATATCTCCCTCGTGGCCGTCATGCTTTCATGCAATTGTTACCGCGTCAACGTCGTTTGATCGACCAGCTAACGCCAGATCTTTAGTACGATTTTTCCTATTCTTCACCTTTCTCTCTTCTTCAGATCATTATGCTGAGTGCGTCCGCCAACAAGTTGTCGAGGCTGAATGAACAAGCTGAGGAATATGCGGCTCTGATAATGGAGGAGCTCGACCCCGAGGGGCTAGGCTACATCGAGGTGGGGACTTTCGTAACTTAATTCTTCATAAGTATAATAGACGACTGTGCAAAGAAGATCGTTGATAACTGGTGCAGTCCACGCGCTTTTGCTTGTCAACTGGATCCGATTTATTCCGGGTTTATTAGGCCCTGTCTGAACGTACCTCATGTCTCCCAGCTTTAAGTTTTCTTGCATACGACCCCTGTCCAATTAAATAAAGAGCGTGTACCACCATAGGAACGTTGAATACTCGTCGGCTTTCAACTGGATTCGTCAGCAGATAGCGTTTACACTCTATTATTATGAGAATTATAATAATCAAATATACGGGAAATGCGTGACGGTTCAGAAATTTTCTGTGGCTCAATGAACCAGGTAGAAAGCGTCGAAAGAAATTAAAAAACCTTTAGTGGGTGGAGAGTTAGCGTTCAAAAGATGGTGGGTATTCCACCGATGCATCCCTTCCCCGAATAATTGGGTGATCTGATCCCTTTCATATGTTGGTTCTGGTTCTCGAAAGCTATCTGGTTCATACATAAGGAGACGTTTTAGGCCCGGGTCCTTGTTCCGTTTGTTGTACCCGGGGTTGTCATCGAATATATTAAGAAGATGATACTGATAGATATTCAGCGCGTAGAGAGAGAGAGAGTAATGGAGAGAGCTGGGTGCGGGTGGCCGCTGAACAATCTTCTGTTGTGGTGCAGTTGTGGCAGCTGGAAACGCTACTGCTCCAGAAGGACACTTATTTCAATTACAGCCAGGCTCTAAGCTACACGAGCCAGGCGCTGAGCCAGAACCTACAGGGTCTGAGGAAGAAAGGGCGTATCCGGAAGCTGAGTACCAGGGTGGTCTACTACCTCGAGGATAACTGGAAGCGGCTGTGGGTTCTGGGTCTATGGATTGGCATCATGGCGGGGCTGTTCCTATGGAAGTTCTTCCAGTACAGGGACAAGTACGCCTTCAAGGTGATGGGCTACTGCCTGACCACCGCCAAGGGAGCCGCGGAGACCCTCAAGTTCAACATGGCCCTCATCCTCCTCCCCGTCTGCCGGAACCTCATCACTTGGCTCCGCAACACCAAGCTTGGCCAGTTCATGCCCTTTGATGACAATATCAACTTTCACAAGGTAATATCAACACCATAATGCTTTACCACTGTCTCGTGTTTCAAGGCGGAACTGAAGTGTCTGATTTAGACATGCAAGCTCAATGTGTTCATTTTACTCACTATCGACCGAATTCGGGTTGAATAACCAGAAAGCGTACATCCCTACTATACACATTGCCTGCATGTATCATTTAATCCGCACAAGGCAGAATTTTCCAAATGTTGATCTTCACTTAAATATACTATACAAGAATTATTCCATGTCTAATTTATAAGTAATTTAGGTGATCGATATGCGTAATTAAAAATTTCATTGCTGATTAACTTTGAGTTGTACAACCTAATTTGCTAATAGTGTCAGATTGTCTCATGGTGGAGTTTCAATGGGCTGCATACCTTTGATTTTCACTAGTATGGTCGTTTAACTGGGTACGTTCCCCCACTGCAGACGGTTGCGGCTGCCATTGTCGTCGGCATCATCCTCCACGCGGGGAATCACCTTGCCTGTGATTTCCCACGGCTGATGGATGCCTCTGATGTGGAGTACGCTCCGATGAAGCATGATTTCGGAGAGATCAAACCGACCTACGCGGAGCTGGTCAGGGGCTGGGAGGGCGTTACCGGAGTACTGATGGTGATACTAATGATAATAGCCTTCACGCTGGCCACCCGCTGGTTCCGGTGCAACGTGGTGAAGCTCCCGAGGCCCTTTGACCGCATCACTGGATTCAACGCCTTCTGGTACTCTCATCACCTCTTTGTGTTAGTCTACATCCTGCTCATCATCCACGGCTTGATGCTCTACCTCGTTCACGAATGGTATCGCAGAACGGTGAGAGACCGTCCTCTCCGGCTTGCCCGGCTTCCATCATCGTCTTCGGCATCCTCCTTTCATCGTAGCTAAGCCCATCTCTGTTTCCATCTCAGACATGGATGTACCTTTCCGTACCCTTGCTTCTGTACGCCGGGGAAAGGATCTTGAGAGCCCTCAGATCAGGTTACTACTCCGTCCGCGTCCTGAAGGTAAGTCCTTCGGGGAAGACCTACCAGTTCAGGACAGGAATGCCAGGCAGATTTCTCTTCAACTGACTACATCCGTACACACGCTCAGGTGACGATATATCCCGGGAACGTTCTGTCCCTCCATGTGTCAAAGCCTCCGGCCTTTCGCTATAAGAGCGGACAGTACATGTTCGTTCAGTGCCCTGCGGTTTCTCCATTTGAATGGTCAGTTCAGAAGATGTTTCTTTATCCTCACCTTCTATCCCCCACGCCTGCGCTGCTGCTCCTCTGTTCTTTCTCCTGATTTTTCCCGCCTGTTCCCGTTTTCCAGGCACCCATTTTCAATCACATCGGCTCCTGGAGATGATTACCTTAGTGTCCACATTAGACAGCTAGGGGACTGGACGCAGGAGCTGAAGCGCGTCTTCTCGGAAGCCTGTCATGCTCCCGTAGCCGGAAAGAGCGGGCTGCTGAGGGCGGATGAGACCACCAACAGGTATATTTTCTTTTCTTCGTGGACGATGGAGAGGAGTTTGACCTCAGAGTCTTCCAGTCTTTTTGATGGTTGATATCTCGTATGTCTCGCGAATAGACGCAGTTTGCCCAAGCTTCTGATCGACGGGCCATACGGAGCGCCGGCTCAGGACTACAGGAAATACGACGTTCTGCTCCTCGCCGGTCTCGGAATCGGGGCAACTCCCTTCATCAGCATACTGAAGGATCTGCTCAACAACATTGTGAAGATGGAAGAGCAAGCCGTGAGTAGATCTTCTCGACAATGGGAGGCCATTCCCCTATTCAATACTCCCATCCATCATCCTCATTGGACAAGAGGATTTTCGAGAAAATAAATCGCACCCCTGTTTCAGGACTCCAACCCAGACTTCTCCCTGGGCACGGACGTGAGCTCTGGATCATCTGGCTCACCGACTGACAGCAGCGTGCACCCAAAACGGAAGAAGATATTGAAGACGACGAACGCGTACTTCTACTGGGTGACCCGAGAGCAGAGCTCCTTCGACTGGTTCAAAGGAGTCATGAACGAGGTCGCGGAGCTCGACCAGAGGGTAAAAAGATCGCCCTTTTAATCTCATGCTCAATTCGTTCTACGGCAAGATGATTCATGACTGACCAGCTTTCCTATGAATTTATTGGGTCTGCAGGGTGTAATAGAGATGCACAACTACCTGACGAGTGTGTACGAAGAGGGAGATGCTCGGTCAGCCCTCATCACCATGGTCCAGGCCCTCAACCACGCTAAGAACGGTGTCGATGTCGTCTCCGGAACTAGGGTTCGTAAGCAATTGTCATCCCTTGGGGGAGCCCTCGACTAAGAGAGAGGCCTCCCTCGACCCCCACAACAGATCCTTCACCTTCTTCCACAAGCCCGTTCTAAATCTCCTGCTTTCTGCGAACTGCAGGTCCGGACTCATTTCGCCAGACCCAACTGGAGGAAGGTCTTCTCGCGGGCATGCTCTAAACACCCGAACGCTAAGATCGGTAAGCGAGCACGTTGAGCTCCGATTATCGGAGAAATCTAACATCGGAAGAGAAATAAATATTCAGCTACTCGGCGTCTTAATCTCTCGTTTCCTTCTGACGCGCCTGCAGGGGTTTTCTACTGCGGCGCTCCGGTGTTGGCCAAGGAGCTGAGTAAGCTGTGCCAGGATTTCAACCAGAAGGGCTCCACCAAGTTCGAGTTCCACAAGGAGCATTTCTGAGGCGCAGACCCCTAAAGAAACTTCTCCTAAAATGTATACAGAGAGATAAACATACCAGCGCGTAAATAATGTAGAGAGTTGGCCAGGTTCGCGTCCATTAGCCCAGCAGGCCTATTGGATAGAATTTTGATGAAATGTGACACAAAAGGGAAGAGGCGCCGCCGACGACCGCCCCGCTTTAGGGCGTCTTCAGTGGAGGAGGCACTTTCGCCTTCGTTGTCAGGACACACACCTCATTGAAATCGAGAGAGATGAGACAGCAGGATTCACTGTTGATCTCTATAGATTTCTGTCGGGTCTCTTCTTCTTCTAGAAGCTCTCCGCCTACTCCGACCAACCCATAGCTGCTCACCGGATTGCCGCCGAGGGTTAGTTTGGACTAGTAGGTTCAACCGAAAAAGATCTCTTCTTTAGAACTTTATCAGTGTGAGAACCTTGAGAAGCAAGTGTGCCCGCAACCTCACTTCAATCTATTTGTAAAAGTAAAACAGCAAAAATATCATTTTCTGATCGCTCTAATTTATACCCAAAATAGTGAGGTTGCTATCGAGACTCAAGTTTGAGTTACATAGAGAGAAAATGAGGAAAATGCTTTTTAATATCGAGGACGTGTAAGCTAGTTAGTATCAGGCGGTAATTATAGCCGGAGAGAAGGGGTCGTTTTGTCCTGGTCAACCTTCAGTTTATAGCAAGACCTCCACCCGCCCCATCCCCCAAACGGAAATAATGTTTTCCGTTCTAAATCGCCAGGATGGCCGCTCCATGCTCGCCTCCATGATCTTCATATAGTCAATCCGCTGCCCTAATCTTTATATGGTCAGTTTTCTCACTCGGCCCTCTATCCACCATTAGTCAGTTCTCACGCAGCTGCTGGTTGTGCGGAAGAAGAGTACTAGAACCATGGAGTCGTCGGCGACCGCAAAGAAGGGTAGCATCGTCCTCTACCCCTCCCCAGGAATTGGGCACCTGGAACCCTTGTTAGAGTTCGCAAAGATCTTGGTGGGGAGAGGTTTCCCAGTGACGATCGCCATGTTAGATCCTTCTTACATCTCTGGCTACGCCGCTGCCTTCATCGACCGTGTCGCTAAAGCCCACCCAAACATCCTATTCCACCGCCTCCCAGCCGTAACGCTTCCGCCTTTGGACAACAATGAACCCCTCACCTTCGAGCTCATCCGGCTCAGCAATGCCAACCTCCACCGCTACCTCGCGTCGAGCTCGCCGATCGCCGTCGTCCTAGACTTTTTCTGTGCCGCGGCCCTCGATGTCGTCACTGAGCTGGGCATCCCTGCTTTCTTCTTCTTCACCTCCTGCGCCGGCGCTCTGGCCGCCTTTATCCATCTCCCAGTGATTGACAAAGCAACTACGGAAAGTTTTCAAAATCTAGGCGACACACTGATCCAATTCCCCTGCCTCCCGCCGATTCCTGCAAGTCACATGGCGGTCCCGTTGCTTGATCGGCGGCACGACAGCTACACGGGATTCATCAATCTCGCCACCCGCATTATAGACGGCGATGGTATCATCGTGAACACCTTTGAGGCGCTTGAGCCGGCCGCGTTGGTGGCAATTAGATCAGGTCTCTATCTCCCAGAGGGCGTCCGCACACCGCCCATCTACTGCGTCGGCCCCCTGATTGCTTCAGAAGACCAGGAGAGGGGGGCAAGGGCGGAGTGCCTGTCATGGCTGCACTCGCAGCCTCCAGCGAGCGTCGTTTTCCTCAGCTTCGGGAGCTTGGGCCTCTTCTCCGAGGAACAACTCCGGGAGATCGCCAACGGACTGGAGACCAGTGGGCAGAGATTCCTGTGGGTCGTCCGGAACCCACCAACAAAAGAGGAGTCTACGATAGACGAGAAACAACGCGAACCCAATCTCCACTCGCTGCTGCCAGCAGGCTTCCTCGAGCGCACCAGGCGGCGGGGAATGGTCGTCAAGTCCTGGGTCCCCCAGGTGTCGGTGCTGGCTCACGAGTCGGTGGGCGGTTTCGTGACTCACCTCGGCTGGAACTCAGTGTTGGAGGCCATCTGCGCCGGCGTTCCTATGGTGGGCTGGCCACTGTACGCTGAGCAGCGGATGACCAAGGTGTTCTTGGCGGACGGTCTGGGTCTTGTGGGCGTGATGGAAGGCTACGACAAGGGTCTCGTGTTGGCTGCCGAGGTGGATGCCCGGATCAGGTGGCTGATGGAATCGGAGGGCGGAAGTGCCCTTAGGATGGAGACGTCCGTTGCCAAGGAGGCGGCCGCTGCCGCCATGAAGAATAGCGGATCGTCCCAAAGGGCCCTCGAAGAGTTTGAGAGGGCCCTCTCTATCCCACGGCTTCAATAATTCCCCCATCCGGTCCCTGTCTGTTCCAGGCCACCGCTCTTGCTACTTCACTCGTCAGTCATTCATATCCTTGTGATCGATCCAGCGCATGGTTCGCTAAATACATGTTCTTACCGCGTCTCTGGTTTCTCGTTTCGCTGTCGTCTTGTCGAGGCCCCAAAGAAGAGCGAGCGAAGTCGGAGAAAAAAATACGGGTTCAGTATGTATTATTGGATCCGTCGAGGGCGGCAACATAGATATACTGGTATGCTAATGACGAAAAATTTAGGCGGAAATTGTCATCTTTTGACCCTTACGAAGCGCGAGTCGTCACACATGGCACCAGTTTGGCCGGCCTCCAGCTGTAACAGCATGCGATCGGCACAGAATTCTTACCCCTGGGGGAAGAGGACAAGCCGGCCGCCTGACAAGTCAAGAGGGCGCTTATGAACCAGTGGCGAGTGACAGTCAGGCAAGAGGATGAGCATCCTGGCGGTGGTCTTTCTTCACCTGTACCGTCAGCCAGCGGAAGGCGGTGAGCGGAAGAAAGCCATGTCTGTTTCACAGCGCATGCGGCCGGAGTGAATATGGTTGGCCACCGGAGAACCAGGAACTTGGATTTACGGACGAGGGAACGTCGCTTGAATACTGGGTTGAGTCACGGGTCGGGAGGGCACCAGCAAGACGACAGCCTCTGCGAAGAGGCGGAGCAGGGGAGAGGTGGAGGAGCGAGGAGCACGCCATACTAGATGACAAAGGTACTTCCCATTCGAAGTGTGGGGGGTGGAGTCTCTCGTGAACTCTTTAGGGATGCTGGTGGTGAGGGTGGTAGGGGATATGGGGTAGGATTGGACACCCGTGATCCCTCTCCGTTTCCGTCCATTATCTTCGTCGTTCAGTCCATCTTCACCCCGTTCGATCCTAGCGGGAGGAGGCTCTCCTTCCATTATCGTCCTCCCCATACTCGACGAGCACTGGCTGGTGTGTGCTTTAGTTGGTGAACAGAATAAGCTGTCAATTTTGCTAGGAAGAAACGGAACGCTCCCATCAAGAATCTAAATTGAAAGGGACGACGGGATCGAGAGTGGGTTTGGTCATGCCTGGTTAAGTTACTGCGGGGTTATATACCAAACTATGCCCCTGGGCTGAACAGGAAACAAGGAAAAAGAAACAACACTAACATCCAAATAGGCATGGAGTGGCCACCAGCCCACGGGATCCCTGTAAGCCTTCCTCCGCCAATTTCAGCTGCTTCCCAGCTCCCGTCGCTGCCGAAGCCACCATGGGAGATCAGAGAAAGTCGCAGACAGTGGAAACCCCGGCGCCGGCACCGCCATCCCGCCTTAAAACTTACGAGCTGACGGCCTGCTCCATCTCCTACACCAAGCCTACCGCCCTTGCCACTGCTCTGTTCAAACCATTATGCAGCTCGTCGGCGCCACCAGCATACATCCTGAGGGACGTGACGTTCACGGCACGCCCGTCGCAGCTCCTCGCCATCGTCGGCCCGAGCGGCGCTGGCAAGTCTACACTTCTCGACATCCTTGCTGCCCGCACGGCCCCCACATACGGTTCCCTCCTACTCAACTCCGCTCCGCTGCACCCTTCCACCTTCCGCAAACTCTCAGCGTATGTACCCCAGCATGATCTCTCCCTCCCTCTCCTCACTGTCGCGGAGACATTTGCCTTTGCCGCGCGGCTTCTCCTTCCCAACCCTTCCCGGTCTCCCGCCGTCATCGCTTCCCTCCTCACCGAGCTACAGCTTTCCCACCTGGCCCACACACGCCTCTCCGGTAACCTGTCCGGTGGGGAGCGCCGCCGAGTCTCCATCGGCGTGAGCCTTCTTCATGACCCGGCTGTCTTGCTGCTCGACGAGCCCACGTCGGGCCTTGACAGCTCGTCTGCCTACAACGTCATGCTGATCCTCCACAACATCGCCGCGTCCCGGCGTCGCACTGTCGTCGTTTCCATACACCAACCCAGCTTCAAGATCCTCCGCACAATCGACGCCATCCTCCTCCTCTCGAAAGGGACTGTGATTCACCATGGTACTCTCTCTACCCTTGAGTCATTCCTAGACTCCAGCGGCTTCACGGTTCCCCCGCAGCTAAATGCATTGGAGTATACAATGGAGATCCTGAACCAGCTACACGAGAGCGGGCCTTCCACACCAGACTCACCACCTTCGGACTCGACTCCTGGCTCATCTCCTTTTCCTACGAGATCATCCCCTCTCACTTTTGACGTTGTAAAGGAGATCAGGTACACAAGCTCAAGAGCACGGGAGATCGTCGCCCTCTCCTGTCGCCACTGGAAGATCATCTTCCGAACCAAACAGCTGCTGCTAACTAACACCTTGGAAGCACTGGCCGTAGGGCTAGTCCTAGGCACCATCTACATTCACCTGGGGTTCGACAAGGAGGGGATGGAGAAGCGTCTGGGCCTCTTCGCCTTCACCCTCACCTTTCTCCTCTCCTCCACAACGGAGACCCTCCCCATCTTCGTTAACGAGCGGCCCATCCTCCTCCGGGAAACCTCCAGCGGCGTGTACAGGCTGTCCTCTCATCTTATTGCCAGCACCATCGTCTTTCTGCCTTATATGTTGGTCGTGGCACTGGTCTACTCTGTCTCCGTCTACTTCCTCGTGGGCCTCTGCACGACATTGCAGGCGTTTGGCTACTTCCTGCTTGTTATATGGGTGCTGGTGCTCATGGCCAACTCCTTCGTCCTCTTCCTCAGCTCCCTCGCCCCCAACTACATCGCTGGCACCTCCTTGATGACGGTCTCGCTCGCGGGATTCTTCCTCTTTTCCGGCTACTTCATCTCCAAGGACAGCATGCCGCGTTACTGGCTGTTCGCTCACTACCTATCGCTGTACAAGTACGCGTTGGACGCCATGCTGGTTAACGAGTACTCCTGCTCGGCGGCGCGGTGCTTCCAGTGGCTTGAAGAAGACCGAGCGTGCGCTGTGACGGGACGGGATGTGCTGGAACAACGGGGTCTGCGCGCAGCTCAGAGATGGACTAATTTACAAGTCATGGTGGGGTTCTTCCTTCTCTACAGGGTTCTCTATTGGATCGTTCTCTCCAGGAGGGTCTCCATCTCGAAAAGATGACCGGCCTTGACTGAAAAGGAAGATGAGAATCACTCTTTGGAAACCTTTGCTTGCACTCGGTCATGTGAACGAGCCGGTGAACGCCGAACATCTTATTCATAGACAATGAAGGTTGTCGATAAGAATCTCTTTAATCGTCACGGAGGCGATTAACCAACCTGTCACATTCTGACTTGTGCTACCAGCAGATTTCGGCTGTAATTGCCCTTCTTTACCATCGTCGGAACATGTGAGCTCCGTTCCCCTCGAGATGAGCAACTTCACAGGACGAACGTTACGGGCCTAACCCTTCAGAGCCAGCTTCACGGAGCGGATCTGTGGCGGATCCGGCGACGGGTGGAGAAGGACTGCAGATAGGACGCCGGAAGAGACGAACGGACGACAAGTAAATCGTGGATGCGTTACCCCGTTAGCGGGCGGAAAGAACGGGGGCGCGACGGTTTCCGGAGTTCTGAGAATAAAGGCTTGTTGGTGCTGATGAGGGCGACCAAGGCCTGTCCGGGGTCAGAATCGAGGTGAGTTCGGTTCTAACCACGTGACAAGAAGCCTCCGGCGCTGCCAGCAGCTGCTCCTGCTGCCGTCACCGCCAACCCCCTTGTCAACGTCGAAAGTGCCCCTTGACATCAGAAGAATGCAGGGCGGCGAAGCAGAAGGGGAAGAGAGGGGGGGATGTCTTGTGCAAATGACGCGGGAGTAGAGAGAGAGAGAGAGAGAGAGAGAGAGAGAGAGATGCGAATTGGGGTCATCCTCTCCGGCAGGTTGTGTGGCTCTGGAGGCGAAACGAGGGGTCGACCTAAGTACAAAGTTCTTGATAACCCTCGCAGGACTAGACCGTACATCTTCCGCCCTCTCCGGCCAAGACGTGGATCCGGTGGGTGCGAACGCTGGAACCGTCGCTGTCGCCGTTGAGCTTTTCGATCCTCACCCCCAAACGGTCTCGCCCCCGGGTTAGTAATCATCGTGCTGAGTCGACCCTCCGTATCATGTGATGGCCAGCTGCGAATGCCATCTTAGTAGATGCCGCCACGAGGTGCCCAGTCCAAATGACTTACGTCTTGTTTCCACTTTAGTCTATTCCTTCTGGATTGTCCTTAATGACTTTGCTTCTTTCTATAAAATATTAATATTTGAAATTCAAGCTTTTGGAACTGAAAATTATAATTTCTTCATCCATCTCCACGAAGACCCACCAAAAGAATGAACAAGATTATTTTAGACATCTGGAAAAAGTATGTTATCATTGATATAAAAGTAGAGAAGTACTGTGTGTGTGTGTGTGTGTGTGTGTGAGAGAGAGAGAGAGAGAGAGAGAGAGAGAGAGAGAGAGTTATATAGTTATATAGAAGAGAGGGAGATTCTTTGTTAATTCAGTGGAAATTATCCCGAAATAAGATATGACCATCAGAATCTTGGAATAAATTTTATCGAGTTAGAGGTCATTTTGAGGTTTGAGCTCTGAAAAAATCCTGCCTTACTAGACTTACTTTACAAGCACGTACAAGCTATGATACCAAGGACTACAGATGAGTATACATCGGTAACAAAACTATCCCTTTTTTAGGCCGGTAGATGTCTTAGTCAATTAACCTCAATTTGGTTTAATTAATTATTTTTAACATAAAGGAGACTTTAAGCATATTTGGTCATATTCTGCTCCACGTTAGATATTCTAATTAATGGATTGTGTTTCTGAAAATTGATTTGTGACCAATTAAAATTGCAAACATGCTTCTCATCCTCTATCCAAAGACTGGAACTGACATTGGCGGCACCAAACCCAATGTTCTACATCTTAGTTGGGTCCATGGATAGTCAATTGTCCCCCACTCTCCCAGTCACATGGGTTCATTTTCACCTTATCCCCTATGAGATTTTAGTGGGAGGGTATGACACTTCCAACACAAAAGACTAGCTTGAAGACACTTCCATTAGCATGAGGCCATAAGGCTGTGTGCTAAGTCTTATACACATCAACATAAGGGTGGCATGCTAAAGTCACACACATTGTACATGCACACAATATGTTGTGGCATATTGTGGAGAGCAAGTGGTTCATGCTTGTACATATGTGGTATAGTAGGATGAGGCCACTAAGACAAGATAATGCTTAAGGAGGCATTATAAAGACCACCTTAAGAAGATGACACCATGTCATGACTCAATATGACGTGGCATGCTGTCTTATACACACCATGTGATAAATGGCATGAAATTTCTTGATCCATGTAGAACTTTTGATGGCATGGTGTGAGATTTCTAGACAATTGTGAGATTTTAGATCTAAGCAAAATGTATTTGAACTAAATATATTTTCAAATGTATGAAACACCAATAAAATAAATAAATTCATCTAGGATCTTGAACAATATTTTTAGGTAATATTCTTTGTCTCAAGAGAAGGTTTTGCTGGCCGTGATGTACATGGTCATTGATGTCAAATTGTGGAAGCCTAATAAGATAGAGGAGAGAGCTATAGACCACATCGACTTGTGGGATGCCATTGTGAAGGGATTAAGTGAGTAGTTCATTTTCTCAAATAATGAATGAATGGTGTTAAAAACACTTCATCAATTGTGCTACATATGTTCTGCGAAAGATTATCAAAGCAACTTTTTTTCATCATCTTGGATGTCAAGATCATATTTGATGATGAAAAAGTCTTCAATTGCATGTCAATTTTGAATAATTAGGCTTATGTAGAGTTGTGGGACTAAAAGTAAAAAATGTGAAGTCAATCACAGTAATTCTCAATGTATTTGTGAACTATAAAACTAACAACACCCCCAGGTCTAATACTAGCACATAGTGGAGGGACATATAAGATATAACCACAAAGGTGGACATAAGAGAAACTGTGGAGTAGACTGTGGCAGCAAGGGGGATTGTCATGATATTGATCATGGCCAATATCAAGATAGGGGCTGAGGTAGGACAATTTCATCAGCTCAAATAGGTGGGGATGCTATGTGTGCCTTAGACCAGATCACACAAGTGATTGCCTATTCATAGCAAACAAGGGCACTCTCAGTGCCATGACAATACAAATGCACATGTAAGAGATTTTGATGAACTTTCACCCACCCACTCTAACTATTGATAGTATTGTGATAACACATGGGGATTGACAATAAAAGTGATCACAATATAATTTACCTTGATACAACCCTCAATAACTAACTAACCATTGTGATGATTGATAGTTGGCTAATCTACTGACTTTGTATTAAGGAAAGAAACAATTTGGTTAGGCATTATGTTATCACTGGAGGACCATTGTGGAAACTGGGTAAAAAACATTTTAGCGAATTCTAAACATAAGACTTGACTCTAGATTAATACATGGGAAGCATAACAAACTTCATGGTCTAATCAATAGATAATTTTAAGTGAGAATATTTCTCAATTAGATGACAAATAGTATGCAACAAGGACTACTATTATTGTCTACATAAGGGCTATGATATAGCTTGAGGAAAGGTATAGCTTGTGTAGGTGCCTAGTTTATGTAGGTGCACTACATAAATATGTGTTAGCACATCAGATTGCATGTGTGTAAAGGCAAGCCAAAAATTGAGGTCGTGTAGCTTGTCTGCCATTGAATTATAGTACTCAAGTCAAGAGGTGTTTTGAATTTTATTCTCACCAATAGTAACCCCAAATAAGGGTGTTTTGTCAAAGTAACTTTTAAGCTGTAGAAAATCATTTTCTATTAATTGCCATGACTATTGCTTTGATTCCTATATTAGAGTTTAAACAAAAATAGAGAGTGAAAACGGAGAAGTTGAGGAAAAAGAAAAGTGTGAGAGATGAGGGAGGGAGAGAGGTAAGGAGTTTTACTACTAAGTTGACAACATAAAAACGGTTTTAAACATAATTATTTAAAGCTATTTTAATATATCAGCGTATTATCTACGTTAAAAGACCAAAAAAGTGATAGCGTATTTTAAACAAGGTTGTTTCATCTAATATAATAAACTTATACATGGCGAATTGCTGTCTCTCCTGGGGGGGGGTCTGGGGGGGGGAGTCTGGGTTGTGTGGGATTCATTTCGTCATCGTTACCAATGCTGGGGATTCATCACGCACCGCGTTGGCGAGCTACATGGGCCGCTCCGACGTAGCCGGTCCAATAGATTTCTCGTGTCCAGCAAGGTCCAAATGTCCCCCAGGTAATCGTCCAATAGATATGGCCCCATAAACACACATAAAAGGGGCCCAATAAACAAAATAGATTGAATAAAATCATATTCCTTCCTCCAATAAAGGCTCATATCCAGAAAACCCAGACTCGGGTAAGATTACAGATCTACCCAATTCATTGAGACCCTTTAGCACGGATAGATGGTAGAAAGAAATATTAGCAGATGTAACCCTTTGTTTTGGATATTCTTGCTTTCACACGTAATGTACTTCATATCCGATCGTTTTCAAAAATCAAATTTATTGATCAACGGATTAGGAAATCTTAGCCGGTGTTTTTTCTCACTTCTATATCTTGTCTTTTTCTGAGAGTTTGATCAATGAATTCGGACTGCATCCGCTTTGAACCCGGAATCTTCACTTGAGTGGATAATAGATCCCCGGCTGTTGAGTCACATATCAATTTTTTATAATAATTTTAAACTATAAATAGCTGGTATCTGCCACGTGAATATTCACATCGTCAATTTTCTAATATTAAGGAAGACCCCTTTTAATCCTAATGATGTGTGCGCGAGTCTAAATAATTGCTTTCGTTTGTCAGTCTCTAACATTTGTATATAAAAAAACGATGTTCTTCCTTGAAATTTCGACAGCATGTTGTGAGCGCTTCCTCAACTGATTTCTTTGTTCCCATCCATTCATTGTGAGGAGAGTCCATGTGGTTGACCTATCGAAAGTCCGACCTCATCCTGTTTTTCAGACTTGGATCCTAGGATCCTTCCTTAGTAGGGAAATATTAACCAGATCAAACCTTGAAAAAATGGGGCCTATCGAATAAATGTCCTTGTGCTCCTCCCTCTCTCTCGCTCTCTCGCTCTCCATGCAACTACTTGCCCTAGCCTCCCCCCTTGAGACCTATACTGAAGATGGTATTTGCCGCAGTCACAACAAAACCGGCCCTCATTTTAACAAAACGTCATCCCTTTCCGCGGGCCGCCTAATCGTTGACTCCGAATGTCCGTGGTTCTTGTCGGTAGCGACGGCGTAGTGGCGACGGGAAGGCGACACCTTTGGGGGATCCACCGCCGGACGACCTGGTGCTGCTCCACCGAGAGTAGTTCGTTTCATCTACTCCTGCCGTCTCTTTTGACTACGCGCATTGCCGAAAACCCAATTCCCACGGGCTCTGAATTGGAGAAGAAATTTTGAGGAGACTGTATTCCAAACCAAACCTCTGATCCTCGGGTAAACAGTTCTATACTCTACTTAGAGGTACAAATTAGTTTCCTATGATGGAAGCTATTTCCATGATTTCACATGGGATTGACCAAGTCCAGAAGATGCCGCGTGTAGGAGGTGAAAATTTCCAGGTAATATATTCAAGTTCTTCATTTCAACGTCGGATTAAGACGTGCACCGAATCAACGTTCATCGAGTACGCGTTGTTCCAGAATTCAAAGAATGAACAGGATATACACAAATACCATATCGTGGAGAAGGGTTCCATTAGTTGACTTCGTTGCCGAGGATCGTTATTGTTTATACTTTTACAGATTTACGACAGATCAACCGACCATTCTTTTCTTGACCACCTGCTCGACGCGTCGTCCTCTGCTTCAAACGGAAAATAGCCCAAGCCAAATCAAGCTCAGCCCCCTTCCCCGTGGTCACCTCTGTTATCATCCGGTCTGTTAGCCTGCTTGTAGATCTCATCACAATGGCGGAGAAGGAGGAGTCGAGGTCCCTGGCCACCTCCGCCTCGGTCGTCCCCATCGGTACCCTGGATGAAGAAGGCGCCAGCCGGTGGCGGTCCGCTCAGTACCTTCGCAAGCGCCAGGGCGTCCTCTTCTGCTGCGGGTGCTCCATCGTCACAGTGGTCGTCCTCGGTTTCATCGCGCTCATCCTTGCCCTCACCGTGTTCAAGATGCAGGATCCAAAGCTCACAGTTAAGGGGATCCATGTCGAAGGTTTGAAGGCGGCAGTCGGCACCAATTCGTCGCTAAACGCGACGATGATGGCCGACATCTCGATAAAGAACCCCAACGTGGCATCGTTCAGATTAGAGAATAGCACTACTGAGTTCTTCTATCGCCGAGAGAGCGTGGGAGTCGCCTCCATCCCGGGAGGCGTCGTCTCCGCAGACCACACAAAACGGATGAATCTCACCGTGACGGTCGTGACCCGCCAAGTTGCCACGCTGGAGAATACCACTGACGGCAGTCCGACGGGATCGGTGAACCTCACAAGCTACACGAAGATTAAAGGGCGGGTGAACCTGTTCGGCATATTCAGACGGAAGCTGGACGTTTTCCTCAACTGCGAAATGACCCTGGACCTGTCCCTCAACAAGCAGGACGCTCAGAACCTGGTCTGCGGAGCGAACACAATATAGAAGAAATCTTCATTTTTTAAAGGCATCCATGATTTCGCGCGGATCACCATGATCGTCACATATATGGAAACCTCTAGCCCAGTCGTCACTTGCTGATGATCACCAAGAGGATCCTGAGGCCTCATCATGCCTCTCAAGAGGAGTCGTCTGATTCAGACCACTACCTCGAGCGTGGATGATTAAAACGTATCGAGGCCTTACAAGAGAGGTTTGAGTCCCCTGCCTGTATATACGTCCTACATCTGGTATGGTTTGGTGTGGTGTGATGTGGTGAGATGGTCTTCTTCTCCAAGATGCTCATCTCCTTTCCTCTTGTTCCTGTCTCCCAATCTATTTTGCCTCTTTAAGGGTGACTGCAATCCGAGTATCCCAATTCTTAAAAAGATGATTACGGATAAGTTCTGAACCAAAGAAAAAATGGAATCCGGAGGAAAATGAGTCTAGGGCAATCATCTGGTATGCCACGGTTTTCAGACGACAGGGCGCAACCTAAGCCCTAAATTTCTTAGAGGCTGAGGATCGATTCTTGGACTATCCTGCTAACGCGATGTTCACTCATCTTCTGTAGTCACTCGAGAGATTGCTTCCTGTCGTCACGTTAGACTGCCATTGCACTGTCAGAAGCTTACGACAAGGAGCAGGGACTCAAAGGTTGAAGCTCCAGGCTGTAGCACAAGATGGGGGATGTCAAAGAACCTTCAATCTGCAGTACCTAGATAAAATCTATTAGCCTCATTCTCATGGATCATGCCTTATCTACAGGCAACGCTTTTGTTGTCTCTCTGGTTAGAGAAGAGTTTCACCATGGGAAACTCTTGGCTTATTTATCGTCAACCATTCCTTTCATCAAGTACTTATCGGCTGGTGGGTTCTATATTAGGAATCAAATCGAAAAAATTGTTGAGTTCGTCCCTCAGCGGGTGGTCATCATCATTAATGGCAGCTGCCCCCACGACCTCGTCGCTCGCTCCTCTCCAGTGCATTGCTAATGAGCTTGCATACGTTGAGATAGTGACCGCTGAACCCGATTATGGACAGCCAAATGCAATGAAACCGAAAATCGAGTGTGGGCCTCGCAAATCATTCACCTTCAGAAATGAATGAAGAAATAGTCCGGTCAACTGACCATCGGTAGAGTCGATTTCTGGGGTTCACTTCTTCCTGCTGCGGTGGACTAAGATAGATAGATAGAGAGAGAGAGAGAGAGGGTCAAAAGATGGTCATAGGACTGGACAACGAGCTTTGGACTTTCAGGGCACAACTATATCATTAAGAAAAACCCAAGTTATTATGCGGGGACTCTGATGATCATCTAAGCCTCTAAAGTGGGCAGAGATAATTTCATGGCAAACGGGCTAACTGTGTTGTGTTCCTATCCTATGTTCTTGTTTCCAACGGGCTTGATTCCCAAGATGGGTTTCGGCCTCGATATGTGGGTGGAAAACAAATGGTATTGGCTGAAACTAGATAAACTCACCCGAGATTATCGCGTGTTTTTGCTCAAAATGACGAAAAAGAGAGAGAAGAAAAGAATCCTTTTAGTCAAACAGATATTAGGCTCGACACCGGGTGGGAAGGTTAGGCACCATAAAACAGTTCCAGTGAGGGACCGCCCTTCTGGCGAGGAGCATTTCTAGAAAACCGACGATCCCCAGAGGAACACTGGACGTTTTCAGACAGACCGTGTCACATACAGCGTACTGCGGTTCTCTCACGGCAACTCACGGTTTTGACTGGAGACTGAAACCTTGACCACACAGAAGAGCGCCCCAAGAAGAATCAGGAGTCGTCAAGAGCTTACATTTCAGAGTCAAAGAAACGCCATATCGCCGGCACGCGGACGACCGGGATGAGTCGAAGTTTTGATAGGAAGGTCACAATACTCGTCCTCAAAGATCTTTTATTTATTTCGTAGGTTCCGCTTTAATTCCGCGGCCAACTGTGCGCGGGAACTTAAAAACCTCTTCCGCCCCCCTCACCACCGAACACAGCATATCATTTCCCATCTTTCCCCTTTCCTCTCTCTCTCTCTCTCTCTCTCTCTCTCTCTCTCTCGGCCATTCTCCTCCCATGTCGAAGGAGGAGCCTCTCGCATCCGGCATGTCTCTCCAGAGAATTGGCGTCGAACCTGTCACAAATAGCGATTCAGGTGGCGACGTGGAAGTTCCCCGCAAGAAGCCCAGCAGACGCCGGCGGTGCGCCATCTGCTGCTGTGTCTGCTGCGGCGTCTCTGTAGTGATCCTCGGCATCGTCATACTCATCCTCGCTCTAACTATTTTCAAGGTGAAGGACCCCGTGCTGACCCTGAATTCCGTGGCGTTCTCCGGTGTCGACGTGAGCCTGTTCAGTCAGTCTGGGCGCCAAGTTCCGGTAAATGCTACGATGAATGCCGATATCTCAATCAAGAATCCAAACGCGGCCTCTTTTCGTTTCCGCAACAGCACGACCGTGTTCTACCACGACGGAAAGGAGGTGGGAGTGGCCTACGCTCCCAATGGTAACGCTAGGGCTCACCGAACGGTCAGGTTTAACGCGACTGTGGACGTGTTCGCCGAGAAAGCTGTCGCGATTCTGACGACGAATTTGAGCAAAACCTTGCAGTTACTAGGGGGAAACAGCGTGAACATCAATCTGCGCAGTTTCACGGAGGTCGACGGGCGAGTAAATCTCTGGGGGCTGTACAAGAAAAACCTAGAGGTAAAGATGAACTGTACCATGACTCTGGAGTATGCCCTTGCCGCGCAGGTCATCAGCAACAAGGATTGCAGAGCTACCGTCAATTAGGAAGACTAGGGGAGACTGTTCCCGATTTATTCATCTATGGGGATCCTTAAATAGAGTAGTACTTAGAGTGTAATGTACATATACCAGTTTTTTACGTGATTTTCTTCTATTCCTTGTGTGATAAACTGTCTGAGAGTTGTATACCATAAAATTCCATACTGCCTATTATGGATAATCATGAATTTTTCTTTCGTCAAATGAGAAAATCCATCGATGAAACGAAGGAACAGCGGCCCCGCGCCGCCAGCGGTGCCTCCGCGTTCGAAGGCGTCTCGTCACTAGCCGCCCGGCGCCGGCTCATTTGACCCCGCAGTAAATGCACGAAAATTGGATGACAACTAACTAATATAGCGTTGACGATCTGATCCGGGTAGGGTAGTCCCATTAAGAGGCGGCTGAATGATTCACGTCATTCGGCATCTCCCAACCGCGCGTACGGCCTGTTAGCCACGGCTCTTTAAATGAATACATTCGTCTTTATCGGAATAAATAAATCATGACTTGGGCTGTCTGTCTTCATCAATCAAAACAAAGCATTATTTTCTGTTGATTTTTTCGATTTATTGGTGAATCATAGCGGACTACAGATACATCATTTTATGGATTATTTCAAATAAAAGTGAATTATTGAAAAAACGGAAGCCCACTAAATTCCTGCATCTTCTAAAGAACGAAGTATATGATCCATGGGGATTTGAAATTTTAAAATGCTAAAATATTTATTTAGTGACAGCCGAACTCGAACTGAATAATAGCCGATGCTTGATTCTCAATGCCACCTTTATTATTTTTAATTACAATCCTTCAAGTTGATTATTTTTCGGCTTTGAGATGGAGCATTAAGTATATTTGAAATATATAAGACAATTAATTAAATCTAAGAGCAGTATACATCCAAGTAGAATCATATTTTCTCTTAAATAATTCAATTACATAAAATGGGTATATTTTCCAAAATTCTCTTAAAAAGTTATCATGAATAAAAAAGCATACTAATGTAGTATATCTGTTTAAGTTATATTGTAGTTGGAAGTTCTATACTAAGTTGAACTGGTGGCTAAGATACCGTGGAGAGAGACCTTGTGATACTCCTATATTCTTAGGTCCAACAATCTACCATCAAATATTGTTATTGACACAAAATTTAATGTCAAATAATCATTCTATTAACTTAGGCTTTCAATTTTTTAATCACAAAAATTTAACGGTTCTATATGTTTTCCCAAATTAAAAAAGTCCAGCTTGCAATACAGAACATCAAGATAAACTTGGTGGGCTTACTTCTGTGATTATTTATCTTTACTCCAACAAGCCTTGAGTTGAATAGGCCTTGGAGATAAACCTAGGTGTGGCCTTAAGTTGGAGAAAGAGAGAGAGAGAGAGAGAGAGAGAGAGAGAGGGAGGACCTAGATCCCCTGGCAGTTTTGTGCTTGTTGAGTTCAAAGCGTGAATTTTCCATCCAACAGTTTGTAGCTGACTGGCCTACGTTAGCTATCTAAGTAATCTAGGTGAATAGTTTAATATTTTTTTTCCTCTCTAGTTGTTTTCCCGACTGTGTTTATGCAAGTTTTCAAGATGCACTAGATGAGTTGAGGCCTAGATGTATTAGACTAAATGAAAGGAACTACTCACTCTAGTGTCATGACATGACTGATTTTTAATGTAGAAAAGGATATAAAAGTATTATCTTGACTCTACACCAGCATTTAATATCTTAACTACTCAATGTGGCTATTATTCTTCTTTAAACTTAGTACAAAGTTCATTTGACTTGTCAATTTAGTTTTGACATATATATTTTTGGTTGATATGACATGAATTCTACAATATATTTTATCCAAATGGGCTTGTGGCTTTGTAGCTTCCTTGATATTACCTTTGGCACCGAATAGTGTATTTTTTTGTCAACTACTCACTACTAAGGAAAAGCAAAAAGGAAGCTAATGACTTCAACGATACCTGAAAATGCTTGGTATTCAGAGTTATGAGTAGAAACTAAGCAGTTTCAGGTATCGTAACTCAGTGTGATTGAGGAGAAATGCAAAAGAGAACATTACCATGTAAACAACAAAAATCTACTCGGTTTTGCCAGTTATCTCATGTCTCGGAGCTGGTAAACAACATTGCCTATTAATATAAAGTAGACCCTTAGTCATTCCACTGCTTTTGCATCTCCCTGCGATCTGCCAAGACCATGGCGTCCACATGGAGTGCATTAAGAGAGTGTCCACATGGAGTGCATTAAGAGAGTGTCCACTAGGAACCTTCATTATACGAAGACATGGAGACCATTCTATCTCTCTGTGTGTCTGTCTCTGTCTCTCTCTTCCCACCCTCTCGCCCTCCCCGTTCGAATGTCATGTGACCACGAGCTGTACGTCCGGGGCATTAAAGACAACGTCATTATTATTATTTTTGCCCTGCTCAAACAAGTAAGGTAGATATAAGTCAGACAGGAATCGACGACCGCGACGGGGCGAAAACCCAAGAACATGGTAAAAAGATCACTCTCCGTTGTTGTGCAGCTTCTCCTCGCCACGGTTACTTCATTGGTTCCAAGATATGGCCGAGACGAGGCAACGAATCTTCCTCTAGAACCGCTCTGCCCGTGCTCCCTTGCGCGTCTCAACCTCTGTTGAAATCGAGAGAGAGAGAATTAGTCTAGTTGTTTCTAACGAGGCTCGGCTCGGTTTCGGCGGAAGAACTTTGGGGAAGGGGGGGACATTCAAACGCAAGGAAAACTACCCCACCGGGAGCTGTGATTTACCAAGGAAAACTAGGATAAAATTACAAATGCAAGATCCACCCACCTGCTGCGCTTTGATAAATTAATAGTTCTACAGTTTCCCTCACATGCCACGTGAAGGGGAGGTGCACAGGTGCGGATTCTCCGATGCCCTGCTACTCCCGGTCACGAGACAAACTCCCCCCCCAAAATCCTATGTAGACAGCAGCCCAAGTCACGGCCGGCAGCCCTTCAAACATAACGACTATTCTCCTCCATCAGTTTGTCTCGTGTGCGGGGATAGTAAGGTCTGAACAACCGCTGGCCCTCTGCCAGCAACCGCGTATACTTGAACTTTTGTCGAAATCAGATATGATAATCAGACTACGGTGCCAAGCGGAAAGGGTAATAATACCAATGCATCTATCTATTAGAGATATCACTTGGTCGTCATGTTACTGGACCCTGATTGTCCTTTCCTTGCCATATTCATTGAAGATTAACTGGGGGGTTGGGGTTGCATCCAGCGCGTGTTTTCTTTACCGTCTTTCAGGAATCTTTTTTCGAAGAATAGAGGAATCTGATTCTTGCCCACCGCAGGAAATGCAATCTCCTTCCCGGATTGAGTTTTACATGCACGTACCTGTTCATATTATGTCTAATAATAGTAAGTTCTAGGACGATTCAACAGAACGTCCTCCCTCGCTCCCCGCCGATGTTCTCCAGCAAGGGAGGAGATTGACGGGCTCCCCTGATAAATCAAAGGGGCCCGGTGGACTCAGGTTCGACGGGACAGGTGGCGCCTCCACTCGTTGAACTGTTCCGTCAGGCTACAGTGACCAAGCTTGTCGGTCAACCCCTCGGGTGTCCTCTCGGCGACATCGCTCCCCTTTGTGCTGGGGTCCACCATTAAGACGGGCTTCTAGTTGGCAATGAGAGTAGAAGACGAGAAACTCTCTAAGGCTCCGTGGACGGTGGGAGAGCCCGAACATCGTAGGTGTTCGCTGAAAGTGACGGCAAATGACTTCGAACTGATTTTCGTATTTATTTAAAAAAAAGATGGGCCACTGAAAATATAGATGTTTATCAACTTCTCCCATATTTACAACATCTACGGCCTTTGATGATCGTTCATTGTTCAGTGGATGTTTCGAACTCCGATTCCGCTCGACGATGAATTCAAGTCAACGCGCATCGGAACAGCAACATTAAAGGGCGTGAACACGAAGTAACCAATGAACACTGCCTTCCATGAATGACTATAAAACGAAATAGTAGAAAGAATAATTAACAATTTGAGAAGCCCGTCCTGACAAGAGACAGGAAAATAATCAGAGCCTCGACGCCGAGGAGATCCCCTACGCAATCTAGGCCGGTCCCGTAAGGACAAGCGGCGGATTCGCCCCTTGGCGTTCGATTTCGGACTCGAGAATCTACCCAGCTAGCCACCAGTCGTACTCCGTCGGCACTTCCGCTTATAGCCCCAGCTCCACCAGGCACGCTTTGCGGCTGGTTTGAAGGCGGGCTTTTGTAGGGCTAAAATCGGAGTGAACCTCAGAATCTTCGCATATTATACCCGCAGACTTCGCTGCGAATCAGGATGAGAGAGAGAGAGAGAGAGAGATCTGGTCTTCACTGAGTCGTTGAGAAAACAAACTTTAATGGTACCAAGGGTCGTTACTAGCAGAGCCGTTTCAATGATGAAAGATGGGAGTAATGCGCTACTGAGGCGTGGGGGGCGAATCTACAAGGGATGGTTGCAGGGGAAGACTGGGTCTTCTCTGCGAGAGCTGGAACAGCGAGGGCTACATAAAATCCTCTCGGGCCTTCTCGCAGCAGGCTGTGGAGACGTCCGGCTCTAAGAAAAACAGAGACGACCGTCTGAGCCACACGGATTGGAAGAAGATGCATGAACAAATACGAGCAGGGAGGGAGAGAATGAACCAACCTTTGCAGGCGCTGAGCGACATCTTGCAGTGCGCAATGGCGCTTTGGATCCCATCTTGCAGCTGCAGGAGTGAATCGTCCCGCCGCCTGATCACCGGCGGAGGAGGCGATGGAACCGCGGCGACGGCCGCGGAAGCGGATCTGCTCTTTCCCAGCTGTTTGCAGACCACGCGAAGCCCTGCCGGAAGGGATCCCGACTGGTTTTGCTTCTGGACAGTTTTGGCAGAGCCGGGGCTGCCGGGAAGCTCATGAGGTGGAGACGAAGCCGCTTCGCCTTCTCTCTTTTCCAGTTCCTTAGACACAGACGAAGGCAGATCCTTAGGGACAACACCTTCCGAACTCAACTGACCGGAGAACCTCAATTTTTCCGCGTAACGCTTCGAAACTCGCACGTAAAGTGGCTTAATCTTGCCAAGATACTTTTGAACCAGTTCCTTGGGCAGCTTCTTCTCCCCGCTAGAAGGCAAGGAAGAATCCTCGGTATCATCAGCCTGCTGCTTCGGCGACCTGCCATTGCTTCCGGTGGTGCTTCTTGAGCTGTTGTCCCTTGTGAAGAGGGACACGATTGGCACCTCCTCGACCTTGAACTTGACCGCTAACAACTTACCCTGGCGTTGAGACGGGTTCTTGGGGGAGGAGACGGTAGCGGGGACAGAGCTAGAAGGGGGTTCTCCCGCGGCTGCTGCTGAGTGGGCGCCCTTGGGCCTCCGAAAACCAAACATAAGGACGCGGAACTTCGTCTTCAGAAGGGATACGGGGAGCATTTGTGACTTTGCGCCGGATTCGGAATGCCTGAATGCGAGCGACGAAGACTCGAGAGGAACAAACCTTCCTTTGAAGAAGAGATCGTCGGAAGGCGAACACGTAAGGTTCGGAACAGCGCGGAGTTCAGTACAGCTTCCCTCGGACGTCAATGTCAGGTCGAACTCCCTCTCGTCATCTGAAGCTTCATCTCTAGCTTCATTCCTCTGTCCTCCCTCTGCGATATCCACGCCTTCGTTCTCGAAACGGGCACCCTCGCTCTCCTCGTCTGGAACAGTAAATTCCAGGTCGAAGAATGGGCCCTCGTCGTCGCTGGAGTCGTCGTCGGTTTCCGTGGCCGGTGGCAAGGCGGAGGAAGAGATGGTGGTGATGGAGACAGCAGGCCGGGTACCAATGACAGCGGCGGAGACTGCGGAACCTCCACCACCTCCGCGCCAGTACTTGAGCAAGCTCAGGACTTCCATGCTTGGGAGAGCCAGAGCAGAACCCGGGAGTCCGGCCGCCGTTTTATCTGCAATCCCTCCTACCCTTTTCCCTCAGATAGAGGGGAGACGGAAAGGAGCCTAATAGGGGAGCTCGGAGTAGGGAGGTAGGCGCTGGGGAGGAAAGGGAAAGGGGGTTTTGAGGGCAGTGAAATGGGCGCTGCAAATGGCGTGACAGGGCGTCAGAGAGCCCGGATGAAACAACCCCACCTTTTAGCAGGGCCAGGACGCAGAGGTTGAAGATGACCAGTTTTCTGGATTTTTTCCCCCCGATTCTTTTAATATAATTTAATGCCTATAAAGGACGAGTCACGTGCCTCGCGGGGGATAGCAGCGCTGTGCGACGCGGTGGCTATCCGGGCCCCTGGGCGGGGCAGGCGGCGCTCCGCCGCCAAGCTTGGGAAGGATGTTAATTCCTCCGGCATCTGTCCGCCCTCAGAATAGAAGGAAACTTCACGAGAGATATGTGTGAAAATAGTTGGTGGTGAAGGTAGAAGCGACCCAGATGCCCTCAGCCCTCTTCTGCTCACCGTATCGCCGGGGCGATCGCGAGGAAATTCGGCAAGAAACGGGATGAGAAATGAAGCTGGGCAGCACCTGCCACCATGGGGAAGGGACTCTTTCTCTCGCTCGCTCCGTGGCTGCCCCCCACAGTCGATGGGCGGTTGACTCATGGCGCCAGCCTCTCTCTTTAAGCCGAATATAAATGCCAGCATGAATGAATCATGATCCTCCTCACCCCGAAGTAGAATGACTCCAAAATCATTGAAAAAGGCTCCTCTCTCGCTTGTGGGGAAACGTGTTAGTGAAACGCTACCCTACCTTCGGACAGCAGCATACTAGTGCAAATAAGTCAGCCTCGATTGATCTATCTATCGCTACCTTTTACTCTCCGACCATTAAATGGCGGCGCGTGGGCTGAGATATGACTAGTGAGGCTTCTGGGGAAGAGCAACGCCGCCGTCGCAGCCTTCTGTGACGGCACGCACAAACAACTCGCTCGCATTTGGTCACATCTCCGCACCCCGGAATCTCCCGCTGCCCAGTCAACGGCCACACTCATCAGTCCACTCGAGTAGAATCCACCGCGGCGAAGGCTTATCGTGAACGCCACCGCCCTTCCCTGGCGGCCTGGCTCCGCACTGTAGCGGCAGCCTGGGGGTGGGCGCTGGGGCAGTTGGTCAGTCACCCTGCGTCCATCACATACGGGAACTCCGAGTTCGAAAGATCCGCAGGTAGACGGCGAATCTAAAGTGGGCCGCGGTCGGCCCCCGATCCGGGGGGGGCCTTGTTGCTTCAGCAGAAAGCTGTAAGATTTACTGACGTAATCTGATGATGCTTATCCTGACGGTAGGTTGTGCTGAGGTTCGGGAAAGCTTCAGGGTCTCGATAGATGACAATCCACTGCGAAGGCCGGCGGGGGTATGCTCCTTGCCTTGGCTTCCTTTGCTCATGGGAAGCCGGCCGGAAGCCGTGCGCGCGCACGAGAAGCAAAGGCCGAAGACGAAGTCGCCGCGAAAGGCGCCTACGCTCTCAAACGCCTCGGCTTTTCATCTTTACTTTACTTCCTCACACCTCGTCCGCTTTGGGGCTTTAATCTTTGATTTGCGCACGCAAAGTTGCTTTGTGTGCGCAAAGATCCTTTGGCTTGACCCACGGAAAGATCCGGCGTGCTTCCTCCGTCGACCTGGAGCCGGCTGGGTCCGGCCAAATCCGCGCCCCGAGTACTCCTCTTGGACCCGTTAATCTACTTCCTAGCGAAATAAACCATTTTTCGCACGACATGAGGCATGTGAGCGGGTGAGATGTCGATTAGAGGAAGCATCGCTATGGGTGGCATGACCCGCGGTAACCATCGTGCCCAGCCTAATTTTTTCTGCGCTCTGGGACTCGGAAAAATGATCAAAGGTAAAAAAAACGATTAGATAGATGAATTCTAGTCGGGCATTCACGAGGCTTCTCTCTCTCTCTCTCTCTCTCTCTCTCCAGCTCTATCTCCAGATCTCTTGGGTGGAGCAAGGCCAAATCAATCCAGGGTACACCAGAAATGCAAACTGGGACAGCCTTCCCAGGGGTATCATTGAGACGGTGTCTCTCAGTCTTCCCTCAGCCCATATCTGACATAGACCGTGTGACAGACTTTCCGCTTGGAGAGGCGAATCATGAGTGTTTACCCCCGGTCGCTCATGAAAGAGTTACACGTGAAGAGATTTTCTTTTTGCTGAGACGTGTTGAATTGCGGGAAATTAATGAGTTATTAAAATTGGTGTGAGATCACTCTAGACATTGGTTACCGGTTTTTGATCGAGTCAACTAACCAATAAGAAATGTTGGCCTTCAACAGGCTTCCAGAGCTACTCAATGCCGTAGGTAGACCCCTTGAATAGCTCGTTACGGACGGCGGAGCAAGGCCGCAGGATTGGAAGATGGTCTGGCACGTGATGGTCAGTAGATGACGACATATCTTCTGTTAAAATATATACGTATATTGCGATATGATACCGTTTCTTAGACCTAAGCCTCGTCTCGGAACCCAACGAGTCCTCGTCTTAGTTTTGAGATCCGAGGGAGCGAATCTGCGCATTAACGTTATCAGGATTTATGAATGCAAGCGCATCCCACCACATGTTTTCTCTTTGGTCTGTTCATGCACTTCAATGCTCTCTGATACCGTAACTTCTAAAAGAGTTATGGCCGTCGGCATATCTAATGACCTCCTCAGCAATGACGAATGCCACATTATAAACTGGAATCTGTAGATACCATGAGTCTTCTTAGAGGGATCTTCCTCCGCGTTTACTTCTAAGCTTGAAGACCTTCCAACTGCATGAGCAGAGGCAATCTTGTGGCTTAGAACTTGTCGTTGGATCTCAGAATGGCAAATTCAGTCGGCAACGCTCGACTCAAGTCTTCCTCTTCCATAGCTTGTTTGAGGTTTTCATTTAGAGTTGCAAGCGTGGGACAAAATCGCGTGGAAATGGGTCTAGATAGGCTCCGGACGGAGTTAAGGAAAGAATACTGGGAGGAAATGAGATGCTCCTCAGAGCCCCCTTGGCTATACACCAACCATCTCCCCATGGACTCTTTCTGGCGTCTCCCTGACGATCACAGCGAGAGTTTGAACCAGTACAGCCGCAAGAGCCTCGCTTGCCTCGGCCAAAATCCACCGCCGGCGAGGCGTTGTCCATATTTACCAACTGATGCAACCTAACCCACCACGGGACGCCGCGGTGGACTGGCACCGTAAACCCGGGTTTTCGAGATGACCATTTCTTGTTGCCAAGTCTTGGAAGAAATTAAGCATGGCTTTCGGGCTTCATGGGCCAGTCCGACCCATTAGCACGTCATCTTGTTCAACGTGCGCAGAAGCCTTCGTGTCAAGTAGTTATATCGACTGAACATGACCCCGGTCAATAAATCATCGTCAACACCTGAGAATCCCGCGAGATTTGGATGATGGGCATCTCTGATAGATATACAAACACCTACGTGGACAGACTACAATCGGTTTCAAATTTGACAACCTTAGCTGTTGTGAAAGCATACTAACTAGTTGGACGTAGTTATTTCTATAAGCATGCTTTGTCAATTATATGCCGAGTTATTTGCAAGAAAAATTATATGTTGCATATCAGAATATAAAAATACAATTAATTCCGACAACATCAGGAGAAAAAGAAGCATTTACCTATTACAGAGATGGTGCGATATTTGAGAACACAGTTATGTTATTCATCTCTTTGACAAAAGTACTTCCTTTGCAACCCTAATTATTTAGTACTCAACCTCTGTATTTGTAATTGATTAACGCCTTATAAGACTTCCCTTCATCTTATATGACCTCCTCCCTCAAGTTAAGATATACTATGTTGCAAATATTTTCTTATCAAGGTCACTGATAAAAACAAAGTGAATATAACCAAGAAGAACACCATATTTTCCCCTTTCAAATGGTAAATGAACATATGTTGCACCTTCCAAATAATTATTGATTATAAATCTACTTGATTGCATCTCCATACTATTTCTCCCAATCTACCATATACTTCTAAATAAAACCACAAACATCCTATGGCATATCAAGTATAGTACAAAAGACAATGCACATCAAACAATCAAGAGCACTAGTTTAAGGTACACCAAATATTCATATTGTTATGTATCTAATTTTTTATAGTAAAGATCGTCTACAATGTATAAGTTAAAGGTGTCTTAACAATCTTTGTCTTCATCATATTAAATTTTGTTACTAATTTCTATATGTATTATTTCTAACTTAATCAAGGATCTCTTTTAAATCTCACATAACCATCATAGAAAGTATAATATTAGATAAAATAATGTTTTATGAGACATTTTCATTGAAGTCAATACATTTCATCTACCAAATCTTTTTACTATTGGATGAATCTTGTGCTTGGGTAAATCACCTATATAATATTATCTTGTGTCGTGCATGAAATATTCAAATGAAAAACTTATGATCCTCTAAAAAAGAAACTTTAAACTTTTTTGAGGTGTAGTGTCCACTGCTATCCTTGCTTAAAACTTGGACATACTTTTCAACTTTGGCTTTCCACTATCTTAATGTGTCTAAATTCTCTAAATTGTGTTTCAAATAGTAGACCTATACTTTTTGCCTTCCAATTTTTTGTTAGAATAAAATCTCTAAATTATTTTCCAAACAATAGATTAATACTTTCCTAGAAGTCATTAAAAAAATAATAAAATATATAATTGATGTTTATGAAATTAATTGAGATACCTTAAAGACAACTTCATGCATATATTTAAGAATTGTTTACTTCATAAAAAAAGTACCAAATTTAACTTTACACTATTTTTGTGATGAAGCTTGATGATTTTTTGTCTTAAGATTTTTTTATTAGTGTACCAAAAAGACTTTAAGATCAAAGTACCCACGAGACTTGCTAATTTGATGTTAGCAAAATAATCACATCATCCTCAAAATGATGCACAACACCTACATCACTTGCTTTAGCCTTAGAAAACAACCTGCATTGCCATTGGATTTTCTCTCCCTTCAGAACAATGCAAGCATATTGTTTAGCTTTCAAAATACTACGAGCATTACTATAAGATAAGATTTTTCTCTTGTTAATTAAATATTTGACATGTCTCAAAGGCTTGATGACTCAATCAAACATTTTATTTTTTCAGTTTTTTTCCTAAAAAAATATGCTCTTAATTTTATTATTGATGAGATCTCTTGTTCTTCTACTATTAATGCATAAAAATCATACTAACCTCTAAATGGAAACATGATAAGAACATTCAAAATAAATTCACATGTTAGAGTCATCCATACTTGAGGAAACTATTACAACATATATTTTTGTTGTCTGAACAAGAGGTGATGATGTCTTCAATAGCTAGATAGATCATTAAAAATCATGTTTTACTTTTTTTAAAGCCTAGAACAATTTGTATTCAAAATAGAATTACTTACAACAGTGATATTTAATGTTCTTATTCAACCTATATATTGAATGATTTTTCTTGCCCCTTTTATGTTTCTAAAGTCATCTATATTATCCAAAATACTAAAATATTAATCTGTCTTTAAAATGGATTTGACCTCTTGCATCTTTAAAGTGTCTTTATCACATAAGATGATAGTCACCAAATAGTAAAAGGCTACATTAATAATGAGATAAGAAGAATAACTTGATCACCTTCGTCCAACCTAGCCTAGGCTTTAAGATCAATTTACTGAAAAAACTCTTGTGAGTTGGCATGACTCAACTTTTCTTTCTATTCTACTGAAAAAACTCTTGTGAGTTGGCATGACTCAACTTTTCTTTCTATTCTACTGAAAAAACTTTCAGAAGTCATTATTGTACCTTCAATTTTCTTAGCCATAAATCAAAATAAATCTTGCCATCTAATTCCACAATCTCAAACTTTGTTGTTGACGTCTTTACAGCATCAAAATTTACAAAATAACCGGAATATAGCTATAACTACAATTGCAATTTATAGAATAGATGCACCCAAATAATGACAAATGCATGTATAGATACAGCAAGATATAATTTGAACAACAAAAATGCAAAGAACTTATACACCAAGATTTATGTGATTTAGAGAAATCCTACTACAAGCAGGAATAAAAATATTTCTTGAAGTACAAGAACAAACAAAAAGAGAACATTATAAGATGATTGTATTGCTTTTGTCAATACATTGTTCAAAACTCTCTCTTCAAAGTGGGATACTCAAAATAAACCTCATAATTTTAAATGTGCATCATCGATCAAAATCAATAGAGGAATATCTCGTAACACGTATCAACCTTTGCCTCTCTATTCAACCTAAACGAGAGAGAGAGAGACACCGACCAATGAAGGAAGAAGCGAGATTCTCCTCTTTCAGGCCAGGTCCTCAACTTCTCCACGTCTCTCCGTCCAATTTCCATAGGAGAGAGAGAGAGTCCCTTCGCCAAACTTATTTGACTATTCAAATGTTACGTGAAAACTGTTACCGTCTGGATTTGGACACGTGCTAGCGATCGCTATAAACTGGCTCACCTTCGTTGCCCCTTGCCGGCAAGCCCCTTTCGTCCCTCGACCCGTCCCCTTTTTCAGCAGTCTCTGGTCCTCGCTTCAGTCATGGCGTCCTTCACGGTCTCGCGGATCGCTTCCTCGTCTCTCTTATTGGCTAGGTCGGTGGGCTGGCGGAGCAGCCCTGCCGGGATGCTCCCGTTCCGGAATCCCCTTCGGAGGGATACCCTGCTTTGCGGCTCCTCTGAGGGGAAGGATGCCGCTGCTCTTCCGAGGGGCACGATTTCTTCCTTCTTTTTCTCCAGGAAGTCGTCGACGACGTCCCATCGAACGGGTGAGAAGGCGGCGATCCTCATAGTCCTCGTTCTCCTCCTCTTCCTCTCTGCTCTGCTTCGGCTCATCTGTTTCTGAGAGGATTTTTGCCGATGGATTCAAGGCGAGGGGAAGGTGCAGGAGCTGTGCGTATACGAGATCAACGAGAGGGATCGGGAGAGCCCCGCCTACCTCAAGCTCAGCCAGAAAAAGACTGAGAACGCACTGGGTGATCTCGTCCCCTTCACCAACAAGGTAATCGGCCATTCTTCCGACATACTCTTCCCCTCTTCAATCTTTGGCGACAAACTCCCGGTCGAAATGGGAACTCTTGGCTGAATCTGTGCCGTGGGCGGTGCTGCTACAGCTATATCACGGGAACCTGCAGAAGCGGGTTGGGATTACGGCGGGGATCTGCATCCTGATAAAGCACCTGCCGGAGAAGAACGGCGACCAGTACGAGGCCATCTACAGCTTCTATTTCGGGGACTACGGGCATCTTTCCGTGCAGGGCACCTACCTCACCCACGACCCCACCTACCTCGCCGTCACCGGCGGCACGGGGATCTTCACTGGGGCCTACGGGCAGGTTAAGCTGGAGCCGATTGTCTTCCCCTTCAAGCTCTTCTACACCTTCTACCTCCAGGGGATTCCCGACCTCCCCCAGGAGCTGGTGGGCACGCCCGTTCCCCCCAGCCCCACCGTCTCGCCGACGCCCGCTGCTGTTAATGCCGAACCTCAAGCTACCATCAAGAACTACACCAAGTGAGGGGAAGATCCGGGGGGGTGCAGATCTAGGGCAGCCCTTGTTCCTCCTCTCGGAATCTCGAATTCCTCCGGTCTATTTCGCTGGTTTCATTCCGTCCTTAGCTCGTGGGTGAAAACTTCTGACAGAACATCCAGACTGTAATTGACCTGTTCTTTTGGAATCCATCTTAGACGCCGAAAGGTGGCCCCCTTTGTCTTATCCGCCAGCGGATTGCTTCAGATATTTTGATGGGCCATGCATTGCTGTCGGTGGACCTTCTACCTCTGCATTGGCCAAGATAGCGCACGCCACGAGGATCTCATATTTTGAGAAATATCATCTCTCCGACTGAAGAGTGATTGATCCCCATGGCCAGAGGAAGTCTTCTTGAGAGAGAAGGTGAAGAGGGTGGCCAATGGGGGAGAGGGATGCAGTGCCGGGCAACACGACGTTTATGTAGGATAACGTCTGGAGTGACCTTGTATTCACCGGAAACTTCGTGTTGTCTACGATTCTGACAGTGAGTACAACAGCGGAGACAGTTCCGTGAGTCCTGTCAGCGTCTTTGACTAATCTATCCATCACCGAAGTCATGGCCGGCTTTCCTATGCTTTTAAAGAGCAAGTATACTATTCGCGAGCACCAATGTCGAGCCATTAATGAACTTCTGGTGCAGTGATTCTACCGTCCGGCACGCGCTACCATTCTAGGTTCGATGCGACTAACCGGAACCACTGAGTTTGGGGATTCTCGGGGCAGACCGGCTCCACCAGACAGAGACAGTCCTTGGTCAGCACAGCGGAGGACTCCGGAGAGGAACTCTGTAAGCAGAGCCGCCTGCCCCGGGTACCCGCGGCGGCGAGGTGAAACCCGGAGATCACGGCCCAAGTGCTGTGGAGGTCGCCGCACTCCGTGGATAGCGTCACCGGGAGGCCGTCTCCTGCGATCCTCAGGCAAAGAGAAGAGTTCGTCAAGAAGACGGGGGCTCCGCTGCCAGCGTAATGCCATCTGGTGCGGTTTCGGCAGTCGCTCAACACCACGTTGTTGCTCCCGTCGGCGTGGAGGCACTGTCCACTCAGTGGATGATAGATCAGTTGGTACGCCGGAGCTGAAGATCCTGGGTCTGCACCGGCGGAAATCATCGGCTCTCAGTGGTGTGTCTGAGGGAGGCTAGTATTGAAGTAAGAGGAGGGAAGGGAGAGAGCGAGAGAGATGAGTTCAGGTGTTGAAGTGGAAGGCTTGCCTTGAATCATATCCTGGATGAGCCGGAACCTCTCCTGGAACTGGGGGTTTCTGGGAAGCTCCCAGTCGGAGTCCAGCACCCCGTATGTCTCCTCGAAGCCGGCGCGACCATTCCGCCAGTAGTAGCTCCCCTGCAGAGCCCACAGAGCCCAGTCCAGGTCTCTATCCGCTGCGAAGGCCAGGAAGCAGCTCAGAAACTGGTTGTCGGCCCTGTCCTCGCCCCTCTGGTCCACCCCGAACTCGCTCACGAAGAGGGGGAAGCTGCTCCGGCCGCCACCACCGACGAGGAAGCCGGCCCGAGCTTCGAACCCCACCGCCGCGTCGGAGCAGACCCGCGTTGGCGACAGGGCCTCCCACTCGCGCCGCCGCGGGAACGAGTACCAGTGGATTTCGAACACCAGCTTCCCGTCCAGCAGGGAAGGCAGAGGCCGGCTGCTCAGAAAGCTGAGATCCGTGTCGTAGCTGAGCCCGGAGACGACCACGAGAAGGTCAGGGTTCGCGTCGTGGATGACGGCCTCCCCGAGTGTGACGTAACGATACCAGTCGGCCTCGCTCTGCCGGGGGCCGCGGAGCTCGTTGCGTAGGCTCATCCCCACCACCTGGCGCCGCGCAGGGTGAAACGGAGGTTAAACTCACTCCGGTGGTGGTGGCGGCTGCCGCAGTTGCAGTCACCTGAGGGTGGTCCCTGAACCGCCGGGCGACCGTGCCCAGGCCTCGCAGCCACTGCTCGGGGTCGAAGTACGCGTCCCCGAAGAAGCCATTCCCGTCGTCGCCTCCGCAGCACCACTTCGGCCGGGTCACGTGGTTGTCGAGCACCGCCATCAGCCCCGCCTCCCCGATCGCCCTCACCACCTCGTCGTAGGCCTCCCTCACCGTGACGCCGGACATGGCCGGGTTGTTCGCCGCCACTCCGACCTCCGCCGAGCTCAGCGCCAGCGAGCGCAGCGACCCGGCCACCGTGAGATTCTCGTACCTCGGACTGGTGAAGAGCTCGGTCGCCCAGGTGAGGCGGACGCAGTTGAAACCCAGCGAGACCACCCGCGCCGCTATGCTGTCCACGGGCTTCCTGTCCAGCCCCTCGGCCAGCACCGCCGGCATGTGGGCCGCCCAATTCACGCACCGCAGCTTCACGCGCCTCCCCGACACCGCGTCAACCACCCACCGCCCGCTCGTGGACAGCGGTAGCGACATCGCCCTGCGTGGCGCCCACGCCACTAGCAGGGAGAGCAGTAGCAGCAGCCGGACCCACCTTCCTTTCCCGGAGGGCATTTGGAATCTTCCTCCTGACACTGGCTTCGCCGGGGCAGGGCAGCTTTTATCGATGGCGGACCCCCCCCCCCGGGGAGGGGGGAGACCTGGCGGCACGGGGGAGCTGACCTCGCAGCATGATGGCGAGGTTGTTGGGGTCATCCTGTCCGCATTCATGATCTGCAAGTCGTCTGCAGCTCCGACTCCTGCTGCCTAACCCAAAGAAGCTCCACCGCATTCCCAAGAGGGGTAACCCCCGGCATTTTTCGCACTGGTTGGATGAAATATAGAAACTATTAAGAGAGTTGCCCATTGGTGGAAGGAGAAAGTCAGTGAAGCAGTCCGGGTGGATTATTTCGATTAATCGAGCACAAACTCTAACTTAGACATCGTAAGTCAAATCTCAACGACAGTTTTTCCTCAGACTTACCGCCATATCAGACAAACCGGATTAATAAATTACACAGAGAAGCTCGTCAGTGCTCTACGAGGGAGCTCCAAGATAGGAGGCCAGCCGCAGGAGATCGCTAAAGATGCCACCTGCAGTCACCTGGGCGCCTGCTCCGGGGCCACGGACGATCAACGGTTGATCCTTATATCTCATCGTAGTGAACGCGATGATGTTGTCGGATCCCGAGAGCTGCGCGAAGGGATGGCTCTTCTTGTATCTTCTCAGCTCCACTCTGCCCCTTGCGTTGCTCACCTCCACAACGCCAACATACCTCAACACCTGGGAAATTAAGCGCCCCAGAGACAGGAAGAGGTTGATGCAGGCGAAAAGACGCTAAGAAAGTCGAAGCGGCGAAAGGGAGGGGGTGGATAAAAATAAACAGCGGTACCTCGCCTGCAGCCTCGGCTTCAATCCGTTTCTTTGACAGTTCTTCGTCGAAATCTGGGAGCTGGATCATGAATTCCTCAGCCGATGCACTTGACTGCGGGGGCATCACCATAGATTGGAATCAGAGAGTCACCCTTTCAACTTTTTATGGAAATGTTTTAGGCGATGCTCACCCTCAACTCTTCTGGGACAAGGTTTTCCACAGGTATGTCGGAAAGTTCCAGCTTCAGACCAGACTCCCTCGCGAGGATTATGACCTGGGAGAGGAAGAGTTGGTGCTATCTTAATTGGCATGCGAATCAAACGTGCATTTTCCTTAAATGACGGAGCTGAATGATGCAGAAGCTCTATTGTCATCTGGGCATTGGGTGCCTAAGAACTGAAAGAGGGTGTCGAGAAATAGGCTGGAGCGACAGGGCAACACAAAAGAGGAAGCGCAGCAATCGGAGAAAGACTTACTTTTCTGGCAACATCAGTTCCAGATAGATCATCTCTTGGATCCGGCTCAGTGAAGCCGGACTGCTTTGCTTCAGCAACCACAGCACTGAAAGATCGCTCTCCCGCAAAGTTGTTGAAGATGTAACTCAATGTTCCACTTAACCAAAGAAAAGAAATAATCAGAAAGACTATGGAAGGAGTATGTGAAAGCGGCAGGACTATTGGTTCTATAAATAATCTAGGGACTGACGGAGATATTCAAACATATGCCAAGGAGGATAGAAACTCTACAATGAAATCTGAAAATTAGTGATAGGAGCCGATTTTCTCGCCTATGCAAATATCTAACCTGAAAATCCCCTCAATCTGTAGAATCTTATCACCAGTTTCAAGGAGACCTCGCAAGGTGCTGATAATTGGGAGACCAGCCCCAACTGTTGCCTCATAGAAATAATGAGTGTAAGACCGCCGTTGCAGCGCGCGCAGCTTCAGATACTGCGTTCGGTGCGCACACGTTAGTAGTCACCAATACAGCACTTGGTCAAAAGCGCATGTCATCAGCTGGTTCTTATACAGATTAATTTGGAAAACTTTCAAACCAACGAAGATTGAGATGCCTTCCATTCTACCCTGATGCCATGGATTGATTTAACGATAGAAAGAATATTTAGCAATAGTCCGTCTCCAAACACTTGGTCAGCGTCTAGCGAGATGAGCAGACAAAATTTATGAGAGAGATTTTTCTGTTTTTTAGCTGATTCAGCTACATACTATACTTTTTCCGTTCAGTTTGGCGAAAGTAAGCCAAAGTTCCAATACTGATAAAAACAGAACGCGAAAATGAGATCGGAGCACAAGTTAAATAGATAAGTGAACTTAATGGAAAGAGGTCAGACAACCGAATATGAAAAATATCAGACACCTTTTTAAAACTGAGAAATAATCACACATATAGAAGGCAAGACGAGAGAGTCATTTGGAGATCAGATATAGCCCCATGAATATAAGAGCAACCAAATGCCAGCAAGGTCGTCAACATAATTATGCAAATAGGTGAAATATGCGACGAAAAACACGTTCACAATGAAATCTTGGCATGAGTTAGCATAAGTAAATGGAATGAAGTAACAAACTATTCGATATACATAGGGGATCTTTGGGGGTCTTGTTCCCTTTTGCTAGTCACTGTCCCTCGTTATGCATGTATACTTGGAAAACTCAAAAGGCAAATAGTCATCAGAAAACTGGAAAACAGTTGACTCAGTTTAGCACAAGAAATGCCCACCCGATCAAGAGGTCCTGAATTGGCCTTCTTGTTTGGCGTAATTACATGGATTCCCTTGCGTAACCAATCATAGTAGTGGTTTGCAATACCAGTGTCCGCAGTACAGTCTATGAAGACAGTGTTTGGGATGAATTCATTTCCATGAACATGCTGTGAAAATTTTTCCAAGTTGGCCTCTTCTGCCTTCTCGTTTTGGAGTTCTCTCCATCTTGTCAAGTCTAATCCCCTACATGAAACCATCAAAATTAAACAAAATGATATCTCATCTGTGTTAAAATTTCAGAAATGCCCTAAAAACAATGTCCTTTAGAATACATCAATGACAGCGAAACAAATCACACGTAGCGCAAGATACCAACATACTTCACTGCTAATTTGAAGAAATTAATTACAGATTGAAGAAAAATTTAGAGAGCTGTTTGTACACACAAGGGAAGGAAAACGCATATAGTGGCAAAAGGTTACAACTTAAGTTACTAATCTCGATGGAAGTACAACGATTTGTACCATAAGACTGAGCTACCTGGGCTTAAAAAGTTCTCTTCGACTTCTGTGCATTTGGAATGCAGGAATCATTCAAGGCATTAAACACAGTTTTGAGGAAAGGCACTTCCAAGCGTACATAAGGAAAGGCACACAAGGAATAGACAAACCTAGAAAAATCTGTAACTCTCAAGCTTTTCATGAAGAGCGGAAAAAATGGATATGGCATGGATGCTCACACATCTCACAACTTAAGCAAATGGTAACGAATGGCAACGAATGCACAGATCCAGGATAAGTTATGCAGGCCAACATATACATAATTTATTGATTTCATTAAGGTATGTACGACCTAGAAAAAAAAACCTTTCCACTAGACATAAAAAAACTGAAGGTTGCACCAAAATGAGCATACTCTTTTTAAATTATGCATTAAAGAACATGTTTTAAAGATTAAATACGGTGAATCTCATAAGCATTGTCAGAGCAAGAGAACCTATGCCTAATGGGAACCAAAGCCAGAAGAGAATGGCATCGTTAATACTATGAGGCCAAAATACATTTAGCCGCATCTTAAGCAAAAGGGTACAGAGGGCAGAAATGACAAACTTCGAGTGATCAACATATGTGGAAATGGTGCATGCAGTTGCACAATGCAAATCAGAGTAAAAAAAGGACAGCTTACGTGTTGCTCAAAACCATCTTTCTAGACCCCGCAATTCCCATGACGCGCAAATCAATATTAAATTCCTCCTTAAGAACTCCCGTCTGTCAGAAAAATCGTTTAAATCACTTTAGTGAAGGGAACACTTTTTTGGAGCTCTGCAAGGTAATGGCTTAGTTAAAGGAAAATTTCAAAGACAAAAGTCTAAAACTATAGTGTTGTCTTCACAAAATTAGTTGACAGCCAACATGAGTAAAACAGTACAGAGAGAATAGGTTATCACGTCTGTCATTCAGTGACCAAGTAACAACCATATAGCAGGAATCAATTCCCGATAAAACGAGGTGCAGAAATTTTCACACTTCCAGGTGTCTATGCAGAATTGAGATGTATCCAAGAATCACGTGCAGAAGGAAATAATATTATAGTTGTCATCCTCGTACACAACTAGCAAATGAGATCAACAGAAATGTCCTGCTATGCTGGCCATGGTTTCTCATTTAATTTTTTGGGTTGTGGACTGGGTCAAAAGAAGATGCTTCATTCTAATGTTATTTTAAAAAAATTCCCCACCATTAATTCCCATTTATTATTTTTCCTCTTCTGATTATTTTACAAATTCATCTAAAGGGAGATTATCTTCATTCAAAAGAAATGTACCCTTTTATAGAAAACTAACCGAACATTTTCCAAGATTAGACGGAATATCCACCATCTGCCAGTGTGTTGTTCACTCCTGACAACATTCTCTAAAATATTATTAATTTTCTTCATTCATTTCGTAAAAATACACTTCCGAGATCATCCTCATCGTTCATGCAAAGCAGAATAAAAAAACCTGCTGGAACTTTAAAAATGACCAATGGCAACTTTTGGTTTTTGCTATAGAGAATCCAAAGTAAAACAGAGGACAATTTTTCTCTTAAGCGAGAGATAGCACCGGAAGCCCTGGAGGTGGGAACATCCGGTCTCCATAAATATGGGCAAGAAGAAACTCCAAATTCCCTCCAAAAAGTCCCCCGTAGGATTAAAAAACGTAATATATTGAGCAATATAAACTGTAACTCACAAAAGGAAATAAAAATATGCAACCAGGACTCTAGAAGGAAAAACTAACTTGAAAATAATTCCTAAATCTGCAATCAACTACAAGGGCATGCACTAGCAGATGTGTGCTGATATTCCTGTATTCAACCTGTCTACCATTACGATCATACCGAATTTGTTTCAACCCTTATTGTATCAGCTAAACCTCATTACCACAATTTGTGAGTAAGGGCTCATGGATTAGATGGCTTCTCTCAGCATCTCATTCAAGCCAGATGGGATGATTTGACACAGATGCGGACTTCTAAAAAAAATACAGCAACCTACAAGTCATTCGGAGTTTGCGCTTTTTTCTCATTTGTATCATAAAGCCATTCACTCGATACAATACAATGTCGTGTGAATGTTTAATAAAACCAAGTTAATTTCCAGACGGCACCCTTTTTAAGGATGTAATTCAAGGAGTAAACAAGTGCAAGAAAAGAGATCCTAATTATAAAACCTATGTTTTCCATATGCATTCATTTAAGATCCATTAGTCTTGGCGGGAGATGCAAAGAGTGTAATATTGTGATTACTCTGCCTTCTGCATAGCTGAAGAAAACACTGCCAAGTAAGATGAGTAGAAACTTGATGGACAACGAATCATGAGTCTTAGCCAGCACAAAAGTATTGAGTTGCGAGACAAGAAAGTTCTGCAATATTTTCTTCTCCAACCATATAAAACGGTTACAAAACCGTGAAGGAACTTCATATTTGGAGTTTTCAAACAAAATAATAATGAGGAGCCACAAAAGCAGAGGAAACAAATAATATAAACCAAAGGAACCTAGCATTGCACCTGATCCCGAAGTTGGTCAAGGAGTGTACCACCAATCAATCCTGGTCCAATAATCCCCACCGCTATTGTCGTCTTTGAGAGATAAAATCTTGAGTGAACAGCCCGTAGAGCCCTAATCCGATCCTCACCCTTCAGCACCACAGTAATGTTGTACTCCGTGCAACCTTGAGCTATAGCTCGTACATTTATATTAGCCTGAATAGTAATAATGCACGACGCTCAACATTAATGCACACAAAATCAAGGAATGGAAATAGTTGAATTTAGCATGCTCTGAGCTCAGGAAGAATGATGCTAATACCTTTGCTAATGCATCAAAAAGAGTGGCACTAACACCTGGGGTACTTGCCATTTTCTGGCCAACAGCAGCCAAAATGCTGCAATTTGGGATTACCTCAACCTGTGAAGAGTTGTAGTGGTAAATGGAAAGAAGTAATTAACACAGTGCCATTAACAACAAAGCCCTCGTACATAAATAAATTTCATCCAACAAATTACCGAAGAAATCATACTTGCATCAAACAATTTAAGGCAAGCGTTTGTAACAATAAAAACACTAAGATCTGGTTTATTTCAATAATTAAGTCACCTTTCCAATGCCTTTCGCAAAAAAAAAAGGTTTTTTCAACTAGATGAGGAACTTTATAAAAAAAAATTGTTAACGGAATATCACCATGGAGATAAATGGAGAAGCTAAAGAAATATAGAGACTAAAAGTTGAATAAAATGATTAAGATGTGAATAAACGAGAAGTGGCAGCAACGTAATCAGAAGCGAAAAAACTAGTATGAATTTCACTTGGAATCTTAGCGCACACTCTGTTATATTTACCTCCACCTCCTAATAGCACATCACAAAATGGGACTGAAATAGCACTGAATGAACTGCAACTGCATGACATGTTTCATGAAAGGAAAGAAAGAAGAGAATCGACTGGCCACTTGGCCTAGGAATTTTAGCAGCATACTGAGGAGACAGCCATAGTCAGCTGCACATTAGACTAGGAGAAAAAAAGATAAGATAATCAAGGCAAATGTTGACTACTGATGCCGCAGTTGGGCATTCATAGAACACAAATTTTCCTTGACAACATTATCTAAGTGTCTTCTATCTGACTCCTCACATAATTCTTCTCATGAACTTTTTTTCGACATCATCTGTAACTGCTGGAGGCTTGCAGACGAATGAAAGCTATTAATTTTCTAGTTTTGAGAATGACAGCTTTGCTCCACTTAAGCAGCAAAAGAAATAAACATCATAGCGCCAGATCAAAATTTGGCAGAGCATACTTGAGAAAGACGACCAGCTGCCAGAGCCTGGGAAAATCGGGATTTTAACGCATCTGCAACTGCCTTCACCTCATTGTCTGGGACTGCAAAACATACGGAGTGTTCGCTGCTAGCCTGAATAAAATAATACCAACTTTAAAACATTGTCAAGAGATGCACGCCAAAAAAGAAGAGCACGTGGTATTAAGCTACCTGAGATATCATAATGACATTCGCTCCCACATCTTTCACAGCACTGAAAATTGCACTGGCTGTACCAGGCACGCCAGCCATCCCAGTTCTGGGCAAAGCATATTTTTTCCAATATTTAGACAAACGAAGGGAAAACGATGCGAAAATTCAGTGAACGAGTGAGGACTTAAATGAGTCGTTATACCCCTCCACATTGACGAGGGCCACGTTATCTATTGTGGCGAATGCTCTTACAAAAGACTCCAAATTATGCCCCTCTGCATTGTCATTCACTGCTCGCTGGCAGATCATTGTTCCAGGGGCAGCGAGATTGAAAACATTCCTTATTATGATGGGAATGTTATATCGCATCACTGGAATAATAGTACGTGGATGCAAGACGTTTGCCCCAAAATAGGACTGCAAGTGTGGTAGAGTAACATATTTAGCACATTTCTTCCAGACAGGACTATAGCAACTTATAAATAAACATTGTCGAGCATGATCACCATTTCCCAGGCCTCTTGATAAGACAATGAATTCAATATCACGGCCTCACTAACTGCAAAAAAGGTAATATAAATTTTCCAACATGTAATGCAAATTTACAGATTTGAAAGCAACTTTAACACTAATCCACACGTATACACAAAGTGCTAATACCTTAGGAATATAAAATTTATCAATCACGTGAATTAAATGCAGTTAATATGCACGTGTGCTTTTTCCATGTGTCATAAGAAATATTTACTGGTATTTACCTTTTCTGGGGTCTGCACTGTACACACCATCAACATCGGTCCAAATTGTAACTTGATGAGCCCTAAGAAGAGCACCCATGATGGCAGCAGAGAAATCGCTACCATCCCTTTTCAAAGTCGTTGGAATGTTCTGAGGAGTACTTGCAATGAAACCTGTCGCAATAATTGTGCCCGCTGAATTTTGTTCGAACCATTTTTCGAGTCTTTTCTCTGATTCTATGTAATCAGGATCAACTTGATTGGAACCAGTAGGATTGACAATGAGGACATCCCTCGTGTCCATCCAAGTGCAGTCCTTTCCAGACTACAACGCAAACTTTAAACTTAGAGGTCTTCAAATAACATAAAATAGAGAAACATAGACGTCGTGCAACCTACAAACCTTTTTTATGACAGATGACAACATTTGAGCCGACCACAACTCTCCATGACCAACAACAAAATCTGAGAATGATTCTGTGGCATGCCCAGCTGCAACATATTATTCGTTTCAGTTAGAAATTAACTAAAATTGCACAACATAGAAAATATGTAAAAAAGGATGACAAATTTGAAAATAAATCACAAAAGTGTCAAGGGAGAAAAAAATTAGCGAAGTTAGATTTATGTTACTAAAAGATACAAAGAAGATAGCAGCAACACATGTGGTTTGTTTTATCTCACTAAAATAGATAATTAAGCAGAAAAAGGGTGCAAGAGCCACAATTAGGGAGGAAAAAATATGATAATTTTTCTTCATCAAGCTATTTCCTAACGTTTATACTCTTGTGACCGGAGAGCACAACAAGCTCCTTAAGTATACAGCTCAGGTGTTCAAGAATTTAGAAGAATAACACCGGGAGATATATTGACGAAAGCAACAAATAATAGGTTATTCTCTTCACATAAAAAGGATAGTACGCAGCAAATAATAATTGATATATGTACAGCATGTGTAACATGTACAGGTATATATGACACTTATACCAGAGACCCTAACGGCTATACATTATTAACCACCAAAAAATGAACGCAAGGCTTTTAAGGTTTCCCCGAAGTACATTACAACAGACTGCACCCAGCACAAGACAGTATAAGCGCCCATAGAATGTTTCAGACACTTCCCATAAATGCCCAAAATCCACAATACACACAAATGAGTCTCTAGGTTTCTTGAGTTACAGGGGAAAACCGTTTTGAGCTCGTAAGGAAAGTTATGTTGTTTCTACCAAATGAAGCAAGCCATAGATCTCCATGAAATATGATCAGCAAGAAATTCAGCCAACGACCACTGTCTCTTCCAGCAAGTGGATCCATTATTATGACCCTTGGCCAAAATGTACTTCAAGAAAGAAAAGAGAAAAACACATATTCAACAGTCTCTGATTCTGTGCCATGAAAATAAATAGTGCCACAAAAATAAAAAAGGAACACGGTCAACATATCATGAATAGCCAATCTCAGCTTCGTCAAACTCATTGGTAAGATTTTAACCTTCTTGGAGAGAAGTATGAAAAATGGTCACCACTACAATAATTTAGAAAATAATTTTCACCATTCTATCACCACACGCCGTCCCCATCTTCCATTATTGTTTGCCTCTATCATCACAAAGAGCTGTCTTGTCTCTCTACCTTCTTCTGTAGAAGTACTCTCCTGAACACAGGGATCCACGAACCAAGCAATACCAAGCCAATAAAATCATTTACTAATAGAGCATCCTTATTTAATCAAATACATGGTAATCAGATATAAAAGACAAGCAACTGGATGAGAATGCTGCAAACAGATACATAAAAAAGGAAATATGAATAATTTTCTGGTATGCAACGTTACTCCAAAAAGATATAACAGAGCCAGATTGAAATTCTACAACAAAAAAATCATCAATTCTTGAAAAATAAGGAAAACAGTCTTTACCTATGTAAATGGCACGTAACATTGCTTTCAGGTTACTGATATCATGATGTAACTGGGATAAGAATTGCACAAGCTCGTCCCCATCAAGAAGATCCTTTGCTGTCAGCATGTGCTTTTCATAAACATCGTCCAATGCAGACATGTAGGTATCATCCCTCGATTGTGCCTTATCAACAAGGTTGTACATCATGTCTGTCACTTTAGACATGGCAGAAACAACCACCAACTTTCTTTCTGAAGAATCATTCGTAACTATGTCTGCAACACTCTGAATTCTCCTTGAAGTGCCCATGCACGTCCCTCCAAACTTATGAACAGACCACATTTCACCTTTGGGAAGATGCACGTCATCTAAAGATTGCTCCAAGGAAACGTCTGATATAAATAGGGCCCATAAGGATAGAATGTAAGTATTAGAATTTATTGATAGTTCCATTTAGTGTCATGTGATAACTAATAAAAACTTCACCCTGAGTTTCATCAGAAAAAATAAAAATATAGATATAAATTAAATACCTGCAACAGAAGCAAAGATGTGGTTGTTTGAGACATTACTTGATGACTCCTTTCTTGACCTCTTGAAAACATAACCTATTCTGAGAAAAGAAGATTCAAGTATCAAAACCTGAAAAAAAAACTGATTTCTAAAAATAAATCCTGCAAGCTATGCGTATTCCATGTGCCCTATTCTTTCAAAACGTCATCTAGGTGGTATCCACTCTCTGGACCAGAATAGTTTCGTCTTCAAATAAACAACTCTTTGGGTCCACCCTAGCCAGGGATGCTTGGACCCAGAGTGCCAGACAAAGTAGTTCATCAATATGCCTTCATTCCTTTGCATCAATTTGATCACATCGTTTAATATTAAACTTCTATCCCTAGATTCAGAAACTTTTATTTGAATTCGTCGTGTAAATAGACTGTGAAAGTCCTCCTTCACTATGGAAGCGTGGACCTAGAGTGGCACCTATTGCAGTTCATTCATTCCCTTTCAGTCCTTCAAATCAGACTATCAAAAATTATTAAATGGCAAACTTTTAACTTATTTTTGAATATTTTAAATATTATTTGCATTACTGGATCCTGAGCGTACACAAGACAACACATGGAGAGATCATAATATCGGAATGACTTATTTCCCTCGTAATATTTGTCCGTAGACAATGAGATGACAAGCATATGCATAACTCCAGGTCACCAAATCGGGTGCAGGTTCAAATGAAGGATAACTCTTCATTGCGAATGATGGTGGAACTAAACTAGGTTTAGATTGTATCACAATAGCTGTGGGATCCACTAGCTCAAAAAGTTATTCAATGTACTTCTAAAAGCATCGAGGAAACTGCGAGAACTTGGTTCCGTGCGACTTCAGCGCAGAGACATGGAGCAGTACGTAGTCAAACATGAACAGTACGAGACGTCCCTCTATTACGGTTCATCATAGCACTTCGTTGATTTCGTTGGACTCTTCTACACGGAATCATACACAGCGCTCTTCGTGCAAAGGAAGAAACTGAATCAAGTGACCTTACGCTGTTTCAATAGTGCAACCGCAGCATATCTATTTATTCTACCACAGAAATGTGTTTACCAAGGAGTGACGCGGAAGACACGCTCGAGGATGTGACTGGTACGAGATATTCAATGACTATGGCAAAAGTAAGATAGAAAGGAAACAACGGCCATCAACGAATAATCAAATAAAATGCGTTGAAAAATATAAATATGAGCACCGCAGGATCTTAGCATCAGTTCGACCAGTTCTGGGCAGAAGAAGAAATGACCTTTTCTCACGCAAGAATGCGGGGAGAGATGCCACCCCCGCTGGACAGGGACTCAACCGGCGACGCGGGAGCAGGGATCCCCGGATGACACAGTCCGAGAAGGGCACAGAGAGCGACGCCATCGACAATTCTTGGGACCGGCGAGCTGCAGAGCAGAAAGAGAGTCTGAGAACGCCACTCCGCGCTGAAGTGGGCGCCGGCCGCCTGCCTCCTCGCCGCCGGATGGGGGGGAGATGGCACCACTCGCTACCCTGGATGGAGCCTTCAAGCCGACTGGGGTTTTAGGAAGATTAGAGCCGGAGAGCAGGAAAATATCTGCGCTCCTCAGCACTGGCCCGGCCCGACGGCCCACTGAAACACAAGAACCTGACGAAGCGAGCGGCTCGAGGAGCGCGCGCAGTGGAAAACCCCCCGGGTGGACCCCACCGCCGGCCCTTAAATAATTTATACAAACTCCTCCGTAAAATATATATGCTTTTTATTAGTTATTCTCCTTACTATATTCGACCCGCCTCGATCTTTCCATTTTTTTTAATATTCAGGTTATATTTTTATATTGCAAGCGGTCGAGTACTTTCTCTGCTGCAATGTGCTTTTGATGAGATAGAACTCCGCGGCCCATTGGGCCATCATAGCGAGTCCGTCGCTGGGCCGGATCTCGGCCCTTGCTCCCGGCACGGTGGGACTTGCGATGGCGAATTTATACAGTTAAATATAATCTAAAATTATATATAATTTCATCTTTTTTAAAAAAAGTTAATTAAAATGGAAAATGTGTTATATTTAAATTAAAAAAATTAGCATAATAGCTTCCTAACTAATTTAACTAATACTAATACACGCGACTTTCGTTGGGAAGGCCGTGAGAAAATAAAGGTGGCTCTTCAGGGTGGTAGCATGATCCACCTTTTCGACTCATTTTATTATCCGGGTAAATCCAATGAAAAGGCTGATGGTGAGCTGGCCGGAACTCCACTTTGCCAGTTGCCCGCCACAAGCAGCTAGAGAGAGAGAGGGAGAGGGGGCTTTGCGCCAGGGCTGAGAGGTTATTGGGCTAGTGAGACGGCACATGTAACAAGTGGGCCATAGAATCCTGACACGACCCATGGCGAGTGTGTTTCGCCGCCAATGACAGGCATCGACGTGGCGACGGCAACTTTCGGCAGAAATGTCAGCATCATCACCGACCGAGACGTCGTGCCTTCTGCCGGGTGGCCCTCCACGTAAAATATATCTAAAAGGATAGTTTTGAATTGTTTTAATAAGGTCAGAATATCATCAATTTGCGGAAAAACCCAGCACATAGAGGAATATTTTTTCCTAGCCTTTTCGGACAGCTCGGCCTTTCCCCTCTTTTGGAGCGCGGGATGTCCAGGCCCCTCGATCGGACGGCCAAGATCAAATCCTGCGGGACCAGTCGTGCTTCGCGGCTGAAGTGTTGGTGTACATATTATTCGCGTGGGAGTGGAGTGGAGGCAGCTGCCGAAGTTTCTCGGGGCTGCTGTGCCGGAGGATCGGTTAGGGTTTGGGATCCGGGAGTAGGACGAGACGGTGGAGGGTGGTGGGATGGCGGAGCGCACAGAGGAGTCCGCCTCTGTTGCGGAATCGTTGGTGGATGACATCGCGGAAAAGTTCCACAGCCACGACTCGTCCGCGTCCGAATCGGAGGACGAGAAGCTTGACGCGGCGTCGTCTCCCATCAAGGAGAAAGTCTGGCGTTTCTTCGGTCGCGAGCAGCCCGTCCACGACGTTTTCGGCGGCGGTAAACGTATGAGATCACTCCATTGCACGCCCCCCATCTCTTCGGAAGGGCTACATTTGATGGCAGTTTCAGTGCATCTTTGTGCCACTATAAGCAGTTTATTTCTTCCGCTTGGTTATCCAACTTTTACTTTCTCGATGGGAGCGGGTGATTCAATATGGCATAGTGCTTGCATGAGAAGTCTCTTCAAGTTTTAGTATTGGTTTCTTCATTCGGTCAAGCTTTCGGCTATATTTCTTTTATTTTCCCTTCCATTTTTTCTTCCCATCGAGATGCTTTATGGATCTGAATCCTTCCCGTCTTGTTTGAGATTAAATCTGTCATGTTTGCTATTTTCACTAGATTGCTTTCCTTTCTTATTTGAGTTTTGCGTTAGATTTCCATAGCTATTATGGTTTTTTTCCTGGATCAGTGTGGTCTTTTCTAATTTATTTTTGTTCGAATTTGCAGCTGCGGACGTGTTTCTGTGGCGGGACAAGAAGGTCTCATCTGGAGTACTGGGCGTGGCTACAGCAACATGGATCCTGTTTGAATTGTTCCAATACCATGTGCTTACTCTCGTCTGCCATGGTCTCATCCTCTCCATGGCGATCCTCTTTCTCTGGTCCAACGCAACCATTTTCATTAACAAGTAAGTTGCCACTCCTTATAACCCTCCATTCCCCTTGCCATTTCTCCCCGATTTTGTTTGTTTATCGCAATTTTTCAGGTTAGCAATTTATCTGATTTCTTTATTTTCCTATTCAGGTCACCACCACGGATCCCTGAAATTCATATACCCGAGGATCTTGCCGTGAATATTGCTCTTACTCTCAGGTGTGAGATTAACAGCATCTTCTCGATGTTGAGGGACATTGCACTCGGACGGGACTTACGAAAGTTCCTTGCTGTATGTTTCATAGGCTGTTGTACTTAATACCAGAATTTTGGCATCTCTATGCCTAGCTAAAATTTTTCCTTGGTCTTTCAGGTCATTGCTGGTCTGTGGATACTCTCTGTCATTGGAAATTGCTACAGTTTGTTGACCTTGTTCTATTTAGGTAAGGATTATTCTCCTGTTCTATTAAAAAACAATCTCTATCTCTCGTGATATCTATTTCTTTGGTGTTTTTCTAATACTCTTTGTTTTGTTTTTCTGAACAAGCAGTGATCGTTTTCTTGCATACTTTGCCCCTTCTTTATGAAAAGTACGAGGATAAGGTAGACGCTTTCGGGGAGAAAGCAATGACGGAAATTAAGAAGCAGTATGCCGTTTTTGATGCAAAATTTCTTAGTAAGATCCCAAATGGGCTATCGAAAAATAAGAAGCAGTAAATCTGTATAAGGTATTTTGTGGCCATTGGGCCTTTTAAAGTTTCTATTTAGATGTTCTTTGGAACTGATAGCGTTGATGGATTATTGGATGGAATATTAAATCTTTTTTATGAGTCCATGGGTGCGTACTTTATTGGGAGGTATCACGATTTTTTGTTGAATTGTCGAGTTTTACATGTACTTTCATTGTTTGATGTGGCAATATCTGTATCCATGTTCCCTTTTCAGTATTATGTAATCACATTTGATACAGTCTTCATTGTAAGAAGTGATTGATGTCTTTTCGCCATGACATCAGATGACGTTTTTCTATTGACGCGAGTTCCAACCGACATGGAACTTATTATATTCCCCAGTGAAGCACAGTAATCTTGAAATCTGATGTTATATTCACATGTAGTAAGTTGTTTTGCACTTTTTAAGGGTGGAATCAACGTTCATGCATCAAAGAGTGGATAACTGAAGTTCTAAAATGCGATCAGAATCTGAATTCATGGGCATATATTACTCTGGTCGTGATACAGATTCTAAAAAAAATGCATGCATATAAAAATGGTTCAGTGGAGATGAAAAAAGATCCCATATTTGTTTCTCTTTCATACCCATAGTTACTCTGATAGAGATGCCGTACCGTATTAGTTTAATTCAATGATTCCATATACCTTCTGTTCTGAGAAAATTTTCTGTGCTCTTTTTATGGTACTCTGTGTTAGAATCCTCATCTCACTGTTACTATTCCTGCCTAAAGTAGTGCTTTTTTTTCTTTTCGTTCTAGTTTTTTTAAAAAAGTTTCTATGGCCGTATGCCTTTCTGCCCTCATATGTACACAAGACCCTTTAGCAAGTGTGATCATCTAATCATGAGGCACAGTGCATTAGTAAATGTACGTAGATAAAAGCATAATCCCTCTGTTATGTGCGATATATTGGTAAAATTAGAGTAATGTGGTTCCACGGTGAAGACAAAAAGCTACTTGCTGGAGGTTGGAGATGGAATAGATAAAAATTTACGCTGGGGAAAAGGCACACTGTGGTTCGTCGAAATGTTCATTCGCTCATGCTTAACTTTTCTTGCCCTGAAATAACTGAGTTGTGACTCTCTTAGTAAGATATGGGGCTGAAAGGTTTGTCCTTGATGCTCTGCTTTCTTTCGTTCAAGCAAGTTTCCTCTAAATGCTCCATTACTGAGGCCATAGGTGGCAAACCTAACCTGCATTTAACATTAGTGGAGAAGCCGAGCAAAGTTACAATACATAGCGGGACACAAACGGGGAACCAAGAGGAAGTGTACGGCAGAATCTGCCTGGTGGTTGGAAGTTGACCGGTGACCCAGTCTATGCCTAATCTGGTCTTAAAAGTCACTAGAAACTGTTGACATTCCATCAAACCTGGTCTACCTATTCTATCAGGCTCTTCTCTCTTCCTCTCCCCCCACGCCCCCATATCTCAGAGAATGGAATTCCTGTTCTGGGATATCTCAAAGGAAGTATGAGAGTTGCTCCCTTTTTCTTGATCCGCCTTCCCCGTACAAGTCATTCCATTGCTTTAATTCGTTCATGATAGCACCCTCAGCGGCAAAACTGGCAGCAACCTGCAAGATATGGAGTGTAAAATATCAAATCATTGAAGAAACCTCAGATGGAAAGAACCTTGCAAGAGTTGATCAGCACGTACTTGATTCTTTGCTTGCCTCATGTCTTCCATGTTCAATGGCCTGAGGGTAATTGTCTCTTCCCTGTCATCTTCTCCAGAGCCCGAGGCCTCTGTAGAGTTCTCCACTGACTCACGCTTTTTCTTCCCCTCCTATCAGAATGACAAGTTTACCAAGAAATTAGATTTCCCTGATCAGTATGGATCTCACACCTCTACAAGCTGACTGAAAACCAGTGCGTACCAATTCTTTTTGTCTTTCTTTTTGTAGTAGCTCTCTAACAGGTCTGTAGGCAGCCGTTGTGCATAGGTTCTGTAGTCATCATTTGCAGGCTTATTGCCAAATGTGTAGCATTGAAGGAACAGAAGAGAAGAAAATAGAAACGTACCTTGAGATCACTTCCACTATACCCTTCTGTCATTATTCCCAGTTCCTGATAGTTGAGCCCTTTCTCAACCTTCTCTTTTGACAGAAGCGTCCTCAGAATTGATACCCGACTCTCTACCGTCGGTAACCCGACCATGATTCTACTCATCAGGAGAGGTATTTTAGGGCCACATAAGTAAGTGATAATATATTGGACGGGGGGAAGTAAAGAGTGACACCAATACCTGCGCTCGAATCTCCTTATAATAGCTTCATCAAGGTCAAACGGTCTGTTCGTTGCAGCCAGGACGAGGATCCTTTCCCCAGATTTTGTTAATAGTCCGTCCCAATGTGCCATGAACTCGTTCTTGATCTTCCTCATCGCCTCATGTTCTCCAACTCTGCTCCTCTGTCCGAGCATGCTGTCAACCTCATCCACGAAGATGATCGTGGGGGATACCTTTGAAGCTAGAGTAAACAAGGCCCTCACATTCTTCTCATCTTCGCCAAACCATTTTGAGGTGATAGTGGACATGGAAACATTGATGAAGCTAGCACCGGCTTCTTTGGCAATAGCTTTGGCCAGCATTGTCTTCCCTGTGCCAGGAGGCCCGAACAGTAGTATTCCCCTGCATGGCTTCAAGAGGCCGCCTCTGAAGAGGTCAGGTCTGCGAAGGGGAAGCATCACCAGCTCTTGAAGAGATTCCTTGATTTCATCCATGGAACCTATGTCGTCGAATGAGACTCCAATATCACTGGCAGGGATGACCTCGGGTCTGATTCGCTTCTCAAACTCATTATCGGGAACAACTTCCTGTGGATAAAATCATTGATATGGAAGGCTTAAAACGTGAATTGTTTTGTTTAGCTTTCTCTCTTGTAGAAGCATAACAAAGACATTTTAAAAAATTCAGCCCACCGTTGTTTTCGATGGTGGAGCTGAATCTCCACCATCCTTATTCACAGGAATCGATTCATCTGGTTTGCTTTTGATTTCAGGAGCCACAACTTCCGGTTTTGTCTCATCTTTTTTGGGAGCCGCAGTGCCCACCTCAGCCACCTAAAACATAATGCTATTGTTTTTCAACATAAAATGTTTGCATTAATCTAACATTTTCAACATAAACGTGGTCATACCTTTGCAGATTGAATGTTGTCTTCAAGCTTCTGGGTACCCTTTTCTTCGAGCTTACGTTCCTGGAATATGCTCAATCCATGGGACAGACTGTTTCATTATTGAGATATTCACTTGTCAAAAAGGGGATGAAATGTCAATTTCCCATGATCATCTACCAAAATAATTACGCGTATTTCTAACCTTTTGGAAGAAATAATAAGCTTCCCATTTCGGTATTCTGGTTCTTTGTTATTCATCAAATGATGAGAAACAGCTGACACCACAATTTCTTCTATATATTTGCCCAGAACCATCGTATCCGTTAAGCAGATTGAGCCCAGGTCGTCACAGTCGAGATCGTTTGCTGCAAGTACCTCCGTAATATGGTTTCTATTATCTTGATACTGAATTACCTTCATGTCATCTTCCATCTGAGATCTCCAGCTAACCAGCTTGGTCTCATCTTCTGGTGGTCTAATGTCAATGTTGTAAGGGAACAGAACCGTGAGCCTCTCGTCAACCTCTCTGTAGTCTGTGCCAGGTTCCAGCGTTCTTGAACCAATCACCAACACGGGCCCTGTTAGCTTCTGCAGCATTTTCTGGAACAACGAGTACATCCTCTGTGACCTATATAGAATGTTCTCAACGTTCCGCACATAGAACACGATTGGGTTGGCCTTGGATACCGAAACCAGAACCTTCACTCACACAAAAAAAAGAAGAAGAATGAAATTGGGATTGCCCAATTTTTTTTTGAACCAGAAAATAACAAAAAGTAAACGGCATGCATGTGAAAAGAACATGGTCGTACAGTATACCTTATAGAGAGATTGTACAAAGAGCTTCTCGTCGAAGCACCAGCTGCTGGTGCGCTTGAGGGGAGGGGCTGAAATAAACGACCCATAAAAGTCAAGCAGAGACCTTAACCTGGTTGGTTGTCCAAATGTTTAATTGAGGAGATATCACTTGCAGTGCTAATGCTTTTGTTCAATTCCAGCTGCTAAGCCCATAAATATTATACCCGCTGATCATAATACATGATATTTTATTTTTTTAAGTTAGTTCTTGATTATTAGTATCTTTCCTAAATGCAACCGAGAACATCACTAGAAATTCCCATTTCTGAACGTAGTATTGTTAAATTTGCGCCTGTAAATGCAAGTGAACCTGAGCTTTCAGGGCCGTTCTGTGAGGTGAGACTGCTGATATCAGCCGATGCAGAAGCATTCCTACGAAGTTTTGGGGCGCCAGACCCCTCGGTCAGCCTATAATTAAAGGACGATATGATTTGGGGTCAAAACTTCTAGCTCTTGCTTGACTGTAGAGAGTTATGGATGGACTCTACCTTGTCCTTATCTCGATCCCACTGTTCTGCCTACGTAAGGTGCCTGCGATAAACACTTGAATTATAAGAAAAAAGAGACCAATCTGACAGAAAAAAGAAATGTTGGAGGTAAATATTGCATTTCTTGACGATAACAGTGAGAATTGCAGCAATGGCTGAAGCATAGTAAGTGTAAGGGGTGAAAGGATAGGGTTTTAAGGAATGCATGACATTAGATATGAGACTTCGGAATCGATGAAAAAATGCTACAATTCACTAATGCTCTTCTTTTGCCTCCTTATGATAAGTAGCACGAGATGATGGTCTTGTTCTCCAGCGACTTTAGCTCCATATGCTAATTTTACAAGCTCTGAACCACTCGCCAAATGTCAGTAGAAAGAAGACAGATTCATGGTACTATGATAGTAGAGCCATGGTTGCACGTAGAATTTTATAGGACGAGACTAACACTGGGGATATTGAGTACCTTTTGGTTCCGCCTTTAGTGGGAGGATTGCAAATGATCCAAGCAAAGAAGACATCCTCTCAAGTGTCGTCTCAGATATCGATCTTTTAAAAGACTACAAAAATAAAGATGAGTGTTGTCTGTATCAGAGATGGGCCTAACTCTATGAGCAGATCACAACGATAACATAAAACAAAGCAAATTTAGACCAATAAAATATGAAACTATGCATGGTCAAATAGCATATGTCAACGCTGGAGGCCAGGATTCATACGGAGGACTCTTTGTTGGAGCTACTACCATACTTGCTCTGGATCTGTGACAGTACATCCAATAAATTATTTGTGCGGCAACTATAAGGAAATGGAATCAAAACCATGGGAAAGGGCAATCAAATTACCCACCTTGAGTGAAAAATCTGTGACATCAAGCAATAGCAACTTGGCCTCGAAGAAATGGGCTAGCGCCTTTGCTAACATCTGCTGGTAAAGTTCTTCAGAAAGAGAAATGTTTAGGGTAATTACCCACGAATTGAAGCATGATATCATACTTCACATTTTCCATGAAGAGGGTGAGCAACATACCGGCAGGTCCTGAGAGCAAAATAGCACGGCTTGCCGGAGAAAGGTTCCTGGTATACTTTGAAAGATCTCCTTGTTTCAAGTGAACGTAGGCTGCGCTTGTTAGTAAGGCGCGCGTTTGGTCGCTGTCATCACCACAAAAGAATATCAATTCCGGAGGAAGTTTTTATTATGCAGAAACCACCCCCCCCCCTACCCTGATGCTTCCTTCACCAGATACCAGATCCCTCCCTCTTCTGGGAGCTACGCAAAAGAAGAGGAGGATAGGTGATGCGCACCGAACAGAGAAGGATGAGATAAAATGGACTAACCTCAGGTAGTAGGGGAAGTCGTTGAAGGTAACGTTGCTATCCTTCATATCGGCTATCTGTCTCATCAACTCCTGCTCTACGCGCTCGGCAGTGACGCCGGGGGACAGGGAGGGATGCATGGGGAGGGCCCATCTGCTTGACGTTTGCCCGGAGGCTAGGCCGATCCCGACGCCGACGCCCAGTCCGACCGCCGAGAGCGCCGTGAAGATGTGCTTCTGCTCCATCTTCTGTCTCAATCCTTCTCTTCCGATTTGAACCTCTCTCTTCTTGTCCTTCGCAAGCTTTCCCCTGGGGCTCGATACTCACCGGCAGTGCCTGGAATCCATGCAGAGGTAAAGCTCTCATAGAAACACAGAAACAAAGGACGAAGATGGGGGTGGGGGGGGGGATCTCGCGGTCGGAAAGAAGGGTGAATCCACTGAGAGAAGTCCAGATATTCATACAGAAACAGGGGCGGGGAGATGACTGTTATCCTCTTCGCTGACGATATCCTATCGGTACCGAAAAACCACCACCCCACGAAGCAAAAGGAAGAGGAGGAGAAAACGTGAAATCCGCCTCTCCCTTCCCTCCTCCATAGTTATAGATAGTTCCTTTTCCTCTCCCCGGAAGAAGGCTCCCCCCTAAAGGAGGAGAAGCAGCAGTTCAGACAGTTTCTCCTCCCTCCACCCGCCTCACGTTAGTTACCATCTACCTCCTGCTCTCCCGCCTCCTCGGAATCCGCCTCAGCCCCTCTTCCCTCCCTTACTCTCTCCCTCCCTCTCTCTCGCTCGCTCGCTCGCTCTCGACCATTTACGTTACCTCTTGGGTCTTGCTATTTATAGACGACGCCCTCGCCAGGTGTTCGGGCATCCAAAACCCTAACAAGGAGGAGATCAGAGGTCTCGAAAGGATCCCAGGTTGAGTGGGCGCCTCTTCAGGAGGATGGAGCAGCGCCGGCCAGACCCACCGCCGAGCAAACCAGAGTAGACTGGGAAGGGAGGAGCAAGGAGCAAGATGACGACTTCTTATAGGCCGTTTTGGCGGCGAAGTCGGTTACCAATATACATCATAATGGGCAAATATTTTATTTATTTTTAAATCGAAGGGAGCGGTGATTGTATCCTGTTGGCGGCTTTTTCCCGCTCACCTCGTCCTCCCCACCGCTTAAAAGACCTAGGAAATTGCTACATTAAGCTCACCGCCGGCTCGTTCCTCCGCCGCCTTGTCGTCTCTTCTTCCTTCGCTTCTTCCTCGTTTCCTCCGGCCAGCCATGGTCTCTCTTCTTCCCCCCGGTGGTAGCTCTTGAAGATCTTCCCCTTCTTCCTCGACCGTTTTTCTCAAAAACCTTGGCGACTGCTCTTCCACGATTTCAACTTGTTTCCACGCTCGAGGTAAGTGCTTACTGATCGGGAGCCGACGGCGTGGGAGGCAGCCGGCGGAATCCCCGCCGCCCGGGAGGAGAGGTACGATAGAATGAATCTAGAAGAATCCGGTCCCTCCTCTCGTCTTTTTGTTTTCTTCTCCGAGAAACAGAGGGTTTGGTTTTGCATTCGTCGGCGCCGGCAAGCGGAATTTATTCGTCGTGATCCTCCCCATCAACGCCGCTCTGCCTCCGCTTCTTCCGATGTTTGTTCCTAGCTCCGGAGACGTCTGCGTGAGGGGTCCTCATCGGACGAGCCATATCTAGGAGATCCCCCCGGGCTCTGCAAACGCGCCTACTCTCGTCAGAATTGGAGCGCCGTCTCAAGCAAGACGACTCCGCCTCCTTCCGGCCACCGGTCAGCCGCCGAGTAGCCCTGGATTCCCAGACGCCGGCACAAACAACACTAAAAACAAAATCATGCATGACATCACTGAGGTAGCTACTGATAAGCGTCTTCTCCAGGATCATGGCGGAAGAATAATGCTCATGCACCAATGACTCAAAAAATGAATCCTCGATCATGAAGGGTTACCCTGCAGATTAGTGAGCGGTATGAACAAGGGGAAGGGGGAGATTAATAAATAGGTGGGTTATTTCCCGGGAGAAAAATAATACTCGCTGAAGCTGAGAGGGTCCCCGGGGCTTCAAACATGTCTGACTTGAACCCTAAACGTCTGGCTTGTGATCAACCCCATAAAGCAATGTGAAAGGATTTATTGCCTTTCACTGACGGATTGGATGATTCAAATCAGATTGTTGGTGGCCTTGGGAAAGAGTAAGCTTACGACTCGACTGAAGGGACTGTCCATATAAACCTACGGCAGTGCGTAAATGGGGTTATTTCCGCCCCCCTTTCCGAGGCTGCCCACCTTCGAACTACGGCGCTGCCTGATTTGGGAAACTTGAGGGTCGAACGTAGCTCGCGAGTCGGCTAGCTCGTCGGAAGAAAGAAGGGAAAAGCGGCGAAGGCGGTCTCAGGCGACGGCGTTTGGAGGGGGTAGCTCTTCTCCTCCTTTCCTTTTCTGATTCCACTCCGTCTCTCCCTTCGCCTCCGCTGGAGCTGTCTCCTGCGTCTTCCTGTTCTTCGCGTCTTTGCTTCCTGATCTTCCTTTTCCTGTTTTTGAGGTTCTAAGCATCGTTCGCACTCTCCGTGAGAGAATTCCTCGGCATCTACTAATTGGATGAGCTAGGATTCTGGAGATAGCTGAAATTTTCCGAGGGAATCATGTGTGTGATATTTGGACATAGAGTAAACTGAGATTTTGGAACTCTGATGTTGAGACTTTTCCCTTCACCCTACCTGCTGTCTTCCTCTTTCCGCAGAATCATTGCGGAAAGGAAGATAACCCAATTTGAAGTTTTATTAGTAATGGCGTATTCAATCTTTGAAGGTTTGTGTAGTAAGAACTGGAGTTGTACTTATCATAGGCCTTTCTATGCGCAATCCATACTATGTATTACCTGCAGACATAAGTTGCTGTGTGGCAGCTGCCCATGCCATTGATGTTGTAGTCTCTGATAAGTAGATTAGCTAAATATGTGACTTACATGCATTAGGCCGGTTGCTTTCTTGTGCACTGTTGGGTGGCATTTTTTCGGCACGACATAGTGCTTGGTTCTTGCTTGCCCCAATAACCATGGAGCTCTTCGAGCTGTGGACACGTGGAGAGGTGCCAGCTTGATTCAGAAGATGTCCATTGGGGGTTTACCTCTTTGACGGGCAAGAATTGCCATTTTGTAGCGGATAGAAAGGTGCAGTGGATTATTTTTTCTTTCCAACTTTTAATTCCATAATTCTTGCTGAATGCTTGAAATTTAAAGCAGATTGTAATGGCTCATGGCTTGTGGGATGATCGGTGTTAATTGTAAAAATTTATACCAAGCTACTGGAGGCGCATATCTTAGGAGTTTATCTTTCCTGCGATATTATTGTCTAGGTTTAATCTTTGAGGATGGTTTATTATTTGCCCGCTATACTGTGGGTTTAGTTAATTTTGTAAATGCTCTACAATAAGAATCAATTTCCTGCCACTTATTTTCTCATGAGAGAAAAATCATCGTTTGAACCTTATCGCAGGTAACTTTGAGAAAAATTCCGAATATAAGCAACATGTTTCCTGTACCTTCTTCTTCTGGACATCCTCATCCTTGGCTGCAAGTATCACGACCGGTTCAGCCTGAGTTGATTTCATTTTGGGATTCTGCTGATCTTCACAACAATCTGAGGAGCTTGAAAGAAACTCTTAGTCTGCTGAAAGCAGTGTATGATCCATCTTCTTTCAAGGCTGATGTCAGTTTTTTCGTTTATTCTAGTTTTGAATAAAAATTTGGTTCATATTCATTTTTTTATTATCTTGTAATTATGATCAACACCATTTCCTTTGACAGGAAGAAAGAACTAGACACACTACTTCTAGTAAGAACATCCGGAGGCCTTGATGATCTATCTGGCAGCCTTTCTAATCAGACAGACGCTGTTGCATATTCTGGCAATGCAGAGATTGTTCAGGAATTCATTGAATCCATCAAAGAGAAGAGAACGGATTTAAATCTGCAGGAGTCTCTTTCACAGGAAGCTGCAAATTCCTTGATCAGAATTCTTAGAGTGCAGCTTGAACATCTTCGTATAATTTCCTCTGAGAAAAGTTCCTGGGAAGAAAGATCAGTGGCTTCCAGGTTAGCTCAGAGGCTTCAGAAGTATCAGCGGAATAAACGATGGAGAAAGAAAAGAAGAAAACTTGTTGCAGAAAAGATTTCCAAGGTTCGCCAGATTGTGAATAAGAATGCAAATTTTATGATGACAAGAAAGATTTCCTGATTTTTTTATGCCATTATCTGCATCTCAGCATTTCATTACACTTATGGTTTTTATTAACCATCTTTTGGGTTTCCATGTAACAGGAAAGTGAAATGTTTGACAAAGCTGATAAAGAGGTTGATGAGTGGAGAGCCAGAGAGATTGCCAAGGATATTGCAAAACGCAAGGTATTGAAGCGCTCGTATTTGCTGCGTGTGCGATGACTAACCTATCAGGGTGCTTCCATCTCGTTCTTAATGCGAAATGCAATTTATCTTTATTTCATATTTTTAATTGATTTAATAATTTATTCAAAAACGCACGAGATCTTTTGTATCAGAGAGAAATCTGACTTTTGTCAATTTTAGAGGCATGGTAGATGTTGCGATGCATGATCCTCACAGAGTAGATGTCTTTTCCTGACAATGATTTGTTCCAGTTAAATCGATATTATTCCAGTAAAATGCAAAACCATATATCTGATTGGTTTCTCCACTCTGGTCTTCACGACATTGATTTTAACCAACACCCTCATTTATTCAGAGTGGGCATTTCATGCTTCTCTATGTAATCTATTATGTTCTTCATAATGTTGACTGCATTTGACTGGTTTTCTAGTCACAGTCCTTGCATTTTGTTTTATTTGAATGGGAAGGTTTTATATTATTTGTTTTGCTTTGATGCCAATTTTTTATCCGAAGCTATGAAACGTGTGGAGATGACATGAGTTTATCAGAAGTCAGCTTCTTGCATGAACTTTGCACACTTTTTATGAATCCTTCTTGAAGTAATGCTCTACAAGACAGTCGATTATAATCTATCCATTGAAGCTACAACATTTTCTCGTGGTTGGGGGTGTTTACTCCCAGCCTTACCCCTACTTAGCTCAAAAATATATAGGTATATACACATATATATATATATAGTTTAAATCATAGAAAGCTGGATTAATTAATCGAGCTTGAACCCAGGTTGGGGCCCGCCAGCCCTACTCATGGGTTGTTTGTGAATGAGAGAGATTGTTTAATCCAATATGAATTAAATCAAAGAGGCGGTTACTTGCTTGACTAATTGAGCAGCACTCTGAGTTCTGAATGGTAATCAAAACCGAGAAGAGGAAACATCTGATGAATTCGTATCATAAAGATGATTTATTAGAACATCTGCTGCTTGATTTACCAGCGTATAAGTTCAAAACTACGAACAAAAGTCATCACGTAGTTACCTAATAACCCATTTCTTGTGTTATTTGTCACCAAGAACATCTGTGACGACCTGAGAATTTGACTCTATATTAACGAAAGAAGTATCAAGGTTTTGGGGTTCTTGTAAGTGGTTCAAGAGTGATCTGCTGGACTAGTAGGGAACATATCAAAATCATTGTTGGTTTTCTCGTAGGTGATTCTTTTTTTATTTACATTTTTATTCTTGCAACGTGTAGAGAATTATATTTGGGATAGAACGTAGGTTTTCAGTGCTACTTTTTTATGATTTTTCTGTTCTGAAACTAGTTTTAATCAGCATACTCTTTAGTTCTTTATTTTCATGGTTTTGTGTTGCATATCTAATTATAGAATCTGACATTCATTACGTTCCTTCGCGATTCATATAGTTATTCCTGGCTGTAGATTCTGGTATTTTTCTTCAAGGATGAATGAATTGTGGATTTCAGGTGGAGAAGATGAAGGTGATTGCAAAGCTTAAAGACAAAGCGGAGAGGAAAAAGCTGGAGTCTGAGGTGATAATTTTTAATTTTTTTTTAATGTACTACCTATCAATCCCTCAGTACTGACCTCGGAATTACTTGCGACATTTACCCTCTTACTCTTTGCCTTCTTTTTCGGTGCACAAAATAAACTATTAATATTTAACCATTTCCTACGTGGTTCGAGTTTCGATTCTGTATCTCTTTGCCCTGATTATTTATTTTAATCATGTGTGACATTGTTCTTAGAATGATCTCTCTGTTACCAGAACTGTCGGAACCGACTCAAAATTGCAGTCTTCCAACTGTCTGCTTGCCTGGCGATGTCCATTTTTTATTGGTGTCTGTTATGGGTAGTCAGGAACTTCCTTTGGGATAAGAATAATGAAGCTCGTTATACCTCAAAAAATAAACTTATTATTAATCCATATTTTGAAACATTTTCCTTGATTTTTTTTGTTAAGGAATGCTAAAAAAAATGCCTTTATTCATTTCTCTTTATTCTACGGCTAAACTGTGCTTATTCTTCCAGCTTGAACTTATCTTAGTTGTTGAGAAGTTGCAAGAGCTTCGATCCATCAGAATACAGAAATTGAAGAAGCAAGGCAAGACTTCTCTTTTTTTTTGTTATTTTCAAGTAAATGCAGTCACCAATTATACCAAACAACAAGTCGGCTGCATAAAGAATACTTAAATAAATAAATAAATAGATAAATATTTGAGAAAAAAATTATAACCGGATAAAGGATACTAGTGAAATTCCCCTCTGCCTTTGTTTCATATTAAGGAGACTGGTTTTTTGCCAAGAAATCAAATTGGGAATCTCTTGCAGAATGAGATCAGGCTCATTGACTTAAGAGAAACCTCTGATCTAGTACCTCGCTCAGTTGATACTAGTTGGTTTCTAAAAAGAAGTATTTGCAGGCCATTTTTTCCCTGATGAGGATGACAAGTTTCTTGAGAGAGTTCGAGTTGCTGTGGAAGAAGAAGAGCGCCAGGCAGTAGTTGCAGCTGAGACACGTGCTGCTAAAGATGCGATTGCCACTGCTGAGGAAACTAGGAAAGCCACCGACAGCAGGGATAGTCATGTTGCTGTACATGATGACCATAGAATCAATTCACCCTCGACATCTGAAGATCAGAAACCCGTGATGAAGGATGATGGAAACTTGGCAAGGACAACTCTGAATTCTGAGAGGCAAGATTCATACAAACCAGGCCATGAGTACAGCTATGACTCTGTGGCGAGCTTGCCTTTTGAGTTCTACCACTATTATCATGGCAGTAATAATGATCTGGGCACCCTAATTGAGGTAAGTTCATTGAACCCTAGTTTTGCATCTTTTCTTCATCTTCTTCTCTATCATCTTCCACTTTCTTTCCATGATGGGAACATTTGGGTTTCCTCCATGCAAATGAGTTTTTAGGCCAAGATGCGTTTTTGGATCAATAACTTGAACCCTAGTCTTGCTTCTTTTCTTCTTCTTCTTCTCTATTATCTTTCAGTTTCTCTCCACGACTGGAACATTTGGGTTTCTTCCATGCGAATGAATTTTTATACTAAAATGTGTTTTTGGACCAATAAGTTGCTTTATCGGCGTGCTTCTGCAGGTCAGGCGAAATTGGGATGCTTACATCAAACCTGGTGGAAGGTCTGCATCTTCGTGCTTTCCTCTTCTGCTCTCAAATCAAGAACATCTTTCGTACACCTTTTTCATGAAATCCACCATGAGATCTGCTTCCACGCCCGTGGTGGTTTCTCACGACGATCACTTGGGCTTCTCTCTGACCTTCCAATTGGGCTTTTTTGTTGATCCAGTCGGATACCTGGGCACTGGGTTCAGCCTCCGCCGCCTTCTGATGAGGTCTGGGCATCCTACCTGGTAAACCGCGGTACTCGCTGAAACCCGCAGTTGGAGTCCGAGCAGGGCAAGTAAAGCCGATGGAGGACACACAAGGTGGTGATTTTCTTCAGTCTATCCTCGTTTCCATCATCCCTCACTATTTTCTTATTCTCCACTGGTTCTTCCGGCTGTAAGCGACAATTTTTTTTCCTCTGCAGATGAATTCGGTCCAACCCCAGCTTTCTGGGACGGATTTTTTTTGGCGTCGAAGCAGGACTAGGGTGTTGTTCTTTAACTTGTATGATTCTTGGTTTGATCGGCACCGGTTCAGTGTGGGATGGTCTCTGAGATTCCTCATGGACAATATTAGTCAAAGATTCAAGCTTGATCGAATGATCCTTCGCAAGAGGCCACTGAGTAGTGCCTTATGATTCGACAAACCTTTTGGTCTCATTCTATCTGAGCTGTAATCTGACCCGGATTCAGGTCGAAACCAATGTTCTTTTCTGGACTTGTTTTCCGACCCAAGGTCGGGAAAAGATGAGACCCTGCAATTATAAAACTGATGTTTACGAAAAGTTCTTTCTTTTTTTTTTTACAAAAGGAACCGAGACAAAGAATAATGGGATCCCGATTCGTCCAATGCGATTTCCCAAAATTCCCCCGTCAGCGATGCAACTTTTTGAAGCAAAGAAATTATAGTCAATGGGAGGATTGTCGACCAATCCATGGGATGGTTACAGAGGGGGGGTGGGGGAGGGGTGCTTTAAGCTCTCCGCGCACGCTACAGAGATTCTTCTCCCGCGATAGTCATCCCGTCTGGGGGGTGTGGAAGGGGGTTCCTCCTTCCCGAGATGGCCCATGGCCGCCGACTGGCAACAAGAAGGATCTGGACAGGAATGCGGAATTCCTTGGCCTCACTTGCCGGTGCGACCATGGGCCGATCGACATCCCTGGGCAGCGGGCATCTTCCTGGTTCCGCGAACCCCCGACAGGCATCTTGGTCCCCGCGGTCCCAGGGAGCCGGCTTGTCCTCCACATGGAGAGCCCGATGGGGCGGCGCCGCAGGTGGGCGGGATGGAAGCCCACCCAGATACAGATGAGGGGCTCGTCGGCGGCGACGGGTGAGGGTCGATCCAACAGAGAAGCCAAACGGTGCGGAGGCGGCAGGTGGGAACGTCGCTGTAGGCCATACGGGGCAGCTGTTCGACCATTCTCTGTCCCCCGGCTCTCGCCTCCGCCCATGTGACCTTCATGGCCCGCGCGACCCCTTCCCCTCACCGGCATCCGCAGCCCCGTTAGAGACGTTTCCGTCGTCTTCCGGCGACAGGGCACTGCGCCGGCACCCCGCGCATCTGTGTTCCTCCCTCCCCTCTGCGCCCCCCCCGTCCTAATCCCATCCCTCCTCGAGACAGACAGAGGGATCATATTCCGTCATTACCGGTGTTTCAACCTTGAAAGTCCCCCCCCATGGTCGCCCCGTTGACCTCCCGAATTGAGCCGACCCTCGGCGTCAAGAATCTTCCCCATCAAATATACAACTCTCCGCTGCATTTATTGGTCGATCAATCGACTGTTAGCGGTCTTCTTCCTTCGCATGATATCTGGGTCTGATGTTATGTGCCTACATTTATTATCGCCGAGGAGTTCTAAGGCCACGGGTTCGTAGAGTAGGAAGGGGCCGGACGACCGCATTCATTGGAACACTGCGAGAACCAAACGCCACTGTGGCCTCGGTGGCAGTTGCCGGAGAACAGAGAGAGAAGGGGGGGGGGGAGCAGGCCCACGAGACCCCATATGTGGCTCAGCCTCGTGGATGGAGAGTTGCGGTTCTCCGGGCCCAGGAGGGGAAGGGACCTGGGAGTGCCCGCCCCATTTGGTCTGCTTGCTGCCTTGCGAGAACACCGTCCCTTTCGCGGTCTGGTGACGTTTTCGACTGGCGTCCCTCGGCCTGCCAGCGGCCGCAAAGAACAAACCGGCGTTGCTTTCATCCGCGTCGGAGTGGAGAAAATTGCTCCTCCGGCGAATTATGGAGTGCAGAAAGCTTCCAGAGATCTGAGCGGAAACCGTCCCGTCTGATTCTTCCCGGTGAGGGTTCGCGGTAAATCGTTGACGAACGAACGGCTGATTAATTAATTTGGGGATGTTTCTATCGGAGACGATGACGCTTGGTTATGGCAAAAAGGGGTCGTTCAGCGCGCAGATCAGATCCATGTAAGGAAGAACCAGTTTTTTCTGCGTAGCTCATCATCTACATAGCCTCTTAGAAATTTACAGTAGTCAAGGAGAAGTGGGAAATTGTACAAGACAGCAAAAAAGAAAGGGCCAATGTGCAGCAAACTAAGCGTTGCTGGCGGCCTCGTCCCTAGAGTTTCGTCCTGCTTTTTGCATTCTCAAGCATGATGATCAGGCCTCTGCAACTTTTCCTGCCTTTTTTGTGGTTGTCGTTTCCGATTAAGGCTCGACTTCCGTTCGCTCGCCCTAGGAAAAATTCACGAGCCTGCTCTCGCCTATCGATTTCTTGCAGTGGAGAACGGCGTCGTGGATCGACTTCTCCATGCCGGAGTCCAGCGCTGCCCTGGTGAGGCGGCAGCAGTCGTCTCCGGCCCTCGGTGAGCCCATAAACGACGATGCGCAGCTCCTCGGGGTGGACGGCACCACCATGGACGAGCCCCCGGGCCTCCATGATAGCTTCAACCCCTTGACCTTCTTGTACAGGGGCAACAAAAAGCAGAGATACTTCTGCAGGATCTTCTTCGATACAGTGGGCTGCTTCCTGGAGAACGCCCTCTTGGCCGATGGGTCGAAGCGCAGCGGCGACGTCGACGAATGCGGGGACGCCGGCTGGCTGGCGCCGGCTGAAGAGTACGGCGATCGGTGATGCCTCTTGCTGAGAGAGAGCAGCAGGCTGGAGGAGTCCAGCGACAGGGACCTGCTCAGAATAGAGTCGTCGGAGTCCGACGAGCGGGACCCGTCCGCCTGCTGCCTCCTCGCCGGCGTCGACATGTGGAGGGGAAGGATCAGCCCGTCGGAGAAGATCTGGTCCGCGTGGACGAGGGCGGGGGACTGTGAGCCCGAGAGACCAAAATCGAAGTCGTGGGCGGCGTCAATGGCCCTTCGCAGGGACGCCAGTCGAGGGTCGATCTCGATGAAGGCGCCGCCCTCTGTGTCTTCCCCGTTCATCAGCCATCTATAGGAGAAGCTGTCGTTGCAGAGCGGCTGCAGGGCTTCCATGGAAACACCTCCCTCCTCTCCTCTCTTCTCTCTCTCTCTCGCTGTGAGGGTGAGCTGTCTCGACTAAGAAGCAGAAGCAGGAGGAAACTGAGAAGAATGGACGACCTCCCACCGCCTCCCCGGCCGGCAAGAAATAGCGTCTGGCATGCGGCGGTGGGCCGCCCTCCCCCGACAACAGGTCTCAAATGAGACAAGAAAGTCGAGACCACAAGAGGGCACTTTGGACAATCGCCTCACCGGAACGAACCCCCCAGCAGGCCCCCTTCACCCCGTTATAAATTCACCCCCGTCACCCCGTCATCATCGGCGAGCTCTGATCACCGTTATAAGTCCGGGGGCGAGCTCTGATCACCCCCTTCACCACGTCATCATCGGCGACGGTGAGATATTCCGGTCCCTGTTGCAGGCCCTGCCGGAGCCTCTATCCTGAGGCGGGTGGGGGCCTCCGGGCCGCCGGGCCGCGAGCGGAGGAGACCGGCGCCCTTATTATATCCGGTGCTGCTCCCGACGGCTGAACTCCCCCATCGTCATGCGATGGCTGGCCATTTTAGAAATCCACTGGACATTCCATCTTGCGACCTTCGCCGGTCTCCGTCTCATCCATTCACTCCCCCAGCCGTCCTCGATTTCCTTCTCCAACAAGACCCTTCTTGTGTTGAAGAAAATCTGCCGGTATCTCCCCTCCTATTATAAAAGAGAGAGAGGAAGATGGGGGGAGAGCCCTCCGTCGAGTCGCAGTCCGCTGTTTCAGCTGGGCCGCCGACGAGTGGGGAAAGGGAACCGAGACCAGTGCTCCACAGAATCACGTCTTCTACAGTTGGATTCTCTCTGCAACCGTTCATAGAAAAAACTTCCAGTTGCAGATACCCACATGAGGAGAGGATTGGAGGCATCTCCTCCTCCCCTCGACTGGTTGTTCTTCATCTGATGGCGGCCCGACGATGTAGGGGAGGACATGAAACCGACGCCCCTCGTGTTACAAAAACTAACGAAATAAGATATCTGAATTTATTTTAATTCTTTTTAATTAAATATTCGTGTTTCCTTTTTATTTTATAAAGGGCGGTCTTATTTTCCGAGTAGAATACAAGATTCAAAATTGTGTTGAGAATGTAATTATTATCCGACTATTAATTAACTTATGGATTCAACAAACGGATGCGATATTGGGTATCCGAACCAGGCGTTTCGGATCCATCGGGCGGGGGGCGGCTGAGAGCCGTTGATCTTCGTGCCAAAAAGAGCGGGAAAACGTGATCTAACCCCCAAGGAGCGCGCGTGTGCCGATATAAAACCAAACCCAAGCTTTCGGGTCCTCGCGATGTCTCCCTCTCTTCACGAAGTCTGTGCCACTCCTGGAGTTCCAGGCTTAACCCGCCATCTTCTGGCCTCTCGCCAAAACCCTAGCCCTCTGGATCTGTCTGGCAGGGCTGAACGGGGGGAAGGCATGGACACTGAGGCGTTGTCATCTATCTGTGGGAGCCTGGGGTACCGGCGTGAGGATGACGATGGAACTCTGCTGGGATACGTAAAAGGAGAATACTGCATGGGTAGGCACCCAAAATCTCCGTACCTTGCTGTTATATTAAGGCGTGTAGGACCAGAGGTTTGATTAATGCCTTTCCCTCGATCTCGACAGATAATCTGAAAGATCTCCAAAGGTTCCTGCGTCGTGATGATCCGCACACTCGGGAGGTTTTCAAGCAGACTTGCAAGTGGAATGTAGTTTCTCGCGATCTGATTCCCCTCATGGAGAATTACCAGAATGATCGCAATCTGCTCATCAATGGCGGTAATCGTTTTTCTTTGCTCACCATTCTATAGAATTGGCAAAATTCGCTGAGGGAAGTCGTCCCTCTCTGAAGCTGTGATATACTTTTAGAGATACGTAGAAATTGCAAAACTATGATTTAATGCGGATATCCTTATTTCCTGTTCTTTTGTACAGTAAAGGTTCTGGTGTTTCTCACAATGCCCATTGATCCAGCCTCCGACAGCATAGCTCAGCAAATTGAGTATCTGTGGCATATAAAGGCCGTGATAACTCGCCATGTCATAGTTGGAGTTATAGTTGCCCTTCTCGAAGATCCCTTGGACCATTTAGAGAGGTAAGTGCCATTCTATGGACTATATCCTTTTTTTTCTTCCCATCACAAGTATTTCAAATATTTGAGCTGAATTCTTTTCATGTTGAATATTTTATCCGCCATCTGTACTGCTTTCAAATTTCTGAATCTATGAAACTGTGGTTTTCTAAACTAGAATTAAAATGGTAGATTTTCCCGGGTTTCAACTACAAGTTAGTCTTCAGCTACGACTCTGCATTGAATAAAGAAGATCCACCCCCTTGTCAGTTCTATTATTCTCATTTGATTTTACCCATTTGTTCGATGTAATTCAATGATTTTCACGATTTAAGATAAGTGCTAATTTTGCACACGGGCATTCAACCCCGAGAATCGCTACATCATGTGGATAGATGGAGTTGTTTAATTTTTTTTGTTTTAATTATAGTGTCAACGTGAAAATTCACATTTCCTTGACAAATGTCTAATCTCTACCAGAAATATATTCACTGAAGATGACTGGATGCTGGTCCAATTAGTGCTTACCTTCTTCCGGAACGTTTTGGCTATTCAAGATATTCTGTCACAGCACAAGGCATCGGGATCATCAACTCACTTTCTTCACTTGAGAGATACATTTCTGGAGATCCTATTTCAAGAGAATGTTATGGATCTGATTTTAGTTTTGACTCATCATCTTAATAGCTCATGCCATCTCCGCCAAGATAATATGCTTTTCTTGGAGGTATTTCATTACGTTTTTCAGGGACATGACCCAAAGTTGATTGCTGAATCATCTCGGGAGCAATCTGAGGTCTGATCCGTCACATTTTATCGTCCTTAAAAATTTCCTCAATGTTTATCGCTTTTGTAACAAACATAAACTGGAAATGCGAGAAAATTTATTTCCGTTATACATGTATCCCTTTTCAAGTGATTGCGCTGACTTATCATGTCATGCTGTTTGCCACGTTATATGTAATAGGGATTTATATTTATGTGTAATCATACAAGTATCAAAAGTTGCATTTTATTACAACGGAGTCCCTTAGACCAAAGTCTTCATTACAGGATGCTGTTATTGAAACATCCCTAAATTCTCTGAAGTACATTATGGAAGAGGAGCAACAGAAAACAAAACTTGTCAAGCTCAGGAATTCAGCTATCTGCTCACGATTCAGTGGGACATTTACTCGCCTCACCATGGTATACATATATTCTTATCCCTCGGAATTTCTTGAAGGATCATCTGATCCAGGCTGTGGTTGACATATCACGAGTTGTCTAAAAAACTTTCCTGTAGTTTTTAGGTGATTGGTTTGGCCTTTTCTTAACAAAATGATCCTGAGTGGTTTATATTTAATGTTAGCTTCTGTTTTCTTTTTTCCTCGGATCCTTTAATTAGATTCTAAACACTGGTATTTGCATGGAATAATGAGAGAGGATACTTCGTGGAGTGAGAGGAGACAAGAGTAGGTGGACCCCACCACTTCCAATTCCCTGCGTTCATGGATGTCATGCCCTCAGATTTAGTCTTCATCTTACCGTCACTTTTTCCTCTAAGTTCTTTGCATTTTACATTTTTTTTAGCCTTTTCAATGGCCAATTCCCTATTGCTTTACATGAATGACACGTGATGGTAGAAAATTTAAAAATTTGGGTCTGGTTCCAAATGTTGTAGAGTTTTTTGGGTGCACGTAATGATTGTCTTTGATCTCAATTTTCGCCGTTTTGTTAATTTTATTAGGATGGGTCGAGGACATTATGTAAGGGTGATCCAACAACTGCTTCTGGAAATAGCTTGCTGCAGACTCCACAGGTCCAACGAGGTCCCTTGAAAAAGATTGCGTGGGATAAAGGGAACTTGGTTGCAACAAGGAGCAAAATTTCATCATTACTGCGTAATTTCTTGGATCAATTCTTAACAGGAGCATACAACGGTTAGATTCCCAATGAAAATGATCTCATTCCTGTTCTCACCGTATCATTTTTCATACTTCTGACGCTTATCATCATTTGGTCCGATGCTTTTTCAGTGTTGATGCAATCTGCTTGTGAGGATATTGAAAAAGATCAACACGAAATCCAGACTAGTGATATTATAATCTTTTACCACGTTGCTTATTTTGTTACGAATTTTCAACATCACCGCCTTTCAGTCTGGAAGGTAAAGAAGCGGAGAAATCACTTATTCTTATAAGATCCCCAGTATTTTATTGACACTCACTTCTAGTCAACCATATCTAGACTCATTAGTTTTGTTTATGGATCTATTTCGCTTTCCAAATCACTGGAAGTTGGTCGATACAGAATTTTTTGCTTATGGCACAAGGTAAGGATTTTTTATTTGAAAAGGAAAGAATGAGAAGGTTAAATGAATAATTTTTTTCATTTGAATACTGCGGAAATCCCAGCGGTTTGGAAATTTTTTGAGGGGTTTGGATGTCTCTGGCCCCAAGTCTGCCTCTGATAGGGTTCTTGAAGTAGCATTACTTTTTGGTTTCATGATATTCATCTTATGCATTTCAATTTTCTTACTTTTGGTGTCATTTCCGAAAGTAAGTAGGTCTTACATAATCTTTAGTGTTAATGTTCATTAAAACTTTAAAATCCTCCTGCGTTTCTGGCTTTTTTGTTGCCCCCTCCTTTTCTCTTACTTTTGGTATGCGTAGTCTGTCATTAAGAAGAGGATAGGCTCCGACACTTGGAAACAGAACCAAGTAAAGAAGTCTAGTGCTCAACCCTTTAATCCCCTCATTAAACAGGACTTAAGATCATCTGCAGCTAGTACTAGTCTTAAATATTTTAATTTCTCCTTTTTAGTGAAAATTTCTATGAGTAATTATTTGTGTTTAGTTTGAAGTAGTTCGTGAGTCACATCACGAACATGGGCCTAATCTGACAACCCGAGGCGACCACATAGCATTTGTTTGAATTGTCCCTGCTAGCATGATTTTTCATAATTTTTAAAGTTAGGAACAATGAACACTAAAAAGGATTACTGTAGCCTGTGCCTATATGGAAGCAGCGTCTCAGTCTAAAAATGCTATGTCATGATGCATAATCTAAAAATAATCTCTATTGTAATATTTCCGTTGACCACATAATGGGTGACTGTCGTTATTTTTGAGATAATAATTTCTTTAGTGTGGCAATGTTCACGGTTTGCTTTCTTTTTATTCCTTTACGTGGCAAAGTTTACTATTTCATTCATCTTTTAGCTCAAGTTTTTGAAGCAGCTGACACGATCAACATGATCTCATTTTATTTTTTGGATTGTACAGCCTGAATGTACTGACGTTCCTGAAGAATTTCCGCTAAACACAGTAAATGATAAGTCGACATTCCATGGTGATATATGTGGTCCAATTTCTGCAACAATGCATGAGGCCATGTTTTCCCTAGTCATAACTAAGTGGCGTTATGCTTTTGAGAGCTTGAAAGAGACAAATGACTATAAACTTTTATCTTCATCTGGTTCCATCATGAAAAGCATGGTCAGTAATTTTGTGAATTTTCTTATGTTTTGAAATTCATAATACAATAATTTAACTCGTGAAACCTGTCTTGGATGTTCTTTCTCCAGACCTGCTTAATATTTTTGGAAATTGCGAAAACAATAATCAGGAATCTTAGAGAGAACCTGGGTGTAGCCAGTTTACTCCAGTGTGGCCGTAGTACAATCGTGAAACGCTCTCATCTCTTGGTTTTGCAAAAACAAAAATTTGTCACTCTTGTATACCGTGGTTTTTATTATGCCATGGTTTAGAAAACTGAAGTTCTTGCTGTGGTGTTACTTTTTTTATCTTTCTTCAGGTCATTTATCCGCTAATCTAATCTTGTATACTTTATTTATCAGTAATAAGTGCGATGTTACTAAACTGATGCATACTAATCTGAATCTGATGAGCTAGATCAACTTGCACGAACCAGATCAATTTTCTTGAAAGAGACACAATTGCTCTTTCCCATTCACTCTCTTCCTTTTCCTCTCTATGTGTAGCCTTGAAACTCTGATGTATATGAGATAACTGTCTCAGTCCATCTTGGAATATTCATTGTTGCTGACCTAGATGTGGAAATGTTCTTTGATCAATTACCTCGTTGATGCCGGGATGCATTTATAAATAATTGGTGACAGCACTAAACCTTGCAGAAATCTGCCAGTAAATGGAAACCAAAGCAAAGCGGTATTCTAATTTGTCTTCTCATATTTTTGTTGGATATATATTCTTATTTAAACTCTGATATATATGGAAGCGGTATTTTTCATGGTTTCTACTCAAAGAGAATATTATGTTGACCCCAAGGACTGATGGATACTCTTCTCTCCTTCGGTAGAGCTAATCTTTGTCCAACATTTCAGCATGTTGCAAGGTGAAGCAATGCTAGGCTATTGCTAATGATAACTTTTTTTGGCATGTATTAGAGATATTCTGACTTTAAGATCTATCTTCCGTCTCACCCTGTGCAAATGAACTTGGTCTAATGTAGATAGTTTTTGCAGATTTGCATGCTAGATTTGGTGTTGACATTATCACCAGAGGATTCAAAAGAACATCAGACGGCCCGTATACTTCTCTATAAATTGTTCTATGATCAGACAGATCAAGGAATGACCTACTTCCTTTTGAATCTCATCAAATGTTTTGACACACATAAACAGCCAAAAAGGTGGGTTTTATGAACTGCACTTGCATCATTGAATTAATGGGGCATTGCTCTGTCCACAAGCCAGATTTTGCTTTCGAACATATATAAACCGAATGAGGAATATGTGTGAGCTACCACTTGCATAGTTTATCTAGGTATAGTCCTTCCAGAAATTGATTACCATACTTTTATACCTGCATACTTGCAACCTTCTTTCGCCCATTTGTCTGACAATAACTTAAGTTTTCTTTATTAAAATAATTTCGTTCCAATTTTAAGCCTGAAAGTTGAAGAATCGCAAATCCGCGTTGAATTTAAGAGTAAGCCCTCTTAAACTCGATGGTATTATAAATAAGCCTTTTTATCACGGAATGCTGCCCTGTTACTGGCTAACTTAGTTCAAGACTAATTTGAAGTTACGCAGCGAGTAAAAGAGAATTGTCACACAACAAAAGAGAATATACTGGGAGGTCTGCTGGGCTTTTGAGTCTCCACTTTTAAGGACCTGTAGGCTTGAGATGGATCCTCTGCACATGAACGGTCAAGGTCAGTGTACTGTGTTGAAAATTCCAATGTGGATGAAGGGTCTTTTGGTAGGTTGTTTTTATGTTTTTCAAAAATATAACGTACTGTAAAAGGCATTGGAGATAAATGATGTAAAAATATTTATTCTTTTAGCTGACGCCTCAACCCAAGGTCTTATTCCTTATAATAATAGATTTCTGGGGGCTTGTTATAAACCCAACAAAAATTGTGAACTACTTAGTTTAAGGTGATTTTCTCGGACGGGATGTTAGGCGGCAGTTTCAAATTTAAATACCCAAAAAAGAAGAGGTAATGATAAAATCCGCTTGCCTGGCGATTGTCATTTTCCTGTTCAATTAATGGCTGCCACCATCAATCAGTTTGCTTTTAAATAGCAAAAGGTTTTAAGTTGATGGTCCTAGTGTCGCCGTTCATCCTCATGATTGGTTTTAGATGACTTTAGATCATTTATTCGTGTAATCAGATAATTTTCAGGATTTCGAGCTACTAGGTACTCTCAGATTCATATATTTTAGATCAGCCTCTTGTTAAAACTTGTTTTTAACGTATAAGGGCTGATCGAATCTTGCTCATGATTATCTTAACGCATAGAAACTATGTATGGTTTTCAGATTGGATTGCCAATGTACAAGGGCCAGTGCATTTCATTTAGCTTTGTTCATTATTCTCTTCATGCATAGAAACACGTGTATTGTTTTCGTCTTAGATCTTCAAAGGACATTTTCTATGCACATGGCGCTTAGGAAAATAAAAGCCCCTTTTCATAATCAATATGGAGAAAGAGAAAAACAGTAGTGTATCAAGAGAACGAAAAATTGAGATGTAAAGATGACATCCTTGGTGCATAAAGGCAGAGAGTAGTAGTAATTTGTCAAAATTTGCTATCTCAGTGTTTTCACATTCACCTATTCGTATATTCAATATCATTAGTAGATTTATAGCACGAATTAGAATTATAGTCATTTAATCCTTGCCATTGATTTTGATACTTTCAAAATTGATCTTATCCGAGTAGGAATCCATTTATACAAATACAATTCTAAAGGGTCTCTTGAGATTGAAAGGTACTTGTCTTTCTTACCGTTTCTGTGGTTGAGATGGATATATCAGATTTTCATGCAGGCGGATGATATGTAGACTATAAAGCATATTTATTGATGTTAAGGTGATTTTTTGAGTCTGCAAATCATCGTTCTCTAAATTAGTAACATGCAGTTCTCGTGATTTTCTACTTTTTAAAAGCATATAATATGGGCCAGAAATCCTTTTGAATATGTAGGATATGCCTCCGCCGTTCTCAGTTTCTGATTCCATAATTTAGATTAAGTTAACAGTGACTCTTTGATACATGATATTTATGATGTTTTCAATCCACACAATGATAGGAAGTGACCAATATTCCAGCATCTTATAAAAGATCAATAAATCGTGTGAAACTTAGACGTTACCCATTTGTCGCTGATTATTGTCATCCACTCTTTTTTTAGCGATCTTGCAGATTTGGTGGAAATAATCCATAGATTTTTGGAGCTAATGGAGAGGCTTCAACAGTGTGGTACACTAAGGGTATACCTAATTATGTGTCTTCTCTTTTAAGTGAACAAGTCGAAAGAGGCTTTCAAAGAAATGATCGAGCACTTCACATTTTTTTAATTAATTCGCATGACCTTTCCAATTTAGGTATCTAAGAAGAAAAGGAAGGGGAAAAAAAGGAAAGCATTATTAGGAAACAAGCTTGCTGCGGAAAAAAGGCCAAACCAACTGCCTGATAGTATGGATAATGCTGATGATGTACGTTATGAGAATGTGATGTCATGTCCTGACAGTGCTATGCGGAAAGAAGAAACTGACAGGGATCCTCCCTCAACTGAGGATCTTGACATCCATCACCCGGATGGACCTAATACTGCAGTAGATTCAGATTTAGGTCATAAAAGAGTAAGAGATGATCCTGATGACCAAAACTATGTAACAGAAGAGGATTCTGATGATGATCATCAGCCAGAAACGAATGAGGTTGACCTAAGCGTATCCAATGTCCTCATTAATTTTGCAAACAATGCCATTATTCAAAGGCTATGCTGGCTACTGAGATTCTACAAAAGTAACCCAGAAAATGTTAACAATTATGTGATAAATATGTTACAGCGTATCTCTGATGACTTGGAGCTTTCACCGATGTTGTATCAGGTAAAGTTCATTACAAGATGTTTTTTACTCTAGGAGCAGAGAATAAACTGTAATTGGTCTGCACTCCTATCCTTGCAGCTATCGGTGCTCACTATATTTTACAGCATTTTGGTTGACCAAAAATCATCTAAATGCAAGCAATATGCGATTGTTTTTGGTTTTCTGACCAAATTGGTGAGGAGGATGTTCAAGAAATTGAAAAATCAGCCTCTTCTCTTTGTGGAGCTACTGTTGTGGAAGACTAGAAAAGAATGCCACTGCATTGATGCAGAAGCATTGCTACATGACATTCACAATTTAAGAAAACAAAAAGGAATTTCTGATGATGGACGAGCAGGTTCTATAGCTGAAATGGGAGTGGGACATTCGAGAAGCATAGCAGACTCTCTTGGAGAAGATGAAGCTGATATTCTGACTTCACGTAACCTCTATCAACACAAGTAAGATATGAATTTCGGATTAGCTGATTTTTTAACATAGTTTTATGCTTAGCACATCATAATCTGTCTGCGAAGTCCATAACAACATTTTCTGCGAGCAGTGCTGAGACATTGGTCGGGAATATTCAAGCTGATGTGATCGAGAATCAACGTGCGGTGTTAACATCAACAGAAAACTTTGTAAATAACACAGAGAAAATTGATAATCAGAGGTATTGTCGAAGCATTACCATTATAGTTTCCTTACCTCGATACTTAGATTATCGATTGTCCATTTATTTCAAGTAAAGGGAATTTGCTCAAAATGACCACCTCTCAGGGAGAACTAGGGCAGAAAAAATATGTTCTTCATTGGTCCACTAAAAGGGAGGCTCTTTCACTCGTTTATTCCCTGTTTATCGTAGGCAACTGTCAATGACTCTGATATTTCACTTTTTCCTGAACTAATAAGTTTCTATGCGTCTCTCATGTTTGAAAGAGAACAATTGGAAAGTTGACTTAGCAAAATTGTGTTGACTGACTTTGTAACATGTGATAAAGTACGTCTCCGATCTCCAATTTGTATGAGTCAGTGCACATAACGTCTCATAACAACATATGGAGCTTTATATGTGGCTCAACCAATCATGAGAGCTTTTAGTCTTTAGATCCATGAAAACCTGAGTTGACTGGTGTAAATGGGCTCGAGTCTGCTTGATGCAGTGAACGAGGGCTTGACAAAACTCTTCTGCCAACCTGAATTTTGCCAAAAAATTGCTTTAAATATTTTATATGATGCTCGTGAGTTTCTTAGGTTCGAAGCTGATCCCCAATGCGATCGGCTTACTGATGACGCCCAAGACTCCCATAGAGAAGTATCTCCAGTTCAAATGTCTTCTAAGCTCAAGCAGTTCGGGGTCTCAACTGGAAGGAAAAGGAGATCTATCAGGAAGTCTTCGGTAGATGAAGATGATCAAGTCAATGGCAACTGCGACTCCGTCTCTCACAGTGGCACGATGGGACCGGACGATCCCTCTTCGTGAGTTCTCCTGATTCCGGTTTCTTCCCTTCGATGGTCTTCTGTTCATAGTAAAAATAATTCCCTTTTTGCCATTCCTGCCTCAAATTCTCTATCCTTGCGAGGCTCATGTGGCTTTCTTTTAGTCATTCTTCTGGCGTCGCTATCAGTCATCACAGGTCTCTTTTTTTTAATGAAATATTTTTGCCCACCTTTAGATCCTATATGGTTCTCTATTAATAATCTGTTATTCAACCTCTGCTAGTTTGAAACCCATCCCATGGTTCTTATAACACCGTGAATCACAAGTTTACTCTTGCGCGCTTGTTTTTTTTCTCAAACGGCTCGTCAAATGTCGTGTTGATTTTTCTTTTCAGCAATGTAAGAAAAAGAATACGCGCCTTCAGCAAAGATCAGGAACAGATTGTCAGAGACTTGTTTGACAAGTGAGTATCCGATTGCTGTTTCACTTCGGATGCCTGGATTTTAAATATTCCGTTCTTTTCTCCCCAATCTGAAGCTGAAAGCCCTGACGATGTTTTCCAGGTTCAAAGATCATAAGAGGTGTGCACACATGATCGCAAATGCATTGGATCCGAGCGCATACACTGCAGCCCAGGTATCCCGTAAACTGAGGCAGCTTGGCCTCGCTCCTCAAGGGCGGAAGCCACGCAAAGGCTCAAATGATTCTGGAACTACGGATTTATGCGAAAAAGAAGATGAATCTGAAGAAGAAATGCTCGCTACCTTGTTACAAAGGTACGTACAGCTCTCCCTGCTTCTCAATCTTTTCTAGGTCCTTACGGAGGATCGCTGTCCTCTGTAGTTCGTTTCTATTTTTAGGTAAGGTCGAGCTCCATTCGTGGAGAAAAATCAAGTCTGTGATGCTTTGTTTTAGGTTATTTCTGTTTCGTTATACTAATTGCCCAACATCTGTTGATAAGTTTTGAGGGTCATGTTTTCGCAGTCAGATTGATTTGCCTGGCTTATGTTGTTCTAGTATTAATCTGTAAGCCATACCGATTATCCTTTTTTTTCCCCATGGAAAAGGTGCAAAGGCAAGAAGGGCAGGCCAAAACACGTGGAAACTGGAAGGCCTGAGGCTGCACCACCCCCGGAAGCCGGTTCTGACGGTGACCTCTCGGGCCCCATGCTCAGGTGAGTCAACCCCATCCGCGGTAGCCCATTCAGGGTCACCATTTTTCCTTAAACTTCGTGCTGAGCATACGATAAGTTAACCCCTATGACCCCTCTTCTCTCGCTCGCTCCCCTTCCTGCAGAAGCGCCCGCGCAGAGCCTGTAACGACGGAAACAGCGGCCGTCGTTGGGGATGTCGATGAAGATGAACCAGACGACGTCGCCCGGCGGGAGAAAAAGCACAAAATCAGCAGTTGGGTGATGGGCGGTGAGTTGGAAGATTCAGGGGATGAGCTGAGTTTCACCTCCCCCAGGAACATCACCTCCAGGAGGAAGCTCAGAACATTTATCGACGGCGAGGCGGATGAGTAGGAGGGAGCGGCCGATGCTGCGGCGGCGGCGCCATTGAGCAGGCACAAAAACTGGCAGGTTATACGCCAACCCTAATGAGCTCGTTCAGGTGTCGAAGAATTCCTCGGGAACATAGAATCTCAGCCCCACAGCCTGAGATTAATACAAGCTTAACAACAGTGGCGTTGGTGCAGGAACTGATTAACATAATAAAATATCAAATGCTAGATGGTCCGAGACGGCCCAGACGAATCCGGTTTTTTTCTTTTCTTTTCAGATTATCTGCCCGAGCGTCTCATATTTCCTTAGAAATATATTCACGTTGGGAACGACCCAGTAAACAAGGGTCCAGAGAACATCATCCGTACCTTGGCAAATTCGATGTCTGCGTCGCTGTGATCACCGCCTCTCCCGGCCGCATCCCCGACATAAAATGACCTGCGGCCAAGTTGAGGTAGGTTGGGGTGGCTGATTAATCTGAGTCGTATCATGGGAAGATCGAACTGGCACAACAAGAAAAGGTTGAAGTAGAACACAAGAAACAACGAGTAATCGGCAATGACACACGTAAAACCATATGCAGGAATAATATTTTGAGTCCTATTTTATGACATGTAATATGATAATCTAGAGTGCTATTCAGAAAAGGTCTACAGGTGTATGTGAGGGAAGCATTTACGGCTAATTTTCTCCACCGGAGAACGAAAGATCAACCTTAGGCATACTATGATTTAGGAAGAATAAGGAAAAACCATAGTATATGGATGATCTCAAAACATTTGACAGCAACGACAATAAAAGCAGTGACATCTATCCTCGCATCTCTTTGACTTTTTCCCTACCACTTTAAGCATACGTTGGTCGTCCGGCACATAAGAGGACCCTCAAGGACACAAGCACTAAGGAAAAATGGTCTTGGTGGCTATCAGTAAGTTCCTACCAGAAGAAACTTAATTCCAGAAAAAATGGCAAAGAAGAAGAAACAAACTTGTCCATGTCGACTGCAATCTTGGAGTTGAAGTGTTTCTCCAGCAACCTCCACAGTCCAGGGTTGGGCTTGCGAAAAGGATCCTGTGGTTGATCCTTGCCTTTCCCGAGTCCACAAGCTATAAAAATCTGTATCAAAACAAAGACGAAGTAGATTTTCGCCGTTCATTTCTATCCAGAAACTTGTGCTCTTGAGCCACATCAATTGATAAAACCCGGTTAATAAAATGGCGAGCATTTGACTCGTGTGATAAGAAAATATATGCAGAGTAAACTTTTTCCCCCTGAGAAAGAATCATTTCATTGTTGCCTCGTACGTGCTTCACAACATGGGATAGCAAAAGGAACAGCATTGTTTAGGTTCTACAGTCACCTGCATTGGAACTTCAACACGCTTCATAAAATTTTCAAGCCTTCCAATTTTAGAGTCAACGGCCAACTGTCTCTTATTCTTCCAGCGCTCTATGTTAGATTCATTCGTGAATATCACCTCAAAAGAAAAACCAGAATCAATACCGAGTAAACTACAACATATATCGCATAAGTTAAGATTGTCAGGTGCCATTAAACGGTGGGATATTTATCCTCCTTAGAGGAAAAAAATTAAAAAACTCAGGTAAGAAGCTGAAAAGCAAAAAGCACAACAAGTGAAAAATAACAGAAAATGAAACGTTAAACAGACAATGGAGAGATCAAGCATCTGACATAAGACAGCATTACATATATATGTGGGAAGCAATAGGAGGCAAACCAGTTTATAGCCATCGTTAAAAAGATTTCGCAGCTTCTCTGGAATTGAAGGGTATAGAAGCGACCATTCGTTTGGACCAATTCTGTACATGAAATAAATAATTTTAGGCAATTTTTTCCGTTCAATGTCTACGTTAATTTTTTGTTCAACAAAATGAGCTAAAGGCTTCCACAGAAAAGTATTGTTAGGAGACTAAATTATTTTTCTGTATCAAAATAATCAATTGTTTCGTTAAGACGGGGAATTCAGATTACCATATGACAGAAATATTGAAAATAAATGAAATATAATATAAAGAAATACACAAATACAGAGCTAGACAATCCAAAAGACAGAGCTAAAGCAGACATAACCCAAACCATTCTCGAGCAATGATGCGGCATAATTGGCACTTAAGACATCCGAACTAAGAATGAAACACATGATTTTAACAAGAGCCCTGGATGGGAATGGCACTGCATATGACCATGAATCAAGTCTGGTCATGTGGTCATGTGGCAATCATCTTACCCTGGAGCAGCCACTTGACTAATGTCATGTGGTTGAGTTAAGCTTGAAATAAGAGCCTCGTGTTTGCTGAGAACTTTACTATGCTTTATCCATCTCTTTAAGACTCAATCATGTGCACTGATGAACGAGATGGTGATGTGCATTACCCAAAGAAAGATCCAAGTCACGGATATGAATAATGAAATTCAAGAAACTTATTATAACGAAATTCAACACGCTTCTCCATGCACACATGGTTTTGGCACAGATATGTGATATAAGCAATAACCTTTACCTTTTCAACGATGTTCTCACAAGGCACCCATCAAAATCAAAAGCAGCAATCTTTTCTGAATCACGGAGGCCATCACCCTAAAAAAGCATACAGAAACTAGGCAAAATGATATATGAGTAAATCAAATAATCTGACAAACACATTCCAAAACTGAAATATTTATCCTTTGATTTTCATTTGAGTTCCTGACAGTTTATTGAGAAATCCAGTCAAATCGACCAATGGACATGAGACAACTGCAATCGAGTGCTACCATGAGGAACAGACCAATTGCTTGAGAAATTATGAACGGAACATCGAAAATTAAAAGATACATCACATGCATAGAATAGGAAGAAACACGTTGTGGAAAAAATATATTCGCTGTACTTGAGAAAGGAAAAAACAATGCACACTTTTGGTATAGTCTTTAGAGTTACATTCACATTTTTTAGGTACATTTTATCCGCCTAACAATAATCAATAGAGATTGATATCAATGTCATAATTAAGGGACAAAATCATGAACCTTTTTATGTCTATTTTAAATATTCGATAGAATTACTTTAAGCATCAGGTTTCAATACATAAGGCTATGATAAAATTTGAACATGATAGTAAGATTTAAAGTTCATCAGGCGTTTTTTATATCTGATAGTAAATAATAAAACCAAGAAGTACAAAATAACGCTTTATTCATTTCTCGACAATCTATATAGCATACACACAATCATGCAAATGAAATAAATAAAGACAGAAAAATAGACCCTTCTTCGTACGCAAAAGGACAAGAGGTATCCCTTGATAAATTCCCTCAATAAAGTTTTCATACACATAATGAGGGCATTTTACCACAGATTTCTATCAGCCTGCGCTTCTAATTCTTGTAGAGGTTACATTACAATCAAGTATCTTTTGCTTTTCTTATACATCTTAAATTCTAGCGGAAAGTAACTGGAGAAATAATATTACCGCCTCACGAAAAATAACTGTTTGGAAGGCCTTCCATTCTGGGGGGAGAGAAGCATCCTGAAACAAGAAATTGCAAACAATTGAAATAAGTGAAAAGTTTTAAAAATTCTAAAGGATGAAAAAAAGGCACTATAGAAAGAAAAGCAAGCAAGACAAGGGCACATGTATTGCTGCCAAGTTTCAAGCATTGATCGAATTTGAAACATGGTTTATAAAGTTTGAAGATGACAAAATGAATGGCAGAAGAGTTTGATGCACCTTGTACTCGGTCTTTATATCAGTAATAGAAAAGACCATCTCCTCTCCTTCTTTTTCGCCATCTCCGTGCTTCATGAAGGGGCAGCAGATGAGACATTTTTAAAGTCACACAAGTCACGTCGAATTATACATCACGCTTTTATGGGGAAAGGTAATTATGATGGGAAATAACCAACCACGTCTCTAGGGAAAATAAATAAATGACAGAGAATCCAGTCCTCTACCAAGTCTTTCATAAGTATGAACGTATGAGTTCGAAACAGCCCAAAAATTGGGCAGATAGGGGCCCAAAAAAAAAATGATTTTTCTTACCCCTTCCTTACATAATTATTAGACCTGCTGTTCGGACTATGCTTTTTGTGCTGTGGTTGATGTATGAAGTCTCATGACGGCAGAACTAACGAAAAGATGCTTGTTCTTTTGCGTCAACAAATTTGCTATAATGGGCATCTTCCCAAATGTAAACGAATAGAACTCACACATCAAACTAGTAATTGTATACCTTCGATTTCTTCATAATCATTTCCTCATCTTCTTCAGTCTCAGCACCAGCCGTAATTTTCTGGAAAGATAAAAATACCTATCATAACAAGCATGGAATTAATGACGGAACTCATGCTTTATCTACACATCAATCCCACTTTCAGATCTCTTTTCTTGCTTTCCTTGCTCTCATCTTTCTCTGAACTGTTGTCCTACAAAAAAGAGATATATGTTTGAAAGTCAGCGACAAGGAGACTCGGGTATGCCTAGATTCACTTAACCTACTTTTCCGCTATAATGTGGTTGACCAAAACTCTGAATGAACAAGACGACAAGGAAACTCGGGTATGCCTAAATTCACTTTAAGTGCTTTTCCGCTATAATGTGGTTGACCAAAACATTGAATGAACAAGACGATAAGGAAACTGGGGCACGACTAAATTCACTTAACCTACTTTTCCGCCATAAGGTGGTTGACCAAAACTTTGAATAAACAAGAACATCATAGCCCTAAACGAAACAGCAGCTTAGACTACGTTAAAATAAAGTTACCACATCGACGGAATGCTTTGCAGCTGCCATGGTCTCGAAATTCTTCAACGCTTCCCGATCGGTACTCTGACCGGCTCCAATTGAACATCGAACGGATACAGGAAAACAATGGAAAGTGAGAAACACATCTGGTCAGCGAACCGAATCGAGCTTCGTGTCCCCGAGGCCTTCACCTTTAATGAATAATAACCCTTGATCTCCTCCACAGCAGCGAACGATCGGGGAGTCGGTAAGCAATCCAAGTGATGCCACTTGACCATCTCGAATCCGCGAGGATCCTTGCTGGTCAACCCGAGCCTCAGAGTTCTTACGGGGATATTCTTCCCACACCCCTTGCACGAGGAACGGCCTGACTTCGCATATTCAGCGACCATCTTTTCTGTCGCCATTGGAGGGGTAAGGTGCGCGATTAGAAGGCGGAATGAGGAGGCAGACAAGATACACGGAGGCAAGAGTCCCCTCTCGTTCTTCTGAGAAACCCCTCCTCCTGGGCAGCGCAGATACCCCGTCCCAAGGATGTCCTCCCCGCTCCCCCTCCCAGAAGTAAGCAAGACAGGCAGAGGCGAGCGTCTTCGAGCAGCGAATAGGAGTGGGTCTGCGGAGCAGATAGTGCTGTGCGATTGGACGCAGCAAGCACGCATGGAGAGGACGACTGACCGAACCCCCAGCTGCTGCATTGAGACCAGCGGGACAAGACGGCGGGAAAAACTCGCTAGCCGTTGTTCGGGGCGGGAGATGGACTTGTACCTCATAGTTCGTATTAACCGTTTTATCTCGTCTTATTACGGCATTATTATTTTGACCCGTTCATAATGGGCATGCGAAATTATTTATTTTTTAACGATACCACACGATCTCTTATAGACCCACTATTTTCCCTTTTAAATAAATAATAAATATTAATAAGGGTCGAGTGTGAGTCAACGGCTATGCCAACAAGAGTCATCTTCTGGTCCACCGAATTCTCCTGTTCACCAGAGGAAGACTCTGGATGCCCCTCACTTATCAAAGCCACACTTTATATCCCAGGAAGATTGTACGTTGAAGGTGAACCCAGGCGTTGACCAGTGGCTGGTCAATGAATTCCTTCAGAGGTAAGCATCGACATGAAAGTAAGCGCTGTGGAGAGGAAAATGGGAAGATCTGGGAAATCAGAGACCCTACCAAACGAGTAGATCGCGTGAGCCACTTTGAAGAGCGATGTGGGGAGAATCTAGAAGGGCTAGCTAGATGATGGAGGTGACGCGAACCGAGTGGTCGGCGGACCCAGTCAAGAAGATGGGGAGAGTCGGATGCCAATCCACCGTTGTGATAGCAGAAGTGTGAGGAAGGGTCCTCAATCCGCTCCTGTGGCCCTGAAGCTGACCAATAGGTAGATGCAATGGGATCCTCTTGCCAGCGCCAAGATCAAGAAAGAAGAGCAGGAAGAGATGTCAGTAGGAGAATGCCCACCTGGTATATCGGGGATCTAACCGAATTGGATGTGACCAACAGTCTCCTCCCATCAGAATCCAATCCTATCTCATGCCTGCTCATTGTGGAGCTTCCAAGATGGCAGAACCTGCGTATTCAAGGAGCGGGATGTGGGTTTTTACTTCTGGGTTTTCCCATTAGAGTGCTGTCGGGAGGAGAGACGCATCACCTGCTGCAATCTCTTGACCAGAGAACTTGGCCTTGGTTTTGCAAGCTCCATTCGAACATCTAAAAGAGGATGTGAGCATAAGAGTGAGGAGGATTATGTAACTAGTTATAACAGGAGATGAAAGGAAAGAACGAGGATACTCAACATAAAAAACAAGGCAGTTGTTGAAAACGGTTGATCACAAAATAGCGCAATTTTATTATTATTATTTTTTTTCCCTTTACGTGCCAATGGGATTTCTAATTGAGTGCAGATGAACTTCATGGGATGAAGCCATGTTGTCTTGTTTATTCTAAGATGTCCGAATGACGAGGGCATGAATGCATGAAATCCATGGAGACATTTTTTAAGCTTTTATGGTGATCTACACCAATCAAAAGACCAGCGGACCCAGTTTAATAAAAAAGATGAAAAAATATCCAATTTCTATTTATTCTAACTCCCATGGTTACTGGAATTTCAGGGAGGCTGGTCTGCAGCATCAAAATTGATACAGATGATCTGAACTTGAAATCAGCGTTCTTTCTGTTAAGAAAAATGACAATGAAAAGAGAGTACAGAAAAAAAATTGTAATAATCCTGAGTAAATAAATAGCATTCTTTTGGACCTCGCTGTCTAACAGTTTGATATCATCAGAAACTCTAATCGAAAGGAATGTCTCAGCAAGAAGTTAGAGCAGTGATCTCTCCAAAAAAAATACGCCTATCAAATAAATCACTTACCTTTCCATCAGAACCCAGACTGAATATGCTGGTCTCATCTGGTCCAAATAGCACAGAGCATATAGCTGAGTCGTGAGCAGGCCACCCTGTGATCTGTAGGTTGGCTGACATATCTAAGAGGTTGATTAAGAAAATAACCTTGTGATGGGTGAATATCAAAAGAATAACCAAAAGATCACTCTGCATAACAGGAACGAATGAATATTACACTTTTCAAGATTCAGATAATCCAAAAAAATAAAATAAAATTTGAACACAATGAATCTGGATGGTAGTGGGGGTAAGCTTGACCCAGCTTTTTGTGAAACTGGCCACAAAGTCAGGCACCTGCAGAATTTTAGGCCTAGCTCGGGATGTACAGTAGCCAGTCCAAGGTTCAAATGGGTCCATACTTAGCCTGGATCATATCTGAGATAGTACAGGTTTGGACGGGTTGCTGCTCAGAAGTCCAGAGCCATCCAAAACCAGGAACCTAAGCCATCTTTCCACGTATTCCTCATCCGGATAAACACCCCCAACCTTCTTCTCACTCTATGGCTGCTCCCAGCATCTCCCAGTTAGATTCTCCCTCCACAAGATTTGTCGGTTCCGGCCTGGAACCTGCTCCCTTAGGTTTTCTCCGAGGCAGGGCCAGGCCAGGCCGTTTAAAAACCAACGAGGTCCAGTAAACAAGTTTGAGAGATTGTTACCTTTCGTTGGAAATAAACTTTTGCGTCTGAGAGCTTCCTACCTATGCAAACAGTTTGAATAAGAAACAATTATTTTCGTCAAAACAAGTTTAGGCACATTCCGTCAAATTACTCCTTGTCGATAACTTTTAAATGAGAAGCCAATTTATTGAAGGTGTCAAATATTTGGCAATAGAGTCAAAATGGGCTAAAGAAGGTCAGGATCCCACAGAAGATTTGGCGGAACGGTTCAGTATGCTTCTCATTAGTGATGCAAAGGAGTGTTCAATTCCTTGAAAGTATGAGAACATAGGGAAAGGGAAAAGGAGAAAGAAAGATCAGACGACGAGGATGAAGAAATAGTACGCCATCAATAAGAAGGAAATAATAACCGATAAGAGGAAATGATATAAAAAGAATTTGGTCGCTGTCAGTGCAAAGGATGGTTAATGCTGTTTGAGCTCTAGAGTAATTGGAAGTCAGTTGATACTAGGCCAAGAGAAATAGCACAGAAATAATGAAAAGGAAGAGTGAAACTAAGAACTAATAAAGGGCCAGGACTAGAAGGAAACAAAATAGAATAAAGCTTTGGTTATTAACCAATCAGGAAGGCAATCGCTAACTATCTCAGAAGAGGCCAGGAGGAAGTCTACTCAATCTGCTGCGCAAGACGAACAATGAGATAAATTTAGGACAATCATAAAAAATAATGAGACAGAAAGCCTAGAATAGCTACTCTAGCTGAAGTTTGGTATACCATGCCACCAATGAATCAAGAGAACAACTGAGGGCCTGGGCAAGAATCTCCATGTAAGGTTTCCAGGATGAAGCACCAGGCATTTGAGGCGAAAGGGTTGTCTGGCAGATTTGTGAACATGGCTAGCTTCTGACTGGGCACGTAGCATGAGAAAACTCTGTGAAATATGAAGCAAAATACTGGTCTTATTCTTTACTTCACTACTTGCACCCAACTTTGAACTCGTGACTTAAAGACAGCTGTGCCATCTTTGTAATTTACTTCAAGGGACTTTGATTAGCAAATTTCGGGTGAAGTTTAAAATTAAGTATACAAAGCTTAATGAATCAGCAACTCATCAGAATGGACTTTCATGAAAGATGAAAGATGAAAACAGGAATTTTACAATCAGATGCGTGATGAATGTTCATAAACCAGTAATAAAATGTACACAGATATATGACAGTAACCATAAACAGTTAGATTTTAGTGGATGTAAATTGACCAATTATCTGGAATATATGAAGATGAAAAAGGATACCAAACATATGAATCATTCCATCAGCTGCTGACGCTGCTAAGATCTTCCCGTTGTGGTTGAAGCACAAAGATGTTATTGCTGGAGGGTCTTTTCCAAGAGGGAGAACTGACTTCACCAAACATCAAATATTTCAACACAGTTATCTACAGTGAAGACAAAATGGTTCATATATGCATACCGTGGGCTTCCATGTTTTCATGTTCCAAACGATCAATGAAGCAAATCCCATTTCATCCACTTGACCCAACCCATACCTGCGTACAAGGAAAACATTGCCATTCTGAGATTATTAAATTCAGCACTGTTTTATTTTGGGTATGTGATAGCTGGAGAATATGGAGAGATAAAGAAACTAAAAAGAACGAAATATATTTCGAGGATTTAAGCTATTTTTTTACCACAGAAGACCATCTTATGCTATACAGCAGGAAGTTTTCAGCTGCGTTCTGTGTGTTGTAGCGCTTAAAAAGTGGTAGATGAACATTATGTAAGGAAACAGGTAATCCAAAAGTGGATTTTGTTCATTTAATATACCGTGAAACAATCAAGTGCAGTCAAGTTATTGAAAAATGATCAATGGCGGGTAGCATCTTTTACGTGTATTCAATGGCCATTAACTTGCACGATTATAGTTTAGCACATCAAATACAAGCTGATAGCATACTTTTCTGAATGCATAAGACGGAGGTGGAGGGGTACATGGGGCCGATATTAAATACTGGAAAGGCTCTTTAATTATTCACATGGTTATTTAAAAAATCTTTTTTTAAGACAAAATATCGTGGTTTGATTTGAATGAAGAAACCATTTAGAATGAAGACGTATATAACTGAAGTTTAAAAGCAATGTTCACAATGTTGGCTAAAGTATGTCCAACGCGATGAACCAATAAATCTTTGACCATAATATGAAGTTTTTGACCGCATTTATATTCATCATTTAGCTTTCACCAAAATCGCATGACAAAAAATTAATATGGGATGTCAAAGATAATTTCATGTGTCATGAAGGAAAATTAATTTAATTTGACAATTATGAATGGTCCATTTTTTTCTGACTATATTAACAAAAATGAATAATTACCTTCCAGATGCAGCTGCAGAGACAAAAATTGGTTCCACTGGACTACACTTCAAGTCCATCACACTGAAAATAGTATAAAGGTTTAGTTAACTAGTGGGATCACATATATCAGAATGAGAAATATCTGTATCAACCTAGGATAATCTGAAGTTGTGCTGAGGTCACAAACTACTCTTTTAGCGTCAACATTCCAAGCTTTGATTCCCCCACCCGCTGTACCTATGAGCAGCTGTTGGGAAAAAGAAGGAAAGAAAACAATGAATATTAAACCCTACATTGAAACCAGCACACTTAAAGATGACATTTTAGCCGATTGACAAGATTTCTCATACCAAACGGTCAGATCTACATTCCCAATCAAGTGACATTATCTCAGCTCCGCAGTATATAGTTGCATTTCTAGATGTTGGGGTTGAGGAGTTGTATGTCCAAATTCTTTGTCCAAGCATAAAATCAATGATGACTATCAATCAGAGGAGAGAGATAAAAACTAAATAAAATTAATTAACCCACCCAGAGGGAAGAAAATCGTCTTGTGCGAATACCTTACGGTGCCATCAACAGAAGCACTAGCAATATTAGCCCCAGCAGCAGAAAAACGACACCTAGTAATTGGACTTGTATGGCCTAAAAATGTTTCCTGTAAATTAATGCACAGACAGTTTAAACAAAAAAATGATTCCAAATTAATTCCTTTGGCAAATTTAGTGGCTTAATTGGAAAAGATGCATAAAATATTGACATTATGTAAAGCTTGCCTGAAAATCTACTTTAACTTCGGGGAACTCTTCCTCTTTCACTAAGTTCCCCTCCTCCCCTGTTAAAAGCATAAAGAATCAATCAGTGTTCAGCACTCATGAGAACAATACCATACTGGAAAAAATACAAACTTTTATTTGAATTGTGCAATGCATCTCAATCAGTAAAATGTAACTTGGCTTTTCAACTTTCCAAGCCTTGATACAATGTAGGGCCAGTCAATCTTGATTGGAATGTGAGAAATGCAGTGCATGGAAACATTGCCTGAGAATTAAATATATATACAGAATCTAATTAGTTTATAATGTGAAATGCAAGCAGATGGGAAAAAATCACTCCATCGAGACATGTAAACGCACATATCAAGTAGTACTTCCACAACATAGAAAGTACAATAAAGTTACCTTAACTGCGAAATGCAAAAAACCAATGTTCTTTTTCTGAGTTTTTCTTGAGAAGACTAGTTTATCTCTACCAATAACCTATAGGATTTTGTATTCTAAATTAATAAATAAATAATGCAGTTAGCCACCACCACTTGGAGGTACAGTGAATCAATGAGACCATTAACAGTATACGGGACTATTGCTACCATATTATAATGAAAAAGAATAAGCACTTTACTGAAGGAATGCTAAGAAGAAAAACATCGTCTTTTATCCACGAGGTGAAGAGGTAAAAATAACAGAGAATGATCATATGCAAAGAAGAGAAAGTGAAAGGAAAGAATTGTCCCAAGGGAAGGTACATCATCAGAAACACAGCAAACATTTTGAGATTTAAAATCGTTCGAAAGGAATATGTCAAAAGGAGTCCAGGAAGGGTACTTTACTCTTTTCTACGTGAAAAAAAAAAGGTAAAACAAGGCAAGACAAGGAGAAGAAAGTAGGTAAATATACCGAAAAAGAATGGAGGGAAAACATAAATAAAATGCGAGCAATTTTACGAAAAGAAAAGGCTTAGTGCCCGGTATAAAAGGAAGTTTAGGTGAAGAAAATAAGCTTACATCCAGAAAAATTAAAACAGTAGATTGAAGAAAAAATCATCTCATAGAGATCCCATCTCTGAACAAACCGTATCTTCTTGAACACGTGCATTTTGAAACGAAATTTCAGATTATTCTTTAGAAACGCATAACAGAAGCTATTACCTTTCTGATGAACACATAACGCTTTGGAGCCTATATCAAAGAAATACTAGATTATGTAGGAAAATGCTAGAAAAGGTAAGTAGGAAAATGGATAAAAAAGGTAAGCATAAGAATTTTTTTTAACCTGCCTGAAGCAGAAACCTAGCATTCTTATCATCTTTATATCTAGGATGAATATTCCATTGTGAACTTGAATCATGCCCTTGTTCAATTAAAACAGATACCAACAAACCACTGTTGGAAGATGGAACATAGCACACACCTTCTCCTATAACCATTTCATGCAAGTTGGAAACCAAGTCAATTGAGACATTGCAACTACTTTCAACTCGATCTCCTGGGAACATCCCTTTTGAACAGCTTTTGGCAGAGCTGTCCTCTGGAAACATGGAATTTTCGCAAACTGGTGGAACTACACTGAATGGAAATATGGTGTCAATGAAATTCAGAAATTGAAATCTTGATTGCAAAAGATATAATGGACTATTTGTAAAATAGAAATGTGGAAAACACGAGTTTCAGTTTTGTTACATAAGAATTATATTGAAAGAAACAGGAAGTACGCTCCTTTCATCTGTAACTAGCATTTAATAGAAAACACAGGAAAGAATTTTAAAATATTTCGAAATCACAGGTATGAATTTTATTATTTGCATAAAACTAGAGATATAAAAAAATGCAAGAGTTACATCCCTCGGGCATGAGGAATCGTTTGCATGATATATTACAAATGAAATCAATCCTAAGTAGAGAGAAGAAATCAATCCAAATACTACAAGTTCAATAGAGCAGCTTAAAGAATGCTTACCTCCTAATCTGGGACAGCTCAGCCTCCTTTGCCTCTAACAAGGCCTGAAGTTGTGACAATTTAGTATTCAGTTGCTTGATGTCATTCTTAAGGTACTTGACTGTATTCTTTTCTGTGCTGATTTTTAACAGCGCAGGGATCCGTGAACTAGCTAAGGATTACTTCCTCAAGTAAAATCATAGGAAAGACTATGATTAAAGGAGATGGAAAGATGAAATTCTTGCAGGAGGATTTCAAACAGATAAGTTTAAGCGGATGATATTAGAAAAATGTCAATGAGTGACTGCAATATAATCTGAACTGAATACTAGGGCATAACTGTCTTTAGCAACCTACAGATCAAGGTCAACTAGTTGTCAAAATAGTCACTAGCAAAACAGAAACTGCATGCTGAAGGGCAGGATATCGGACAACAACAAATCAGCGAGAGTAGTATATATCAAACTTCCTAAGAAAAAAAAACATCAAATGAAAATAATTCTATAAGTAAAATGAATTCCACATTGGGGGATATTGACACCATTGAATATCTCACTCAGGAAATTCCTGAATGAAAGGCGCAACGCATCCAACCACTCCCTGGAAAAGTAAACTCGAAACTGAGGATCCAAGCTTGGGTTCTTAATATAGGGAATTGCTGCCAAGATCCGTGATCGTATAAGAGAACGCCAATGGAGAAGAAAAAAGAAATCGAAGAAGAGGTAAAGATACCCACCGAACCACGGAGTCCAATCCTCGCGCCTATGCAGCAAATTGTTTCCGTGTGCGCCGAAGAACGCGATTACCTTGTCTGGCCGTCCAGATTGTAAAGCGTAGACAATGTAGTACCGCAGAATAGAGACCTCTAGCTTACCCAGTGATGCCGCCAGCACCGCGTCTGAGGACGAAGAGAGGCGGTGCCTGAAGAAAGACAGCAGGCTGACGAGCTTGTCTGCCTGGAATTTAGGGACGTACGCCGAGAAAACCAGTTCGAGCAGCTTGTCCACCTGGAAGCCCTGGCCGATGTCCGTGGCCAGCTCGGCTTCGAAGGCCTGCAGGGTTCCCGTGAACCCCCTGAAGACGAGGAACTCCCTCAGGAGCTCCTCCGCGTACAGCATGTTCTCCATCTTCCTCTTCCTCCCAACCCCTTGCTCGCCGACGGCGGCGACAGCATCAGGCGCTCCGATCCCGCCCCCGAGCAATGATTCCCCCGCCCGCAGCAGGGAAACAACTACCAGGAAAGAACCCCAGTTCCCAAGAGAATATCAAATACACCCACTACATCTTCAGAACTACGGCTTTATAATCTCATAACATTTATAATAGCGTCCCACCCTTTCAAATGAAAACTCACGACTTGCACGACACCGAGGTCAAACTTTCAATGATAATACCATTAACGATTTGACTAGTTCCGCATTAGAAGACACCAGCAAACCACGGTATTACTCTATAGCTTTGAAATGAGCGCATCCTCCGCACCTTGTCTGTTCTTCCTCCGCACGTCTAGTCAACTCTTTCTTTGCGCTTAAAGAAGTCAATTTCGCAACGAAACAGTGAGATTTCCCCCCACGAGTCGTCGATTTTGTAATGGGCATCAACCGGGAAAGGGTCTGATGCTGCTAGTGATCCACCCGCCTCGCTACTATCGGTGGCGGCGTCTGAGAGAAGAAAGAAAGCGAAAGAAGGGGAGCGCGTTCAGTGGTCGGATGTTATTTCCGGAGAGGTTCTCGTTGGTGACGGCGGCTCGTCTCAACGGCGAGCAGTGGCGAAGGTTCCCGCTGGCGACGGAGCGATGACAGCGACTTGTGAGGCTGCCCGGCTGCCAAATGAATTGTCCCTAATGGGAACGGTCCATTTTCTGCAGAATCCGTGGGATACCCCCTCTTTCCCCTTTGAAAGGGACGCTCGTCCGCCCAATATGATTCATCTCAAGCTCCGTCTCCGGCACAGAAAACGTTCAGGGGGCCGTCGGAAGGCGGTCGAGGGAACCTGCCAGAGAGGCCGAGAGGACGACGTCTGCAGCTAGCGGCGACAGCCCACGTTTTGCGGTGTAAACAACGTCGCCGCCACATTCCACAGGTTTCAGTGGGCCCGAGCTAATCAGAGAAACAACCGCAGGGAAATTTCAAGGAGCTGCTGTAAATATGAGCTCAGAGAATTACTCCCCATTTGGGAAGATGGAGGGGGGGTGTCGATGTATTCCATTGTTGGGTCGGTGTCTGGATCTGGCAAAGATGAATCTTTGGCTCAGTTCATTGTTTCGACCAACCCACGTGGATAGTGCCAGGATGATACCAACTATAAATTCTCACAGCAAGAGAGAAGGGAGAGGGAAAGATGGGCAGAATTGCAACAGGAAACTAAGGTTCCATGCCAGATGGCGGAACAAGAAGGTTGCAGCCAGTTAAAGCGGATGATTGCCGGGGAAGACACTTGAGAATGGACATGGAAGACGGCTTATAACCCGTACTCTTTGTATCAGACGGAGATGGAGTCGACGCAGGAACGCCAACCACACGTATGTGTAATTAGTCGAGATTTCTGGACAGATATAGTTGCCAATTGCAATCGATAATTTGAAATAAGATAAAAGGATGCAGACAGGCTTATTATCAGAAAGAAACCTTCTCAGGTTTCAGCCATGGGTGTTTACTGCCTCCCAGACTAAATTCCTAGGAACAGGGTTTCCCAGGTCCCTCGCCTGCAATGCGGCAGCCCTGAGAGTAGCGATGGTCCTGACGTTCGCCCCCCAGAAAGACGTAGTCGAGTAAGACAATTTGTGCTTCTTGCAGAGCTCCCTCACAAAAGGAGAAATCTTCCTCAGGTTGCATCGGGGCAGGCGAGGGAACAGATGATGCTCCACTTGAAACTGTAGGCCCCCGTGGAACCAGTCCATCCAAGGTGAGCAGGTGATGTTAAGCGTGCCCATCGTCTGCTTCTCGAACCAATCGTTGCCACCGGGATGCCCAACGTAGACGCTGGAAGAGAAGTGGTTCAAGCAGAACTGAATATGCTGGATTCCGGTGACGGAGAAGCTTGCCACGACAAACATTATCCTCTCTCCCCAGTTAGGCAAGCAAGAGACCAAGAGAGGGTACCAGACCCAGAACAGAGCGACGCCCAGAATCTCCTGCTTTCTGTTGGGCACCCTTTTCTGGGCAAGCAGGATTATGGATTGGGTAAAGAGATTGATCCTGGCGAAGCACATTACCGGGTAGAAGGTCCAATGCTGGTAGCTGACCAAGAGCCTGGTAATGGCATCGAAGTCCATCTTTCTGTCGTAGAAGTACGACTTCAAGGAATTGAAGAGCTTGGGGGATACTATGAAAAAAGGCATATGCTGGAGGTCCGGATCGAAGTCGAGGCTGTTGCAGGCAATGTGGTGAGCGTTGTGGTTCCTCTTCCACCACGCGATGCTGATACCAGCCAGGAAGTTACCGCTCAGAACTTGGGCTATGCGGTTGAGCCCGGGCGTCGTCATCACACGGTAATGGCCAGAGTCGTGACCGATCCACCCTGACTGTATCCAGAGGAAGCCCATGAGGCCGCCGGACAACAGGTGAACCAAGGTGCTCCCCGAGCCGATCACGCCGTACACGGCCACAACGAACATCACGAAAATGGAGATCAAGGTGAACAACGTCACGTGGCCCTTCCTCTCGAATAGTCCCGACTTTGAGAACTCGGCTACGAGGCGGCGGTAGTCCCGGGAGATCTCGGAGACGCGGTAGTCGGCGAGGCGGCCGACGAGGAAGCGGTCCAGGTGAGCCCAGGCGGCGCCGGGGTGGTAGGCGACGAACGCGTCGGTGACATCCTGACCGGCGAGGCTCAAAAGTGGGAGGTCGCCACCGGGATGATCCTTCACCCAATGGGTGACGTCGTAGACCTTGCCCTGTATCGAGATCCACAGATCTGACCGCGAGTTGTGGCGACGGAGCTCCTCCGACGTGAAGTGCCTCCCCTCTGTTTCCGCCGCTCCCATAGCCGCAATGGCGTCCCTCTCGCACGCCGGCCTCTGCTCACCTTCTTCACCGACAGGCAATGGAGGGGCGGTTTTCTACAGGAGGATCCCCCGCCTACAGATCCTTGGAACCATCTCCGCTCCGTCGGAGGCAACATATAGGCAGAGGGAAAGCAACGATGACGGAGGAACGGCGAGGGACACCAGAACCGCCTCCGAGAGACAGGGTAACTTATCCGGTGTCCCTCCTGCTCACGCCCTAATCCCGGCCATCTATGCGACTTCCGCCGCTACGCGACAAAGTTCATCTAATAAACATCATCGTCCTCGTGAATGTAAATTAAACCGCGGAACACTGTAACTCGGATACCTACTCGTTCTTCATTCCGTTTTCCCGGCCCCCGATATTTATCTCCGGGTGCCCCGCTGGCCGTTGAGGCTGCGGCCTCGTATCGGACCGGGATCCGACGGGCCAGCTATCCGTTGCCATTAACTATCCGTACCGAAGCCGATGAAACACGGATCAGGCGGGAAGGAAGAATCATCCGTGCCAACCCTGTTCATTTATAGCATCGCAATCACCCATTAATCGTATTATTAACGTTTAATTACTCGGGTCAAATCAAGGGAAACTTGCCACGTTTGAATAAAAAAATGGGCAGAAAAGTAGGGAGGACAGTAAGTTAGCCCTAACGGTCTGAAGATGACGGTGACGTCGTCCAGGCGCACGTGATGCACTTGCCGAAGAAGACATCCCGCTGAACGCGTTGGACCTTAACGAGAAGACGGGAAGAGTCGGCCAGGAGAGTTGGGCCGGTAAATAGAAAAGTGGGCCCATTCAGGTTCTGATAGAGAGAGGATTGGGCCACCAGGAACTGATTCGGGCAAGTGCGGATATACTCGATCTAACGGCTTATAATTTTCCACGGATAAAGTGATCCCCTCCCTCTTCCCAGCATGGCCTCTCTCCACAGTCATCCGTCTTTCTCTCTATCTATGCCGTCCTCACGCCCGGTGCTGATCTTGGTTTTCCTTCGGCGGATCTCGTGGGCTTGAGGACGACACGTCCCGGATTCTCAATCAGGACTTTACCCTCCCTCTGCCATCGATTCCCAGTGCAGTCCTCTTCCGCCTGTATTTTGGAATTTTTAAATTCGGAGAACACCGCGCGTCGATACGTCGATGAGGACCGGAAGCAGATCTCCGCGAGTGCGCTGAGACTGATGGGGTTCGCCGACGTCGATTGAGCGAGCTCGGAGCATCGTACCGGCGCCTAACTTGCGCCCAACCAACTCAGATTCCGGGCGTCCGACAACTCTCCAACCTTCGTCCCCTAATAAACAGTTTCCTCACGCTCTTATCCTCTTTCCTCGCCGGAAAGGGGGGGAGTGCTCGCGGGCAGCAAGATAGATGGACCCGTATGAATCTCATCGGCTTTGGCGTCTATGGGGACGGGAATAGCTGGAGGATTAGAATTAAGATTTTACTTCGCAAGGGTCTGTTTAGATTTTTATTATTAATACGAGGTGGCAATCCGTGGCGGTTCATTCTATGGCTAGCCCCTCCCGATGCTTAATACAGCGCCCGCTGTCAGCTCTTTCCTCAGTGGTTAATGGTAAGTTTTCTGTCTGGAAAGGAGTGAACTGCGTCCCTCAGATCTGGCCGAGTTCACGACCCCTACGGCCAGTAGTGTTAACTCGGAAGTCTGCAAGTAAGGTTAGTTGTTTTACTTCACCCACTCCTATATCGTTTCCTACTATTAGAATAATGAAAAATACTTGCCTGATCGTTAAAAATATGTTAATATGGAATCCTCTTGTCTGGTGAAGGCTTGTCTATTTTCTGCTCACAGAAAATTTGGTGAAATCTATCATTTCCTTGTTTATCGCTATTCACAGCCTTGCATATTTCGTTTGTCTAGAACTGGAGGTTTGTACCTGCGGCATGCTTTAAGCACGTTGAGGGAGGAGAAGAAGAAGATGGTTCCCCTTCCAATGCCAACGGCTTTGACTTCGTGGAAGATGAGGAAGTAAAGGGCAATACACACTGGATTTCAAATTTTCAAAAGGTGTTCTTTTATAAGCTCACTTTTACTCGCGTTATTTCGTTATTATTTATTTATTTATTATTGTGTTGTTATAGCGATAAACATGCCTATCTTTCGTGGCCATTCTTTCATTTTTTTTAATCGTTTCTCATGCTCAGTATTATATACAATTCTTTGTTTATAACATTGTGTCTGTCTTCTTGTCAAGGGAATAAAATAGACATGTTGGTTCCAAAAAACCGATGGACATTTCCGGCGACCAGAAATGTTCATGATATGCAGTCATCGTTGATGACTAGGAAATAGATATCTCCGCACGCACGAAGTGTGTTAATGGAATAACTTTCCGGGCTGGGAATCTCACATGTGAATGAGAACATATTAAATTGGAAACGCACTTATCAACTTTGACTCGTTTTTTAAACATGATGTGTTTGAGGATGGGCGACCTTAGTTTATTTTGTCAATGCCGAAGAGGTTGAACTCCCTAATCAACAAATGCACATCTAGACTTAAATATCAGAAAGCGCAATAATGTGGTCTACACTGTCCTTGGCCTGGTTTGAATTCAGTCTCTGGTGTGAAGCCTCTCCTCTCTCGCTGCCTCGAGCTGCCAACCAATTTCCCTATTCTAACTTCTCGTTTTTCTTTTTTCTTGTTATCTCTTTCTTCTTATTCATTTCCTTCTCTCCATTATTATTTCTTCTTCTCCCCTTCCTATCGTATGTTCTTTCTTTCCTTTCCCAGGCCTAACTTTTTAGAGATAGCTCTCTCATGTTCTTCTGGCTTCCATGTGTGCCTTCCACACTGCAAGATTTGATTACGGGCCGATTGTCATGTTGTTGCAATGGAATATATCATAGAAGAACTGACCTTCAGTGGAATTGATTGTACGACCTTACTGTCAGTAATCTTTCAAATCAGTTGCATCTGCCGGACGACTTTATGAAGAGTCATCAGTTCTGGTATATAATGTAAGGTTTCAGACTCACCTCAGATGCCCTGTAGCCAATCTTCGTTACCGAGTACACCATCAATCCTCTAGCAGGTGGCTATAAGCTCCAGAGCATCTGGTTTCATTGACACCTGGCTGAGGTTATTCTAGTGCAGCTTCATGCCTATTTCCGTTCAAATATCTTCAGAACTAGAACCTTGCAGTCTGTAGGAAAGAAATGATTACTGGTCGAGAGGTGATGTCTTTATCCTCTGCCTACCCATTTTCAGCTCTCACCCAATCACTCCTGCTCTTCTTATCCCCACTCCAACCTTGCACCACTTGCCTGTTCTAACGTGGCATCGATCCCAAGCCCTAAGATTATGATATTCTGTACCGTAATGAGCCATATAGCCATCCGAAATTTGTTAGTTTGGCCTTTTTTCAATCAACACAAAAGTGAGAAGAACAGTCTGCACCATAACAAGTGCAATGCAAATAGGAGGTCGCCGGAACCCATACCAACAAGTGCGATATAATTAGGAAACTCGTTTGACATAAGGGTTTTGTACGAAGAAACCATGATGGAGAATGGAGAAACGACTGTAGATGGTTTTCTGATAAATAAAAGGAAAATTTATTCTATTTTTGTTGATATTTCCTTTGAGAGAAACAGAGAAGGGAATGATACCCCCTTTCCTCTCTGTAGTTGCTGCGTAAATCATGTACGATCTATTTTACCTTGATGTTTCTGCATTTTTTTCCTGTTAGGTTTTAAGGCCCTAACTGAAAGAGCTTACTAGTGTGATTTATCTATCTTTCAGGTATTTGTTAGATTCTTTAGGTCCCCTGGGGAGACTTGGACGGTACCATGGACGGCTGAAACCATTATCCAGGTGACTTTCAGAGTTTCAAGTTGGCTCACAATATACATACATATACCTGCTAGGATTACAGAGAACTAGAAAACATCTCTTAATGACTATAGGTGAGATTGGAACTGAAGAGCACTTGACGGCATCTCGTAATGACTGAACCCAATCTGTGTTATTCTGGATTATGGACGATAATCCCACTAGCAATCTAGGGAACTAAACAGTGAATCTTACTTTCGCGTTGTGTTGCTATGCTTTCTACTTGACATGATGCCTTCGTCACTTATTTTTCTCTTTCCGTTTTCACTCCCTAGCTAGAATCACAAGGCTTTCAGGAAGTTTCAATTCTCTGTCCCCATTATCAGCAGAAAGTAACATAAAAATAATCCGCCGATGCAGATTGTGCTACTTTGGATTGCAACGTTCTGGTTTGTGGGTTCCTGGATCGTCCCTTTCTTGGCCCATGCAGCTGGCTTCAGCAAGGAATCTCTAACATACAGAGGCCAGGCATTGTACAGCCTTCTTACGGACGTCGTCGAAGGCCTTGCAGGCATCGCTATTCTCCACCGCTGCCTTGCAAGGTTCTTCCCTCTGCCGCCCGGCTGGTTCCGCTTCAGTCTCAAGGGAAATTGGCAGCTGGACGTTGTTCTGGGGTGCGTCATGTTCCCGCTGGTCAATCTACTGTCGCAACTCAACATGGACCTGGTTCCCATGGTATCGTCCTCACCGGTCGGCGTCTCCAGCGTGGAGCAGTCGATATTGGCCCGCGATCCTGTGGCTATGGCTCTGTACGCCGTGGTCGTCTCCGTCTGCGCCCCAGTGTGGGAGGAGATAGTGTTCAGGGGCTTCCTCCTCCCCTCCCTGACCAGGTACATGTCCTTGCGCTGGTCCATCCTCCTAAGCGCGGTGGCATTTGCCCTGGCGCATTTCAACGTGCAGAGGCTGCTCCCCCTCGTGTTCCTCGGTGTTGTCATGGGCGCCGTCTTCGCAAGAACAAGAAACCTCCTGCCCTCGATGCTGTTGCACAGTCTGTGGAACGGGTTCGTCTTCTTGGACCTAATGAGATGAGGTCGTGCTCTTCTCTCTCTATGGTGCATTGATCAGCGGTATATTTGACTCTTCGTCGTCTCCAAGCGCGTTCTCTGGTTTTCATGTTTCTCCTGGAAGGCAAGATTGAGATCCGCTTCGTGGGTTTCTTCACGTTTTACACGAGGACGGAGATGTGCAAATATATGACAGGAACCTTACATATTTACAACTAGCACCATGACTCTCAAGGACGCCGCGCTGTTATTGTCTATAATTGGACATGCCACAGCGCAGTTGAGTAAATATAGACAATTGCAAAGTCAACCCAATGGACGACGGCAGCGCCAAGAAGACAAGCAGTAGGGGGATAGGCACCGGATGAGCAGCAGCAGGTGCCGGCGGCGATGAGGGTGGAGAGCAAGCCGGCCGGTGACGGAGCTGCTGTTACATCCACTTACGAGGGATCGCATACTCTGAAATGATCTTCTCTGAAGGCCCGTTCCCACCGCCGCTCTGGGCGTCGGCGTCTGCGCTGCCCGCCAGCATCGCCATGAGGATTCCGCCGTGAACTCTACCCTCGGGGAGGGTTACTGAATGAGGGCGAGGATGCAGGAACCTCGTGCAGGTGCTCCCGTCATCACCTTCTTCACTACTGCTGGCTTTGATCCTGTGGTGGGTAGCAGCATTTGCCAGCCCTAAGGTTCCCCCGCCGTGGACACAGCGGTCCTGTATCAGGGCGCCGTGCGCGGCGCAGAGGCTAGTTTTCCCCCTGGCAAAGCGGTCGCACGGCGGCGCCCCTACGCCAACGTTGGAGCCCGCCTGCCCCCACAAGCACCGCTTCCCTCCGCCGTGGGCCTTGCAGAAGTCGGTGCGCCCCTGCGCGCTCTTCCCGCAGCCCTCGGACCTGCAGCGCTTGCCGCCGCCGTGCCGGACGCAGAAGTCGGTCCGCCCTCTGGCGCTCTTGGTGCAGCCGCTTATGGCACACCGCTTGCCGCCGCCGTGAGCCACGCAGAACTGCGTCCCGCCGTGGACGCTCTTGGGGCAGACGTTGCCGCCTTGGAAGGCGCAGCGTTTCCCCCCACCGTGGCCTTTGCAGTAGGGCGTGCTTCCTTCCGCTCCCTTGGTGCAGCCCAACACAGAGCATCTCTTGCCGCCGCCGTGGGCCTTGCAGAAGATGGTGCTCCCCTGCGCGCCTTTGGAGCAACCGGGGAACTGGCAGCGCCGGCCTCCTCCATGGGAGATGCAGAGACCGGAATGACCTTCTGCGCTCTTGGTGCAGTTCTCCTTCTGACATCGTTTGCCACCACCGTGCCGGATGCAAAGGCCGGATTTCCCTCTGGCGGCTTTGGTGCAGCCCTCGCGGCTGCATCGTCGGCCCCCGCCATGAGAGATGCAGTAATCTGTTCGACCCTCGGCACTCTTTGTGCAGCCGAGGAATTGACATCGTCGGCCACCACCATGAGCCTTGCAGTAAGCAGTCCGACCTTCGGCCCCTTTGTTGCAGCCTTCCCGCTGGCACCTCCGCCCACCTCCATGGGCTATGCAGAGACCCGAAGCACCCCTGGCTCCTTTCCTACATCCTTGGAACGAGCAAGGCTTTGTGTGAGTGATGCGTTGCAGAGCTAACCCGGAAGAACAGGTGACTGGCGTTCTAGGCATCAGGACACTGGGTGATAAGAGCTGGGACTCTGTTTTCTCTGGATTCGTCTTCACAGAAGTAGCTTCACCCTCTACGAAAGTGAAAGGCGGAAGTGAAGAACCCTCTGGTTCCCAGCAAGACGATGTCGACCCATCATCAACAAGCGATGGTGTGCCGACAGTTACCGAGGTCTCCCCGCCATTCTGATGCTGGGCTGAGTCAGGCGATGCAGAGGTAATGGCAGAGTGATGCCCAAGTGATAGGCTCAGCTGAAGGTCACAACAGGGTCCATGTTCCAGTGCCTTCTGAGCACCCAAAGGCTCCTGCTTTGAGCTGCAGCTAATCCGATTGCCAAGATGAAGTTGAAAGCCCAAACCCAGATCCGCAGAGCGCTCCTCCTCAGGTTCTTTTACAGAAAACATGGTGCAAGAGCTCGACTTGGTAGTATCTGAGCAGCTTGGTGTAGAACCCAGACCAAGTACAAGCGAGGAGGCATATCTTGGGTAACCACTTCTGCTAATGGAATCCCGTTTTCTCTTGAACCCTGTGAGGTCCAAACCATCTGAAGCATGGGGATCGGGCCACTGAGACGTGTTGGCAGTGTGAAGGGCCACCCCATTCTGAGCTTTTGCCAGACCCTCGCCCATCTTGAAGGACTTGCCAGAAAAACCAGAGGGCTTCAGAAAGTAGTTCATTTTCCAATCCACTTCACCGACAAATCTGCTCTTATCTGAAGAAAATGATGATGCAAAAACCAGTCAACCTGACTTCCGGGTTTATTCAAGTAATTGAGAGTTTCAGTGGGTAATCCATGCCAGTCTCAGACACTGGCTGAACCAACTCTAATAAGGAGGTTAGAGGTTGGAGCCAACAGACTTCGAATGTATGCAACCTCCGCTCACAAACCCTGATGTATCACAACGGTCCATTTCTTATGGATTTCACTAGATTATCTGTTATACAGCAGTAGATCAGCCCAAAGATATTGACGTAAATAAGACAACAGGAGCTGAGCATTCCTGTCAAAGAAGAAACAAAAATGTGTTAAAAGGAAACGCAGGAAAACCAGTCATACATTGCCTGTAGATGTGTTGGAAATAATGTGTTTACATATCTACATCATGATTTGATACCCCTGAGCTAAAATAAAAAACGATAATTCCTCGTCCTTCTAGAGAAAATAAATGAGCAACGAATGGCATATATTTCTCCTTACATAGGCAGATGATTCTCATCCTGGGGTGTGTTACGTCATCTCTACAATGAGTCAGCAATGCATTATCCTTTGAAACATGACATCACAAGTTCCCTCCCTAGTATCTACGTTGAAGAAAATATCATTCCTCCTACTATTAAGAATGAATAATATCTTATAAATGGCCCCATCCACCAATCCACAATATAATATTTGACCCTCAGAGAAAGGAACTTTGGTCAAATCTGGATACCTAAACCTAGCGCCAGGTGATTGAACAATGATGCCACTGCATAAGGGTGCGGTTTAAAATCTGATACCAATCACAATACCACACTTTGGCCCATCGTGAGACAATCCCAATGGCCCCGGCGTTGGTCTTGAAGCTATTCCCCAGCACCTCCTAATGCCCCCAGTCTAGCCCCATTCATCTTCTCCCCATCTTGAACATTCCATTCGTTACAACTCCACAAGGCTTTCACAAAGCATCAAACCAAGAAAAATTCCAAGTACTGGAACATGGGAAGAAGATGCAACTGGGGAAGCATCCAACTAGACGGGTGATGCAACTCTGGTAGGAGAGCTTACAGATCACCGTGGAAACTGTCTTCGTGTAGCATACATACGAGCAATCGGGGATTCTGTTCGCTAAACAGCGGAAAGGTCCAATGAACAGGGAGCAAAAGAGATTCAACTACCGAAGGTATGACTTCTATCATACGATCTCATAATTTCACAGTGCCACTGATAGGAAACATGATCTGGCCCATTCATGAGGCATTGGGGGGCAATTTTAGGATCATAGGTCCTATACTAGAGATAATATAATGTAACGACGAAAACACAATCCGACGTCTGGAAAATATGATGCACAGTATAGGGAGGATTCAGGAGAACAAGACCAACCGATGTTCCCCGATTGAAAAGAAGAAATCAAGAATCAAAAAGAATATTTGTAGAAGATGCATAGTGAGGAGAGGGGGGGGGGGACATCAGTCCATAAAAAGGAAACGATTGAGAATAAAACCACCACGATAAGAGAAACTTGAAGAATCGTATGAGTGGGCAAGTATTAGACCATTCCATAATTTTATTTTAAATATTTTCTTTCGGATTTTGAATAATTGAGCACAAAAAACTGATGTGAAAGATACCCGCTCAAGAAAACCAGTAAAAATATCCGAAGAGTGCCATCTGTGATCTGCCGAGGTACCCAAAGAGTTTCCTGAGGCCAGAGAAACAAAGGAAAAATAGAACAGAACCTCTATGCCTTCTCAATTAGGGGATTTGGTGCATAACCCTTGAGTGTGTCGGAGGGAAGGAGGACACTTGAACTCTTGGATAGGGCGACTGCTACTAATCCGTACGTGACTTCAAGGTTTGTTGCTACATGAAGAAGTCACAAACATCCCTGAAACAGCTGGTTCATAGGGTAAAAGGAGCGGCGAAAGGAGCCGAAACTGATAATTATGCCTTTTCTCTGTAAGATTCCCAAAAAGAACGCACCGAATACCTCAGGCACGCATCTATGAAACGACCCTGTAGCATAATCGATTAACCTGAAGTTCACTCGAAGGTCTTGATCTGCGGACAGACCTGGTCTGGCATGCCAGAGATGGTGAAGCAGACTCAACCTCTAAGGAAAAAAATTCCCTCGTTTCTTACTCAAAAAAACGAAAAGTTCCCCGCAGATTTGAAGAGAGGGAGCACGAAAGCGTAGTAAAACAAGTTGTCGATCGGGGGGGGAGCGGGGAGCGAAGCAAATTCGAGGGAAAGACACAGGGGGTCACACCGAAGTCCGGAAGAAATTTCTCTGCCAGGCAACGAGCAAACAAGCCATAGTAATTGGGAAACAACGGAGCTCACAGCCCTAGCAAGCCAGCAGCGATTTACCCCAACGGGAAGCATTTCTTACCGTGAAGCACCTCGACGGCGAGCACCACCGAGAAATCCCCGAGAGGGCAGCAGGGGCAAGGGCGTATCAGGTAGGTATGCGGATGCGGACAAGATGAAGATGAAACGAAGCGTGAGCCACAGGAAAGGAGGAGAGCGTGCAGACACCGCAGCAGCCGCACCAGAGGACGAGCGGAGAGGCGAGAGAGAAGGGGAGGGAAATATAAAAACGGAACCCAGCCAGAGAGAGAGAGAGAGAGAGAGAGGTCGCAGTGGATGGCTAAAGGGGGGGATGGTAAATACGACGGAAGGGCTGGAAAAAGATTTGAGAGTGGGGACGTCAACCACGAGGCGGCATCGGGCGAGCTCTAAGCCGCCGATTGGATGGTACGAGTGACACGTACCGTCCTCAAGCGCCGGCTCTCGGCGGCAACGAGGATCAGGGTCATCTCTGTCGTCAGATCTCCACGCGAGGCGCCGCCGGCCGCCGTCAATGGTGCGGCGGCATCGCCGCGGGGCCCATGACTGGCGTGTTGTCCCATTCATTTATTCATCGCGGGTCCCGCCGGAGGTGAGAAAGGAGGCTGCTTTCCTCATCCGTTCCACCTTCCTTCCACCACGATGACGCAGGAGGGTTTGTTGGATGTGGCGAGAAGGGAGGGTGCGCGGCTGCCGCCGCGGCGGTCGCACCGCCCACAGATGTCCATCTTGGCCACCAGGGACACCCCCGTGCTGATGACGACGAGGAAAACGACGGGCGAGCAGGGAAAGCCTCGTGTCCTGCATAGCCCTTTTCACGCGGCGGCGGGGAGGACGCCAGATTTCTTTTTTCGTTACCTCCTTCCCCTTGACCCCCTATTACTGCCCATTAACTGGCGCTCGTGATCGATGATGCGCCTGGTAATGGAGGAGGGACGGCGATTTGATGGAAGAATGGCGACACGGGTCGGCCCCAGGAAGACGAACCCGGTGAGAATCTGATCTTCTCTCTCCCGCGGAAGGACGATACGAGGCCGACATTGACCAGAGCCGTGCGGGGCGCCCCCACCTCGCGTCGAGGTGGCGCGTTCCACCACCGTACGCGGCGTGCGCCACCGGGATTCTCCTCCGGGAAGACCTTTTCTCCTCCCAGAAGCCGCGCTGCAGTCTGCAAGTGCCGAAAGGTCGGCAGGAATATCCCGACGGCTCTAGCAAGCGGCGACCGGGCGGTGGACATTTTCTCCATAATTCAGTCATGCAGGAAAATCTGCTCAGAGGAGAGAGAAACCATAAAATAATGCGCCTTCCTCCCAGGTTCCTCCATTAAAAACGCAAAGCGACCCGCCATAGATAAATGGAGCTTGCAGCCTAGCACCACTGCGCTGCCATAGGAGAGGGAGAGGGGAAAAAAGAAAGGAAGGGTACGGCGAACTTTTCCGACGTGGGTCGAAGACCACCAGCCAAAGCTCTCTCGGCCGCCCTGCGCGGAATAAAGCCCGCCGTGGGAGGTGGACCCCCTTCGGACGCCGACGAGAAACGTCGCTGTTACGGTGGATAGCTAGAAGACGGCAGCGATGTCGGCCGTGGGGGAGGGACTTCCATTCGGCGAAGGCTGCAGGTCCACTTGACCGTGGGAGGGTCATCGTTGTCGTACTCGTCGGATCAAATAAAAACCTAAAAAGAAATTGTGGGAATATCCTCACGAAGCGAGCCAATATTCGGTCTCGATTCATACAAAAATTAGGCCAATGGGATCGATCCAGAGCCAAAAAAGCTGCAGGAAGTCGTCGTTCAGCATTCATAACATTAATATCCATCATTTTCCTCTCGCTGAAGTCGCCAATGAGAAGCAAGACCTCGCCTGCCGCTGCTCGCACAGAACCTTCAGCGGCATCAACCAGAGAGAGGGAGGGGGAGAGAGAGAGAGGATTAAGCGTGAGATTATTTCTTCAGACGAGTTTAAAGATCATCTGGGACGAAACTAAATGCTGATCCGGAGAGTGGGTTCGGGAAACATTTTGAGCTCGCCGGCGGGACCGCCGCTCCGGGCGAAGCCATCTTTGTTTAATTGCCGGCGGGGACAAAAAAGTACATGTGGAAGAGGACAAGATACCGGGATATGACAGGTCGAGATTGGATATGCCGCTCCGCCGCCTGCCCCGCACCACCGAGGGACGACGAGGCTCCAAGTCGCCTCCCCGGGCACCTCGCAGACTCCATCTCCCCCTCCCCCACCTCCGCCTTACCTTTCGCTTTTTCCTCGGCACCGCCAGTGATATGGGCCCTCTCTCTCTCTCTCTCTATCCCGCCGGAAACAGGGGACAGAAATGTCCGAGCTTTGACTTCTGCTGTCAGGGAAACGAAGTAGCCAAAGTTGATAGTTTGGGCCAGGCGAGGTCAGGCGAGGCCAGGCGTAATGGACCACGTCCAATTGGAGGACATATCCAGTGGGATCTTCTGGGCCCTTGGCAACTGGACTGGATCGTTCGGCTGATCCATGATAGGTCCCCAAGGGCCCATGGAGACCAGCCCATTATCTATCCGTCTTAGTTTCGTTATTAAGGCTGTCCATGGCTACGTAGAACAGCCTAGTTTTTGCTATGGCCCAACTTATAAAATCCCCAGGGGAAGATTGCCCTGCCCACCTAAAATCTGGTAATTTAAATTTCAACAAATAAGAGATAAATAAACTTACTTATATATATCCTCATCTCTTTAATGGCAGAAATTTCCGGCCATGTTCAAGGTCCCCCTTCCCGTTTCCTCTCTCTTTCTCTCTCTCTCTCTCTCTCTCCCAAACTAGTAGAGTCACCCCAAACAGCAAGAACGAGCAGTTTTCCTTTTACAAATAAAGAGATTATTGGCTTTAAAAGAAAGGTAAAATAGATTGTTCAAACAATAATAGAACATCGATTGGATTTTCCTCATAGCCAACTAAAAGCAAAGTGAAGTACCAAATTAAAATAAAGAGGCTCGTCTATAATTTTATTTCAATATGCATGGGAAAAATCATATAATACAAACTTTAAGAGTTTGTGCTATTTAAGATTAAATCTATTGTAAGTTATGAATTAGTTGATGATATTAAACCATAATATTAGGTTACTTAAGTTATGAAAAAATTAGGCATCATATGTAAGATTAGAGAGAGAGAGAGGAGAAATCGGTAGAGTGACAATATTAAAAAGATTAGGATATTAAATAATTATTTTACATCTCAATGATATTTTCAAACAAACAACTAATTTACATCTAGTGATATAGGGTCATTGTAGTACATCACTTATGATGTCACTAAGTTTTAAAATATGTAATTGAAATAAAAGTTTTTCACTTGAAGAACCATTGGCATTGATACCAACTTATTGAATTCAAGATGAAGCAAAAACTAATCGAATAAGCACATGTAATCACAACATTGTTTTTATATTAAATAATATTCTAGTAAATTTATTGTGGCCTATTTCATATTTATCTTATAGAATTTAAATATAGTACAAGATCAAGCCCATTGTGGCAACCTTTTACTATTAAGACATTTGAGAGCTTATGAGATTTTGTCAGGTTCATATTGGACTTGTTTGTATCAAATAATATCATTAGACTTGAAGGTCCTCCAATTTGCCAAAAGATAAGTTACATCTAGATGTCATTTGTCCATTATTGATAATATTATCAAGAGAGATATTCTAATTATTTTTCATTTTTATTACCACAATGAAAAGTTGTTAAATAATTAGAAATAGTGATTTTATAGAAGTGAAATTAAAATTTTATGATGCATGAGCTCAACATCATATTTTATTTGAAAAATCCAAAAAATTAATTCAAATAACATGTATTAATACTATGAATTATTTTCCCATCCATAGTAAAACATTGTAGAAATTTAGTTAAATGTAAAGCAGAAAGTAAGCATACTTATCTTTTACATATATAAAATATCTCCATTGAACATTTAGTTTTGCACTCAAACCGATATCCTTTTAAGAGTGTGTTTAATTTTGATACCAAAGTGCTATTGCATTAGAGATGAAGTAAAATACCATACACATTTAATACTTATTTTATCACAATGGACTATAGAGAATAAATTTAGATAACTCAAAAAGAAAACTTATAGATCAAAATTGACATGAACACTCAAATTGTTCTTTTAATCAAAGTAGTGGTCAAAGTCCTTTATGTCAAGGTAGAGGTGGAAGTTGACATTGCCCTTAAAGTGATTTGTCATGAGGTGACAATATATTACACCTAAATAAAGTTTAAGCTCAAATCTTAATAGTTGATCCTTTGATGCACTTCTTTAATTGTAGTTCTACCCAACTATTTTCCTCATGTATGTATGTTTCACTTGTCATTGGAAAAGGTACAAATAAAGCAACTTTCATTTATTCATTATGTGCCAACTTCTAATTTAATCTTTATGAAAAGTTTAGCATGATATAAGTTACTTGATTTTTCACTATATGTCCATGAATTACAAATATAGTGCATCTGGTCTTATAGTTATTTAAGTTTCTAAAAATTATACAACCATAGATAAAAAAAATTACATTATAGATAAATTACTTAATATGCATTAAAAATAATTAATATCAATCTGATGAATAACAATTAACTTCTATTTTTGTTAGAAGTTGGATTTTCATTATATTTACTGTCTCTCTTCCCCCACTCTCTCTCAAAGTTTCTTTATGAGATTATATACTATGATATTTATAATATTTGAGATTTTGTGGGATGTCATGTAAATGTTTTCTGGAAACAAAAAGAAAGCTTGATAGATGGAGAGAAAGAGAGAGAGAGAGAGAGTGAGAGTGAATCTTAATAATATTAAAATATTGTGCTACCAAAATGAAAAAATAATGAAAAATAAATAGATTAATTTCATATTTATAAATCAGAATATTTTCTAAATAATCAATATGATACAATTTATGATGTCATCTCCTACGAATTGTTTTCTTAAATTTTTGTTGCCTAGATAACGTAAATGAAATCTACAGCGACCAATAATCTCTCAACATTAGTACCTAACTAAATTATTATCAAACTAAAAATATAATTTAGTTAAAAATAATTTAAAAGACATGTCAGCAATCAAATTCTTCTTCATAGATGACATGACTTAGTTGTTCTTTATTAAATCACATAAATTAAAAATATAAAGTAATTATTTAGAAGTATTTTTGAGAAATATCAATTATAATTTAATAAAAAGTTTTAGAAGTAGTGAAGAATTTCCAAGTTGTTCATAGGGATGTAACATAATATTGGGTGATACTTTTGAAAATAATCTATTTTTTATAATTTTAAAACTAAATAATAAATATAAAATATATTAAAAATTTACAAAAAGGAAAAAAGAATGTGATGTCATGATGACATAAGCAGCATGAAGAATATGAATCGAGCGAAGATAGAGTGCACTTTGTTGATTCTTATGTTAGTAATTACAAATCATTTAATTGAATAAATTAATATTTATAAAAAATTTAAAAATTATAATTAAATAAATAATACTTTCGAAACATAAAATCATACAAGTTATTACTAGATTAAATAAAAATTTAAAATATATAAGGTAGAGTTCCAACTTCTCAACATTGGTTGTTAGAATTTTGTGTTTGAAAAGATTATCATGTAATGTCCACAACCTCAAAGGCTATCTTTAGACAAGAATGACATGGGCAATATTTAAATTTTTTTGCAAAGTCTATAAATCAATGAGGTTGGCTAAAAAATTATTTTCGACAACTGTCACTAAGTGAAATAAAAAAATAGTGATTTTACAAATTTTTGACGACTGTCACTTGCCAAACATAAGTTAGATGAAGGTGGAATGCATCTTATAGACCTTTATCTAAAGAGGAACGAGTAAACAATGCAATGAGGATGATTTGAGGAAAAGTTGAGGAGTCGAGATAAGGAGGTGAAGGGCCAAGGACTCATGTAACAAGGAGGTTGGTTGCTTTAAATTAAAATAATAAATAGGGAAGAAGAAGATTCAAGAGGCCTTGTAGTATTCCTATTTGTTATTTTGGAGATTTATAATTCTTTCATTTTATTGGATGCTCCCCCTCTAGATGACGTCATGCTAGTGACATCATTGTCTACTCTCATAACCTTATGTTGCCATGTCAAGATTGTACACAATGATGCCATGCCTCCTTACACGCATGTTGCACCGTTGCATGCAGGTGTTGCTCTATTTTGTGTGCATGCCATGCCGCCATGCACATGTGCTGCGCCAATGTGTGCAGGTGCTATGCTGCCGTGTGTTGGCACTGCACCAACATGTGCAGGTGTTGTGCTATTGTGTGTGACTGTTGTGTCGGTGTGCGTGGGCATGTGCACGTCGTGGTATTGTTGCAAGAGGTGATTCATGTAAGACTTTAGTAATATTCTCTCCCTCTTGAGAGATCCAACATCCTCTTCGAATGTTGCTGGTGGTGATAGTCTCAGATCAGCTTTTCAAATTATCAAAGATCCACATCCTTCTCACACGTAGCCACATCTCATGATTGTCCTACCCATTTAATAAAATAAAAGGTGTTATGGTGGGGATGGTTCGGTCCACCTTTGCCGAGCACCTTGTGTTCCAATATCATTGATGATACGGTGGAGTAATGTACCTATATCATTGATAGAGGTTGATGTGGTCAATTCTACTCTTGATCTTTCTCATTTGCATTGTAAACCTTCAATAGAGAAACATAAAAGACTAAGTGTATAAGGTGTGGAGAGAGTTGAAGTCAATAAGTTAACCACACTACTAGAGTCATGATTTGGAAAGATTCATTGAACTAAGATACTATTCTATTGTGGTGTTTTTATCTTTGGAGGCTCTTGTGGGTAAGATAGATAATCAACTTTTTGTCGATGTCGATCATCATTTTTCTTCATCCAATGTCCTCATCAATGTCATTGTAGTTCTTGGCAAAGTGGTAGGTGAATAATAAATATCCTAAACCCCAATGTTTGACAAATTTTAAGGGTGTTAGAGATTGCCGGTTAGTGGTCAATTTAAAAGGTGTCTGACTTGCGGACACACATTATTAGATATTATAGATAAATTATGAAATATCAAGTAGCTCAACCCAACAGTGACATAGTACCACATATAATTTTCTAGCATCTCATTCACTCTCTCTATCTATTTATCTATCTATTCATCCGTCTATAGATGAAAAGTAGTAGAAAAATTAAGTTTCATGTCAAGAAAGGTAAAGAGAGCTGACTAGAATTATCATGTGAAGCATGAGTCATGATCAAAGACAATATCTCATGGTATACTTATAGTTTGACTATGTGTATCAAGAAAAGTTTAGTCACTTCTTCTACTCTACACTCATATTGTGTAGGTATAAATGTTGCATATTTAAAAAACTTGTTGACCACAATCTTAATTTGATCAATTAAATAATCTATAATTACTTACGAAAGAATCACTGTGTGAAGCTTTATTTTTGTCTTATTCATGCTAATGTGATCTTGATGTCTACACCTGAATTTTTCTTTTTCATAAAATTTAAAATATATTTTATCTTTATTATTTAGTTTAAAAATAATAAAAAACTATATTATTTACAAAAAAACTGAAATATTACCTAATATTATTTTACATCTCTATAATTGACCTAGAAAATTTTCATTATTTTTGAAACCTTTTATCGAATTATAATTGATTTATTTGTTTTAAAATATTTCTAAAAATCCAAACAATAATATTATATAGTTTTAAATGTTAATTTTGCATGACTAAGAGGTTAGTGAAACACCCATTGAGGAGCTGCCACACTTTATTACAAAACTTTAAGACATGAGATATCTCAACGTCTCTAGGACTCCTATTAAGTATTTGACTAATTCAAAAGGTGATAAGAACTGCCTACAAGTTTTGATATTGAAGAACTACAAGAACATCTCGTCTCTTCCAGATAGTATAATGCAGTTGAGAAATTTGAGGTGCCTTTAGATGAATGAGGGACTTGTCATTGACTAGATGCCAAGGCAAATTAGTGGGCTGCATCAATTGCAAGCTCTAAATGACTTTGTTGTGAACAAGTGGGAGGGAACTCTAAGATAATTGGGACCTCTTCCACAACTTAGATTGTCGGTGATCACCAAAATAGAAGGGTGTTAGAAAGAATGCAAGCCAAAACTTTACCATGGGTTTTAATTAGTCTTTGGCCCAACTTGAGTTGCATCCCCAATATCTATTGGAGATGACTCAATAGCATATACATCTTCAACTGCCCTTCAATCATGAGGTGGGGAGTCTTATCACTTCAGAAATATTGCATGTAAGAGATGACAGCTTGGAACACCTCCCGCCATAGTTGGAGCACGCGTGAGTTTGATCCCACAGATGAGGTGTCATTCCTTCTCCTCAAGGTCAAGTGGAGTCTACTTAGGAGAATGTTACAATAGAGAGAGGCAGGCGGCACTAACCCAAATGATGGCTAGAATATCGTTAAATGATTCCTCATTATTACGTTGTTGAAATCAACAATGAAACATTGATTTTCTCCTTCATCAAAGTTCACTCATTCTTCAACACCAAAGTGGAATTAAGCCGCTAAATGTGAGGCCATCTATTGAGGTAGTAGTAAAGAAGAATGATTGGCCAATCCCATGAATAAGGTGTTTTAAGGTCAAGTTGAATGTGTTGAATTTGAAGGATCTAGTGTTGAGATTGATGGGGAATGATAAAGTATAATGAAAATGGATTAAAACTATACCCAAATCTATAAAGTCACAAGTTTGAGGATAACCTTTTGGATCAACATAGGAGAATCATTCAATGACTTGCTCTAGAGAGATGGGATGCTTTAAGAGTGACTCACAAGAGGTGGTTAGTCTCTTGGTATTTTTTCTAATTTAGCTCATCATAAAATTAGAATAAGACCTAGTCTCTACACATATTTATATTTATGCTTATACTTACAAAAGAGGTTGTAACCTCAAATACTTAAACTCTAATGAATAACTTTGAGTGAGATTAATTTAATGATAACTCCATAATATAAAATTTATATATTCATTATCCACATTGAGATTGATTCTAATAATCTTTCACTTGAACAATATATATATATATATATGATAACTTGATACTATATATTATGACCTTATGAGTTCATTTTTTTTGCTATCATTGTTAAAGATATCTTAACAATTTTGTCCATCATTATACCAACATAGAATTAAAGGGGTTTTCATTCACATTTTTTACATTACTAAATGTAACAATAATCACGCATATCAATATAATGAATGACATAGATTAAGTATGAATGTAGTATGAAAAATATGTGAAATGTGTAGTGTGACATACATTTTCAACTTAGTCCTTATTTCGAAGGGAGATTAAACAATCACATTTAGAGTGTGGATAATCATAAATTTTCTTCCTACATAAAATACTCAAAGTATATGTTTAAAAATATATGACCATCAAAATATAAAATCTTATTAAAATTATAAATTTTCATGAGGTATTAGACCCATATTAGTAATATGCTTGTGAAAGACCTTTGGTGGTAATCCCTTAGTAAGTGGATTTACTATTATGGAGTTTGTCTTAATATGTTTTATAGATATTTGGTCATTATAAACTCTTTACTTAACAATTAAGAACTTGATGTCTATATGTTTAGACTTCGTCAAGCTCCTATTATTATTGAAGAACATAACAATTGATTTATTGTCACAAAATAACCTTTAGTTGTCTTTTTATTCTATTTAGAATTTGCAACTTTATAACAAAATTCTTTAACCAAAGTTTATGATTTGATATCTTATAACATGTTATAAATTATGTTGTCATAGTAGAAGAAAATATAAGTGTCTACTTAGCACTCTTTTATGATATAAGTCCTCCAACTAACAAATAGATGTAATCCATAGTAAATAATCTACTATTAGTGCATCCAACAAAATCAAAATTTGAATATTTGATGATCTCCAAATGAATCAATTTCTTACATGTGAATATATAATTCTGTCTTTTGCAAATACCACATAACTCATTTGGTTGCTCTCTAATAATTCATACCAAAGTTACTTAAATATTTGTTCAATACTCTAATTATGTATACAATATCTAGATATGTACATACTCGAGCATATATAAGGCTTCTTGTAGCTGACACAAAGAATCTTCTGTATCTCTTTACTCTCATAATCATTCTTAAAGCACGGATTGAGATTAAACTTGTCTCCTTTAACAACAAAGGTATTATAAATTTTACATCTTTGTATATCAAATCTCACAAGAACTTTCTCAATATAGCTCTTTTGTGACAACCTTAATATATTTCAAGGTCGATCTTGATATATCTCAATACTCAATACAAAAGAGGCTTCACTGAGATACTTCATGTCAAATTCTTTGACAAAAAACTTTTGGTTTCACAAAATAAGCTTATATCATTATTGACAAGTAATATGTCATCAACATATACAACTAAAAATGTATGTTTACTCTCATTGAACTTATGATATACACATTCATCACTCATATTTATCTCAAAACCAAATGAGATGATAACTTGATGAAATTTGTGATACCATTAATGGAAAGCTTGTTTGAATTCATAGATGAACTTCTTTAATTTGTATACTATTTTCTTTGGATCTTCAAACACAAAGTTTTCTATTGCATCATATATATCATTTCATCAATGTCACTATTGAAAAATATAATCTTTACGTCCATCTAATGTAGCTTAAGATCAAAATGAGCTACTAGTGTCATTATTATTTTAAAGAATCTTTCAATTAAACTAGAGAGAAAGTCCATGTATAATCAATGCTTTCTCTTTGAGTGAATTCTTTAGCAAAAAGATGAGTTTTATATCTTTCCATATTATTCTTCAAATCTCTTTTAGTTTTAAATATTTATTTATAATCAATAGGCTTCACACCATTAGGTAATGAGACAAGATTGCATACATCATTATCTTTCATGAATTTAATCTCTTCATTTATGATATTGATCTATTTATGAGAATTAGAACTTTGTATGACTTGATCAAAGTTAATATGATCATCTTTTATCACTTCGATGTCAACTTTATGTTCTAAAAGAAATATGATATATTCATCCAAAATTATATTCATCATTCCTCTAGTGAATTTTCTTAATGACACTAGTTCTTAAGTATGTTGAGTTTATTCTTTTGAAGTGAGAGGCATGATGATATTATTTTGATTTAAAGTTACTTCTTGATCAATGTTAGTCAAGATGATGTCATCAAAACCATTGTTAATAGGAATTGATGGAATATTTACATATTCTTCTTCAAAATTAATGTCTCTAACTTTTTCTATCCCTGTAAACTTAATATTATCAAAGAAATAAGTATTTCTTATCTCAAAAATAACCTCAGTAGTGAGATTATAAAATTTCTAATCCCTAGACCTTTTTGAATATCTAATAAAGTAACAACTAACTATTTTAGAGTCAAGTTTTTTTTATTAAGTATATAAGGTTTTGCTTTCACTAAAAAACCTCAAATTTGTAAATACTTTAAACTAGGCCTATTTTCTATCCAAAGCTCATAATGAGTTTTAACAATTGCCTTAGTTGGAACCCGATTAAGCAAATAAGTTGTAGTTATTAGTGTTTCTCCTTAAAAGTTATTTGGTAGGGTAGATTGACTAATCATACTCACCATATCTTTAAGTGTTCTATTTCATCATTCAACAATACCATTCATGCTATGAGATATACTCACCATAGTATGATGTACTATGAGATGATACCACACTCTTTTGATAATTTAGTGAAAGGTCATGGATGTTGTTCACCTGATCTATCATATCTACTATAGTACTCATCACCACAATTTGATCTGATGGCTCTAATCTATTTGTTGAGTTGATTATCAACTTCAGCATTATATTTATTGAATGTATCTAGTGATTGAGACTTTTCATGAATAAGATAAATATTATTGATTATTCTAAGAGGTCATAGGAAATGATCCACAAATATTTTTTTATAATAATTCCAAGACATCTTAAATTCGATTGGTACATATTTTCTTTATGTTTATTTTTTATCCTTAATGCATTTGACACGTGTCAAAACCCTTATAATCAAGTGGGTCAAGAATTTCATAGGACACAAGTTGATCAATTCTCTTTTTAGAGATATGACATAATCTCTTGTGTCATAATGAAACGAAATTCTCATTGATTAATTTTCTTTTTGTACTCCTTGAATTGATATATAAGATTTTATTAGAAGTGACTAGTATGCCAAGTAAGTATAGGTTATCATGACTTGATAATGCATTGGTATCAATATGATTTGAATTATCAAATAGATAATTTTTTATTTATAAATAGACAACTATAATTAAATTTATCTAAACTAAAAATAGAAATCAAATTTCATCTAAAAGATAGTACAATATAAGTTTCAATCAAATCAAAATAGTGTCTAGTTTTTAATAATATTGTAAAAGTCTATATTGCCTCCACCGCTACTATATTGTCATTGTGCGAATAGATGTATCTTTTATCATCAATTGACTCATGACAATGAAGTCAATCCTATATAGACACACCTATGTGAATAGTAACATCAGAATCTATCTATCATGTGTGTAAGGATACAAAAGTTAAATTAACCTTTGAACAAGTCAAAGTGAGAAGGTCAACTTTCTTTGTATGTCAAGCATGATATTTGGTACAATCCTTTTTCATGTGGCCACCATGTTTGCAAAAAAAAAAAAGTAGATTCTTTATCTTACTTCATTTGATGTTTCTTTAGTGGTGGTCTACCTACAACTTTATTAACTATAGGTCTTTTGTTGATTTTATTTTTATATGTCATAGAAAAATAAGCACTCTCATACTTATCTTGCTTCAACCTTTCTTCTTCTTGCACATAATGTAATATGAGCTCATATATGGACTATTTGTCCCTTTGATAATTAAAACTAGATGTATGAGTAAATCTTCTAATAATTCTAACTTTAGTGACTTCAGTTTTGATGGAAGATGAGACATCTTAAAAATGTACTCTCTTATATTTTTCTTATTTTTATACTTCATATTACTCTTGTTGTATTGGACTCTTCAAATAAAGTATTCCTGAAGGCTTCTAAAATGACAAATTTTATGATCATAAGACTCATGCAATTTGATTGGTCTCACTTATCTACATCTCTCTTATCTTCATGAGAGTTTGTGAGATGATATTCTCTTAATGTAATGTCTAGATCAATACAATTGAGAACTATCATAACATTCTCTTTCCATGTCTTGAAGTTGATGTCTTTTCACATAGGAATAGAGTTTATATGAGCAAAAATAGTAGAAGCTGAATTTAAAATTATACCAAAAATAATATAAAGCTTATATAAGTAACTTAATTTTCAAATAATGGTACTTTTCATCACAAGATATTAAGTGTAATATTAATACTTCTTTTTAGACATCAATATTAATTGTAGGTAACATCTTGGTGTAACAAATAAATATTGACAATAAGTTTCTATCAAATAATAAGTCTTTCTTTAGACCGACTTATTATTCACATGAAAATACGAAATGATTGTCACATATTTATTATCACAAATATATATAATTTGTAAAACACTAAACTTTCATTTGGGCCAATTAGTATCCACATAATCACATACACAACATCTCATACGTTATAAAAATAATATCCACAAGAGAGGCTACTTTGGTAGAATGTTGCTTCAAGTAATAATTCTAAAATATTAAACATGTACCAAAATTTGAATCACGATAGTTATTTGACATTTAACTATACTTAATATAAACATAAATATTGAAATTTCAAATAAATTTATAAAAAAAATTATAAAATAAAATGACGTCTGAAATAAATAATTTTATAGCCCTCGATTTTCAAATGCAACCTTTCGTCCGACGACATAAAGGGGAAAGAGGAATGGCTGGGCCCCTCCTATAGCCCACGATTTTCAAATGAAAATCTTCCTTTAGGAAAAGAGAGGAAGAGAGGAGTGTGGAAACCACCACTCCTCTTCTACAAGAAAAGAAGAAGAGTCGACAGACCCATTTGCACAGCATGTACGGCCCGTTAGTCCGTCCGTGGTAATGTTGAAGTCTTATGATTCCTATAGTGGACGCTTGAATTCATTCTCAAGATAAGTCATCAAAAAATGATATACCAAAATGAACATAAAATTATGAACGAGATATCATTATCTAAAAACTTAACACATTTGACTCAAATACCACTTGTTGAATCTGAAGGATCTAGTGTTGAGATTGATAAGGGATGATAAAACATAATAAGAATGGATTAAAATCATACTTGAATTTATGAAGTCATAGGTATGAAGATAACTTTTTGGATCAGTATAAGAGAGTCGTTCATCGACTTACTCTAGAGAAATAGGATGCTCTAAAAGTGACTCACAATGTGTGACCCAAAGACTATGACCCACTATTTATAAACAAGAGGTGGTTAGCCTCTTGATGTTTCTTTTTAATTTAGTCCATCATAAAGTTAGAATAAGACCTAGTTTCTACATATATTTATATTTATGCTTATACTTACAAGAGAGATTGTAATCTCAAATACTTAAACTCTAATAAATTATTTTAAGTATAATTAATTCAATAATAACCCTATGATCTATAAATCATATATATCATTGTCCAGATTGAGATTAATTTTAACAGAGCATACTTCGGATATTTTTTTAAAACAATCACTGAGCTAAGCCCCCCACCCTCCATAGGGATCCTTTACATAGTCGGTTACATCGGACTTGCTCTCCCTCCCTTGACGTGGCCCTCTATGACCATTACAATCTAGCATATTCATCACCTATCTCACTCATTGTTTACTAGGAGTTCTAGTTAGTTTTTGTCTCCCCCATGAATGGGACTGCTACATTGTCTCTAACCCCCATGCAATCATGTCGAAAGCACCGTTCTCTGACAGGTATTGAGCCCATCTCTTTCTGCACTCCATTCCTCGTCCTTCCGCTCTTCCTCTGATCCTATCTCGTCCGATGGTTAGATGTCTACTCTGTTTCCACATTCGGAACCTTTCCCTCTCATGAATATGCCAAACCTGGAGACATGTGGCACTGGAACGCAGAAGCCACTGTAGCAACAACGAAGGGTCTCCCCCGGCTCCAAGAACTACATCGAGAGGACTCCAGTCACTTGTTGAGGCGCCTGCGACAATGGAGACACGGCTCAGGAGAACTGCGTCCGACACTTTATCATCAGATCTAGTTTTTCCCAACAATATTATATCTATCCCACAGTTGTCTCAATTCAATAAAATATTATTTCTTTTCCATCTTGATTGTATATAGAGAGAGGTAGCCTGCAGGGCAAAAACTCTCATCATTCATTCAGGAGTGGGCAATGGGGGAAGGAATCTGGGCGCTCTGCGTGGTGCTCCTAGCCGTCGCGACTTTAGGAGCCCAAGTGACCTACGGCGATGTCCCGACGGAGGTGCAGAAGAAGATTAACTCTATCAACCAAAATGGGACATACCTTGGTGTGGTGATACCCAACGCCTTTGAGCTGAACCCCTTGCTACAGTCTCCAAGTTATTCACCGGACAAGGGCATGCCGTACGTCGATTTCGCTGGTGAATCTCCACTACCTCATCCAGCGTTAAACAGGGGCAATCAATCCATAAATATAGTTTTCGAACGGTGATAATAGTCGGCTCATAAGTTCTTTTTATTTTCCTCTCGGGTCAGGGAGGAGGTTTCGCTTCGGCTCTTTAGAGGGAAAAAAGGTTATATTGGTCATGACAGGACTTGGCATGGTACGCTTTCTGTTTTCCAAAAGTGAACGAATACCGAAAAGAATACGATTTCTCGACGCTTATGAGACCTGGCTCATATTTTCTCTGATGAAATTCATACCTTCGGTAGTCGGCCATCAATTCCTACAGATAAATGCCGCTACAACCACTCAGTTGCTCCTGGGACTATTCAAAGTAGAAGGGGTGGTGCAATATGGTATCGCCGGAAACGCGAACCCATCATTCATAATCGGCGACGTGGTTATTCCAAGATTTTGGGCGCACTCGGCTCTATGGAGCTGGCAGGTAATGTTTCAAGTTGTTTCCGCTTCCATTCCTCCGAAGAAAAAATCAATTCTTAGGCTTTCTTAGTCTCCTTCTCGTCCTTTCTGTTTCGTTGTTGCAGAGATATGGAGATGGCCCTAAGAACGAGCTTCCATTCGAGAACACCGGAGACTACACGAGGAAGTATGGTTTCCTGAAGTTCGCGGACTATACCTCAAACGGTAAAAATCTTATCCCTGACGCGGATAATCTTCTGAACAACGTGTGGTACCAGCCAGAGGAGATATTTCCTGTGGACGGAATCCCGGAGGAGAGGCAGCACGTCTTCTGGGTTCCCGTTGATCCCCGTTACTTTGCCATCGCCAAGAAGCTTGTGGTAAGTGGAGTTCGAAATCGCTTTTCCATTTTCCCATATCGACGCCAAACGAATTCTCGAAAACCCGTAATGTGTCGGAAATTTTCGAAGCACAAGGTCAAGTTTCTTAGCTGTTCTTCCCCCAGACTTCCATTACCGTTCATAGACTTTCCGAAGAATAAGATTTACTTTTATGGAGAATCTTATGCATCAATTACTGCCTAAAATTTAATCACTATGGAATCCGTCTTAGATTGTTTCGATCGTGCCGCGAAGTCAACCGATAATAACGTGCATCACAAGGCATGCCATGGGTGACTGCACGTTCGCCTTGACATTGTTCGTTGAATATGATGCCAGTCTCAATCACGCCTTCTTTGACCCCGTGGCACCGTGGGTTCAAATGGAAAATAGATTGAATATCAGAGTACTAGACTGAACCAATATGTTATCGTTTGCTCTACCAGGGATTGAAGCTCAAGGGTTGTGTTAACTCGACCTTGTGCCTAACTCGCACACCAAACGTGGCTCGGGTGACCAGGGGGATGAGCGCAAGCATCTTCCTCGACAACGCTTCCTACAGGGACTTCCTCTTCTCCAAGTTCAAGTTCACCCCGGTCGACATGGAGAGCGCTTCGGTGGCCCTCGTCTGCCACCAGCAGAGGATACCGTTTATCATCATCAGGGGACTCTCCGACCTGGCCGGCGGCGGCTCCGACGAGTCCAATGAAGCCGACACATTCGTCTCTCTGGCAGCCGAGAACACCATCACCGCGGTTGTAGAGTTCATCAAGCGTCTGTAAGCCTGCGTGATATGGTTGAATGAGTCCGACTCCGATGCCCAGATCGTGGTCGCTGCAACGATCACGCAATAAACTCACATCTCTTTAATTACAGCGCAACTTGCTGAAAGGCCACATGGCGAATGTAGTGTGAACGCATCAAGGAGTGTTTACGGATGTCAGCGTCATCTGTCAGGCTTACCCAAACCTGTCCAATTGTCCGAAGACGGATCGAAATTGAGCCTTCGTTTGGACGGGAGTTCCTTGAATCCTCACGCAACGTGAAGAAAAGTCGGCCGGCTCCGACAGGAGCCGCGCGCAGGATATCGAGGATAATCTTTGATCCGATGATGATCAGACCGTCCAAGTCGGCGGTCGGCTAAAAATCTCGAATCACCCAAAAAAATAATGTGGAATAGATGAGAAGGAAATTCTAGAAAGTGTGCTACTAATATTTGATGGGGATCGGAACAAAGACTTGAACTGTGGAGATGGAACGGAGGAGAAATCGGAAGAATCAGAAGGGCTAACTCCAACCATAAATCCATGATTCTCTCTCTCTCTCTTTCTATCTCTCCCGCGTCTCTCCGTCTCTGTAACAGTGTCCCTGTCACGCACCTCCGCTCTCTTCCTCTCTCCGTCTCTGCAACTCAGTCTGTCTCTGTTATGTTCCTCTCTAATTATCTGAAACGCCGTCCGTGTCTGTGAGGGTCCTTCCTCTCTCTCTCTCTCTCTCTCCCTTCTCCTCCTCTGCCCCCTGGATTTCTCTTCCACTATATCTGTTCTCTCCCTCGTGTCTCCTTCCGTGTCTCTCCTCTCTCCGTCTCTCTCCCTTCATCGCTTTCTGCTCCTCCTCCCTCTTTTTCTTTTTTTCAAATACTGCGTTTATATTTTTCTAGAGTCCCCCCTCACGTCATTTCCTCCAAGGCAACACTGAGTGCCACAACTTTGACATAATCCTCTTGTAAGCATCAAGATGCAATATAACATGTTGAAGCCAGTCTAGAGGTTTCTTGCATCAGATACACGCAATAATTTACTGACAGGGACGGACACCATGCATTCTTGTCGGGGTCTTATTTTTCACCACTTTTTCAATATGATTGTTCGTGATTATAATATTATTTCTAGAATATTAAACTTTTTAAGGTCTCTTTCTAATGCTAGGTCAATTATATGGAATACTACCATCTTTAAGATTTCGGATAATATGTATGTACCGATAGATAGATAGATAGATAGATAGATAGATAGCCTGGGAACTCAGAAACTACCGTCTCTCTATGTCTCTGTGGAGGGATAAGTACATGGTGGGAAAGATTGGGCACTCCGCATGGCGTTCTTGAACCGGCACAAGTTATCGGCATTTGAGAAGACGTTCCCACCAAGTCTTTTTATCACGTCCGTTGACACCCATTTCGTCAAACTGTGTATGGTAGTGCACGAGTAGATTAGGGCCTAGAACTTAATGGTTAGCCCATTCATGTAAGAGATGATTTTTTGAGTAGTAAGAAAAAACTAAAGTTTGGGCCAGTTCAGGTCCAGAGCAGTAAGCAGGTGTGGAGGATTGGATTGGCGGTCTGATCAGCATTCCCCGATCATGTCATTATAATAGAGCCCCAATTGACTGTTTAGAAGATGCCACAGTTTATGACGATCTACTGGCCGACGACTAAGACAAATCGAGAATCAAATGTGGCTATTTCTTATACAGCTTTAATGTTTGTGCGCGTCCAACGTGCCATGTTTTGCGCGCCACAATTCATCAAACATTGGCATAATGTGTCGGTCCTACAACGTTTTTCTTATACTCCTTTCTAGAGGAGGTTGGAAATGACCCTGCAACTTCCCGTTTTCAATCTGAAGCACAATATGACCCACCCTCCGTATCTTATAACCTCCGAAAGAGTGCTGGAAATTGCTGCTGCAACTTTAGTTGGCAACCGTTTCAACCCGATCTCTCTCTCTCTCTCCCTCTCTCTCTCCAAGTCGGCTATGAGTCTAACATTTCATTCGCTCGTCTTCTTACCCGAGGAGAGGGGCAATCCGAATTAAAAGGGTATGATCCTTTGCGGATTACTGTTCAATCAAGAGGAACTAGGGAAGAACAAATAAATCGACCCCTTCACTGCTGAAGCATAAGTCAAGGTTTCAGCGATGGGTACACACGACTGGCCGAAAGATATGAAAGGCATCAGTCAAGAGAGCCTGTTGAGGCAGAGATTAAGCGGAAAGGAAAACTCATAGTGAAGCTTGGGCATAACGTTTCCGTCATTTCGTCAGCGCCAGCACGAAGGAAGGCTGGTTCCATTCTAATAAAAAAATTGTATTTAATGGAGAGATGTTTATGGCTTGGTCATTAGAACATGCTCGTGAGTTGTAGTAGTTTTCCATTAAATTATCATGAATGCACGAGCACTATCTTGCTGTCTAACACCTATTTGGCACGTCTCGTGGCAGTGTCTAACTTGTGCAGACTTATCCTTCCCATTTATAGCTTCTCTTACAGAAGCGTGTAGCAGGCATTAAAAACATACAGCCTCCCTGGTTAACTATTGGGAACGTCTTCTCCAGACCGCGTCAACGATTTGCATGCGTAGGAGGTCTGCAACTTGAAAGATATGATCATACATGACGGCCTGATCCGCCAGCGTAAGTTGATATCTGTCCAGTCAACTGGGGTTGGATTTTCGCTAACGATTTGGAGGAGCGATCCTTTCTAGATGAAGATTTACTGAATACCGACGAGGGCGGATGAGCATTTCGCACGGCTACCGTCATGAGACTTAAATGAATGGTTCTAGACTTTTGTGCAAACTTTGAAAAATATCGTTAAGCATTCTGCCCGAGCCAGTTCTTTATAACTCTGTTTTTAGTTAACATTTGTTTTGACTAATTTTTTTTGGGAATTTACCTTGAATTCTTGTTGGAGTACAATGACAAAATGAGTGTTTCAACATGCGTAGCCATAGGTGCACCAAGTTAATATCTGTTACTTTTTTATCAAATGAGGGTCATTTTGTATTTGAGTAAGACATAAAACCTAATCTCGAAACTGGTCTTTGGTAGATGGAGGAAAGCACATTGTTGGTCATACACATTCTGTGTATATGAGGCAGACTGAGTGTAATCCAGATGTTCAGCTCTTTAGTGAGATATCATTACCCTCTCGTTGTTTTCCTAAAGAACAAGCATTTGTTTGAATCTGGTGTGTTGTGGTTCGTCATTTCTCTTCCGTTTTGTTAACCATTGTTTGTTGGTAACGCCATTGTGTGAGTAATCTTCTTGAAACCTGCATCACTCAATTGGCAAAGTATTCGCGTTCACGGACGTCATAAGTTTAAATATTCGTATGTTACTAAAGTTTAAAATTCAACATCTCAACAAGACTTGATGTCGCTAGTGCAGAGTTCAAATCTCATAGCATATCTATACTAAATGAGCATCCTAGTGTTTATTTCATCTTCATTATTAATTAATTTGACAATAAAATATCCACATTCTTGCACATCACACGTACCTAGTAAAAAGAAACAGTGCGAGAAAGAAATAAGCACATCACACGGACGTATCTCGTCTCCAACCCCTTGATTTGAGGAATAGAAGACTATAAGCCGGCAAAGGTAATCGGAAATTTTGCATCATACATGCCGATTTGTTATCTCGTTTTCATGGCTCGGTTACCAGACTGTTTAATGACCTATGCTAAGCTAATACTATCCGCCGACATAAAAGACTCGAGTCAAAGCTTGGGACAAGTTTTCTTCCACAATTTCTTCCATAAGAATCCCTTGGAAGACAATTCCTCCAATGTAAAGAAGCAGAGTTCACAAAGACGGGATTTTTGGAAAGACCAGCCTACCTTGAACCATTTGCAATTGTAAAATGATCACAGATAATTTTCACATGATGATGTGGGTCTGTGTTTCCGAGGACTTTAACGGGGTAAAGGTACAAAGAGAAATCATAGAATGCGCAGGAGGATATCCTACTGGAGGCCAGAGTAGAGAGCATCCGGAGCCGATGATCTGATGTCTCATCGAAGGGAAAAGGCCTTTTCTTGTTCTTGATGACACATGCCTTGTTCTCCTTGTTGTGTGACAAGGCCTTTAGAGATGACAGAAAAGGAGACTTCTACTCTAGCTGGTCTTGTGGTAAAAATTATCGAGAAATGTGAGAGCCTTCTAGTGATTAAGGTCAAAATAGTCGGACTCTCAAGACTTGGGAACAGGAGCACGGGGGAGTGGGAGGAGATACTCAACGATGGCGTGTGGTCCTTCCATCTTTCCAGAGTAGGAGAAAGAGAGGTTTTCGAAGCCTTGTTGTTGTCTTACCAGGAATTACCCGCACATCAGACAGTGCTTCTTATATCTCTCGGTATTTCCCGAGGACCATGCATCCACCCACCCGAGGACCTATGATACACAAATGAATCGCCGAGGGGTTCGCGAAAGAAAAGGGCCATAAAGTTGGAAGACTTAGAATATGAATATTTCAATGAGTTGATCGGGAGGAGCCTCCCGCAGGCGCAAATGTCGATCTTAGAAGGTTAAGAATTCAAGATGCACGATCTCCGACGTCTGCTTGCTCAATTCCTGTTTGAAGGTGAGAATTTATACGGCAGCGCATGAAGGAGGAGAGGCTGGTTATCGGTAGCGGGCAGGGAGCCTGCCCACTTCTTCTGAAGAAACCTATGCGGAGATTGCTTCTGAGAAGGGACATTATCGAAGCTCTTGGGCACAAGACGCGAGAGTGCGTGTGAATAATTGCCTGGAACTGAACTTTTTTCTCTGAGCTGAGACACAACGCCAATTGGCCACATGCAATAGAGAACGTGATGGACAAAATAAAATAAAAATCACAACACAGCACAGAAAAGTCACGTGGAAAACCCTCACGCAAGGAAAAACAACACGAGAAGAAAATAACTCGCTGATAGGATCCCATCCAAACTGTACCAAGACTCTCTCTCCTCGAGAAATAAAATCCCCCACCACCAACCACCCACTCCCCCGAAAGATAGCTGATTTTCACTTTTGAGCCAATTCCTAATACAGAATTCGGCTTCATACATCTTCAACAAAGAGAAAACTGCCCCCCACTTAATAGGAGGTTATCGTAAATGACTAGATTTCAGTGGTCAACCAAACTCCCAGAAAGGGGACCCTCCCTCGTTGAATCAACCCTCGGCTAGACTACCTGGGGCTGACATATTCTTTCATGCGCCAACATAATTTCAAGGTATATATACAATATAGGTACAGAACACTTGTTCTTAGTGTGGTGCGGACTGAACTGGCGCTGAACATTCCCAATTGTCCGGGAGTTTGAATGGTGTCCCCTCGCAGAAGCAGTCCTCAATGGGGGTAATTAGGGATGAAGAGAGTCCTCAAGGATGCCGGGGTCTATAGCAGCTCCGTTATCGACAAAACAATACCGACGAGTACCCTCGATTTACATCCTCAGTGCTGCGATGCATCACCGAAGAATATCTCGCCTCCCGATTGCACCTGAGAGGCGACCGAACCTCTCTCTATGAAAGTAGTCCCCATACTCCACTCAATTGCATCTCCGCTGAGCACTTCCGCTGAGAACTTCCGCTGAGCACCCTCGATCAGTGCATCTCCACTGAGCACCCTCGTTGATGCTCAATTATTGAGTGTTCCAGGGATTTATGGCCCACTTCTTCACCAAAACGCTCTACAGGGGCGAACGAGTACATGGTCCTCCAGAAACTATCAGGGATGGAGGAAGCAGGAGGAATCACTGCTGCGTGTGGGGGTACAGATACTTGTCAGACATGTATAAGGCCTTCATAATCTATCTCTCGTCATTTAGGAATGCGGATGAAGACCATATACGCGTATAAGGCAACCTGTTCCTGTCGTCGAGTCTCACAACCCCTCCAATAGCCTTCATCGTCTGAGAGACGTTCACACCTCTCTCAACGATTTTAACAACCACATCAAGGAGAGACGCTAACGCCTGTCCACGTTTTTTCAGACGAGTAGTCATCAACACATTCCAGCTGGCTGCAGCGCCCTTCAAGGGCCTTCGCGGGAGTTCTGCTACGGGTCTGCCGTTAAGAGATTATCCGCATCGAGAAGTATTCTTTTAACTTCGACGATGAGGCTAAGCTTCATGACAGCTGCCAAGATCTGCGCAGCTGTCATCTGCTGTGTCCATCCGGAACGAATCCACTAGCATATGCTTCATGACAGGCATACTCTCTTTCCTCTATCTTCAGCTTGTCAACCACTGCAGATGTCTCAGAGTACGTAGTCGATCTACTTTGGTTGTAAGACTCGACTTACATAAACTTCTTGGTCCAAAGGAAAACCCTTCTAGGGCTGGAACTCTTTAAAAGGAAGCAATTTCGCGGTTCGTAGGTCTCAAGAGAGGAAAGTTGATGACGCAACTACCACATGGGCAAGATTATTATTTTTCTATCCCCAAGATGGTGAAAATGATAACTTATGTTATCGATCGTGGCGTGCAAATGCATTTGACTCAACCACTGAATGACCGGTAAACTTTAGTGTGCATATTAAAAGCTTGAAAATACCATAGCTATAATAGGAACATTCCTGATCGAGAAGCATTTATTGTTTTTCAGAAATCCTGTTTGTGCCCTTGAGCCTTTTTTTAGGTAGATGGAATTCGTTTTCTCATGTAAATCCGATGCAAATGGTCTCATGTAGTAAATGTCACATTCATTTAAACTATGACAATCATGAGCGCAGGGATAACCACGCACGATTGCCGCATCCCAGCGCACGCTCTGGCTCACAGGCGCTATGCGGCATTCACTGACCGCCAGGCTGCGACTAGCTAGAAGCGTCCTCGTCGCCACCAGAGATTTGAAATCAGTTGATTGCATTGCATATACAAAATGCATTTGGGATAGCTTCTTGTTTGCCGTCAGTCCGCAAGAAGCGGATAGACCTTGTTGTAAATGATTTTCTATCGTGTGCATTAACTCCCCAATGTGGGCAGGGTCGCATCCCGAGGTTGACCTTCTTTACAGCTTCAAACTGTCTCAATGCAACCTGTCAGAAAGCGGAACAGATTCTAAAGGTTGCCACCTCTCAGGGAAAGAGCCATGTGGACGGTACCTAGAATTGGGAGATAGGATCAGCCATACCTGATCTGATCTACTGGAAGGCTCAAAATCAACTAAAAATAATGTCAAAAGTTACGCAAAAATGGGATCCTTTGAGTGACATCGGTTGTCCATCAACTCATCTGCCACCGTCATTAGTCCCATATTATTTTAGACGTCTTGTCTCTGAATCTCATTCTATGCCTATGTTGGCAATCAATCAATGAAATAGTGAAACTTATCCTCCCCGTCCATCCTAAGTACCTCCAACATGAGTATTGAGAATTTTTTCATGTATTTTCCCGAATAGTTTTAGTGTGCTTTAACTATCTTATAGTTGTCTAAGTGGCTTGTCCAGAGTTTGCTAGACTAAATTGCTCTTGAATTTTTTTGGACAATTCGTCATAGCACGTAACTGGTGGTCTTGATGGATCTTTAAAAAAAACTTCATCCTCCTTCGAAGAGGTACTTTTATTGAGGTATTATTACAGGTCCCAAAGAAAATATCCATTTAGTATTACACCCTGCTCCCCTAAATAAGGCTTGGGTTTAGGAGCGTTGACCCAAGGCAATACAAGCCCCAAACCATAATTCAATGGTCTTCGGAGATTACTGATTCGAATATGGAGGTCTTTGTTCAATAAATTATCCCCATAATGTTGAAATTTCATCTTTTTGGGCTACATAAGATATAGGCATTTCCCTTGTTTGGTTGTAAATAGACCAAATCTCTTCATCAAACCTCTTGGACAATACACCAGCTGCATTCGTGACCTCATAGGCCTGTTCCTCTATATGGGTCATTCGGCCCTCCCATTGTTCTCACAAGCTATTGGACTAAGCCTGCAATTGGCCCATAAGGGCTTCAACGGTTCTATCCATGATTTTTTGTTGCTATATAAGTTGGGCAATTCTCTACTCTTTGATACTGCTCGTTCTCACTCTACCTTCCACCTCAGTGGTACTCTGCCAATATTGAAGAAGAAGAAAGGATAGGAGTGTCTAACCTTTTGCAACCTACCTCTGATACTAGTATAACAAAGAAGTCAGTTGTTTTGCACAAAATCATTATCGAGCTCTAAGAAGTTTGATCTCCAATGAGCCCACATATGACCAAAATAGATATTCCTGACAACAAATGTGTCCCATATATGTGGCCGAGAGTCCCTTTATAAAGATGAGCCCTTGGACAAAATTATTTACAATTTCAATATGATATTTAGTATTCTCACTCCATATGATATCGAACTAATGATGGCCTCTGCCCCCCTCCCCTCCATATGATGTCATGCTATTGACATCATTATCTGCTCTCATGGCCTTAGGTTGTCACATTGAGATTGTGCGCAACAATGTTGTGCCTCCCTACACATGTGTCACGCTGCCGCCTGCGAACATGACTCTATTCTGCATGCATGTTGTGCTATTGTCGCATGCCCTGCATCAACACATGTGGGTGCCGTGCCATTATCCACAAACACTGCACCAACGCACCCAGGTGCCATGCCGTCAAGCGCGGGCACCGTGCCAGCACGTGTGGCCACCATGCTAGTGTGCATGGGTATCGTGTATTCCACTCCACTGTGCATATTGTGTCCTCTTGTTGTGTGCACTGTGGTGTTGTTGCTAGGGGTGGTTCTTGTAGAAGGACCCTAGAAACAACTAAGCAATAACCCAGAGCAAGGATGATTTGAGAACAAGCAAGGATGAGTCAAGATGAGAAGGCAAAGGGCAAGGAATTTAGCAATGTCCTAGAGCTACTATGGGATAAAAGTTTCTAAAACGAGATTGCAACCAGAAAAGATGGTGTAGAAATGGTCCCAAAACTTGAGAATACAACAGTGAGAAGAGATATCAATGAGATAAGGTCCCTACTAATCGAGGGGGTGGTAGCCTTAAGTAGGCAGTGGCAAGCTCAAAGATTGCCAAGAAGCCCACTATCCGAGAGTGGCTGCGTGATTCCCTCTGTTGAAGCATGCCTGATTGTAACATTGTTCATGCCTCAAAAAGGGAAGACAAATGAAGGGGAAGGGGGATTAAGGTGGTTCCCACCTCATCAAAAATTGATATTTGGGGACTTTTGACACCCTAGAGATGCCTCTCAAGTAGTTCCACTTGTAAACTCCACGGCACAAAAAGATGGAGTCATGCTCAAACTATTATTACCTATTTAAGGGCTGTTCTTTCAAAATACCCTCCTCTGTGCATATTTGTCTCTTCTACCAACATCTTTTGAGCAGGGGGGAGGGGGGTGGCTAGATCCCAAGAACCAAATAGGTTCAGAATAAGGTGAGAAATCAATCATCAATTGAGTCAAATATATATTCCAATCAAAATCAATTAGGTTTATAGATCATGAAAATCCTAAATTCTATAGGAATTGACATTTTTTGGACATGCACGAGATTCTTAATTAGACGACATTTAATTTTTATTTTAGATTTTTGACTGTCCAAACTATGAGCTGATTGGACCTATTGGCTTGTGCTTTTGCCTGAAAGAATGTGTGACTAGCAGAGTGATGTTGCCAATAAACTAACCTCAAGAAATAAAACATGACATAGCGCAACATAAATGTCCATGTATTCTTGTCAATGTGTTTAATGAGTGCTTTTAATGTCTCCATCATGTTTATTTAACAATGGTACTCTTCATGTTTAGATATCCATACATAAAGAGATGTGATAATGTGGATGGTGTCAAAGACCACAAATAATATTGTCTTGAGTCTAATTAATGATCAAAATTAATTAACTAGAAGTGATCATTTTGATTATGTTGGCTAACTTATTCATTAGAGAATACTCATTCTAACATTTATAACCCATGCATTCATCATGTCTAACTAGTTGTAGTTGGTGCCACTCCAACCTTATAGCTTTCCTTGTCCCCCATCAACTTCATAAACTCATTATAAAATTGGTGAAAGTTAGCTTAATGATTCAATCATTAATGATGCATACAATAGTTATATGATTAATTTATCGTCCATCCACTTATGTCAATTCACCATGCAAAGTATTAACATCATTAACGACCACATGAGGGAGGGAGTAAATATTTCATTAAAAGTAATAAAAGTGACGATGAGGACAAGATCAGGTAAGAAGTCAATATAAATACATTGAAAATATTATGTCCATCAATGCTCAATCAATAATCTTTTGAGAAAATTGAATGGAGTTGATTTCTATTTAAACTTATATACCTAAAGTAAGTAATAAATGCATGAATTATAAATTACATGTAATTTAGAGAGTGACAAATATCATAATAATTAAATAATTATTAAATTGAATAAGAAATAACTTATGCCCTTTTTCATATTGAGTGGTTAAATAATGAAATTTTGATAATTAAGTATGTATACTTATAAGTCTTCATTATAATGAGTTAATAATTAATTAATAATATATTTTAAGCCTTAACTCATGATAAATAGGCTTATATTTATGTTAAGTTATAAAAATAATTTCTAGTTCATTAATGTGTTTTTTGACTAATTATGTGATTTTATGTGAATATATATAATTTTTATAATTATATATTTGAGATAAATAAAGAAAATAAAAAATATGAGACCTACTAGCCAATTGAGCTTGCAACCAAGTTAGAAGCACAATGGGGTGGAGCCAAGAGCAGGGGGCTCGAGCAACTAAAGATCGATAAGAGACATGTGTGCATCATTTTCCTTCCACATCATTGGTGGCTAGCTAGACATGGGGCAGTAAGTGCTCATACACATGCGAGAAAATAACGAATGTGAGACTAAATCGACCTCATAGCTTCCCAAAAGATTTTTAATAATTTTAATACCTAAAATACCTCTTGTTTATGATAAGGAGATACTCTTATGACATTATTTTATATGGGTATTGATATATTTATTTTACTCACTCTCATGTAGGTGGGTGATTAGTGAGGGTTTGAATCTCACAAAGCTAAAAAATTATATATTTTTTAATTAAATCATAATTTTTTTGTATATCGTATGTCAACAATTAAGTCATTAAAATCACTCAATCCTCGATGAAAATATCATCAACACAATTCGTAAAGTATCGTTATAAAAATTATCAAATGATTGTAAATAAAATGATCATGAATCTATTAAGTAAATTACCTTTGATTGATCAACAAACAAACTATCTTTGAGAAGAAGATAATTTATTAAAAGATATCACTTTTTGATTGTATAAAATAAATATGAGTAGAATATAAGATTACTAAATCCTTATGATTAAATCATCTTCTTACTTAATACTAAGGAAGTGGTATGACACAACACTACTTATGTCAATCACATAAATAAGAGCAAGTCTAAGTTGTCAATCACTACTTATGTCTTTAGACAAAAATAATATTTTAGTTTTAACCAATTAAAAATCATTTTTAGTGTTTTATCAATTCAACTAACTCACTCAAATACAACTATTAATTAAAATTATAAATGATGAGTCCCAAATATGAAAGGAGAGGCACCAAGGCTTGAAGTGAAATAGTATTCTTCTATTAGTGGCCTAAAATAAGATGAGAAAAATGTGTAAATACCAAAACTAGTGTAACTCAAAAGACTCAAAAAGACAATGTGGAAGCCCCATTTAGATCTATGCAAATATTTCATAATGGCAAAAACATGTTTGGCTTCCATGGTTATAATATCTATCTCTAGATTTTTAGAAATATTTTGATTTCATAATTTTCTTATCATATATATTTTAAAGGGAGCTACAACTACATTGTTCCTTTCTAAAGAAGCATGCACTACAAACATAAATATATTTTTTATAATAACTAATAATGATTTACTTTCTATTTATAATATACTATGTATAGAGATTTCTTAAGTTGACTTTTTTTAGCAAAAAAGAAAAATGTGGCACTTCTAATGTTGTTGGCTCCCTAGTTCACTTTTTAAAATTATTAATACCAAAGTTTCTTTGAAAACAAATCCGTAATACTAAGGCTTCAGTCCACTTATCCTTTAGTTCATAGATGTAAGACATTCAATTATTAGATCTGTAGCATCACTTCACTATTGTAAATTCACATATCTAGAACAAAACTTATATTGTCAAATCGTACAATTTAGTTCACATTTTAAGCACTAGACTTCAGAATCAATATATAATATAAGAAAATTTTAAAAATGACTATATTTAATATAAAAATAACCATGTCACATTAGTCATATTAAGTATCACATTATAGGGAAAAAATTCAATAATTAATTTAATAATGAATTCATGAATTACATCTAATGATATAATATTTTTTCAATAGAAATGTAATGA